TATTTCTTCAGCGTTTCCGAAGTTTTCAAATTAAAATTGTTCATATTAAGCAATTTGTTTCAGGTACTCGGCTTAATTTTTTTCAAAAGGTAGTCCAACCTTGCGTATACCTGACCGATTGGGCGGTCGATAGTTATTGTATTCGTCCGACGGACGAGCGCACGCGCTAAATAAAATAACAAACAATGTTTTTTTTTTTTTTTTTAAAAACACGCCCGTGATAATGTCCGCAGGTTTTGCGTGGGCGACCGTTTCTATTTGTGCGAGAACAAGATTTTGTGCGAATACGACTACGAGGAGCGACTGGTGTTCGCCAACATGGCCACGTACAATTCGTCCAGTCTGGCGCACATAAGAAGGCAAGTCAGTAGATTACAGGTAGGACATAATTCGATGGGGCAACCCTATACTCGCACGCCGACACACACACATGCTCGCGAGTATAGCACACCGCGTCTATTTTTTGTACAGTAATATTATACAAAATTACCATACGTAATATTACGTTGTTAACCGTGTTAACTCGCATCGTCGCGGAACCCCGCAAGCCCCGCGTGACTGTTCTTTTACCTCCTCCGTCCTTCTTTCCGCACACGAGTTTTACTCCCGTTCTCGGCGTCCGCGTCTCCGTATACGCATCACCATTCCACGCGCCTTCATATCGCCCCTCATACGACCCCCGGCCTCGTTTACTCACGCCCAATATACTCACCAATCTTCTAAACCGTACACGCCCGTGTTCCATCTCAATATGATATTCCCCGTTAATTTCCGTATAGCTATAAAACGTATTATTATAAGAATGTCGTACAGCGACGCGATTATCGCGTCTAAGTGGTATGGTTACCGAATCGGTGGCGTTTCAAATCGAAACGGCCAATAACCACACTATAAAAACGTACGGCTGCTAATTTTATTTCAGCACGGGGATACATTGTATTCAAATACATACGTTTTTCCTGATTGATGAAATAACGATTTCGTACGAATCCCTCCCCGGTTAGAGTCTACGGATCCACTCGAAAACGTATCTAATATTGATGATAACAACACCCTACTGATAAGATACAGGACAACCCGAATACATATTTTTTTCCTCAATAGTTTTGCAGTGTGATATTCGGCGTGCGATATCGTGTTGGTCAAAATACAAAATAATATTTGTGTATACTGTATAATATGGTAATAGGATTCCCCGACGATAAAACTTTACGCGGCGTACTAGATGGGATGGTGTTTCAATTTAAAATTTCATGGTTCCGCATTAATATTTGTGGTATCTAAAGTACTCACAAAACTGACAGATACTTTTATGTGCAATATAAATAAAACTTTCAGACTCGGGAAATAATAAAAAATTCATTAAATAACAAAAAAAAAAAAAAAAACAACAGCTTGTTCGCCATTATTATACATGCATTATAATGTACTCCCCATATGTACTACGGTGCACACACGTTACTTATCAACATAAAATACAACATAAAACCTAAACAAATTTAAATTTTTTTTAATTGCGATTTATTGTTCTGTACAGTGTTACGCATGGCGAATAACTTCAAAAAACATGTTGGTACTTACATGTATATAATATACACCATATAAGAGCTGTACGACCTAATATAATATTATAGTGTTTTATTGTACTTGTTGAACAAATAATACTAATTTGTATTTTCCAATTATTGTTTTAAGCCATTTCATAAAACTTAAGGTGAATACCGGGAATTTTTTTTTTTATCATGAACTAACAATTATCTATTCAAATATGTATTCAAAAGGGGGGGAGTGTTCCTATTTGAAAATCAAAAGTATGTACTTATTAAAGGTACATGGAGTAGGAGTAAAATATTAGAAATGGTTTTAAAATAAAGATTAAACGATTCCATAATGATTTAAAAAAATATAAATCAAATTCACTTAAAATCCTTTGAGATAATTTGCTGGTTTGTAATAAAAAAAAAATCACCTTGTGCATAGTAGTGCTTATTAAAAATGTAAACTATTTATTAAAATATATGTATATTGAACTAGTATTACTATATAGGTGTATATTATTACGATTATAATACCCATAATAAAGGCTTTTTAGGGTCGCTTTGATAACTAAAATTATATACTATTGATATAGATGGATATATTATTTTTAGAATGATTTTCCATAAGATTTTTTTTTGTATTCTGCAACCACATTCACAGAGTATCAATCATAGTATGTATATTCAGTGTAATAACCGCAGGATTTACGTGAGAAAAGTTGTATATTTATACCGTTGAATTTTCAATACAATATTTTATTTGGACTAAAAATGTAAGCTTTTCTTTTAGGAAACTAAACATATACTTTCGTTGCCGTTTGTAGTCCTATAACCACACATACACGATACATAAAAGATCAATTTGTACGTGGTTTTTCGCAAAACGATCCGCATTGTCCGGAGAAGGTTTGAAACTATTTAAATCCTTGATCTGACCAGTATAAGTAGTAAACCTGACCTAACGACGATTATAACACCGCCAGGCAGCTAAATAAAAAGCTAACAAGTTTTAAACCAGAGAAAATGTTCGCGAATCCTAGATTAAAATTGGAAGGAAAACAATGATTACAATTTTTTTTATTTCCCTGTAGTAACTTAACCTAACATGAAGATAAGCATTTATTTCAAATTTATTTGCAGAGACAGGTAGGACAACTAATAATTTATAAATAATGATTTTAGGTTTTATTTTTTTACTATATTTAACTGCTGGTTAATATAAAATAAAGGCGGTGGGTATCACATTAAAAACAAATTGGTCCTATCAGTAAAAATAGCTCACAATGTCATTAAGTGAAACTCTACGTACACTTAATAATAACTCCCTGTATTTTAAAATACTTTTCTGTTTTGCAGTAGTAAAAACGTTGAGTAAAAACAAAAGTTCTATAGGTTGAGAGGATCGTCACTGTACACTTCACACCCTTTAAAATTCGCCATTGAGTGGACATGGTATGATTCACCTAAATCACTGAGCTGTCTAAATTGTTTTAATGTACCCGAAAAAAAAAGCATGTACTAAATGACTAAACACGCGCTACTGGTGATACTTATTTGTTTTAAGTTACTTAGATAAATAGTTTAAATATTCCTACTACAGCTTACCAAATATCGAAAATTACTAAATAATTTTCATTTTATATTTAGTTACGGCATGAATTTAAGTAAACAATAGAAGTAAACATTGCACCTTAGGTAGGCTTAAAGTGTATAAAGACATATGGGCGCAAAACATTATTTTATTATTATTATTGACAATACACACAATTGAAAACAATGGAAAATATAATTGCATTTGAAATAGATACATGGAAATACGCAAATATACCTAGTTAAAATTATATACGTGCTCAATTATCCGTCAATATTGAGTTGTTCGAACGTTTTAACTACACCAAAAAAGGTTTTTCTACAAAATAAAACACATTATTGCCCGTTGTAGAACTACTAAATCTAATAAACATGGTATCCCACGAAAATATACTTATTGAAATATCTCTGAAAGCAATTCTTAGAACCACGTAACCCAAAAACCCCAAATTAACCACTAAATAAAATGAAAAACCGAAACCAATACAAATTCGAAAAAAAATATAAAATAAGAACATAACTAATCAAAACCCGTGCTACTTATATCGGTTTAACCGTAACCAAAAACGTCGTGTTAAATGTTCAAGCATTTGGGTTTAGCCAATTTTATCCACATAAAATCCAATGAAAACTAAAAACAAACTAGAAAATATCAAGTATGCCTATAAATAGCTGTCGATTTCTAGAATTTTTAATAAAATTATTCTGTAAGAGTTGCAGATCCCTACGGTTATTTTGAACCGAATTACAATAACAAAGCAAAAACAAAAACGAAAATAATAACACCGTTAATGTGGTAAATCTTCCCGTTGTTTCTCCCAATTATTAAGAAAACTACACGGAAAATCAAAGAATGACCGTCTCGTTGGAACTAACTATAGGTTCAAAATCTTATAAAAAAGCACTTTTTTCATTTTTTTTTTTTTTTTTTTTTGATCGGGACAAAATTTCTGGTAGAAAAGTTGTTTACTGCGGTCACGCAAAAATACAAATGCACACACATACTGAAACGTAGAGTGGAATGCTTTGGCATTACACTCTTTACACTCGAAATCTAAAATTACTGATAGTACATATTTATTGTAAATGGGTTCCTCGCCGAAAAATTTGTCTGCCGATCGATCGATAAAACCGACGTAATATATATCTATATCGATATACGCGTACATACCTTCAGGTTTTTCGATCGATCGATACGACCTTGCAAATATAACGGTACTACAGTTTTTTTACATTTATCTCTATTTTCACGTCTGTTTTTTTTTTTTCTGTTCGACTATTTACAGCCAACGCCAAACGAGCACGCCCACGCAGCAGCAGCAACAGCAGGAGACGTTGTAGGGCCTATCGACGAGGTGGACCGATGCAGAGCCACCTCCGTCGAACAGCAGCAGCAGCAGCAGCAGCAGCAGCAGCAGCAACAGCAACAGCAACAGCAACGGCGGCGACCAAACGACACCGCCGCCATCGCAATCGGCGGTTACGGCGGTGCCGCAGCGCCTCCAACACTCGCAGCGGGTCAACAGCAGCAACACCAACAACACCTCCATCAGCATCAACAGCACCACCACCAACACCACCAGTTCTTGTCTGCAGCCGGTGCTACAATGCTGTCTACACATCAACCAGCCGCGTCGACGATCCTCGGTGGCGGCGGAGGAGGAGGTGGAGGAGCAGGAGGAGTTGGAGGTGGTCGTGTCGGCGTACCGGGCGGAGGAGCGGCGATGGTCGTCGACGACGGATCCAGCGGTTACGGCAGTCCGGACTCGGAAACCGGCCTCGAGTCGTCGGCCACGGCTGCCGCCGCAATCGCCGCTGCTTCCGGCGGCGGCGGCGGCGGTCCGATCGCGTCTTCGGTCGCCGCCGCAGCCGCACCGCCGGTACAATAACGTCGTCGCGCCGCCGTTACGCCACTGATCCGCGGCAGCCGCCGTGGTGGACGCGGAAGACAGCGGTGGTCGGCGCCGCGGTTTATCTGACACGATCAGCGGGGACTTATCGCCCACGACCCCCGGTCTATTATATTATTATAACGCGGTATCGGTAATAACCACGCATCCATAATGATGTATACTCCGCCGTCAAAAGCGGGATATTTCCTCACAACTCCTGTCGCCCACCGTATACACGCCGCTCTCGTTCCTAAAGACGACGCGCGTTTGTCTTTTATATTATATTCTCTTCTATTATATTATAGTCCGATGAAAACGACCACCGCCGTATGTTTTATTGTTATAAATGTTATATTATAATCTCCATACGTCGTAAATTATGTGTAAGTATATATATATTAATAATTCGTACGCCGTATCGTTCTAGTCCTAAACGATGCCAAATTACACACACACACACCTTCATTTCGTTTTGTTTTTTTTTTTTTCTTTTTTGTTATTAGTGTTATTACCTATTATTTTATTATTATTATGAATTATTATTAATTATTATAGGTGCATTATACTTGCCGAAGTAGTTAAAACGAAACATGGTCATAGATTGTTAGGTACCTACCTACCCTATAATGTTATACAACGCTCGTGTTAAGAGGACCAGATAATCGCACGTGCGGAAACGTATTAACATATTTTTGTTCTTTTAATATGTGATGTGTGAAAACGCATCGCTTTACATTTCGCGCTCTAAAACACACTATCTAGCAGTGGCGGATTTGGTTCGTCTTCTAGGGGCGCGGGAGGAGGGCAACATCATTTTGGTCTAAAAATTATACTTTTAACTAACACGACCAGACTACAGTCAGTCAATGTGATCCCTAACCGTTTAATGCGATATCACAACTATCTGCAGAAACCGTGATTATAATTTCTTAACACTCTGAAATTCTATACAGATTTATGAATTAAATTATTATTTATAGGTAGTTTGATGTCTAGGGGGTTCCATGGCCCCTATGGCCCATCCTAAACGCCGCGCCTGCTACCTAGACAGAGGCGAATTCGAAATTTTAACCGGCCCGGAAGAATTTCGTTTCATCGGCCCAATTATTTGTTTTATGTATCTGTAGACACGACACATTCAACCGTCTTCTCATTGTCAAAGACGTATGCACAATACGTCATTTAGGTAATAAAAATATTCTCATCGAAAAATAATATTTTTAAAAATAAAAAAGAACAATTCTAAGTATAAAATTAGTTTTATGGTGATCATTATGACCAAACCGGTCAAAGAGTCAAACTTCTCGACCTCCCGGTGGTACAATCCGCCACTGTACCTAGGTATTTTAGGCCCCATCGAGCCGAGTGTAAACTGTGAGACGACGTTAATAATAAAAAGAAACTACCGTTTTACCATGTCTTAAAATAGCATAACGCCTCTTTGAAATGTGATGTCCGAGGCCCATAAATACATCCCTGGTTGTACCCGTCTAATGGACGCCATGACATAGTGAATTTTCATTCAACCGGACCATTCATTTGTGATTTGGATTTTAATATTATAGAATGAATAAGATATTATAGTAACACAGATTGTATTCTTACCTTTAAGTTCGATAGATCAGTTCAGTGTAATATCGAAGCTAACACGCAAGTTGATTCCGCTGGTCGCGAATTTACTATGTCGTACGTTAACAGTGCATGACATGCATATTATATCACGTCTTCTTAAAAAATAGATGTAGGTACCTATGTAAATGTTCAATATTTTCGTCAGAGAATAGTACCTAAGACTAGTTTCATGTGCCTACGTTTCGATGTAATATTATTATTATTATTATTATTTTTCGACGCATTAGACAGAAAAAATAAAATGATTACTTTACATATTATTATGGCACGTTTATTTAATATTCGTGAAAAGTACACGCAAATTAATTTAAAACGAATTTAATTCGAGTTTTTTCAAAATCTTCGTGATCGATTTTACGTAGGTAGGTATAGAGGTACATGTATAATATTATAGTTTTTTTTTTTCGAATCAAAACGCCATTCGCTGTTTACACTTGTTGTCTGTAGATGTGTATCGCGCGAATACGTTCCCTCGAATACAATATAAATACATAAAATATGCATGATCGTACCCTCATTTAATATAGGTAATATATCTTAATAACAATAATTGATATTTAATATACCTACCTACCAACCAAATATTATAAAGTAATAAGAAAAAAAAAACCTTGTACATTTTCTAATGCTCAAATTATTCTAATGCGTGCAAAATTAATATTGTTTATTATTATTATTATTATAATTATTATTATTATTATTATATGTTGTATTTGAGGGATAATATTGTTAATGTAAATTATTATTTATTAATACACTATATTACATATGATGTACTCCCGAATATTCGCAACCGTTCAATGTGTTTTTTTTTTTTTTGTTTTTTTTCATAATTCGAAATGATAATAAAATACCTATTATATCTGTTTACCTTTTCCTAATCGGGTTTTGTCGACAAAACGTCGTCTGCATAATCCCTTCCACTATACAATTCGTGTGTGCAGTATCAACCTATAGGTAGTAAATATAATATAAATATTAAATAATAATAATATAAAAATATTACTATTTTTGTGTATAAACGTTTTATCGGAAGACATTTAGATTGTTTTAGTTTTTTTTTTTTTTTTTAATGTATTATGTTATTACGCCTAATTTTTAATAATTGGTAATTTGTTGTTTAGTATACAATATGAAAGTTTCCTGAAAAAATATGAAAAAAATAATTAAAATTTCACTACTATAAAATGCGTCCATTTATTAAACTTTATATTCAAAAAAAAAAAAAAAATTGTAATGAGATGTTTCTCTATATGGTTATGGTATATAATATAATATTATACCTGCTCCCCTTTTGCTGCAGTTTACAGCTTTTTTTAATGTTTTAAATGTAACATATCCGTTCAGATATTGTATACGATTGTTGGGATAAAATAAAATCTGATCTCAGAAAAAAATATTCGTTTTTATTATACATATAATATAGACAGGGTTGGACTAACCTATCGGGACACCGGGAATTTTCCCGATGGGCCACACCCCCGCAGTTATATTGGACCGCGAGTGATGATAAACGAAAAACTGTTTAATCGTTTTTTTCATAAAATTGATAAGAACCAAAAAAAAAAAAATAAAACAAAGCAAGTCAATTGTTTCGGAACGTTTAAGGAAATTTAAATTGTTGGATGATAGTTCTAAAAATATAAATGAATAGGAATATGATAAAAATTCTTACACAAACTGTTTACTAAGACGTATATTTCGCCAAATTATTAATTATTTGCAGTTTTTTTACAATTGAATTGTATGTACAGTGAACAATGTTTAACACGGGTCAGTTAATTGTCTAATACAATATTTAAAAGTGTACAATTATATTTCCAATGTTGTTTTTTTTTGTTAGTCTTATGAGACTGTTTTTGTACGTGTGTCTCGTTGGTGTAAATTTACGTTCTTATTATTATTTTAATAATAATTAAAGAATAACATAAATTATAAAAAAACAAAACACCGTGGAGCCCATGAAGTTACAAAATTAAAATGTGAGAATTAAAAAGAGAAGTTGGCCTTAGACGCAGAAAAATGTTTGAAAATTACTGAAATATGCTCAGATTGTTTATTCTTAAATCCTCATTCAATTTTCGAAATCATTACCCATAACTGCTCTTTCCAAAATTAGTGAAGTTCTCAGATTAGAAAATACTACAATTTTAAGGGGATAATGTCTAGATTTTACTAAAATATGAGATAAACTTAAATTAAATTTACTTCCTTCTTCCTATAAATTATTATTATTTTTTTTAATAATTCACTATTAACTAACTTTTTTTATGATTGAGCTTCCAGCTATTAAACTGGTCAAAAAAAAGTGAGACCGGCAAAAATTTAATTTCCCGGTACATATTTTGGAGCTAGTCCAACCCTGAATATAGGTAACCTACATACAAACATACTGCAGCTTTATGTACATGTATAAATATTTTATATATTGTATGGTCTTTTTGCCAATCCTATGCATAAATGCAATATTGTAATTGAACATTATAATAAATTATATTGTTTCAGTTCATCGCGTCGTTTCATCACACGAATATTAAAATGTATTACTTAGTACATGTAACAAAGAAATGCTCGGCGACGCTATAGAACCACAAATTAAGCTTTTTCCTAATTCGACTGGGTCGAAATTTACTCTTAAAGGTCAAAATAAATGACATCTTTTAATAGTAAATGTCTATCTTTAGAAATAATACAAATAAAAAACACCATCAAATAATTTATAATTTATATAATATACCTACATCGTCAACTACAATAAAATAATTAGTATTTTTTAAACACTTTAGTAGGTATATTATAAAAAAAAAGGACGGTCATACTTCGCACAATGGGTGAATCACTGTTATCGGTGAGAAGTTGAGAAGCTAGGATATAAAAGGGAATTTAATGTATTTTTGTATGCAACTGTTAATCACTGCTAACGAAAAATGATTCTGAACGGAGTTCAGTTATACACGGTTTAATAGACCGTAATATTTACGATTTTCATCAAAATTTGGTACCTATTAAAAATCATATAAAACAAAAACTACATTAAACTTAACTTTTTCTTGTTGAACACTAAGTACAATTTATAATGAACCCCTTAAACAAAAATTTAAAACCTGTACGTCTGATGTCATTTCAACTTATATTAGCTGCAGATTTATTGTACAAATGCAGTCAAACAGTACAATTTTAAAGTTAAATTTATTTTGTTCACATTAAATAAATAATAATAAAAATAATCATAATATAAATAACAAAAATAATAATACTTAATAAAAGTTTGATGACCAAGTCCAGAATACTTTTATTTTAAGCAGTGTTTTGCAAGTAGATTGATCAACAATATTTTCTATATTAATTTTTTCATTTCGATGAATATTTAAAAGTAATAAACCAATTAGCCTTTGCTCAACATTTTTTTTTACACCACAAAGTACGACTTTTAATGAACCTCATGTTAAATGTTCAAGCATTTCTGTTTGGTCTATTAATTATATCCACAGAATACCTATTGAATAAAAATTACGTAAAAAACTCGTAAAATTTAAATATCTCTAAATAACTCAAAAATTTTACCACGTCAGAAAAAAACAAATATAAGTTTTCTGTCCAAATTTTAAGTCTCTACGAATATTTATAACTGAATTACAACAAAAAATAAAATTTAAAATAATAAAAACATTATTTTCGTAAATTTTTCCCGTTTTTTTTTTTACGTTTTATCACAAGTTTCCCTGATATTATGGTAACTGCTTAGAAAATCAAAAAATTAACTTCCTAAAATACCATCTAGTAAATATGAGAATATATTCTTTCTAAAAAGGTGTTACACTTACATATTGAAACAAAATTATTTCGTAGACATTTTTGTTAAAAAAGAAAAAAAAACATAAATCCAATAGATACATTCTTTGCTATACGAATCTAAAATTTAAATTGAACTAATCATTTCCAATTTTGATTCTAAAAATATATTATTTTATTATATCTTATCTTTCTATCTATCTATATTAATTCAGTTTTAGAAGAATTACATAAATACAATGAAAAAAAGAAAAAAGAATTTTAATATTTTTAATGTACGATTTTATTTAAAAATAATATCTTATATCAATATATTTTAAACAATAAATAATAACCAAATAATTAATACTTCTTATACATATCTATGTCTAATAATAATCCATTTTAAATAATCTATCCTATTAAAATAATTTATTTCTATGCAAAACGACCAATTTGTATATTTTTTTTTTTTCTATCTATTCCATTATTTAATTTTTAATATTCAGTACAGTTTTACATTTTGACTATGATACACCTGATGATGAATTTTTAATTCAAAGCCTGTCGTATAATACTAAAGGCAACACATTGAAGAAGAAGAATGCCAGATATCTTTACTTAGGAACTGTTATTTGGATAGCGAATACAGTATGATATTGGCATTGTTCCAGTAAAAAACAAGCCAGACTTGATTCTGCTAGAGCTTCATTTGAAATTTTACTGTCATCCACCAAAGATCAAATAAAAATTAATTGTAAACAAGGAATAACTGAAACCCAAGTTGGTAATGTTTTTAATGGATACAAAGTCTTTGACCAATTGAAAATCAATGATCCCAGAATACCAGAATTTTGTGCTTAAGCTGCTAAATCAATGCCATGTAATATGTTCCAGATTTGTGTAAAATGAAATTTTGGTGGAGATGTAAATATCAAGACCGATATGCAAAAAGTGCAAAGCACTACTGATTCTGAGATTTCTAATAGTCTTCTATGAACGTCAAGAAATATATGGTAACTGTTATTTGCAAAAACATACGAGATGAACGCCAAAAAGGAGATCAAGCACTATTGAATGTACTTCATCCTCATATTAAATATTTTAGGTCTTTATTAAGATTGTATAGTCATAAAAATGTTAGAAGTAGCAATAAGAAAAAACTAAATGAACCAGGAACTCAAAACCCACGACTCAAAGAGAGCGCTGATCCATACAATGTCATGATCAGCTACTTAATTAGTTGAAAAAAGCAATGTCCAAACTAGAAGAAAATTCTCTCCAAAAGAATTTTCCTCATAATATATAAAAGCCAATCATATTTCAATTAAATAAATAAAAGTGAATTTAGATTGAAGATCAGTATATATATATTTTACAATGTTTTTTTTTTTTTTAATAGCTTAAACTATTTTTTTCCCAGAAATGCTTGGATTTCATTTTTTACCAAATGAAATGATCGTTTTCCACATATTAGATTTATATATTTAAAAAAATAAATAGATATTGTTTAACACCAAAAAGCTAAATTTGTAATAGAAAACCATGTGCAACATTAGAATATACAATTATAGTGATTTATAAATAGAAAAGTCAAATATTGTATTTTTCTTATAGTTAATAATAACATATTAAACATATTTCATTTCTTAAAATATTAAGTTTGATTTACTTGGCCGATCCCAAATAGTTGGTATGAAGAAGAAAATGAAGACCACATATTTAAAAATTTACTTTTACAGCAATATATTTTGGTGAAATAAAATGTATTGTCCAGAATTTCTTTATGGGTATTTTTATTCTGACCTCAAAATCGGCTACCTTAACTGGCGACAAATGATATAACATTATCAACAATAAGAGGTGCTAAATAATAATTTATTTATCCTTTAGCACCCTATGATTGAATTTACATTGTGAATTTTTGCTTATTTATTTGTTACTTATCACCTAAATAGAAATGTTTTTTAAACTTATTATCAAATTTTATTTATTTTGTAAACAATATTTAGCATTTTTTATGTATAGATAAAGCTTAAATATTTGATAATATTTTTGTCTATGGGCAACCCTAAAAATTGAGCAATGAAAAAGATCAAATTCTTTTAATCTCAGTATTAGCAAATACATTTTTCTATTATAACTTATATTTTGAATTATTAATACATATATATTATAGTATCTACCTATTAAACAATTATTATTTTATTTTATACCTTTTTCTGGTGAACGATAAATGGCGATCCTATTTAGTATTTACTATAAGATCTTTTGCTGTTTCTATTAAATAATGGAATATAATATGGAATAATACCATGGCTAAAATATAATATTTGGCCATGCATCAAACATTATTGTATTGTATGTACATTATACAGTATGTTGTATTTGTATAATGTGTAGTAACTAGTGAGAATAATATCGTTAACACTTTTGGCCACAACAAATAGCATTACTGCAGACCTATAAATGTTAAAGTCTTCTTCATGAAAGAGTACTGAAGTACTGAAATAAGCCTACTAGGGATACCATATAAAAAAAAAAAAACGCCTAGTACTCAACCTCCATAAGTGGTGTAAAATGGAGTACAAAAAAAAATTAAAGATTGTTTCCATCAAAAATAAATTGAAACTCCTCGACTAATAGTTGATTGTAAGCTCAAGTTTTTTTTAAATCATTATTAAATATTCTAGTTATTTAACACACTTACAGTAACTTAAAAGATGAGTAATGAAGTATGAAAAATGTGGCATGTTCTTTACTTGAAAACATTTTTGAAATTATCAACAATTCACCCCTTAGATTTTGTAGTCTTTTTTTTCTCAGAAAACATCTAAACAGTAACTAAAAATGTTTCATTATAATGTTTAAGGTGTTGACAATAAATAAGGATTAACATTTTATTTTTATTTTTTTTTAAATACTTTTTTATTACATGATTTTATTCTTCGGTTCCCCAGTTTGAAGCACTGCCAATTTCTTCATAATGTTTTTTTATGATTTTATTCAACTTATCATAAATATATCGACAACCTCGCACAGCTTCAGATAATACCGGCTCTACATGGTTTATATGCATTCGTTGGGATGTTTCTAACATGGCAATCTAAAAAACCAACATTAAAAAAAAAAAACAACAGCAAATGTTATAGACATAATATAGTTTACCTTTCCAGAAATTGGCAATATTGCTACAGTTAAACTAGGTCCTCCCATTGTCTCTTCAAGATTACTACTGTCCACAAGTGGTGTTTCACCATTTGCCAAACTTGATGTACATGAAATCACAAATTCTTCCATAGCAATTCCAGCATCTATCAAGGCTAATGTTGCCGCATTAACACATACACTGTAATTGCCACCGTCAGATTGTAAAACCTGAAATTAAAACTTCAAGTTAGCACTATGTAGCCAACAATTAAGATTAAAAATTTATATTTATTTAGTATGTGACATATATACATTGTTATGCTATTTTCGTTAATTTGAATTAATTTAAATCTACTTTATCTGATTAAATGTCTTCATTAAAAGTCTAGATTTAATTAACCTTTCGAGCAGGCACACACCACATATTCTCAAACATTCATTAATATGATCATGTATTTTAATACATTTTAATTGTATAAATTGTATTTGTTTTTTTTTTTTTTTTGTTTTTTTTTATAAACAACAAGTTATTATTATTATATAAAAAGGGATGACATCTGTTTCTACACGGAAAGAAAGTAAAAACATCAGTTGACAAGGTTTCATTAATATTTTCTATGATGTTTTGCTTATTAGGATGTTAATTTATTATTATAAATAATAATTAAGACCGTTCAAAGATCTTAAGTTAACATCGTTTTTCATTGATGTTGATATAATTTCAACGTACATAATATTTTATTGATACAAAATAATATAGTATAATTTATATGCAAATATCATTCAGAATCCATACAATGAGGGTCTGTCTAATATACTAAAACTAGTATCTAAAAATTACCTGTACAAAAATATCAATCTGAGATTTGGGATAAAGATCTGTTTTTATTGCAGTCGTCATAGCTTGTTTAAGATGTAAAGTAAGCTCGGCTGACTTGTTGTCTCTCGGTCGCCGTTTCCGTTCACTTCTACTGAATGTTGCCATACTGTACTGACAGTTGATTACTGCATTTTCGTTACTAGCTTTAGATCGATTTGTACGAATCTAAATATAAAATTATATTCAAAATACTATGAAAAAGCAGCATGGTATATAATATATTAATAGTAAACGGATACCTTTCTGAAAGGAAAGACTGCGTTTGTTTCAACAATGAGCAAATGCAATATAAACACAAAACTATACTCTCGGTCAGTTAATTAATTTTAGTTTTATTATTTTAAAAGCCAATCACCAAAAATAAAACATACTTCGTGTGGTCCGTAAACAGCCGCAACTACTTTAGTGTTGCCCTGTTCCAAATAAGCGCTACCATCCGGCTGGTTAAACACTCCCATCTTGCATCTGATTCTACGTAACTCGTCGGACCTCCGGCCATCCGTCCTCAGTCCCTGTCTGCTCAACAGATCCATTCCAGAATACAAATGCGAAATGAATAATAATTGACAGGATAATATACGTACAGTACCAGTAAAAGTAAACCAAAAAACGGCTATGATAAAGTACACAACACAAACACTGATTTAAGATATACTGTTCAGACGTCAGTACGACGAGTAGTGATTATTACTCTTATCATAACCGGCAAACTGAAACGCCTAATCAACACAATCAGCTACTAATTCAGAACCTTGTTTCATATACTATAAAAAAAAAAATATAGTATATGATCTAAGTTCAAAACTAATTTTTAGCGCTCCCAGTATGCACTTTGTGAACTAGATATTATCATAATTATTTTACCGGGTTTTTTAACATAATTTAAACCACAGACTAAGATATACAGCACTGCACACAGACATTTTAGCCGTGTCTATGAGTTGTGTACGGAAAATATTTTGATTTTATCAACCCTAATGCTATCAACTAAACAATAATATGTCAGTATCGTGATTCATGAACACTGTAAATATATCATGCACGGTCTAGACTCTAGAAGTCGGTTTGTTTTTTTACAAATTCGTTGGCTCAGTTTAGTATTTTTACCATTAATATTTGAATTAACTTTCAACCATTTATTTCGTTGATCAATATTTTTAGGATCTAAAAATAAAAAAATCTTTAAGATTTTCAAGAATGCCAGCCATATCGCTACGTATCGTTTTTTTGTAGTAATACCGGATACGATAAAAAAACCGGTATGTATCGAAACGTATAGCAATTTAAATGTTCAATGAGACGTTCCAATTATGGTCACATAATTACTTGTTTTTATTAATATAACTGATAACTCTTAACTGATTACATAATATATTACCTACGTAATTTTGAAATTATTAAATATAATTATTAATAATAATATTAATTCATTAATATTTTTATTTTTATTTTCTTGTTTTATGTATTACAACAATTTTAAAGTTCATAATGAATTGATTTCTTTTGAATTGTTGCTACATAAAAAAACAATTTAACCATATTTATAACAGCAATAAAAGGAAAGAAATGGTTAGTATAGAATATTTCAACTCAGTCAGTGTCTGTGTACAGGGCATTATAATACTAATACTATGTCTTGGTTAAAAATAATACTTGAATGTTCAATATTTCAGAGATATTATCTAATTTAATTGATTAAAGATCTAAAGTGACCAAACTAAGTTTCTTTACTCGGCAGCAATGCTTAGATGATGATGAAGTTCTACATACAGCAACCTCATTTACTGGAAAAGTATTCTGATAAGAAATGTAATATAAATAGACAATACCACAAAAATAAAAGGAGTAATGTTGTGCATAACAAGAGCACTCAATAGTAGTTTATTTTAACATTAGATGGTGGAAGTGTACCTCTTAAAGTTATATCAATGATTATAATAATTTTTAATATATATAATATCGAAGCTCCCGAAGAAGAGTGTCGTAACTCATTTTTTACAAATGCTCAGGAGAGACAATATAAACATTCAAAAGAATTTTCTAAATCTGTATTTCAAAAATTGTAAATTTAAAAAACATTTTTTTAATCTATTTGGTCTTGTCTTAAAATCCACTTATTAAATTTTAATGTAACTATTTATTTTCACCATAAGAAACAGGATAAAAAAAAAATTGCACGAGTTACAATTATTTTTCCAGGAAAATTTAGTACAAATTAAAACGTAAGTCAACTTTACTGATAAAAATTTAATATTTTAAAAAAAAAAAAATAATACTTTGGTATAATATTAATGAATATTATAATATGATGAATTATCTATAAAGCAGCAAAGTAAACAAACAAAAACTCCAAAACATCATAATTTTAGCCACTATATACAATACCTTTTTGCAATGTCTTTGGGTTTAATTGAGATACTGTTGTTTTCATAGTTAATACAGAAAAATACGCGCAACAGATGGTACTACTATCTCATAGACCTATTAACAAATTTTTATTACAACATATTTATTAATAGGTCTATGGTTTATGACACTTCTTCGAAACTGTCGATATGAGGGGTCTATTTTCGAAGTGTATAATCTCCATGTTCACTCAAGTTTCAAAAAACCAACAAAACGAATAACTTATCAATTAACTTTTTTTCACATCCCTGTTTTTTTTAAACCTATTCATATATGTATGCAAATGATTTACCATTTTTTTTTTTTATTAAAAGGACAAGATTTTATTTGGAAATTGTACAATATGAAGTTAACAATTAGAAATTACTCGCTTTAAAAATAACTTTAAAACCATTAGATGTCTTTGTCCTCTTTTTATTTAGTTAAAAGGTTTACAAAAAAAAGGAGCAATTATCTCAAAAATAGAGAGTTATTCGAATTCAGCGCTAAAAATTGCATATAAAACGACATTTATTTCATTTTTCATGAAAATTGGAAATTATACACTTTGAAACTAAATACTTAGTATATGTAATGTATACATATTCTGAAATATGCAGGGAAGATAATACACAAAAATATTCATGAACTTTGCTTGATTATATAAAAAGAAGAAAAGGTTCCGGAGGATTAAAACAAAGCTATTATTATTTTACTATATAAGAAAGAAGACAAATATATGTACTAACTACAGACTAATTAATTGCGTACAGTGTATAAGGTATTTAAATTTATAAGTACAATATATTTTTTCCATTTTTATTATTTATATTTTATTTATGGCGGGGAGATAAATTTTACACGATACATTGGCGGGACGATAACAAACAAGTACCAAAACTTGTATCCTCTTAATTTTACCATAAACCAGCATTTTAAATAAGGGTGTTGAAGAGACCAATCGTTAAAAATTATCGTATCGATTTCGTGTGGATATCACTTTTTTATATCCATTTGAACCATTTTTTAAAAAATGTTTCTCTTTACTTTGTTGTAAAACGAGATCGACTCCTTGGCACCCGTAAACGGACAAATCACCCCCATATGGACAATAATGTTTTATTTTTCTCAGAACTCGTAAGAAGTGTAAAAACTTTCTTTTATTACACTTTATTTGCTCTACATAAATGTTTAACAATTAAAGAAAAAAATTTTTCAAAGTTTCATTAGCGACCGGATGAATGGTATAGTAATGCATAAAGAACAAATTGACATACATTTGTTTTATATAAATAAATAAATGAATCGAGTTTATTTACTTTGAGTTAGATATTTACTCCACAAGGTGTTTTGACTGATTTGAGTTGTAATAACTGAAACAATAAATACATTTTAAATATAACTCAAAAACTAAGAGCAGATATAAAGGCAATAAAAAAGTGATAGTAATGTAGAGAGGTAGGAGAGTTCTAAAAGAGAAAAAGTGTTATTCAGATAATAATTATTATGTTATTACCTTTCTCCTGATATTTGGAGGGACTTGGAGTCATGAGTCCAAGAATGGTGGCGAAATCAATAAATTAGAAATACAAATTGTTTTACTTGCACACGGTGTTGAAAAGCTATGGATATATATTATATATATATATATATATACCTGTAGATATCCTCACGTGATCCTGGAGTCGTTGAACAACAGTTACAATTCAATTAAAATATTTTAACATTTTGAATTTGCTTATACTCAGGTAACAAATATGTTTATATACATCTAACAAAAAAACCTTGATTTATGTCCTCCATATGATAAAATAAGAGGTGAAAATGAAATGTTATCTAGCCAATGTTGAGGTAAATGAATACAGTGCAAGTATACCTTTACAAGATTTAGCTAATCACACTATTAAACGATTATTAAAAAGTATTAATTATTTTGATACTAAGAATGTTAAAGATTTTATATGTCTTCACTTACACTTTAATATGATACTTGTAATTAAGATTTATATTTTGTTTAGTCATTTACATGTATGTAGCAAATAAACATTTCTAAACATTATTTATACTGTTAAGAAATATTTTACATGTACTTTTGTTTTTATTTTTAATTCTTATAATATTACCAAATACAATTTTTAAGATTAAATCTCGTTATTAAAATAAAATACTTTTTTGATTAAACTATTTTAGTGATTAATCAAGTTTTTATCCACTTATTCAATGAGAAAGAAGTTTTTGACCATGATTATCACCCCCTTTTTCTTGTTCAAATATTAATAATTTATTAATATTATATTATTTATTAATAAGTTGGATCACTGATATTGTATAATAGTTATTTTATATGCAACACTAATGTAATTTCTATCAAAGTTAACAATCATAACTCTTTTTGTCAGACAATTATCGATGTTGTTATCCACTCATATAATTGTATAAGGTTTGATGCATTGCATTACAATTAGTTTTACACAGAACTATGTGGTATTTTGTGGGTTTTCACCAGTCATATATAATATTATGCTTATTTATAGACATATTTATTTTTTATTCTTGGATAATCTATGGATACAAAAAATACACGTGCAATACTAACTTCACCAGTAAATTTAGGATATTATAATATACTAAAAAGAAAATTCAAAGACGTGCATTTGTAAAAAATCATAATATACAAGATTTTTCAACTTCACTAATATAATATATTGTTAGCAACAATACATAGCACATGCCTAATGTACAATGAGATTGTAAAATAACTTGCTTTCAATATTGAAAATATCTTTGTATGAAATCTCTTAGTGTAAATAGGTATTATTATTATTTATTAACCATGATGAATAATCTCATTTTCTCATAAATATAGATGTGATTTTTTTTTTTAACAGATTTTGATGATAAATATGTTGAAACTGAACTCATTACCATTTAAAGATGAAATATATGTGCATGATACACAGTAAAACTGCATTTAATTGTTTTGAATATTTTTGAATTTTTGAAAAACTGTATATTATCTACTTCTTCGTGTCAGTAAGCTGTGTCGAATTCCTAACTATACATCATTAACAAGTTACATAAAAGTTTTGTAGAACATGGTAAAAATAATTAAAACAAAAGAAAAATAATATTTATTAAATTTATATTTAATATTTTTATTAAAAAGGTTTAAATTTCCTACTCTGTTTTAATAATTCAATTTTTGATTTATCACTGTCAAACTTGTTGCGTAATTCCATTAGTTCTGAAAATCAAATATTATTTAAAATAAATATATTTTTTTTTGGATAATATAGAAACTAATATACTTACTGTTGATTTTAGTTTCTTTTATTTGGAATCTATAAAAGTTTTTAAGTGTTTTCTTAATTTTTTTCTTGGCAACTTTGTTCAGTATATTATTCTTAGTCGTTTCTTTCCGCGAAAATCCTGGATTTCTTCCTCTGTAATAATTTGTATATAATCAAATAAATAAATTAAGTGATCTAAAATTAATTAATTGGAAAATCAAATGAATAAATACCAATTATATTTTACACAAGATAAAAAGTATGAATCATAAATAACTAAGTTACTATACAAAACCATTTTGAACATGAAATTTTAATAAATGGCCAGTATTTAATACTAATTTAATTTAAATAATTTATTACAAATTTTCAAGAAATACAAGTCTCTTTTAGTGTTTTCAGTTCAAAAAACTTTTCAATCAGTGCTAACAATAGTGCAATGTTTTTCCCCATCGTGAGTGCAATAATCATCTACATTAATAAATATAGTCTATAATATAAATATTTTATATTAATAGGTATGGGGTAATTTGATTTAAATTGATTAACATTTAATTACAAATAATAACTAATTTTATTATGACAGTTAACATTAAAATCATATTATGAAAATTTGATTTCAAAGTACTAGTTAACTATCAGTGATACCTAGTGTAATGGCAGTGGAATTTTAATTAATTGCACTATTATTTTAAAATTTAAAACATTGTTAGATTCAGATATTTTAAAAAAACATTATTAATGTCTTATGTTGCCAAAATGGAAAATGATATATTCAACAACAAATGTGTCTCAACTCAATGAAAATTTACTTTTTGGTAATTGTTTTCCATCCATCTTCATCTTCATCAATTAACTCTTTTTCTACTTTTACTCTTTCTGATGTCATCTTGTCATATTGTGCCATATATACATCAATTTCAGATTGTACTGCTTTTGAGTCGATAATATTGCCATTGTAATTTTTACACCATCCTAACAAAAATAATTTTATTAGGTAATTATCAAAAAAATAAGAAAATAAATTTTAATTTTATATAGATAGATTATATATATATGAATACATACGGGTAATAATATTTGTGACTGGTGCAGATTGTGTAGACAGTATGAGCGGTTCACTTTCTGTACATTTCAATGACAATGCGTTTTCTAGACCCGATGTATGAGCAAATACAATATAAGCCACTTTATAACCCTAAATTATAACATTATTCAAATTATATATCATTTATGCAAATATCAATTGTTTTCATACTTTAATAGATTCAGGAACAAAATATTTTGATGGAAATACTTCTGGTTCGACAGGAGTGGGTTCTTTATGGAAAAACACAGACTTAATTTTTCCACAGTGATTAAATGCATGTTTCAGTGTTTTCTATAGTGACACAATTTAAATTGAAAGGATAATGATAGTACAAAATTTAAAATTTAAAGTTATTATTAAATATATGCATTAAAAAATAAAAAATAAATGATACATGGTATTTAATTCCTACTAAACTGTAACATCAAAACAATTTATTTAAGTTTTAAAAATGATCTAAACAAAAGTTACTGTGTATATCAGACTCTGATCGGAGATGTAAATACAGCGTATTAGATATAGATTTAACTAAGTAATATAACAAAAACAAATTGATGCTTAAAGTACACAATTTTCGTTAATGTTTTATAATGCCAAACATAAGTTAGAATTGGAATTGTATACATCAATAATAAGTAGTGACTCAGTAATTAATTAGAATAAATAAATAAAATATATTGGAAAAATTATTTTTTATAGATATTTAATATTACTTCTTCGCAAAATTCAGGAACACCAATCACAAAAAGAGTTTGATATTCAGGCTTTTGAGGGCATTTCTCTCTGGTTGTATTCATTTTTAAAAATAAATGACGAACAACTGTGGACTTTTCATTTACTTTCACCGGAAGAACTGTAAACACAAAAAAAATCATACAATGAGTGTTAATTGCATCATATTTATAAGTGGTATCAAACAAAACTTCTAGCGTACCCTTAAAGCCCACACAGTCTTCCATAATGAAACTTTTAGAGAACGGTCAACAATCAACAGTCAACAAATATCTCAGCAAGTCGGCACGGGAAATTCGGATAACCGCGAATCACATTATACTAATTACGCATGCATTTGTTATCATTGTTATCAATCGGTAGTCTTCGTACACAGTGTGGCGCAAATGTCGAGCGCGGAACGGTCGATACCATGCCTGACAGCGATAGCACTGTGATCGCATGGTCGGCGACAATTTTTCGCGCATGCAACATTTTATTAAATTGTATTATTAATCCAGCGATTCTTGTGGCGGCGATATCTGTATCCGCCGCCGCCGCGTCTATATTTAAACCTTATTTCATACGATTAAAATCTTCCTCCGATCATCGTCCGCAGTGTGCGGCATGCCGCTTCCGTCATCAAAATAATTTAGCGAGACGATGGCTCGGCACGAAAACTATAATAAATTGCTTATTTGCATACTTTCCATACATCGAAATTAATATCATTGCATTACGGTAGATAAAAATCGCCAAGCGAGAAAAAACAATAATGTTATCGTAAAAAAATACCATAAAATCATAATTGCGTACACGTGAATTTGTAGCACGACGGTGTAAATGACTAATAAAAATGATTGCCTTGTATTTTACCTACGTATGAAAATAAATACTAATCCCGGTACCTAGGATGTGTTTCCTCCCATATTTAAGGGGTCGCGTATAGGCAATTTTCTTAATATTTTTGTAAACATTTTTATAACTCAAAAATATTCAAATACATGTACAATTAATCCCAGTACCGTAGCTAGGGTGAATACTTGGAACACGTTCCCTCCTCATCATTATTTCTGGTACTAATTAATCCCGTGTCGTTATTACAAGTATTTAATGTGTAATCGTAATAATTAACAAAAATGTTTACGATAAACCGTTTCGCGCGATCAAAAACTACTCGGGTCATAATAGACTTAGGCAGTTAAGAAATCAAATTGTAACCATAAAACAAAGAAAACTCTCACTGTACAACGTTGGTTTTAGTCGTTTGATATCACAATTACGAAATAAGTTATTTGAATTTGAAAAACATAAAATTATCATATTTATAAACGACAATAACTTTTTATTTTTAATATTGATAAAATAAAACAAACGTTATACGGTGAAAGATTTCCGTTTCTATAGAGAAAATATAATTTATAAATTAAGTCTCCAGCCCAAGTAATTTGTTCCCTCGAAAAATAGTTTTTACAGACGAATTATGAGGGGTAGTACATACTGCGCGGTATTAAGAACTTGTGTACAGGTCTCATATACGATCTATACAATTTTTCACGATTTACAATTTATCATTGAATTTTTCGTCGCGAAAATGTATTATTATTACATTATTATACCGTATTACCAATTTATCGGTTTTAACACAAATTTGATATTGGTCAGTTGTCCGTTGACTATTGATAGGCACACATTATTATTACTTTTAGATTCTAAGTGAATTGAGGAATGTATTGGTTTTACAATGATATTAATTATTATTATTGTTTTATTTTTTATATTGTGTTCAAAATATCTATCAGAAATCTTGCTCCGATTTTCAAGTGTAGCACTTTTTCCGAATGGAAATTTTATCTATTTGGTATTTTTTGATTTTCCAAGTGGTGTTCATAATAATTTGGAAAAAAGGTATAATGTAACGGAAAATTTATGAAAATAATGCTTTTAGATTCTAAGGTGAACGAGGTATTTATTTATTTTGTTTATACGAGTACAAAAACTACCAGAAATATTGCTCCAAAGTATTATGTATACTAATATATTATGCACCTTTTTTGAAAGGGAATTTTTCTGGGGTGGTAATTTAAAAGATCAATTTTCAATTTTCTCAGGAGTTTTTAAAATAAATGGTAAAAACTTAGAAAAATGGGAAAATTAACGAAATATTGTCTTAATTGTTTTCAATTTTGTTTTTTTTTATTATAATTCAGTGAAAAATATTCGTAGACTTGCAATTTTTAAAGGAACCTTATAATTTGTCTATTATAGACGTGGTTAAATGTTCAAAACATTTGAGCCATTTTTAAGCTATTAGACATTTTAATTTTGCTACTTTTTTTATGTAATATTTATTTGATAGATACTTTGTGGATAAAATTATTATACCAAATAGAAATGCTTAACAATTTAACAGGCGGTTCATTATAAGTTGTATTCATTGGTCAATAAGAAAAATTAAGTTTAATGTAATAATTTTAACGAAAATCGTAAATATTAATATTAATTACGGCTTTTCAAGCCATTGTTGTGCCTATGCGAGTTGTTGTGCTCGTAAGGGTTGTTTTATTTTTTCGGTAGGGTGAGGATCCAACTTTTAGGAGAAAATACAACAAAACAGTTCTAAGGATTATGTTACTAATATAATTTTGAGTCGAACTATATAATTACAGTATAATATATTATAATAGTCGCCGAGACGATGTGCAGTTTTAAAAGTGGTAGCTCGACTGACTGTGCGGCTCTCTTACAGGTACCGTGCGGCTACAATATTCTCAGAGCCGCCTACACACTAGACGTTATCGATAGACTACAATAATATACTTTTATACTCTAATACATAGGTCTTATACTACTATACTATATACAATAGCCATGTGCTCATAACAACCCCCGAGTTAGACGGAAGATCACGACCCTATGTTTAAAGGACTTTGGATGATGATATTCCACTTTCTGGAGTTACTTCGAGTTCTATGGCTGTTGGGTCCGTCGAATTCGGTTGGTTAACATTTTTTATTTTACATTTGTATACTATAACTATGCTAAATATTATGATTAACAGTGTACAAATACAAATAATTAATTCTAAATTAATCAATATTGATTCATTATTTATGTTATTTTGGGTTTGCTTCTCCTCGTAATTTCAAAAAATAGATTCTGAAGGTGATAACTTTTTTTCATTAATGGTTTTGTGTGTGGAACGAGGTATATTTATGATTGGTACAACGTGTAAGTTCATATCCGAGTACATGGTTTTGAACGATCTCATGTGATAACCTGCAAACGAAGCGGAACATCGCTCGCTGAGAGATATAATTCCTGAACTATACATTTTTGTAATAATTTGATTATGATTTGAACAAGTAATAATTAAATTTTGTTGAATTACAGTATACAACCATGAATTTGATGACATAAATTTATGAAAAATACCATGTTCAATTGACGTGTATTTAAGCTTACAAACGTTGTTAATGGTGGATAATTTTGTATTAGTTATTAGATTGATTTCGCAATCATCTGATGTCGTCACCCTTTGGGTTACACGATTTTTACAATGTTTCGTGTCGTAGCATCTACTCAATTCATTTTGGTCTAAGTTAATATACAATTCTTGGTCAATAGTTAAAGTTAAATACTTAATTCTAGGTTTAATGAACATATAAATGTTGGTATCTACTAACACTGGGTTAGCTATAATATTATATAAACTAATTAAACTACTAGAAACTATTGGAATACTATTTATAAACATAATTATATCATTATGTCTGACAATACTTGTTTGAATAATATTAAACATGTCTGACATGCTCGATACTGTAGTATCGATACTGCATGGTAGTACACAGTATAGATACTGTAAATATTGTACTGGTATATAGAGATTAGATAGAAGATTTAATTTAATTGTTTTAATTTCTGCTAATAACTGAGCTGAGGATATTACGAATGGGTGTAGTTTTCCCTGTATAGCAAAATGTAAGATTTGATTTACTTTACCTAATTCTAAAGAATATTGGTTATAAATTGTTTCTAAATTTAATTTCTTAAAATTATTTCCATATTCCTATCGCTTAAGTTGTCCCTATCTAAAGTAAGATAGTGGCGAGTTCTCCTAATATTATTTTTAACTTCTGTTGTCGCTTCAGCTGTTTTTTTATCAAGAATTATTGCTTTATTTGTACTGGCAGGAGTGATCATCATCTTTCATCATCATCATCATCATCATTTTCTACTATATTTTGAAATTTTCTATCATTTTTTATCATATTTTTTATGCTTGAGTACCATTTAGAATTATCCTCAGCTCAGTATAACCGAATTCCGCTCAGAATCGTTAAATTCGTTAGCAATGAATAATCGTTATGTACAGATATGTATTAAATAAAATACCACTTTATATCCTACCTTCCCAACATCTCACCTACAACAGCATCACAGTGGCCCCTCACCTATCGTACGAAGTATGTCCTTATGTTTGTATTGTCGTAATTATTATTCTTATATAATATTATATTAATTTTATTGAACTCGACCACGAGTTATTTTCATAAGTTTATTAAACTTGCACATTCCATATTTAGCCTTTAGAAGCGTATCTAAATTCTAATATTTATACGGTCACTTTTTAAAACATAAAAGTGGTACTGGGTCCCGATATTGACCAACCGGCGGGCCGTGTGTCGGGAAAAAGTTTCTGTGCCACACGGTCGGGACTCGGAGCGCTCGGTGCGCGTCGAGATAACGTGTTTCCTAGTCGAGTTCCCTGAAAATCGCCGCGTTTTCAGCGAGTTTGGCGGCGCCACCGTATCGTGGGGGCACGCAGCCGCATTGTGGTCATCGAAAACGCGAACTATGCACTCATTGCACTCCATACCCCTCGCGCCATCCGAGGACAACCGTAGCGTTTCATTTGGCGTCCACGCGCTATTTAATTCGCGTTTGTTTTCCTCAACCCGTTCGGTCCCTTCCACCATCCCAGTCGCTATAGACCGGAATCATACCGTTAGTTACGTTCAACTACATTATACACTATGCTGCTATGTAGGGTCTCCAGATATACCTACGGACGTTCTGGTGGCGACAAGCGTGCGCTCTTTTACGATTTTCCGAGAAAAAAAAAAAAAATAAATAAATAAGCAGATCACGTGGCTTTTAAGTCTACACTCTCGTAGCCAAGTTGTACGTAACAGGCACATGCGCGCGCTTTCAACTCGAGATATTATCGCCAAAAGTCCGGAGCGCGCGCGAGAGATGATAAAATATACCGGGCGGATGAAGCACGGCGTGCACCAGCGGCACCGGGACGACAAGTGAGAGCGCGCGTAGAGGTTCGTAGCGGGTGTCATGTTCGCGGTTTGAACGCGTCGAAGGTGTGCGAGGTGTGTACGCGCGACGTGTGTGTGTGTACAACGTACGACCACAGAAGGCGTGTGTGCGAAGGAGAGAGAGTGAGAGAGAGATGTCGCGAGTGTGTGTGCGTTCACCGCTGCTGCCGACGCTACCGCCACCACTACAGGCCACGAGCGGTGTCGGCGGCGATAACTGCAGAAGCACAAGTAGTAGCGACCGGCGGCGGTAGTGTGTTTTTCGCGTGAACGTGTGTGTTTGTGTGTGTGCATATCGTGTATTTGCAAGTGAACATGTGTGTGTGTGAGCAGTGAGCGGTACAACGGCCGCGTGTGCGTGCGTGTTTGTATGTACGCGCGTATTATTGTGGCACTGTGTGCGTACGCTAGCGCGGCGGCGGCGGCGGCGGCGGTGGTGATATATAGATAACAGTCCCGCGCGCGCGTTTTCGGGGTCTACGCGTCCGCACACCGCCGGTCCACCGCGCGCGGGCGCGTTCCACCAACTCATACCACGCACCGCGCGCTCATCGCGATCGCGGGAGCCCGTGTGCGTACAACAACTCGTACGTGTGTGTTGTTCGCCGCTGACGCCTTCACCGCCAGCCACCACCGCCACCGTCGTCGCGTATATAGTGGTGTCGTCGTCGTCGTCGTCGTCGTCGTCGCCGCCGCCGTCGTCGTCGTCGTCGTCGTCGTCGCCGCCGTCGCCGCCGCCGCCGCCGCCGCCGCCGCCGCCGCCGCCGTCGTCGTTGTCACCGCCGCTGCCGACGTCGTCGCCCCGTCGTTATCGTTTTTGTGGTGGTGCGAACGGGTAACAACAATAACAATAAAACCGGTGTCGCATCTAAACGAGCCGTAGCCTAGTGCTGGCCTCCGCCCCGCCGCCACCGCCGCCGCAGCAGCAGCAGCCGCCCTCCCGCCGGAAAGCCACAAAAATAGGCTGGCCTAATGTTATGGGGTGTTTTGGAAGCGCCGCGGCCAAGACGGACCACGACGATGCGAAAAAGGGCAAGGAGACGAACAAAAAGATAAACCAGCAGCTGCAAAAGGACAAACAGGTGTACAGAGCCACTCACAGATTACTGTTGTTGGGTGAGTCGAGATACTTATTTTTGTCGATTTAATTTTTCCGTTTCCCCGTTGTTGTTGTCGTGCACGCCTTTAACCCGGGGCCCGCGAATGTATCGACGCCGCGCCCCCTTGTTTTTTTTATAATTTTCGATAGGTAAACCAAAAGGTTGGCAAAAACTCGTAGTAAAACTTCCAAATACGCATCATAGTTAATAATACCCGTGCATAGTGCATACGGATTGCTGCTTTACCCATCAAAACTTATTCTTCAAACGTTTTTCATTGTCGATTGTCGTCTGTCGATAATACTCTGTTGTAGTTTGATAACACGGTTCTTTATCTATAGCCTCTTCGATTGTCTATGTCAATCCTCGTTCTTCATATTTTCCGAGTTTTCTTATGTTTCTGCCTTATACTGTACACACGGTAGACGATATTTTAATATTGTGACGTTATCATAATATGATTTTTACACTGATATATCTGGTAAATTCACAAAACTATATTTTGTATATGTTTTCATACCAATGCAAGTTGAATTTATTTACTGTATAGAAGGACACTTATCAAGCGTTTTCAAGTTAAACTAGTTCCTATGTTTGTAAAATCATTCTGCTTAATATACCTTTTATGTTTTACGATAATATATAGAATTGTATTCATACATAATAATGTTATGATCAATTAATATTGTACTGAGGCACCTACCTGTATTTGGATAAAGTTTTGAATGATTTTTATAAAACCGCTGAAAATTTTGTCTATAAATTTAATGATCTACCTAATCTTTGAACCATCAAGGATAATATGGTCAATATTTTATCAAATTTACATCATAATTACCTACTACTAAGTATTACTAGGTATACATGTCCATTTATACTTATATTTATTAATATTTGATTTGCAATCCTGTGCAATTAGTGTCCTTGAAAATAAAAGATGCAATTATAAATAGTCATCTTAACTTGTCATATTTGCATGTATCAATTGTCCATAGACCTATTTTTTATTGTTTCCTCTATTTTTGTATTAATTATTAATTATATTGTTAGGTTCCCGATTACAATATTTACACGTGACAGTATAACTATGTTAGTAACCCAAACATGATAGTGTTTAATATAATCGATTAAAAATATAAATTTGAATACATGCCAAATGTTGTGTCTTGGTTAGTTTTAAATTTATATTTTTCTCACAACATCTACCAGAAAATAGTACAATTCTATGCACATTTATAAAAAAATGTTCTAAGCATTACATTACATTTATTTTGATGTCTGCATTTTTTTTTTCTTACATCAAATATTACTTGCAGCATACATATTCTCAAAATATGGGCACTGAGCGTTTATAACAAATTATAATTATATCAATATTTATTCTATTTATTCAAACAAGTATGCATCTAGTTTTTTTTTTTGTCTTTTGAAAAATATAGATACCTATCTAGTTGATATGCTCGAAAATAGAGTTTAGGTATGGTGAACAATAACATTAGTTTTAACGAATTAAAGAAAGATAGTAATGCTCAGAATAGTTAAACAGATTGTTTAAATAAAGAGAGTTTCTTTCAAAGTTTTAACACTGATTCCTAATTGACGGAAGTATTATTGTCGTTTAGACAATAATGAGAATATGTTGTTTTTAAAATATTCTATTATTTCAGTAGTGTCACCTACCTTAATAGTTGAAAAATGGTAAATCACAAAATAAGATAGTTAAATGAAACAATAGTACCCAAGCTTTTTTTTACCGTCAATATGTGTCCTTGGTTTACTGTAAAGATCAATTTTTATATTCACAGAAATAAAAATGTTATAGGAATAGATAAATTATAATAATTATTCATTTTATAGGAGCTGGAGAATCTGGTAAAAGCACAATTGTTAAACAAATGCGAATATTGCATGTAAATGGATTTAGTGAAGAGTATGTATATAATTGATACATAATACTATTGATAAGTTCTATAATTTTAAATAAATACAAATTAATTTTATAGAGAAAAAAGACAAAAAATTGAAGATATTAAGAAAAACATTAGGGATGCCATATTGGTGAGCTTTTTTTGTCATTTAATAGCAAAGTAATTGAACATTTATTATATATATAATAAATATATATATATATATGTGTGTTCTTGTGTAGACAATTACAGGTGCCATGAGCACGCTCACCCCACCAGTACAATTAGAACATCCTGAAAATCAATTTAGGGTTGATTATATGCAAGATGTTGCCTCTCAACATAACTTTGAATATACTACTGTAAGTAATATTATAACTAATATTTTTTTTTTTTTTATTGTCATAACTTGTTTATTCTAAGGAGTTTTATGAACACACTGAATTACTGTGGAAAGATAGAGGTGTGCAGTCTTGTTTTGAAAGATCCAATGAATACCAACTCATTGACTGTGCAAAATAGTAAGTATTCTGCAACTTATTTTTTTTCAAAATGTTAAATATATATGTTTTATATAAATAAGTAATTGAAGAAATCCATTTGAATTGAACTTGAATGTTCATCACTTGATTTTTTTTACTGCAAACAGTGTTAGATTTTTTATTTTTTAGCTACAAGATAAAGTTTTTAAATTTATAATATTTTCTGTTTGGTAAATTTTTTGTTCAAATGTTTGTGAGTAAATTTGACTAACTAAATTAGGTATTTGTTTTATTACTTTCTCAATATATTATAGTTGTTATTTGTCAGTTTTGAACTTATATTTATGATAGTTATATGATTATAGGTATTGTTTTGTCTATATAAATTATGTGATACATTTTATTATTATTATTTTTTTTTTTTTAATTCTGACTTATTATTAAATAATTTATTACAATTGATAATTAAAAAATTAAAAAATTATTGTTTTTAAAAAAAAAATATATGTATTAATTATAATTAATTATATATATATATATGGTGTATATTTATCAATTGTTAATAAATTTGTGTTATAAATCAAATATTTTAAAAAAATAATTTTAATTCTTAATAATATTAAATAATACTTATATATTTTGGAATAAAATTAATTTCCATTTACACCATATTTGGTAATTTTATAACTTCATTTATTACTTTTTATTTTAGTTTCCTCGATCAAGTGCATATTATCAAGCAACCAAATTATACGCCTTCAGAACAAGTAATTCATTTTATCTTCACTTTATCAATATTAATACAAATACTATACCTATTAATAATTTAAATTCGTTATCATATTTATGTATACATAAAATATATTGTATATCTACAACCATTTATAACTTTGTAAATGATATTACTTAAGTATGTGACCTACTGGATAATTTTTAATTTTATATGTAAACTACTAGTTTTAACTATCAGATTAATGTAGGATGAATCAATATCTAATTAATTGGTATACTCATCTTATAATGAATCATTCTAAAACCAATGTTAATACTAAAATTGATTCAAATGTAAAGATATTTAAATGCACATGATTGATTAAAAAATGGTCATCTTTTATGCAGAGATGTTTACATCATTGACATTTAATTAGAATGTTACTAGTAAGAGATATACCGTGTGTTCCTAAATTCACATTTGATAGCATCAGCATTGTCCTTTTTTCTATCAAAAATGTCTAATGACATTTTCACTACACCAGAGAAATATTATTTCACCAGAGGTTATTATTATACCACGTTAAAAAAGGGATTTGAGTGGTTTGGTGGATTTTTTTATTTGATAATATCTGTGATAATTTCAACACAAACATTTAAAACGATGGTCTTTTATTATTTTATGGTGTACTCACTGATGATATTACAAAACAATTAGGAACATACGAGTTTTAATTTCTAGTAAAAAAATGTTTATAAATTTTATAATTTAAATTTAGCAATTTAAGGATCTTGTTTTTCCGTTTAAATTATTATTCCAAATATGTTTTTTAATTATATTTTCTTTGTATTATTCAGTCAGTAATACACATTCTCAGTATTTTACATAATATTTGTCAACATGTGTTATTATCAAATTCATATTTTGTATACATATATTTTACGAATTTTATTGTTAAATAAATTATATAACAAGTATCAACCATAATACCGCCAGTATATCTTTCCAGTTTTTCAAAAAAATAATAATAATAATAAAATGTTTTGATAAGCTATCATAAGGTTATTTACCTTGACTTTAAAATTTATCTTAATTTTTCAAATATATATTCTTACATATACAACTTTGTCTTATATACAGTAGAAACCTCTTAATATGAACGTTTTGAGACCGAGGTGAAACATATCAATTATCTGTGTTCCTAATAAGCGGCTTCTACTGTATAAATATATTACGATTTGCACAGTGCCTAAATATTCTATTTAGAATAAGAGCACACCTGGTGGCAGATAAAAACATGTCTGAGTTTGTGCATGTACAATATACAGTGGTAATTATTGGGTTGACGATGTGAGTTCAGGCGACCAGGTTAGCTTGTGTATGTACAAACCGGTGTACTCTTGAATAGAGTTAAGGCGTATTAAGCAATTTGTACTACTCTTTCCTATGACTAATTTGTACAATGACATTGTAAAGTCTAGCAGGGCAACCATATTGTGCCTTATTGATATAGTCCAGGAACATAGTCTATATATTATATGATTTAATTTAACAGATACACATGATATAATATACAATGATTTTATTATCTTTAAAGAAAAATAAATATTTTAAATTATAATAATATAGTTTGTGCAATTTCAAATAATGGTTCTGTAAATTATAAATTTGATGTGTTAAAGTGAAGTTTAAATGATTCATGTACTTATTTTTATTTATTTATATACCTAATATATTAGAAACTGTCATTTAATACTTATTAATAGAAATAAATTGGTTTTGATTGTCAATATGTCGCATATTTAATTAAAATTAAATTAAAAGTATTACAATAATTTGTGTACATATTAAAATACTATTCAATTTTTAATCATTACATAAATATATATTTTAATATAATTATTATATTATTTTTATAGAGTATAACATTTTTTGTTTAATATGATTTCTAGGACATACTTAGATGCCGTGTTTTAACTTCCGGTATATTTGAAACACGGTTTCAAGTTGAAAAAGTTAATTTTCAGTAAGTATTAATTATTTTAAAAGTTTGATTATTAAATTAATAAAAATATCTATTTTCAGTATGTTTGATGTGGGAGGCCAAAGAGATGAAAGGCGTAAGTGGATACAGTGTTTCAATGATGTCACTGCCATCATATTTGTGACTGCTTGTAGTAGTTACAATATGGTCCTTAGGGAAGATCCCACTCAAAATCGACTCCGTGAGTCATTAGATTTGTTCAAAAGCATTTGGAACAACAGGTTTGTGTATTTGATATTATTTATTGAATTTATATTTCATCTGCCTATTTATATAAGATGGTTGAGAACGATATCAGTGATATTGTTTCTGAATAAACAAGACTTGCTAGCCGAGAAAATCAAGGCTGGTAAATCTCGGCTAGAAGACTATTTTGCCGAATTTACCCGTTACCAAACACCTATGGATGCTACTCCAGATCCAGGAGAAGATCCTCCAGTTATTCGCGCCAAATACTTTATCCGAGATGAGTTCCTTGTATGTTGTATTATTAACAATATTGATTATTTACATCGTCTGCATATTTTACTTAATTTACAGCGCATTAGTACTGCCAGTGGCGAAGGTAAACATTACTGTTATCCACATTTCACCTGCGCCGTTGACACTGAGAATATTAGACGTGTATTCAACGACTGTCGGGACATTATTCAAAGGATGCACCTGCGCCAGTACGAGTTGCTATGATCTCTCCCTTACCCACTAACATATACATACACAGGTCTCTTAATTATTCTGCAACAATTTTGAGTAAGTAATTCAGTTATAAGATACCACTCACTTGGATTCTAAAACATCATATTATTAAATATAACTATCTATCATTATTATTTAATTTTTTATTAATGTATTATTTATATTTGAATAATTGGATACCAAACTTTTTTTTTTACTAGATACCAATTTTTATTAATATAATGATTTTTTTTTTATATTTAATTACTATTATAAAGATAATTAATATATATATATATATATATTAAAATGATAACAATTTTAAAACAAATAATTATAATTGCTCTATGTAATATTTAAGTCAATAATTTATTATAGTTTATAACAAATTAAGGATGGGCAAATTTCAATTCTCAAAATTATGATTTGTAGTATGTAGGTAATGAATTATTTTTTCAGTCAATAAATTATTTATTAAGCATTTAACATTATTCCATGAAAATTTAAGTTTTAATAACTTATTTAATTTAACAACTTGTGTTAAGTCTTTTAAATAGTCTTTACAATTTTATTGTTAACATATTAATCAATATTATTTTGTTTAATTTATAATTTTTCATAGATAAGTGGTACAGAATTTTATATGTAATGTTATAATTGGTATACATCATTCTTAAAAATAACTATATACCAACCTATCGAAATTCGTTACAAAATAGATGAATAAATTCTATAAAATATTTGATTCCCAGTGCCACACATTTATCTTTTAAAAGAAAATAAATTAATTTTTCAATAAATGCATTACAGTTATGTAACAGAAACAAACAAATTATCAAAAATAAACTAATTATGTAATTTTTCACCATATATCCATTATTCCTTCTTAAGGTAGGGTCTGTAATACATGACATGTAGTTGCAACACTTGCAACTGATGTTCATTGTCAGTTAACATAACCATGTTTTGGACAATATGGTCTTGCAAGGCGCGACATGTAGTAGAAACAACATTTTTTCAATCAGCTACCACAATCAGTAATATATTATCAATTCAATTTTGTGTGTGAGTGTGCAAGTGAATTTAACTTAAAATTTTAAGTCCATTGTGCAGATATATAATATTTTAACATTCCTACTTCATATGTAAAAGATTAGGGTATTTTGCTATCTAATTTGACGCCTGAGGAAAAAGACATTATATTTAAAAATCATGACAGGGTTTTTAAAAAATAATATAATGTATAATTATTTTTTCACCTCTTATATTAAAATATCATCAGATAGAAAATAAACGGTATGATACCGCTTTTCAAAGCAGAGTCATTGAACTAAAAATTTACTTACACATCTGTTTATATAGATTTTATTAAAATAGATATTGGTCACAAGTCGCAATGACCAGTTACCCCAACATGTCGCATCTAGCATAAGACTATCAAATCTATCTTTATTTCAAATTTCTGTTTTATATTATTTTACTTCAATTTATAATGTATATTTTGGCAGCATATTTTATAAAAAAAAAAATTGTTAATCATTTTTTTTTTTTTTTTTTTTTTTTTTTTTTTTTTTTTTTTTTCAAAAATTAAAAGCCGTTAAAAGATTTATTTAATTTAATATAAAATAAATAAATACAAATTTTACTGTAAAATGAAAACAAAAATTAAAAATAAACCATCCTTAGTTTTATTACTCTTAAAATTGATAAACTGGTTAAAATGTTGAATAGTGTCAATTAGTTTATGTAATTTTATTTTAAACCTAGTCAATAATTTCAGATTGCGCTCAGTTATAGTACTCTGATTTAATAATGTTTCATGTTTAAAATTGTACAATTTATAATACTACCATTGAACATAATCAAAATGAGATGTTGTTATTGTTATTAATAGTATTTTAATTATATGATATTAAACTAAATCAATTTGTATTATATTTATACATACATATATATGCATAAAACTAAAAACCTATTTAATGACACATTTACTTTTTCAAGTACTTTATGATATATAATTAACAAAAGTATTTTAATATGTGCATTATTTTTAAAAACTATTGATTGGGTTGGTTTGTTTAGATGTTTTTTTTTTTTTATTATTTTGAATGTTGGGTTTTATATTTAATCTATCAGTGTCTCTGAATAAAATGGCATGTGTTTACAACTAACTAATAATGTTGTCATTTCTATATATCATATTTTTATTTATTTTTTATTTTAATTAAATTTTGAATATAAGCAATTCAATAGCACGCCAATTTATTAAACATATTTTACATTAATATGTTTTATCTGCCATACAAATTAAAAGATGGAATTCAAGAAGAGGGTATATATACTTTTAGGAAATTAATAAATGTATTTTGTCTTAATTCGATTTTCAGAATCACAGATTATCAAAACCAAAAATCATTTCAACAAACCTAAACTTTTCAGTAGTATGTAATTAAGATTGATTCCTTGTGGTGAGCATTCTTTACAAGCAGCCAAATACGGTTTTAACAAAAAGGAATACATATCTAGATTTTAGGACCTTCGGAGACGTGTAGGTACCTATGTTTGCCTAGTCACAACTTTAGATAATTTATTAGCAGATGTAGTTTAAAAAAAGAAAATAAGAAAAGAATGATTAAATTTAAACCTATTATAGTATACAATTTTTAATTTAATATCTGTTTTATTATGTTGTTTAATGTCTGGTACAATGAATTATATAAATATATTCGCCAGTGATTTATTTATTATTATTATTTATTTATTTTTGCTTTTAAAATTGGTGATACATTTTTCTAACACATAGTATGTAAAATTACATTGTCAATGGTTATATTATTGTTAATTATTATTTACCAGGTATAACAATGTCCTAGCCTAATGATTATATTATTTTTATTAAAATGAATATCTAGTTCAAGTCTATTTCTACAGTAATAATTATGTCCACATTCAATGATGTAAATAATTGTATTAATGTATTTTTAAACTAAATAATATTTGCAACGTTCCATTACGAAAAAAATATCGCACAACCAAAATTATATATATATATATACATATACATAATATATATATATATATATATATATATATATATATATATATATATATGTATAATTTTTAATATTACCATTATGAATGTTATGCCTGTAAATCCAATGGTAAAATTTCCAAATCTTATGTAATTATGTGTATAGACAAATATAACTAATTATATTATGTTTGTAATTTACTAGTTTCATGAAAATGATGTATTGTTTGTTTCTTGTTATAAGTCTTATATTAAGTTAATGTAATTTTTTTTATTGCCCTGGGATCTTATTATGCATTTTTTTTAAAAGAACAAAAAAAAAATGTCAACTTATTTGAAACACATTTTTGAGTTAGGAAAATAAGGTTCCTGGGCTTAAAATCAATAATAATTGTGTACCATTATTTTGTTAATATTTTAATTATTTTACATTTTTTTTTTTGTTTGGTGCTGCTTACTTATACTTCCTTCCCTTCCCCTTCCACCACTATTATAATTATTATACAAAAATTAAAACAAAAATCATGTACAATTTATAAATCAAGGTTTTGAATTTTTATTTATTTAATTTTTGTTATACCAGTATTGGTCTTCAGGGGATCATAAATAAAACTGATTATTGAAGAATTTTATTTGTTATTATTTTAATTTTTTTTTTGCATATAGATTTAGTGTGAAGGTCTGCCAATATTTAACATCATCATGCGAGAGAGTCAGTTGAAACAATTATTGTAAAATTAGTCATTCTTTTTACTAAGATATATTATATATATTTACACATATATGATATATTATGTACATAATATACTATGCATAATAAGTAATATATAACCTAACAAAAGAAAAAAAATGTAATACATTATAATTAAATATTACTACTTTGTTGAGTTTTTTATACATAAAAAATATGTTTATTATACGTAAAATTATGTATTGCTTTTTGTTTATACCTATTTTCTTTATTATTTGTAACCTAGTTAAATTGTTTTTTTCTTTTTTTTTTTTATTAATATGTTTATTTTATTGTTTCAATTATTCGTTGTTTAAATTAACTTTAGAAGAAAACCCGTTATAAAATAGCAGATTCTGAAATTTAGGAAAATTTTGTTAACTATTTATTTATTTATTTTTTTCATTCTATGATTAATTTTATTGTTGAAATAATATTGTACTTTTTAAATGCGTATGAGTAAAAACTTTGTACAAACAAACAAAAATTAGTGCAATAAATATTATTACAATGTATACACATATATATTTATAATATATATATCCTCAAAAAATAATGTCTTCAGTCTTACCACCATATTGGAAAACTATCAATCATAATAGAGAATGCCAAACCAGTATTAGAAAGTCTTTAATAAACTAGTAATTTTTTTAATTACTTAAAGAATCTTTTTGTTTTTTTGAAATAGCAACACATCCACTACCTGAAAATACCGTTAAGTACTACATCAGGTGGTGTGTCACCATCATTTATTAAGTCTAGCACATTTTTTTCAAGTTACATTGTCAAATGTGTAAATCCCCTACGATAATCCTTTTTATTAATATTTGGTATAACAGTATGTAGTAGAAATTGGTTAACCGACGACTCACCTACTCTGGTCCGCTCTCTTCACCCATTGGAACTGAGCTACTCCTAGGCGTTGCCTCTCACGCTCAGCTTTCTGTTTAGTGGCCGTTATGTTTCTCGAGAAATAAATCATCGCACGCCAGTTATCCAGCATTTCAATGGGACTAGTCCACGCGGTTTGAAGGGACGCGGTCTATCCTGTGTAAGAACTTACAACAATGACACAATCGTCAGCTTTATCAGCTCTATATTTTTATCGAATTTTTTCAAAAAAATATTGATTATTGCAATGTATAGTGTGCTTTTTTACCCCCTACTACTTTAGGACACTTTTAGCAACTTTCCGAACCAGTTGAGTTCAAACTTAAGAATTAGAGTTGTTTTTTTAGTGGATTTAGGTAATCTAATTGTGATTGAATTTCAATGTAATGAAATGAAATTTTGTATATACAAAGTGTACCTATGTAGTATATACAGTGAAACCTCTATGTGGACAGACAGCTATGGAGAATTAAAAAATGGTCCACTATAGGGAATTGGTTATACATACACATTAAAATTTTATATTATTTATTACTTACTATTTATTATTTACACTACTGTAATATATTATTATAATATGATTGATATTAAGTTTAATTTGAATTTATTATTTATTATATATAATGTAAATGTATTAAAAAGTGGATAAAAATGTTAAATGTTTATGTACAATTAAAAATATCTGTAATCTCTTTTTGTGTAAATATTTTTAGCACACTACTGATGAAACGTCAGTCGTTTCTGCCAAATTTATTTCTACCTATATTATTGAGATGGAGTTTAAGAACCCCAATCTAAATACAGTGTTATCGATCATCGATGTTTGTCGAGCAGTGGCGGTGCGTAATTAATAATTTACGGGAAGACTTAACTTTTGTGTACCTATTGATAATTTATATTATACGTTTTTACTTAAAATATTATAATTTGAGATCCATTTAAAGTTACCCAGGGACCACAACGAGGAGGTGGATTTCATACCCCCCCCCCCCAAAAAAAAAAAAAAAAATTGATCGAGTTCAAAAATTTGAATTAAGTTTATTATAGTTAAATTCAGTTTACAATATATATTATTTTCAATAATTGTTTTGTTACATACCTTTTAGATATCTTTTACATACCTTTTAGATTCTGAATGTAGTGAAGTGTTCCGAGTGTACAAAAATTCTACCAGAAATCTTGCTCCGATGTGTAAGCGGGACATCATTACTGAAAGAAAATATTGTCCATATGGTACTTTTAGGTCATTTCATGATTTTTCAAGCGGTTTTCATAATATCTAGGAAAATACAGGATAAACAATAAGAAAACGGGAAATTTACGAAAATAATGCTTTTATTATTATTTAAATTTTGCTATTTGTTGTATATCAGTTAAAAATATTCGTAGAAACTTTAAATTTGAACAGAAAACTCATCGTTGTCTTTCCTAAACGTTGTAAATTTTTCAAACAATTTTTAATAGACTATTTTTGAATTATTTATAGATCATTTTAATTTTGCGAGTTTTTTTACGTAAATATACGGTAGTCACTGTGTGGTAAAATTGTTAAACTTAACAGAAATGCTTGAAAATTGAACAAGAAGTTCATTAAGACCACAGGCTTGTAGTCAAAAAATAATTGAGTTTAATGTAGTATTTTTATTATAAAGGAATTTTAATATCAAATTTTGATGAAAATCGTTTGCGCTATTTGAAACAAATCTAATTTTTCAATTTTTTTTTTTTAAAAACATTTAGGTATATTGCTGATTTAATATATATATATTATATATAATATATATATTAGATATATATTATTGTCTCTTTTAAAGAATGTTTTGTCGTGATTTAATGGTTATATATGTCTATTATCATCCTAGGGCTCCGAATTTAAACCCGGATTTCAAACAAAAGTTTTTGCATTTTTTTCCCTTTTACCATGATATGACATAAATATTGTTGACAAAGCATCACTATCAACTGAACTGCGCTCAGAATAGTTTTTCGTTAGTAATGGTTTATCGTTGCTTACAGCTATATACCTATAACAGTAACTGCACCTATCTTCATTATCCACGTATTTTTTTAAAAATGTCATTCTTGAAATTGTTTTATTTTTATATTCATCTATTGACACACATACTATTTACACATTATATAGATTAAATTGATTTGAATGTATGTGTAATAGGTAGGAATTTAAAATCAAATATATTTCTAATCTCTATATCAATATCAAATGGTCTATCCCAAATCTCGTATTTAAACTAAAGGGGTTCTAAAAACCATTTTTATAATATAAATAGAAATAAATTTGGTGGAAACGATGACCACCCAACTAATCACCGAACACATATCCGAACCATTGGTCATTTATCAAATAAGAAAACCAAATAAAATAAAATAAAATAAATTAACAAAATGGATAAAAGATAAATATAGTATTTTTATTACTTAAACATTTTCTATATGTACATGTATTGTTTCTATTTATTAGAGGTATGTAGTTTTTAGTTTTGGTGCCAGTTTTTAATGTCCACATCCACTATTAAGAGTGTTCACTATTAAGAGGTTATAACTGGCTATTATGTACATTAATTTTTGCCGGGGAATTTAAAAGTGTTCAATATTGGGAAGGATTGAGAGGTGTCCATTAATAGAGGTTTCACTGTATAATAATTTAATATTTTTAACATCGTAGCATAATATTGCAGCAGTGTGCTTTTGTTGTACCAAAAAACGTTTCGGTACGATATTTTATCGTCCGGTACCCCATAATGAATACCTGGTCAATATGCAAGCTACGGCGGAATAATATACCACACAAATAAAATACTGTTCACCGGACCACGTACCGCTGCAGTGTGTGGGAACAGTGGCGTAGCTAGATGGAATAGGACCTCGGGGCAATTAAAAAACTAGACCCTCTATATACTGATATAATCTTTAAGAAAATTCGAAATATACTCACACATAACAACTTTTAAGTGTACATACTTACTATGAAACAATAAATGAAAATAATAAACAGATCATTAATAAACAAAGTAAAAGGAAACCCAATTTGCTGTACAGTTTGTTATATTATACAAATTATAACTATTAGTACAGTGAATTTATTGCAAATTATTGTGTGTATTATTATTATATTTAAATATACTGATTGTGATTGGAATTACCACGTAAGAAACATTCATTATTAATAATAGATCAAAATTAATAATTATTTTAAAGAAGTAATTTCAGAATTATCTGAGGCCCCCGGATTTCTGGGGTTCCGGAGCACTGCCCCGCTTTTCCCTATGATAGCTGTGCCACTGTGCGGAAACCTTTAATCTACCTATAGTTAGTAAATAAGAAATTCACACAATACTATACAAAAATGTGTACGGTATATAATATTTATTTTAAAATATAATTCTTTGATATTTAAAACAGTAAATTCTTTAAACAGTAAAATACCTATCTAAACCTAATTTAAATTGTGTACGAAAAAAATAAAATAACGGCACATTGCCATGGGAAGCGGAACGATTACCTCACTCCGGGTTATCAAGTACTCAGTTTCCTAACTATATACGATCCTTAAATCGAATTGTTTTATATTCAAGGGTAACGTAGAAGTTATTAGTATTATTACTAGGCAGGCGCGACATTAAACTACATATAAGGCTATAAATAATAATATTTTTCAGAACTCTGTTTTAAAGTTCAGAGTGTTAAGGTGGAATATCCGATTGAGTTATTAACGAATTTCATTATAAATTATAATCACGGCCTCTGCATATAGTTGTGCTATCACAGTATCACATTAAGCGGTCACATTGACTGACTGACGTCTAGTCGTGTTACAAGGATATTGCCCCCCCCCCCCTAGAAAACGAACCAAATCCGTTACTGTTTCTAGGATTTGTTTTCTTTTTTGGACATTTTTTTGTTTAGGAATATACTCTGATTTTATCTAGGAGTACCTCGAAAAATGCAGACATTTTATCCAGTAGTACTTTATTAAAACCACTTATTGTCATTTTCCTAAACCTATCATCCCTATCTTAGGGTAATATTTAAGATTTTTGTAGAAATTTGAGTTAAAAACTTATAAAAAAAAGAAAAATACTACATTATACTCAATTTTTTATTTTAAGTTCACCAAGTACGATTTATAATGATTAAAGGACTTCTTGTCAAACATTTCTATTTAGTCACAGTTTTATCCACAAAATACGTACCAAATAAAAATAAAAATAACGTAAATAACACACAAAATTATAATGTCTATAAATAGCTCAAAAATGGCTTAAATGTTTTGAAAATTTTAGCACCTCTAGAAAAATGAAATATATTAAGTTTTTAATCAAAATTTCAAACCTAAAAGAATTTTTAACTAAATTACAACGAAAAAAAAAACAAAATTTAAAATAACAAAATAATTATTTTCGTAAATGTCCATACTTTTTTGTGGGGAGTAAAGTAAAAACTATAATATCTTAAATCGCGGTGTAAATAATATTAAACAAATAACATATTGTTGTACCTAGGATAACATTTTATATTGATATATTTATAATTAGTACCTATTACAGTAATACGTAATAACTAAAATAATAATATAATTGGCGGACGTATGCCAATATACCTAAGGAATAAATTGTTTATTAAGTAGATAATTTGTTCATTTCCTGTAGGTGAGTGTGTAGGTGGTTAGGTGACTCGCCAATCGCCAAACATGTTATAACTATAGGCTTCGGCGCCACAGATTCGCGACGAAATTTACCAAATGAATTTTGTATTTTGCATTTCGCGGTGAATATTGCTGTGTATAGCCTTATCTCAGATATTTTCCAAAATTTTACATTATCTAATTTACTATGAAAAATATAAATAATACCAGTCTTATCTAAAATTACTATCAAAGTTAAAATAAGATATGAATTTTAGCGCTCATACATGGGTTATAACGACGGTTATAGATAGAATTGTTGCACTTGTACAACAAGTCACCAAAAACCGGCCCCGAAAATTCTTATCAAAAATATGAAAATCTCCCTGCCTTGTTGCGCCATCCTGTTAAAATTACCACAGCAAATTTGGACAATATTACCCCACAAATATCTATACTATAGAATATAGATTATAGAGTGTAGATAGATATTATAGTAATATAGTATAGATATCTGTGTACTACCAATAGATATACAAATATATTTATATGTCTATGATACTTCCACAGATTATATAGTCGGTGATATTACTATATTACGAACATGGTAGATTACAGAGGTAATAGGTAAACGCACGACTATCAAATTCGTATCCTGAGAACTGAGAAGTATGTATTAAGCTTTGATCATATACGTATACTCTGACAATTTTGATCGAAAATAACCCACGATTTGTTGTGCAATAACATGTCGGGTAAGTAATAAAAAAAAGTGTAAACATTATAAGTGGAATCAGAAACCCAACGTGATCACTCTTGAAGTTTATTTTCGATTAAAATTGTCTGAGTGAGCACAGCGAAACATGGCGCGTTTGAACGTTTGTAATTCTATAACTAAGCCAGATAGACTTATTTTGACTTAAGTAAAAAAACTTTGTTAACAAAATATCAATAACTATAAATAATAATAAAACAAATTTCTATATTAGACCACATTTTGGATTAATTCCAAAAATGTTGTTTTCCAAGGTTTATTTACAAAAACTATAAACGTACGTATGATAGGTAAGTTTTGATTATGCCAATGGATTGAATAATAAAAAACACACATTTTGGAAATGTTAAATTTAAACTAAGAAATACGCGAAACGGAAAACCTGAACTTAATGAAGTTTTTTCCCATAACTTTCAAACGAAGTTCGTGCGACCTTTTTTTTACATTCATAACGTACACAAAAAACACACAATTTGAAAAAATCTAAAAAAATCGCGAGGGAGCTAAACTAGAATAATGCCGAACTAACCTGTACCATTGTCTATTGTTATTTATTGATTTTATAAAAAAAATTGACATATTGACATTATTTTAATAATGTCAACATTTTACCTAGCACAACGTCGAATTTATAATATTTTAATAAATATCTGCATTTGTGTACAATTTTATTTTTGTTGAGACTTTTTGTTCATTTATTGTATGAAATCTGTAATGTCATAAAAAAAAATAGTAGGTATGAAAATTAGAGTCAAACGACTACAGCATGATTTACCGATAAGTTCGCGAATCAAACACATCCACTGGGACAATTCCATAGATAAAATATTATCTATAGACAATTGTTTGTGTTATGAACAAGAACTAAAGAAAAGAAAAATACGTAACGAATGTCTTATCGATGAAAACGAAATGTTTCTCCTATGGTCGGTACAAGGCAATCAACATCATCTATGAATAAATAATTATGGCAATAATTCTAAATGTTTTTCACATAGAATGAATAAGACATTTACACAAAAGACAATTTATACAGAACATAAGTGAAATTTCACTTAGCCTATGGTTTTTGTTTTAACCACAGACTAACACAAGAAGATACAAAGTAAATTTTAAATTTTATAATTAAGTGTTAACTAGTTTAGACAATTTTTTTTCTTTGCGTTAGCTTTATTTTGATTTATTATTTATTTTGAAACAAGAAAATACTAGCTGATGCATTCATATAATAATTTAATAAGTTATAATATATGTAAGAACTTCAGTCTTGTGATTTTTACATGGAAAATGTAAAACATTACTATTAGTATTAAAGAAATCGTCATTTGTCAGTAAAAAAGCATCAGGATTATCATAATATTTAGAGAATGATTTTTCCACAGAAGATAGAAAATATCAATGCACCTCTTGATTTCAAATTAATCAAAGTAGCTTCTGCTCTATTGCAATAATAGACAATATTTCTTTTCAGAAATAGTGCTACACGTACATATCGGGGTAAGATTTCTGGTAGAAATTGTTATCACAGTATGAAAATAAAATAAAAAATATAAACATCTTTGTATAACCAATACATTCTTCGCTACACGGAGAATCTAAAAATTATGTCAAATAATATACCTATTGATTATATTTATTATATCTACTTCTGGATCAATAACTAAGCGAAATGTCAATGTAAATCCACTTCTTTCACGGGGGGATCGCTTCCCCTTAGGGACACACCTGGTTAATCACGGACTAAGAAAGAATTGCATGGTAACCAAATGTTACCCTTTCAAAAGTATATGGTTTCTTCTTAGTTCTGTAGTTAAAACATGCGGTCACGTGTCGTTAATCGTTTTGGGACACCTATAAAAAAAATAGTGTATAGATAGCGCTCGATACCTTGTACTTTTCAAAGGGAAACATTCAGTGATCAACACCACCACCTCACCGACCAATTCGTTATTAGTCCATTCTTTCTTATTCCGTGGTTATGAATATATTACCTAGTTTACATTCAACCGTTGCCATTCCTACTCGCGCTGTCGTATTTACTCCTCAAAATACTTCTGTGACAGCGTCGACGGCAGTGAGTGTTTACATTGCCCTGCTAATTATAGCAGCGCGAGCAGCAATTGACCGGGAGTACGAGCGCGATTGTGTGTTTACATTCTACTCGATCAGTCACATTATGTGGTAATTGAATTCGAACAGAATTTAAACACGTACTTGCGCTCGCATTGCCGATTACGTTGCTGCTCGCGCTGTTCAGTTCACCGCTCTTGACGGGAGCGTCGGGCAGCGTCAGTGCGACGAGCATAATTAGCGCGAGTGACGCGTTTACATACTCGCGCTGCCCATTTTCATGCTCACTTCCCTGTTCATTGCCACGGAAGTGGGCTGAATGTAAACTAGGTATATAATCTACAGTGGTTCGCGTATGTAGTATTATGATTCTGTTAGTTCATTAATAATTCCACCGGGAGCGCTAAAAGTCAGAGAGAAAATGTAAAACTTGATAAGAACGTTTGGGCATTGGGCCATGGACCACTGTATTATGGGGTAAGCCGTTGTGCTACTATGAATACATTATAATAATATATATAAATAACTAAAACGGTGATAAATAATTTAAATCCATTTGGCAATTATTTTTTTAAACCATAAATACAATAATCCTAACCTTAGAAACCTCTATCCAGCAGCGTTTTTTAAAAATGTGGTGACATTTTGAACGTTTTCGCGCAAATAAGCGGAACATTGCCAGTGGGAGAAGTGGTCCGATGACCGATATTATCTTCTAAAGGTCATGAATCGTGATAGTAGTTTAAATCATTAGATAATAGGTATCGTGACAAAATAAGCAGGTATGTCAGGAATATATTTGATACGCATAAAATGGCGATCGGCTTACGCCTATTAACAATTTTCTCTTAACATTATTAAGATTATCAACATTATCAACAATTAAGATGACAAAATAGTTATATTTTTATTTTGTCATTATTGTAAATATGTCCTGATAAATAATTGGCAATTGCTCCAATCGGTTATAAGGTTTATATTCATATTTACTATAAAAGAAATAGGTAAAACCCCAATTAACATATCAAAATGAAGGTGAAAAAGAAAACTAACGTCATCGGTATAGCATCTGACTTTAATCTTCGTGAACATTTTAGACTGTATGATGCAACTTGTGCTTATGATTTTTCTGCAAAAATGTAGTGAACACCAAACACTTAGAAGTAATGAATTTTATAAGTGGCAAACTGGAATACTTAGTGCTCGGATGTCTGCATAATATTTTAGGTAAATAAAATTTGTTTTATCAAATTTAATGAATAATGCAATTTCAAGAATAGTATTAACCTGTTTTACAATTTATATGATTACCATCGTTTTTAATATTGTGTCTTATAATTTGCCTAACCCGTATTTGTCTAAGTTTAGGGTTTTTTGAAAATTTATGCAGATATATGTACGGGTCTCTGACTTTATCTTTTCTCTTACTTCCAATGAAACACCTCTCATAAACGCAAACTGGCGTGATTAATAATTAAAATTATAATTGGAAGAGAAGAATTACAAATTTTAATAATTTGAATAATTAACATCGATATCTATATGTTGACAAATACAAATTATTATAATCATGGCTAAATAATCAATTTACATAGCTATGATTGTAATAATGTATTTTATATTATGATAAGCGGCTCAAGCCGGACGCCATGTTTGCGCAGTAATCACGTAGACCTCGTATGTTACTAACATACCTTTTTATATTGTTGATAGGAATTATTATCACAATATAATGTATTCCAGTCGAAAATTTATGTATTTTGTGTCCTTATTACATATCGGTAATCTGTCCAAGTGTAATGGTTATAATTTCAAGAAAACTACTCCCCGGACAATGTCTGACGAAGTGAATAAGGCCTTGGCCGCCTCACCCGGTGGCGATACGATATTTGGCAAAATCATCAGAAAAGAAATTCCATGTGATTTCATTTACGAAGACGATCGTGTAAGTATCTATAACATTACCAAAATGTTCAATTGTTGTTTATAAATCATGAACGAATAATTTATGTAAATATATAAATATTACATTTATATATATATATATAATAAATAATTAAATATATATATTTTATGTACCTAGTACAAATTGACTCATAATTACCTATTTGGGTTGAAGTATGGCTAGAATCTGAGAAAAAATATTGAAAACGTCCACTAAAAACCTTCCATCGGTCAGATCTTCGATATGCATGATCTGTACGAAAATTTTTTATTTTTTATTTTTTGTTATAATCGGTACATATTTTTACCGGAACAAGTCTAGTTTACCCGAAACCCTTTGTTTTCCAATTTTTTTTTTTAAAAAATATGTGTTCTTTAACGCTGATTTTGAAACTGATTAATTTTTTTTGCGGAAATTTATTTATTAATTAAAACAAGTTTGAGTTATATAAACGTAATAAAAGAATAACTAAAACATATTTACAGTTAATAATGAAGCTGCTAGAAATCAGGTTAGGATCCGGTCTCGTTTTATTAATGATATTATATTATCTAACTTATTAAGGACGTCAGTAGTACTTAAAATACAAGAGTTAATATTAACTTCAACAGAATTTTTATTGGTGAATGACTGATGATTATTTATGGTTGAAGTAACCTGATTATCATAGATGCTGGAAAAATAATGAGTGAAACAATCCAAAATATCCCCACCTTCAACATGTAAATCATCATACATCATAGTGGTAGGAAAGAGCAGGCACAATTTTTTATGGTTAAAGAATTTCCAAAATAATTTAGGATTAGTTTTAATTGAATTTTGAGTGTTAAAAATATACTTATAATAAAGTTTGGATTGAAATTTTGGCTTAGCATGTAATAAAGAAAATCGATTGTAATTACTTTGGGAAGTAGTTTGTTTAAACAACATGTGGGCAATTTTTTTCTTATGAATTAATTCTTTCCTCATCAAACTAAATCATATAGGGTATTTATTGTTAAAAAATGATTTTTTAATACAATGACTATCAATTACCCCAAAAATAATATCTTAAAAACCATAAACTGTGTCATTTATTTGCAAATTATGAAACATGTGATCCCAATTAATAGTAACCAATGAAGATCTAATAATATTTTCATCACAATTCAAATAATCGTGTGTAGTTTCATTAAAAAACAAAGATTGATTATTCAAATTTAATTGAAAATTAATTAGTAAAGTTAGATGATACAAATAATATATTGTAACCAATGCATATAGTTTACATTCCACTTCAACATCTAACACATATGATGAAATTAAATCTAAAGTAAAATTTGTATGATTTTTAATTGTATTAAACTGTTTAAAATTAAAATAAGAAAAATTAGATGAGCATCCAATTTGATATTACCATAACTATGAGAAACAGCCATATCACTAGTTAAAGTCCATTTAATAGCTGGTCAATTTAAATTACCTAATATAATAATTCTGGCATTATTGTAATTACATAACAAGCTATGAATAGTATCAGTATGTTCATTATAAATATTAGTATCAGAATTGGGTGGAATGTAGATAGCGCAAATTAAAAGTACTGAATAATCAAAAGATAATTTTACAAATAGTTGTTCAATAATATTATTCTGGATAGATATATGACAGCAATGATATTTGTTTTTAACTACAATTAGAACACCATCTCCTCTAGTAACATTTTTTAAAACACTGCATCTGTTACAACGGAAAATGATATAATTAGGGAGAAGACCAAGTTCCCAATTTACCCCGTGATGTAACTAAGTTTCTAATAGTAAAATAATGTCATAATTAGGTAAAGCAATATTTTGAGAAAAAATGTCCAATTTGGGTATTTAGACCATAGACATTGTGATAATATATTGATAAGTGATTTAAATTGAAGTTGGGTTTAATCAGTTTTTTGAAACAACAGGTAAATTATTAATATATTTAATAAACAGATTTTTTTCACCAGCGTTTTTCTTGCATTTAATTCCTCGATTACAGTTTTAAGGTGATTATGTTGAAGCAAAGTTCTATCCCTTAAAACAGTAATATTTTTAAAAGCATCTAGGTTTTTAAGCCTACCTTTATTTTTAAGAATTTCAAAAACCTATATTGAGTAGGCAGAGTAGTTAGAATAGGCATATTTTTATTTAATAATTTACCCAAACGTAGAACATTATAGAATCAACAATGACATCAATTTGACGAAATATATTAGAAATACTCAGTTTGTCATTGGCATTTGACTGGGTTTCAGGTAGATTAAATAGAATAACGTTGCAACTTCTAGGTTGACAGCCATTAATCTCAGCAAATATTTTTTCATGATTTAATGAAGTTTGGTTGGTATGATTAAGTTCTAATTTAGACAATTTATTTTCAAGATGATCCATTTTGGTTTAATTGATTTTTTTTAGTCAGAATTTCTTAGAAATTGCTTAGAAATATTATCTAACTTACTGCTAAGATCAATGTGCCTTAAATCAATTGATCTCTTTTACTCCCGAAATTGATTATAGGATGCAATAATTTTGTTCTGAATATATTTCATTTCATTTATTGATTTGTAGATTTTGTCCAATTTATCTGTATTAATATCCTCCATATTAAAATAACCGGAAGTGTAAAAATAATTTAGAATGAAAATGTATAACTTTAAAGATGATTGAGAGGCATAAATGAATTGTGTTCATTACAACGGTCAAATATCAACTGTAATAAAACAAAACAAATCATTATTAAAGAAATTAAAGAAGTTTGAAGTTTGTCATATTAGTATTATGTGTGCACCTAGATACTTTACTATAGGTCATTCGCTCACTCAGACTATTTTAAATAAATATAACCCTAGATTTGTTTTGCAATACCACATTGGGTAGTTAACAGGGAAAAAAATCAATTGGGGTGAGGCTCGGGGAAAAATCAAAATGTTTAAATTACACACAAAGGACTCGTGTTTTTCTACAAAAAAAAAAATACCACGTCAATGTAATGTAAATAAATTAATATAAACAACTAGGTTTTTAAATGAAAATTGTTATAACGACAAACTCTCAACTTCCTTAACTAATTCAATAATGGTTTCCTCAAAAAATTCAAACAGTTCTGAAATTAGTATCGAAATATATGTATTAAAAAAAAAAAAAAAATTGGAAAACAATGGGTATCTGGTAAACTAGACATATCTTTGTACCTAATAATATATGTATAAGTATATATGAGGCGGGTAAATTATTTTATACAACATTAAGTAGGTAATTCCAAATATTTTTGCCCTACTATTATGTTATTTGGTGGAACAATTTAATGGTTCCATTGTGTGAAAATTATATGAATTGTGTAGGTATTATTGAAAATTTGATATTAATTATAAACCGATAAAACATATGTGTCATATTCATAATTGTTTTTTTCAAGAACAACCCTATTAAAATAGATCTTTTCAGGATCACTAAAATTTATAAAATTTGTAACACGTTGACTGCCACACCTATTTCAGTGTATTATCCACTTAAGCCACAATATTTTTTTAAAACTTAACTTATTTCTTTTAAGATTATTAGCCATAAATCTATCTTAAAACCATTTTAAGTGTTAATTCACCTGTAGAATGTGAGGGGTCATAATGTCCCTCAGTAGCTCAAAATATGTGAATCACATATTTCTTGCTTTTGAGGAGAATTTATTTTTTCTAAAATATGATTGTTTGAAATTTGTAGCGCTGAAGATTCAGGTTTTTTAATTAAATAAAGTATTATTTGTTCCTTGAATTCTGTAATTTAAAATTTTTTATTATTGACTGCACAAAATAGTAATAAGACATTAGTCAGACAAGTACCAAGCAAAATATTAAAAGCAACTTTGCGGTACCATTTCAAACTTCTTCTAAAAGGTATAGAATATGATGTCATTTGGTCACTTCTATGGATAAAACTCTTCCCCTGATTATATGCCCTCAATGACCATGTCAGGTTTATTAATGGTTTGATTTCTTTTGGTTATTGCTGTGGTTGTATCAACATGTTCTGTACTCAACATTAGGAGATCCCTTTTGTATTTCCATTTGAGCACAACTACATTAGTATTACTTTGTTGTACAATAATTTGACCTTTTTTAATTTTTTTGTTTGTGATATCTTTTGGATTGCCTTTTCTGTTTGCACATAAAGTACCTAAAATAGAATTCGTCCAAAATTTAAATATGGTTTCATGAGTTCTAATACAACTATAGATGATACTGGAGTTTCTGCCACCATTTCTTTACCAGCATACATTTTGTATTGGCAAGTATAATAATTACCTGCACACAATTTAAATATTTTGATCCCATACTTATGTCTTTTAATTTTCAAATATTGGGGAAATTTAATAATATTTAAATGCTAAATGGAGTATTTTGTTCTGTAGATAACAGAGAATCTGGTAGTGCGTTATTTTGACAGTTACTGAGGGGCTATTTGATCCCACAAGTCAACAAAGACAACATAATCTTGAGGGACAAATTGACCCCTCATGGCCACTTAAAAATTCTACTGAGGGACAAAAATGACCCTCATGGAAGTCAACGTGTTAAAAAAGAAGAATTACATGAAAATTGATCAGTAAAAATCAAAAATCTGATCAATGAAGGTTTGTCTAGGACAGTTTACAAACAAAAAAATTAACGTGAAGTTTTTGATATTTTAACATTTTTTTCTCAGATCCAAAAGCCATACTATTCAGCTCCTATGATTGTTTGATTTAGATATTTAACTAAATAACAATTATTAATATTCCCGTTATTTTTGTTTATTGTATTGTACGGTGTTTTTAAAGTAAATAAAATATTAATTGTTTTTATATGTATCTATAATAGTGTATTGCATTTCATGATGTCAAGGCTCAAGCTCCTGTTCATTTTTTGGTGGTTCCAAAGAAACCAATAAAAATGTTATCTACCGCTGATAGTTCAGATGAATTGGTAAATTTTGTTCTTATGATGGTCTATATTTTTATTTTTCAGCAGTAGCGTATTTATGAGGAGTTGAGGAGGGGGATACATTATTCAGCTATTAAAAACAATAAAAATATACATATAAGAAAAAATAACAAAAAGCAGAATAGACATATCCTTAACAACTCCAAGGACCAAAATCTGAATATTGAAAAAAATAATAATGGTGATAAATTGCCCCGAATGTTGATTTGCAGTCTTTTTCAATCCTTCTTAAAGGAGACCACTTACCTAACCAACATTTCCAACCTGATACTGCTGAAAGAAAGGTAGTATCCCAAATAAAATCTAAACCTCCTTATATAAACCTGACCTTCACCCACTTTCATTCACAAGCTCATGTTAGACTTGTAAATCTATAAAACAAAACACTTCTAATAAATACCGTGGTAAAGTGTATTTTTACAAACCAGAAGCGTTTTCTTAGAAAAATCATCCTAGTTCATCACTAATAGCTTTTTTGCTTCACTCAGAATCTGAAATATAGATCTTATGGTATATATGGATTGTCCTCAAATAACTTAACAAAATTATTTACCTTACAAATTATCAATTCCCTTCCAGAAAAAAATCATAACTATGCCACTGCCTTTAAGTAAATCAAATAAGCAGAAAATGTTCAATACACAACCCAAGTTAAACAATTGATTAAATGGATAAGAAAAATCCATTTAATATGAATTAAATGATTTTAATAATACCTATTTTTGATTTTCAGTTACTTGGGCATTTATTGTTAGTTGCAAGCAAAGTAGCTAAACTTCAAGGATTGGATAAAGGTTTTCGTACAGTAATTAACAATGGAAAAGATGGAGCTCAATCTGTATACCATTTACATATCCATGTTCTTGGTGGTCGTCAACTAGGCTGGCCACCTGGCTAATTAAAATATTTATCAATTATAATATTGTAAAAGTATGGCAAATATAGTAATAATATTATTATTATTTTGTAATTGAAAATATAATATTATATAAAAAATTATAAATTTATTTAACTGAATCTATTATAATTATTTTGTTAAATATTAAAAAACCAAAATGCCTATTGTTTCTTATCTGCTAGTTCAATTAAACTTGGAATAAAAAATTGATGTATTTACATTGGATTTTTATGGGTCCTAAAGTTCCTGTAGTAGTGTAATAAAATAGTTGTTAGTACTTATTATGTAAAGGATCTTTCAATAAAGACGCTTGGTGATAGCGGCTGTGTTGGAGTATTATCTGTCAAATTTATTGTGAATTGTTAAGTACTGTATAGCTAATCACTATGCATTGGACAACATAATATGCAAATTATTAAATTTTATTATCAAAATCAGTGCTCTATTCAAAAAACCAAATTCCATTAAAAAAATTGTCTTTAGCTGAATTTGGGACATTACCAACCCATACGAGGTACATCAGTACCAAATTAATCCAGTTAAAGTTACTGTTTGGTGCATATTTTAATCGGAATAATTGGTCCGTACAGTGGTAACATGAATTGGTCACCAGGATCATGTGATTTAACACCTTTAGACTTCTTCCTTTGAGGTTATCTTAAATTGTAGTTTTATACAAATAGGCCGCAAATAATTGATCAAAGTCAACATTAATGTCATCCAATAAATAAATCAAGATTTATGTGAGAAAATCATTAAAAATTAAGACTTCCCAAATAAGCGCCACTAAACAAAACTGCAGTCATTTCAATGATATAATTCATACTTAATTGACATAAAATATTCTTTCAAATAAAAAATTGAGTGGATATCTCTCACACAACTTGTTTTATTTACATTTAAAAATTGAGCATCCTTATTGAAACATCCTTTAAATAAGTTTGGTGTATCCATAGTGGTCAACGAAAAGTCAATTTTGTTTTCATTTAAATTTTTTTTTATAGATGTATTATTTTTGAATAATTTGATTAGTCATTAGGATCAGGAATATGTGGTAAATATTAAAATAATTTTAGTGTACCTTATTAATGTTACAAATTATTTTAAATAAAACACACTTACTAAAAAATTGTATGATATGAAGTAATAAAATATCAAACTAAGAATTGAATTAAATTATGTAGAAAAGAAACATTTAGTAAAACCAGTACCTACATAGAAATAATATAAGAAAGTGGCTTTACACTTAATTTGATATATTCTTCAGAATTATATTTTAAGGAAAAAATATTATTAGGAACCGGCTTCGCATGGAAATTTGTTTAATGGAAAACATAAGTAATTTCCAGAATTTATATGTAAAGATATAGTACATTTTAAGAATATGCAGTTTTTAAAAATAACATAATGTTAAATAAATTTGTCATTTATTATTTTTTTGGAGAAAAATACTTTTTGGGTACGAATTAGAAGCCTGTGCAGATCTAACCATGAATTCAGTAGTGATTTTGACTTGGCTTCTGTATTATTTATCTGACTGAATTAAACCAAATGATACATTTTTAATTTTAGATCTTAACTTGATAAAACTCCACACAAATGATACTTCAATACTTTCTCCCTACCTAAACTTAAAAGTGGAATATCTTGTTAATAGGACGATGGAAATCAAAATTAATTTTAAGTAATACTCCAGTCTATTAATGAAATTTTTAATATACCTATGTTCTCATTTTAAAAACCAAAGTTGGTGTTGCCACAGGATACTCTTTAAGTGTTGTGAAAAACCGAAAATATCGGCTTTAACTACACATAAAAATTCCAAAAATCAGAATTTGAATGCATGTAAAATTTAACAAAAAAAAAAAAAATAAGATAAGCACGATTAGTAAATCATTCTGTACACTGTGATAATTAAAATTAATCTTATACTATTATTATGTTTTGAATATATAAAATAAATATCTTCTTTATAAATACAGTAATTAAATATTGCATAAATATCTATAAACAAAATATGAATAGCCACAACATTTGAACATAAGACTATTACTATTGATTAATAATAAATATGAATGAAGATATATTCACTGTCCATAATAGATGATCATTACCCTCTAATGTATTTACACTAATGAGATTGTAATTGTCAAAAGTAGGTACTGATCATGAATGGTCTATATTATATTAGTTTTTATTGAATACAAATTATTATTTTCTCTTTTTTATCAAGTTCCTACCCAAAATATATGTTCAATTAAAAATAATTCTCTACCATTTTTGTATAACAAAATTTATACATCTTGCATTCTTTGTTCTTATATAAATACAAGAAATTAAGTTTTCATTAATTAATTTGTCAAACTATACCAGTTTCTTAAAACATATTTTCTATGTAAAATACAATTAAGAGTAAAATTATTTTCAACTTTGTTATTCTCATAAATATATTTCTATACACATAGACAGATACCATTTCCATTTCAAAATTTCACATAAAATCAGTGGAAGTTAAAATAGTGACAGTGTTGGCTCAAATTTGTTTAAACTGTTTTTACTATTAACATTTTTATTAAACACCATGTTAATGTAATTGGTCAGTCAATACTAAATTTTATAATTTTATAATAATAAAATCTACACTTTAATTATAAAAATTCAAAATATTTGGCTAAAAAAAGAAAAGAAAACAATATTATAATATAAAGTTCTTATATGTAATTTGTTTATAAAATTAAAATTAATTAAATTAAATGAATATTATAATTATAAAATAATGTATGAAGCATAATTAAATAACAATGTGATTTTATAAATAATTTCATGTAGAAATGTATCCATTTGTGAATAGCAAATTAAACTGCCATTTAAGCGATAATTTTCAATAATATTTTCTTATAGTCTCCGGAGGTATCCCCCTGAAATAAAAGGAGTAATATTTTAAAATTTGTTTTAGGAATACAATATAATTTATATAATTAAACAAATCCAACTTATGTGATAAAAAATTAATAAATAAATAACTCACAATGATCCATGACTCCAAACTTTTACCATATTTCTTCTCATAAGCTACTTTTATGTCACCGAGGTCAATTTCTGATCTGGACACGACAATTCTTATAAGTGTCCTGTCATCCGTTCCTAGACCTACCATACTTTTATGTAAACGTTCTGCGAAAAATTCGACTTTGCTCTTAATACACTTCACTAAAATTTGAACAAATGAAAATGCAGATCAAATTTTAAAATACCTATGTTAAATTTTTTAATAAAATCATAAAGGTTAATTTAATAAAACCCATAATATATAAAAATGTTTTTGATGAATATTCTTTTAACATTAAACAATAATCTATAAATAATCTAAACTGATAATTTCGTGTGAAAATACAAAAAATAATACTCACCAAGAGATAGTAAACCCATGCAAATATCGCCAGAGAATTCACTTTTGATGGATTCTTCAATATCCTTGGAAGCCAATTTTTCATATTCCACAAATACACGTCTCAAATGTTGATAACTTTTTGTAACCAAAATCTGATTAAACACTGATTCGTCTGTGCCCCATTTGATTTTTTCTCCGGCATTATACAGAGCCTCAGCATCTAAACGCACAGCATCCTCGTTAACATTAGGCGATTCATCTCGGTTTCCCTAAACATTGTAATAGTGTTACGAATTGATATTAGTGGTAATTATGATTTTTATTCACATTTAGGTAAGTACTTACCTAAATATAAGGTAGGTAATATAGGTACCTATATTTACCTAAAAAAATCATATAAATATATATGATGTACACCTGATCCCCAAGATAAACCAAATATCCATATAATTTAGATCCCTTTAACAACTAGTTCTCCTATAGTCAACTAATACTCTATTGTTTTAATCCATCAAATAGATTCTTTTTCGTGCTATTTAGATCTTAGGAATTTAGGTAGCCATTCCCGTAAAAGGTATTAGATTAATTACCTACTAGCAGGTACTATCAATGAAAAATTAATATTTGCAAATGTTTGTTACTCATATAAAAATATAGAAAATACAAATATTTTATAGATAGTAGGTACCCATCTTGGTAATTTTTATTTGTAGTCTCTTCAGCTGCTTTTTCATTGCACTACCTATATATCATTTATTATTATACCGATACCTTAATTACCTACCTATCTAAAATTGTATTTATTTGTTGATATAATATTGTAAGTGGAATTTTGATTATTGGTTAATTAATTTGAGAAATTAAAATATTATCAAAATTTACATCACAATGTCATGTTATCTTATATGTAGCTATTTAAAATTAGGTATTCAAATACCAAGTATTTAATCTCTATAGGTAGTTTATTAGATAGCTGATTTTTTATTTTATTCTTTACAAAAACTAAAGATAAATCAAAATTGCATTTTATAAAAACGACTTTCTATAATTCAACTAAATACATACTGATAGTTAAATTAGATGTTCAAATGCAATACCAATGTATCTTACCATGCTTAAAGACACACAGAGGCGTTTGAAATGACCCGAAGTATCACCTTTAATGTCATGTTCAAGATTGTGTCCGTATACTGAAACAATATTTTAATCTGTTTGTTAGTATAATGATCTTATAAATAATATCACAATAATTAGAATATAATTTATGTAATGCAAATAATATCATTTGATATAAAAAATATATCTCTTGAATACATTAATAGGTACCTATTGATTATTTTTAAACAAGTCTGAAATAATATACTGTTACTGTACAAAAATATATCGAATTGCTAAAATGTCTAACATGCCACTACAATAATATGTTGTGAGAATGAAGAATTTAAGTTGTAGGAATGGCTGCAGTTTTAAATTCTTTAGTCTTATTTTAGCTGTTCAGATTGAATATGTGTTAAATAAATTTCAATCGGATCGTTCACATAAGGAGCGTTCAGTTAATTTCCCTAGTATCATTAGGTTAATGCTAATCAATAAATTATGTTTTATAGATTTTACTATACAATATATTACATTTGCACGACTACGATAATATTGTTCTATGCCTGATAAAAACTGAAAAATTCTAAGAGCATTTGTTACATATACGAGTATCCAAGGATGTTTTCGTACATAATATTGTATTTAAAGTATTAAATATCAAATTCAAAATTTAGTTACCTACTTATATCGGCGAATTGTTGTTGAAAAGTTCAAAAATTTCATTTTCGTATTTAAAGTATTAGGAAATGTAAATTCATACTATCATAATTAATTTTCATAAATAATAAAGAAGTACTTGGAGGGTACCTGCATATTAAAGATCAACGAACATTTGATGACAAATAAATAGTGCACACTTGATACCTAATATACATTGTTATATAAGTATTTGATTTAAAATATTAAAAATAAGGTATAATCAATATAATAATATACAATCTATATAAATTAATAAAATACCTAGGTACCTATGACATTTTTTTTGTACCATTGTCACAAAATGTGTGTTTGTCAAGTATGCAGTTCCAAAAATGTATAGAGAATTCTTAAAATTTACGAAGTGGAATATTATGATAATATTTATAATTTAATTTAAAATTATATTAAATATATAACGGCTGATCAATCAACTGATTGATATTAATTCAGAAGATATTAACTTTTTTCGTTATTTTTTTGTATTGAACATTTATGAAACAAGCAGCTTTAAAATTGTCCATTTTTTTTTTTTTTTTGTTACTCTTTGTTGGTTGTAAATCCACTAAATACTTTTTGATTTTTAAATGGCAACCTATATTAAAAATTCCATAAATAATTGATGAAGTATTAGTTCAAATAAATTTTGTTGGTAAAATGTTTGATTTCCATTAATGCTTTGACGATTATTCCACTTTTTTATTTAGACGGGGGGGGGGAGTGAGAGGAGTGGTGTGGCGGCACAGTGAGTAGCGTGTTAATAATGCACCACTACTATCCCTTATCCAAAATTAATGCATATATCAATACGTCAATGGGTTGACGGAAATCAACAATTTCAACACCAACATATATACTTGCTATTTACTAAGTATGATTTGTTTGTTTTCATTTTTTAATTATTATTTTTCATGCTAATAATATTATTTTTTTATGCCATTAAATAATTGTTGACAAGTGATCTGCCAAATTAGTCTACTTAAAAATTTGAAGGCCTTATTTTAAAATTGAAACAGCGTCCCTGAGGTTTCCCATAATAGTTTATAAATATAAATAGGTATCTTATTTTTGGATAGTAATATATAATATAGCTCGTTTATTTAGGTATAATATAAACTCAAAGGTATTATTTTTTATTTTAGTTCAAATTAAAAAAAATGTGTAATGTAGTATAAAAAAAAAACTACATTCAATAGGTATATATCCCTATAGTGGTTTTAGGATGGAATCCAATATATTATCATAATGAATCTACTAATGGAGAACAATAATCTATAATACTACAATAGGTACCTATATCTAATAATAGTGACCTTAAATAGTTATAAATTTATAAGTATACATTTTCTCATTTATACATGTATTACAAAATAGTTTTTGGTAATTTCATTCCAAAATATTCAAAATTCTTAAAATTTACATAATTATTCAATGTACTTATCAAAATTAACAAAGGTTGCGAATATTGGTATAGTTTAAAATATTAAAGTATTCGTTTAATTGAATAACCTATGCCTGCTTGAAAAATGTTCGTGAGTTATTTATTTTTTAAACACATCATAATATCCTACACTTTGATGGGAAGGTCGAGAACAATATTTCAAATTTTCAATGATGAAATTAATATAATATTATTCAAAATACCAAAGTATAACAAATTGAATGTAGAAACCTAGTTTTAATTATCTGTCAACAAAATAGTTATTGATGTCTCGAAAAAAAAATATATTGTCTTTATTCTAATTCAAGGATGATACTTACTACTTGCCGATACATTAATAATAAAAAACTAATGAATAGATAGTTCTGTACCTATTTTTTAAATGTTGACATTGATAAATAATAAGTTATTATCATCTATATGCTAATATGTAAACAATTAATATTTTTAAAAAAATATTCGTGATCCATTTTATATTTTTAAAAGCCATGTCTCAAAAAACTGTGTACGGTTAAAAAAAAGTGTTATATTTAAATGGAAAATAAACGATTTTAAAATAAATAAGTAGATATTTTGAAATTAATTTATTACCTACTAAATATAAACAAAACGAAATAATAATTATAATGGTTTGACCATGGAGATTATACCTAACTAATAATCTCCATGGTCAAATTATAACTGAATAATAAGCAATGCAATAAATACATTTTGATCGTCAAAGGTTAATTGATTTTTGAACGTTATAAATTTTGTAGGAAAACGCTTTATTTATATAATAGAATTAAATAACTGATAATATGAAATTATTATTTTGTATTTAAATAAAATCAACATTATTCTGTTTTCTATATTAAATAAAATATAAAACCTTTGTAAATGTATAAACATTAAAATTTAAAAACACATATTATTTTCTAAAATTTCAATGTCGTAATAATGTAAAACAGTACATTGCTAATTATACAACATAACATGTTTACGTACGTCACGTATTTGTTATGTTTACCTACCTACACCTACTTAATTTACATTATTCAGCAAAAAATAAAATTAAACTTAGATATTAGTATCGGTATAGGTATTTACAAAACTTGTTTTAGTTAATTTCTTACCTATTTTTTTTTAAAATGAATACGAATGTCAAACACACCGTGTTATTTAGAGTTTCAAACATATTTTACATTCTCCACAGCCATTATTATTAAGAAATATTAAACTTTATAATACCTATATAATATATTATACTATTATACTATAATTAGTAATTAGTTATTTAGCTTAATTTAATAATCCAAGTTGCTTACATTTTTCATAACATTCGGCTACTGTCCGGACACCAAAGTTACTCAAAGTACACAGTATTTCAACGAGAACATCCTCGTTGGTGCCTATCCCGGAGATGGCGTCATGTAATTCTTTTGCATACAAATCCGGAAGTGGCGTCATCAATGCCAACACAGTGTCCTCGAGATGCCCACTTAATTCATTTTTTAATTCTTTTTTCAAATCCTAAACAACATTTTCATTATGGTAGGTAATATATGGATGTAAATAAACGTTTATATAGTATTTGGTATTTTATCGTATATTTAACTAGTAATTTTAATGATATAACATTCGATGTATATGGTATATACAATATAACTGTGCAATTTTTGTTGTTTTTTTTTTTATTTTACCTTTCCGAATAACGTTTTGAACGCCTCTGCAATTTCAATGCGTTGTACAATGCCCCGACTAGCAATCACGTCTATTATGGCTTTTTGATCGCATCCAAAGCCTTTCATTGCCTTTTTCAAGGCGGTTGCATCTTCTTTGGCATCAAAATTCTGTGATGAAAACACAGTAGGAGTGCACTAAAGAAATAAATCGTTCATACAGTTTTAGAGTTATTACTCCATACATTTCATTTAATAAAATATATATTATAAATAAATATAACGCTATGAAAACATAAAAGAAAAAAGTGAACTAAAATATTTAAAAAATAAACCTTAACTTTATCTAATCGTTCTGTATACAAATTAATATTCTAAAATTATGCGTATAGATTACTATAATAGATGAAAGTGTATTGATCAAAAACAATATATATTACAAGTCAATTATTATTCATCACCGCATCTGATTATTTATTTACATAAGTAGTTTTGTTCGATTTATATTTAAATACAATCTTATAATCATTTATATTATTATTGGCGGTTAGCAAGCATGTGCAACTTGTTTACTGTCAAATAAATTAAAACCATTTTTAACAGACCTCAGAAAAAGAGTTTATTTATTAGTTTTTTTTATAGATTATATATTATGTATAAGTGTATAATTTTGATAAATATGCATCAATTTAGACGATTATTTTGTTTGAAAAAGTAGGTATAAATACTTCCTTCGAAATTCATAAAAGTTGTTGACAAATTAATTTATGATTTAGTAGGTATTAACAAATTGTATGAATATTATCTATCTACTAAGTATTTATATTTTATGCTCCCGTCGTTGCTACACATACAGATTGCTAGCAAATAGTAGCAATCACTGTACAAAATAAAACACTGTATTAATTATAACCAGGGTCCGGAACTGACAGATGCGTTTTCAGGTCAATAATAACTCTACCGAGGAGGAGGGGGGCTGTGAAGTAAAAGGCACTCTTATAAGAGTGCCATAGATAAAAGAGGGTTCTAGGGGAGCTTATAAGCTCAGCCCATCAAAATCTTCCGAATTTCCACTGAAATTTGTATTTTATATAATAAGCAAATTTTCCAAATTTTCTCAAATGTTGTAAAATGAAAGAATTATTTTTATTCATTATTTCTTAATATTATGAATAACCATAACATGACCGCATCTAAATAGATAAAAATGACTTGGATTCAATATTACAGTAATTGGATACACTGCACGAAACATGACTATGCATAGATTTTAAATTCGGAGCGTAGTGGGGGATCTATTGGTTTTACTATGATAAGCGATTTTGTAATTTTTTGCTACCTGTAAACAACATTTCTTTCAGAAATCATGGTCCGATGTGTAGATTGTAATACTTTTTATGAAAGGAAATTTTCTCCAGTGGTACATTAAAATGGTTATTTTTTGATTTCCTAAGTAGTTTTTAAAATAATTCGGAAAAACAGTTAAGAAAATTATTAATAATACGCCAAATATTTACAGCGCACTGCTGTGTTACCGATTTCATTGTTTTTAACTTTTGCAAACGATAATTTCTACGAGAAATTTTTCTGCAATTGAAAATGACAAGCGATCGATTTTGTTTAATTTAATATCCACTACTGACAAAGAAAGCCATTTTTAGATATCTAAAGTAGTTTTCATAATAATTGGGATAAGCCAAAAAAGACGAAAAATACGATTTTTTCTAATTATGTGCAATGATTTCTTTATTTAAAATGTTTAAGATTATATTTTTCCACCAGAAATCTTTGATCAAATTTCAAGAAGAGGAAAAAGAAAACTTTGTCTAGTTCGTGAGTAAGAATACCTTTGTTTATATAGTTTTCCTAATAGCTACGAAAAACCGGGGAAAAAAGTAGGAAATATGGCATTTAGGTTTATTGCTGTTATTCGGTTTAAAATTATCCTAGAGACCTGTGGTTTTCACAAAATACTTACCTATACTGGCCTTTTGTAGATGTGATAACAATTTTAATACATTCTAACTATTTTTAAGCTATTTATAGGTATTTGATATTTTCGTGTTTTATGTGTATTTTTATTTGGTAGATATTTGTTATTAAAATTATATAACTTAAGATAAATGCTTGAAAATGTAACACAAAGTACATTATAAGTTGTACTCAGTGGTCTAAAATCAAATTTGAGTTACATAATTTTCTAAGTGCTTACAATAGAAAAATTGTATTTTCTTCTAAGGACACAGACTATTTTAATATAGTCTGTGGTAGGAAAATAGTCTGTGATAGAGACTTAAAGACATCTAAGGTATTAGATGTCTTATTATTATTTGTCAATTAGGCATTCATATAGATTGTAATTATATATTGTGTTTTTATTGCTATTAATTTATTTACGTAATAGATATAATTTGCCATTAAATATTTGTTATTTATAACGGTTCTAAAATTCGAAATTTTCTATGCAGTAATACATTAAAGTTATACTATCTAATTACTTCCATAAAATTATATACAATTAACAAAATAAATACATTTTTTATCATTAAAAAACATATTATCTATCATTTAAATCATAAATTATAATAATTATGTTTGTCATGTTGAAAAATCATTATACGGGTATGCCGAATATACTTACTATATATAGTGTTATTATGTAGGATACACAACATTAGTGAAGTACAAACTATAGTTTGTACCTACTTATATATAGGTAGGTTTATATGTACATTGTATAGGTACATAGCTGAATTATATTTAAAGTTATTTTTATTTAATAACGCAGGTATATCATCTTAATTGAAAAAAAAAATAGTTTATAAAATAGTATTTAAGTAGTGACAACAATATTCAAGGTTGTACTTGATGGGGAGTTTTGGATATTTAACCAATAATAATATTATACCAATAATATTGGGGGATGCCCAATATTGTTCGTATTGTATCATGTTTTGGGAAAATAATTATTTCAGCCAATTGAACAATACAAATTTTAGTTCAAAATCTCCCACCCCCCGAAATTATACAACTTTATTTAAAAAAACAGTATAGATATCAAAGTAGCCATAGCTCATAGTCTCTCGTATCTATTAATAAGTGTCTATAATAACAAGAACTGTAAACCGATTAGCTTTCGGCGAATTACAACTAAAAACATCAACGATAAACCGATGAACAAAAAATAAATTTAGGAAGGTGGTTAAAATCTCTCTATAATTTTTTGTTTAATAGACAACGTTGCATCGAAAACAAATAATTAAGCAACTCGCAACGATGTTCATATTATTTTGTAACACGCTGTTAGGCCGTTAGGGCAAATTGCATAACGGTTCTCACTCTCGACAGATTTCGACACGTGAGAAACAATTCTAAGTACCTCTAATTCATATAACAATAATACAATAATAATATGTACTCCGGTGAACCTAAATGTACTGAATTGCATCCCAGTAGGCGGTGCTCGACATTTGTGGCTGGGGAAGCAGGCAAATATTTTAATTCAGTCCATCATCAAGCCACCATCAAGGCGGTAATAATCACCCATAGTCGCCTCCCTCAAACCCAATAAGGCACTTTGTGCAAGTCCTAAATGGCCAAAGTTACCGAACAAAACTATGACTACGGATAGTTTAGATATTTTTAGGTCATACTCGTCACTCGCGTGTATGGTTTTCATGTTATAATTAGGTACTTTTGTAAGACGAATAAATATACAGGGGAAACAATTGCGTTATTATACCTATTCTGCTTCCCACGTAGTAAGTATCGTATATGAGTGTACATACCTAAATTATGCCTAAAAAATAATATTATTATTATCAAGCGTTTATTTCAAAGAATAATATAACTTGTACCTATTTAGTGCCGTCGCGCGTCGGGTTTATTAATGCGATGGAAATAAATCCTAATGTGTGTATACAGTATACTATAAATTATATATACTATACTTATATTATATACACTGTTATATTATTATAATGACGAAACCTCGGCGTTTCAAACATTTCAGATTGTAAAATCATGCACTAATAATAAAAAGGTCGGTGGTATACTCTCTCTTTCTCTCTTGACCGCTTAAAGTATGGTTCAACTAATCAACAACGCGCAATGATTTACGTATAGCAGTTGTCTGTGTATTGTGCGGGCATTGATTTAAAAATATTATATTGTAATGTATTGTATAATGCAATTTATATTATTCTAAAATCAACGCCCGGTGCAAGAAAGTTGGTCGACATCGCGATTGGAGTAAAACAGAAAAAAAAAAAAAAAAAACTAAAATTGCTTACTTTAGAGGTAACGTAAGTAGTCATTTTTGCGGCTGGCGTCCGACGGTCTCGAGAATAACTAGGCGAGAGACTTAAACACAGACTGAAACACGAACGGAAACGATAGGATCACGGACAACAATAACACGCACGACGAATACGGACGGTGGTTCTGACACTACTGAAGCCGATTTTTCGTTGCGACTACGGGTCGGCCATTTAGGAGGTGCGCTCTGCGGCCAGCGAACAGCACGAACCATCGGGCGCGCGAATGTCACGTATAGTGCCGCCGTCATTATCTTGATTATTACCTTCAATTGGCTGCGGAGTCGTAACTTTTCGCCGTAAACCAAGGACGCGCACGTTTGCCGTCACTATACTCCGTCACTATATTATGGTATGAAATCATAACATACAAAAATACATTTTTTTATTATTATTATATTCTGTGACCATACCGCGGTAACGTTATCTCAGACAAATCTGCGTGCGTCACCGTAAATATTTTTTACTGCATGTCGCTCTATCGTTACACAATTTACTATCGACTCTATTATTATTATTATTTATTTATTTTTTTTTTTTTTTTTTTTGGTGTCTCTTCGCTTGTTCTTTTCTAGACTGGTTTCAAATTATAATTATAAAAATGATCTCATACCTACTACTATTTATTTTTTTTATCGTCGCACAGCCACGCCACGCTGTCGACAATGCTGACCGTTGAGTCACACACTCGTTTGGGTCGTTTTAAAAATGACTATCGTATTTTATCGTGCATAATATGCATAATATAATAAATTCAATGAAGGTACTTATGATATTTGATCACTGCTAGAAATTAACCAATTAATCTAAATTTACAAGATATGTAAAATGTGTGTTATTTTTTTCTTCTAAGTGTAGCACTTTTTCTAAAAGTTAATCCGTATGGGGAGGTAATTTAGAAAGATAATTTTTCGATATATATATTGCAAAAATTACAAACAATGAAAATGGTAACGCCGCTTCGCGCTGTAAATATTTTCCGTTTTACCTATAATTTTCTTTCCGGTTTTTTCCAATTATTTTGAAAATCCTTTATAGAAAATCAAAATAAAAACCTTGTAAGTACACCAATTAAATAAAATTACCTTTCAGAAAAAATGCTAGCACTCTATACACTAGAGCAAAATTTTTGGTAGAAAAGTTGTTCAGTCAAAAAAAAAACACATCATGGAAAAACCAATATAGACCCATCGCTACGCTCCGAATCTAAAATTATTACACGGGACAAAATTAATTTGAACATTAAGTTTTAAATACGCAAATTTATAATTTGCGCGGTATAAATTACTACACTGATTGAATCACAACATATAATTATTTTTTTATAGTTTACTTTTGATTGTAATTTTTATGATGTTTTAATAATAATTTAGGAATTTGATAATATATTTTTATAATTTTATTTTAATGAACATATAGAACCAGGGGCGGATCTAAACTCAGGGCGACTGCTGTAAGGGGGGGGCACCTCAACGATAATAATTGTACTCGATTAATTAGAAGGGGGCACAAAGACACGGTTTTGTCCAGGATGCCGACTGCCGATATATATATAGCGCCGGCACTGTATAGAACAACAATATACAATATTTTAATGCGCAATCATATTGTATTTCCAAAATATAAAAGGTAAAACTAATGCAATCGTGTTGTATTTTCTCAAAAAGTACGCAATCGTGTTGTGTCTTTTGTAGAAAAAAAGGTTAAAAGTATGAAATCGTGTTACCCCCGTGCAGGGTATTATAAATTATAGTTTTTTAAATAGTAATGAACAAATTTGTTCACCTTGAACAAGAAAATTGTTTGATATCTCCCTTTTATGAATAGGTATACCAATAATTTTTTTTAGATTTTGACGTTTCCGATTTGAAAAACTGTTTACAGTTTATAATGTTTAAACAGTTTAAAATACAAATAATATAACTATAAATTATATAATATTTTATTTACAATTTTATTTAGGCAAAAAGTAGTGCATAAACTACCCAAAATTTTTTGCTATTTTCTTATAGAAAATTTAATTCTTTACGTTATTCACCAAAAATAAATCTATTACCAATATTGTTACAAAAAAGTAGCGCGTTATAGTATAGCAACACTACTTTGATTATTTACAATTTTGAAAATAAAAAAAAGATTTCAAGTCAAAATAATAGAATAAAAAAATATTTTAAATACTTCATTCATAGTACATTATAATGATTGTAAAATAATATTACCGAAACAAATCAGCAGGGTAAGAACACATTTTAATTTTAAACATTTAATTTAAATTTCCTTTAATAAAATATATTATTTTAATAAATACTATTATTAGGTACATTATCAACGAAAATGTAAATGTTTCATAATATTGTGATAGAAATAAAGACCTTCAGATTTCGAAGGTATTTTAACCTTTTATCACGCGTGTGGGGTAATTTATTGCCCCAAGTGTTATGGTTATCATTGCATTATTGTTATCTTTTTAATTTTGAATGCCATAATCTTATATAGCTACCTAAATAAAGTTTCAAAACGTTTTCTGAACATTCCCAGACATTTATAATTTAAGTAATAATTATTAGGAAAACTATACTTTGAAATTCATTAAGTGTATTAAAATTTATAAACGTATTAATAGTATTTTTATGAAATAATATACAAGTTACACAATTTGAATAGGTACTGCGAATTTTTACACCACACGCGTGATTTTTAGTTCAGATAACTGCATGTGTGGTAATTACTATGGGACTGAAATGATCTGGAAATAGAAATTCCAGACCTAAATGGCCAAAATCTAATACGAGTACATGTAGACTTTAGAGCTCTTTCACACAAAGCCACCAAATCAGCACCACCAAAAAAGCATTGCCACTATTTATGCTTTCAGAAGCGCTTCTGTTTTTCGATGTGGGTTATTAAATACCACAGGTAAACCTAAATTTAAAATTTAGTATAGTTCCAAAATGGAAGTCGTAAAGATAGCATGTGTAGCATATATACGAGGGCTAATCAAAAAGTATCGAGACTGATAATATTACTCGGAAACCGAGCGTTGAAGAGCAAAACGATTTGTAAACCTAGCTTCTATGACTTATACTGAGCACATCTATTCGTGTAAAATCTCTATAGACTTCTTCGTTTTGATTTGACAATATTTTTCTAAAATTTGTTTTTCACGTTTGGCGATTTCGTAATGAATCCAAAAGAAGCGGAACTTCCTGCCACTCGAGGGCACATTTTCAGTTTTTCAATTGACATTTAATGGCAAAAACCATGAAATGTTGCGTCCCTCCGAAACTGGAAAAAAATGCAGACAAATTTTCTAAAATCTCCAAATCATTCAAGTTACTCTTCTTTTGGGTTTATTACAAAATCGCCAAACTCGAAAAATATATTTTAATATCAGTGAAATCAAACCGAAGAATTTTATAAAGTAGCAATAAAAACAAATGTACTCAGAAAAGTCATAGAAGCAAGTGATACCAATCCTACTGCTCTCCGATGCTCCTTTTCCGAATGATACTACCAGTCTTGATACTTTTTGATTAGCCCTCGTATACAGTCGTATTGAACGGAAACGAAAAAAAAATATAGAAAGTTTAGGGTACTGTCTGAATACTCACTACAAGCAGAGTTCCATAACGCCGACTGATTTTCAAATTCTATAATGAACTTTACTGAGTCAAAGTAGCTATACATGTTAAAGAATATTGAAAAAGTAATCGAAAAACGTAAACACACGCTACTGGCAGTGAAAATAAAGCGTTTTTACATTACCATAATATATATTTAAATGGTAGCGCTTCTATTTTGGTCACACAAACTTCTACGAGTGGCGCGGCCGACTTGGTGGTGTGCCACCATGTGTGAAAACCCTAATTTAATTATTAAAATCTTGTGGTGGCGCTGCTCTGGTGCCTTCGTGTGAAAGGTGGTGATGCATACCTGTTGTCTTTCGAGGAAGATCCCTAGTTCGAATCTGTGTCCGAAAGAATTTTTGTTTTACTTTTTCTAATAGAAAAAATTGTCCTAAAACCCTGTTTTGGATGTTTCGATTGGTATAGCTACCTCAAACAAAAATATTTATTAAAAATGATTTTCCAAGCAAAATACATTTTTTTTTTTTTACCTTGAAACCTATAATAGCTAGTATACTTAAAGTGGTTTTGCATAGCAAACCGAGAGATATTTATGTTTTAAGCTATTCGAGCGAGCGAGTTATTCGTGTCTCCAGGCGTACCAAAATACATTTGTTTTTCTCTGTTACCTATCCAATGTGGATTGCACAAGTCGAGGATTTTTCGTTTAAAACAGTCCGAGAGAGCGTTGAATTGTATTATTTATAAATTAAATAAAGTTGATAAAAGTATTTCAAATTATTATAACTCAAAAACGTATGATTGCACCTTCATTTTTACAACGTTAAAATACCTTGGATTAAAAAAAAATTGAAAAATTCACGTGCTAAACTAGGTATGTAACAAAAATAACAGTAAGTCATTACCTAATTTATTATACATTTACGATAGTACCTACATACGAGTACAAAGATTAGGTACCCATGCGTATGACATTTGTTCTAACCTTACAACTCAACAGTTTACCAGCATCGTCCCTGGTTGATATATTTTGAAATTAAAATAAGGTTTGTTTATCTATCATCTATTCTATGGAGACAGGGTTCCCTTCCTCCGAAATTTCTTCAACATTTAGATTTTCAGAAATGTGTAAAATAATAAATTGTTGACTACAACAAGCAGTGATAAATGGTCATAATATAAATCTGGTTTTTGCCTTATTTTTAACAAAATGTTAAAATTCAAATTCAATGTTGATGAAATTTACACGTGGTGGCTACTAGTATTAAATACTGCAGGTATTAAACATTCATACTAATTACTATTTTTATTATTAAGTTTCAAAACTAAATCAAATTTTAAAAATATTTTTAATTTCTAAGGTGTGTGATAAAACTCACAATAAATCTCTTTACATATATTGAGCTTATTTGATATACTTTGGCATAATGCACTATCATTGTTCACCAAGTTCGTTATTATTTTTGGTTTTTTTTCTATACTGTGTTACGTTTGGTGTTATGGCTTCAAATGTTATTTTTTATTTTTGTTTTTTAAAAAATCAATATTAATAATTACTCCGGATGCATTTTAAATGGACGGAGACGATAAATTTTGAAAATTTGTTTCATAAGTACTTTCTTCGGGCTTATTTTGAAGAAACCCCTCTGAGGTGCTATGGAAGGTATATTTTCCATTGAATGTTTCTAAAAATGTATCAAAGGTATCGAATGCAATACGCCAACATTCGTGGATAATTTGTCTAAAAGTAATACTCTTGGTGGACATAACCCCAACTGATTAATTGATGATTATGTGAGTTTGGTTTCTCATTCCTCAATAAAATTATAACTTACACATCAATTACTTTTTTACTACCTGTTTGTAACAACTCGGAATTTCTAACGCTTTTATAAAAATAATTGTATAAGTAATGAGCGCGCGGTCACGAGTCAGCGAACGGTCCATCGACCAACCACTTTTCCGGTGCGTCGTCGAATAATAAACTAATTCAGTGGGACGTCTACCAACGAATTTCTAGTCAATGTTCACCACATGCAATTTTTAGTTACTCATTTCCATGCCTGTTTCAAATATTTCTTTTTTCCTTGCAATTTTAGTGTTATTTATTTCATTGATAAGTTACACGTTTTTTTTTGTTCATTACTTTGGTTTTCTGTCAAATATACCATCCAATTGCCACAAATTATGGTCTACGTGTCAAATTTCTGTGAAGTATCTATATACTTAACATTTAACATATTTATAATCTCCCCAGCTGGGTGGTCGCCGTCATAGTGCCCCTCTACTATGATGGTGCCACTTATCGGTCCCTACCGATAGGATGGTCGCATGTAACTCGCACCGTTGGAACAAATCTAACATATAACTTATTTTAATTATTGATTGAAGGATAACTAATTACCCTTCTTCCTATATTTTATCTACACGATTATGAAATATATAATATTATTATTTATAAGATTAAATTATACAAAGTAATATATTGTTAGAAAAAATATAATACGCGAGCAATCGCATAAAATAAAACACGCGAGTGATCCTGGGTTAAACTTATAAGTTTATCCCAAGTCTTATTTACTTTGATGACTTAACTTTTCCATTAATGACAATATATATTAAATCACTTGCCAGTAATTCAACTTTACGACGGGTTTGATCACTGTTTTTACATTTTATATCAGGGCCTCCCACTAAATATATTATAAGGTTAATTAAATCTTCAGTGCTTAAATTGTCTAATAAAATAATAAGGTAAAAATAAGATTATTAAAATGGTTAATACTTGTAAATAAATATATAAATAAAAACAAAATGAATACGTCACCAAGAGTATTATGTGACCGGTTTCGAATTAAAAATTCATTAGATATATCACAGTCAAAATGTAAAACGAGATTCGAGTTACTATATTTAAATTTTCTGGTAGATTTTTTTTTTCGTTCATTTAAAATTTTATAATTTTGATTTATTTTTTAAATCAAAAAATTAAACTTTAAACTTTATTTTACATTTACAAACTATATAGGACTAGTAAATACTTTGGATGTATTCAACATTCAAAAGTAACAAAAGTACTATTTTTCCGGTTTGGTTGTGGTATTTCCAAGTATAAAACCTGACTGTGATAATAATCAACCACAAAAGGGTAAGATAAAAACTGTTAAATAAAGGATTAAATAAATATTTACGAACAGTTAAATAATACTATATTGATATTACAGTATGTAATATTTAAAATAATCATATGTAATTATGTATTTCATTTTTCCTTAATTTACTTTACACATATTACAACGATAACAATAATAATATACACCTAATCCTAGACATAATTATCATTTAAAATAATAAAGAGATTAGAAATAAAACACAATGACATTAAGAATCAAAAAGTGAGATTATACATTCATATACGAACTATATTATACAATTATATTAACTAGAAAAAAATTTAATAGTAACGAAAAAAAATCACAGAAGAGTAAAAGCGAAAAAAAAATCATATTATAATATATATATTGAGTTCCATAATAGTATTTACTTAATCATACATATATATATATATATATATATATATAAACCATATGATGTAAGAAGACCAACATAACATTCATACAATAATAAGATCAAGTTTACAAAACATATACTTAAAAGAATGAGCACAAACCAATGCATGACTCAAAGAAATGTAAGTTATTTTTTCATTCACGTCAAAAATATAATTTAAATGAATGAATATTATTAATATTAACACATATATTATACATATCATAAAGATAAACGGATAAACGTTATCATATACCATGCACTTTAACCCATTAAAGCAGTGTTTTGCCATATTATAGCAACATGAATAGAAATATTTTTGGATATTCTATATAAAGCAGGAATTTTTTTTTTGATTATACCACCAAAAATAAATGAAAATTTGGGCTTTAATGGGTTACTTTTTTAAATGTATATATAATATACTACATATTTTTATAAAAATATTTATATATTTTATTAACAATTTTTAAACGGAAGACCGAACAACTGATAACAGATAATAAGATTACAGATTTTTATTATACATTGCAATGATACAAAAAAAAAAAAAAAAAAAAAAGGGCTAGTTCGGTTATCCGTAATCATGATAATAGAAACCGGATGTTTAATTAAATAAATTAAGCACTGAACAAATTGCATAAATTTAGTTTTGTACAAACAAATAAGGCAGGTTCATACTTGCGCTTTTTTTTAAGTTTTTGCGCCATAAATGTGATGTATTAATAAAACTAATTTAAAATCGAATTACACTTTTCGTCCTTAGACCTAATTATAATAATTCACATAAATAAAAATAAAAATTGGATAGGATGTCTGAAAAATATACAATGGTCAAAAAAATGTATAGAACATTAACCCACCAATGGTCACAATTTATTAAATAGAATAGGGAAATGGTGATACCGCACACTACAAATTGGTTTTTAAAGTTGTATACTTGATTTATTTATTAAATACATAATAATTGCTCGGCTTTTTTAAAGAACACATTCATAATATAGTACAAGCGGCTGAACAACAACTACTGCTTGCACCTTTACTTTTCTGTCTTTGATCTAAAAACACAACAATATTTATATGAAATATAATAATAATCATTACAAATAAATTATTTAAAGAAATGGGATTTGTTGGATTAAGTGAAGAGTATGCCATTTTTCAATTTAAAAAAAAGAAACTAATAGTTTTTTTCTTAGAAAAGAATTTTAATGATTTTTATAAATTTTATGATGATAAAGTAGTAGTAATTAATAAGTTATTTTGTACACACAATTTAAAATTAATAATATTTTATGTCATACGATGTACTTTAAATACTTTGAACAACTATTACATATTAAATTAGGTCTTGATTATTAAAAGCTTTTTTATTTTTTAGAAGGTTACCACTACATTATTATTAAGAATAGGAACTAGCAGCTTGATAAATAAACAATAAATTTACAAATCAAAATTAAAAAGAAATCCAGAAGTACTTTACATCAACACCATGGGTAGGCCACTATAATAGGTGAGAAGTTTGAAAGGGATATGATATAAGATAATTTTAATATAATATATACTGAATGCAATATGAAAAAAAAAATGGTTTTGCGTGGAATAGTAGTAGTGGTTTTTTCCTCGTTCCCTTGTAACCCTTGATAATCAAAATCAACAGCTTTATCAATATTTGTTGTCGATTTTTAAATTTTATTGTATCTAAAGATTGTTTCAAAGAATGTACCCATAGGTAAAAATATGTATTATTTAAAGTATGATGTAAATAATTTGGAGCAGTTTTACTACCCGAATAAAAGTTTTTCAAATAAAACAAATTACTCATAAATATACAAAGCTAAAAATAAAAATAAATATTTTATTTTTACTTTATTATTATTATTACTATTTTTAAACCTTATTTTCCATAGTTAAAATAAATATTTAGTTCAAATTAATTTAAAGGAAAAATATTTTTTATTTTGATTTTACAAAATTTGTTTTGACATTATATTTGACCTGAAGATCAAAAATGCACACTAAATATACAATTAGAGTATAGTTAATAGAATATCAATAACATGGATGATTAAGGATTAGAAGGATTTTGAGATTGACTATCAACAATATCAACTACTGAGCTTTGTTCACTAATATTGTCAGATCCCGACTGTAGATCAGATGGGAGCGTATTATACCATATCCAATGACCAGAAACTGTTCGATCATACTTCTCACCTTGTGAATTGGGTTCGGGTAATGTCTCCCTGGGCACAAGATGCATCACAGTGGTACGGGCTGGCACAAGGCCTAAAGCTCCCAATGTAACATTGCTGTGTAAAAACCGGCCCTGATATATCAGTCGAAGGATCTCAGCTTTTTCAACCGCTTCATCTGTCCAATCTATAATCATAACAAATGTGTGTAATATACATTAATATTCATAGCATATAAATAGTATAAACAATCATTTTTTAAACAATTTTAAATTTTCATCAAATCTACAAAACTTACAAACCATAATAAATGCCACAATTATATTATTTCTTACATAATTAAATAAACATTTAAAAATTATAATGCAAATTATTTGGTGGCCCTAAAATATAACTCAATTATATCCAAGTTCAATAAAAGTCCAAATCATTTTTTAGCATCTAGGTGGAATTTACCACTAATAGTTTATGGTAACTCATAATTCATAATAATTAGGGAACTCTAAATTTCAAATCTTTATTCTTATTTTTATAAACCAATGAAATAATATATTTGAAAATATTGAGAATTAAATATCAGTATGTTTTGAAGCCCTAATAAGCAGATAGGACATCTTCAATTTTAGCATCCACAACATTTTAGGTTTAGTTGCATCTATAGTTCTGTAGTACAAACTTAGGACTGTGTATAAAAGTTATTAAAAAAATATTGAATCTATAATTTTGAAAGTTCTTCTAAAACTGAAAGTAGTCCACTTAAGACTTGTGGCCCATCCAACTAATGCACATCTGACACAAATACCGATATAAATCAAGTTTCAAAAATCATTTATTAATATTTAAAGTAAATATCCAAATATTTAGGAACTTTTTCTCCAATTTTTAAATTTAGCACTTTTACTGAATTTTTTTTTTCGATTTTCACGAGGATTTTAAAATAAATGAGAAAAACCGAGAAAAAAGGGAAAATTTACGAAATGTATTATTTTTGAATCGTAAATATTTAGACCTTTCAAAACAAGTCTAATTGTTTTTCATTAGCAATAGTTAATTGTTGCATATAGAAAATACTTTAAATTTGTCCTCTTTCATCCCAACTCTCGCCTAAAACAATGGCCCACGCATCTGTGAAGTATGTTAGTATGATTTTAATAATATAGTGCTTATAAATATATAAAGACAACACATTGTCACATTTTTCTTATAATGACAATAATCTGATTATTTACCTTGTATCTATATATTAATATTAATGCACTGAAATTCTACATATTTTATGTTCTGTTTATATTTGAGTTCTTCATTGTAATAAATAAACATTATACGCCTTGTTAATGTAAAACAAAGTGAGAGAAAGTATTAAAAAACTCAGCTGCCAGTCAACTGAACTATTTACATGTTCTGTAATACAGTCTAACAGTATGATGAATTCAAAAGAAGCTTTCACTCTAACATTAATTGGCACCATTTTAAATCTTCTTAATTTGATTTGCAAAATATTATTTTGAATAAAGTATTTTTTTGAGAGAATTAGTTTAAAAGTAGGGCTGTGCATTTTATGTACTAAAAATACTTTTTTAAAAAAAAGCAATTGCAAATTAAAATGTGTGTCTTATTTCCCCATAAAAAATATATGTATAGCTAGATTGAAATAAGTTTTAAATTAATTAATAAATAATAACAAACTTAAAGCATTTATACAAAATATTATATTTAACTTTACTTGATTAAAGTTAAAAAAGAACAATGAGTATTGCCAATAATTTTTTTATAATTTATAAAAGTGCATAGTACCTAACATTCTTAAAAATTAAAAAGTATATTATTTTATGGTGTTTCCTAGTTACGTGTGGAAATTATAATATAGGTTGAGTTGTGTACATAATTTTTCATTTAAATTTTAGATTTCGCAAAAAAAACTTTTCTCCTAGAAAGACTCTTATTTTTTGATTTTACAATTTAAAATTTGTATTAGATCAAGTGATTGAATATTTAAGTAAATAAGATTTACACGTTTTTATAGTTGTCGACCAACATCGCTCTTTTTTTTGGCCCGCAATTTGGATGCAACCTTATATTATACTATATACACACAAAATAAGTTAAACTTTGATTTTAACTCATATAAATGTAAGATTGGTTAATTGTTTTTACAAAATGAAAATTCACAATTAGATATATGGGTTTAAATAAGATTTGAATGTTTTCTTTCTAAATCTACACTGTCCATTATTGGCCAATTGTATCAACTTTTACCATAGTAATATGTACTGGGCATTTCATTGAATTCTATCATACAACTAAGACACTGGGTTAGGATACAACACGTTAGTCAATATTACACAATTTTTATATTTACTTATTAATATAATTAAAACGTTTAAGCTGGTTATTAATAATAACTAGTTTACTTTAAGATGAATAAACACTAAATAAATACTAATTTACATAACTTATATTAACCTAATATTTACACTACAGTATTTAAGTTTTAAATAATGTCAAATAGCACATCAACCCTCTAGTTTTGTTTTACAATATATACTATTATTTATGATTCTTAGCAGAATGTTGAAAGTTATTGTTGATAAATTAGTTTATTAATTTTAATATTCTTTGGTCACTATTTGAAAATCAAAATTTTGTGCCTGTTTTAATATACAAAGAGAGTTACTATACATTTTGAAATTTATACAGAGGCTATAATAATTATTCATAATTTTTAAATAAAAACATATATTTTCCATGATTATTTATAAAATTATAAATAATAAATGTTCCAGAAAATATAAAATCACAAGTAAAAATTATTTCTTAGTAAAATATAAAAATATATTTTAAACACTGCAATTTCAATAAAACTTTCATATAAACGTCACTGAAGGGACCGGAAATAATGGCCACTATTTAGAGGTGTTCTATAGAGGTTTAACACTTGAAAAAAATGACTGTACACAGAGGTAACTGTTTTTTAGAGGTGACTGTTAACGGAAGTTTTACTGTATTATTAAAATTGTGTTGTAAAATTTTGTACCTATGTAGTATTGGGGCCTGGTTACACATTTAGTGTTTTTGATATGTTTTACGATGGCGTCATGACATTTATATTTCCTTCCAAAATAGAGATGTATCAACCGTGTATCAATGTGTGGGAAAACATTTTATATTATATTATGCCTACGGTCTTACCAAAATATTATTATTCGTAACTTGATTTGCGTTACTTAGCTAACCTAGCAATGTCGTAGTAAAGTCATAGATTAAATTTAAAAAATAATAATAACAAAATATATTCTTTATATGAAATATGAGATTAATTAAGTAAATATTACAAATTTGTATTATCTACGCATTACTTTAATTTTCCCAAAATCAGTTTTTGATAAAAAATTATTGTTAATTTCTTAATTCTTTTGTGCATGCATTGTTGTACTACACTTGTCATAACATAAATATTTCTCCTCCAATTTACAGAAAAAAAAAAAAATGAATTCTTCATTGTAAATATTGGTTAATGTGTGTTATGATCTATTATAACAACCTATAATGTCCATCACAAGCACTTAAAGCGACAAGAATGGACCTATCAAAGGGGAAAATGAAAGAGCATAGTTTACAGATATGGAAGGATCCAAAAGAAAGCTTACCATCGAGGATTTATCTACCATAATCATAGTGGAAGACATCGAATAGCAGTTTTTTTTTTTTTTTTTTTTTTTAAGTAAATAATCGTTTTGTCTTGAGTCATAAGCTAACCAGCATAACAAGTATTATAATGTACAGTGTAGTGCAGTGGTTTTCAACCTTTTTGATTCATGTCACCTTTATCCACGAAAAATCAACACTGTGTCACCTTAACATTAAATTATATGTAGTTTTAAACAATTTAAACTAGATTCTAGAAAAAAAAAAAATATGATTTTATTGTTAAAAAAAGATAAATACTGTACAAAGAAAAATAATATACATTTTAATAAATAGAAATATTTTAAAGATAGAAACTTTGTAATATGCCTGTTTTGTGTATACAATTTTAGAAACAGCAGTGGTATTGTTGAAGAGTGATTGGTGGGGAAGGAATATTATGTTCTGATTGTGGTGGCGATTGCATTGATAGAAATAACACAATTTGGTTTGAAAAAATAAAAACTTCTTATTTTTCATTTTTTAATGGAGGATTTCATGTCACCTATACACTGGATTCAGTCCATATTACCCAGGTTTACCCCCCAACCACTGGTGCAGCGTGTATGTATACTGTATTGTGTTGACATTCTACATACAATCAATCAAATGAATATTATTAATTTTATTCTAATAATAATAATTATTGTTGAACACATTTTAAAATTACGATGTGTACTTTTACTGTTTTATAATGTAATAATTAAGGTGTTTTAAAACACAATAATTAAAAGTAAATAAGCTAGTCTCACATACTTCACGCCATGGGTGGAAAGCTGGGAAAGTCAATACATTTAAATTAATCTAGTTTAAATAGTTATTGAAATAATAAACCATTGTAGGAAAAAACCTAAGTTTTTTTAATTTTGAACAATAGAAAATAGAAGTACAGTGGAACCTCGATAAGTCGAAATAAATGCTGTTCTCTTGTGAAAACCTCAATTACGTGATAGAAAACTATAGATAACTCACATTCTGTGTGCTGAATATAGAAGGATAATTTTTATACGCAATTGTTTACTATATAATAATTAAACACAATAATAGGTATGCACATACATTTTAAAAACTCTTAAAGTCAATATTTTTTCCTAAAAACCTTGATAACTTGAAAAAAATTGCATTTTCCTTGAATTTTTAAAAATTTCAAAAATTAAAAAAAGATTTTTCTTTCATTACCTTAAAAATAGATATTGTAATTCATAAGCTATATTATACATATTTACATACATATATTATTACATTTACATCTACAATAATGTTTAAATAAAACACTGCTAATGAAAAGCGATTCTGTGTTGGGTTGAACATTTGTTGACATATTTAAATTTAAAATTGTAAATACTTATTTATAATTGTATTATAAATTAAGATAGACTCTTTTTTCACTACATAACATATTTTATAACGAACCTTGTTTTAAATTGTTGAGCATATATTTTATTTGTGGAGCCTAAAAATTAATTTTATATGCAATTTAAGTTCAAATTTTGATAAAAATCTTAAAAGTTACAGCATTTTAAAATACGATAAACCAACCTTTGCTTAGAATTGTTTTTTGTTAGCAATTATTTATTTAAAGATTTCTACAGATATAAATTTAACTACCCTATATATTCTATGCCATATCAACTTCTCACCTACACGTCAGAATAGTAACAATAGTCAATAGTATCTTTTTTAACAACTATTAGAAATCTTCCTCCAATCATCAAAATATCAGGGATAGTTTCTGATAGCAAATTTAGATTAGTTGCAATGTATTGAAGATGTTATACATTGATTACTCTTATAATAAATTTTTATATAATTGGGTAAAAAACATTAGAAAAACGGGAAAATTTATGCAATATCGGTTTTTGATATTAAGGGTAAAATATTCAAATGTATAAGAGTTTGCATGTCACATACAATACCTTTAAAAATTTTTTTTATAAGTTTTAACTATTATATAATTAGAAGTTATCCTTACCTTCCGGCCAATTATCAAAAATTGCTTGAGCTATATCACCCGCTGAATCATTTGGACTAAATATGAATTCTTTAGTTTTACCACTGACAAGAATCAATCGGAGATTTATCTGCAACATAAATATAACAAAATATATGAATTTATTTAATGCGCATGTTCATGTTAAAAATTAATTTCCAACAGATAAACCTCTGTTTTTAATAAATCTTCGGATTCTAGACCATTTACTGCTGCCACAAGAACAACAAATTTATTACTAGCACAACATTTATCACTCTTTGGTGTGTAACTAAATAACATTATTAGTTTTAAAATGTTAACAAAAACTAAAAACACTATTTTAAAGTTACACACAATCTACTCTGACTACTGACTAACAGAATTAAATAATTTTAAACTATGATAGTTTCCTATACTACTCATTATCTAGAATTTATACCTTTGTTTTTGAACAAGGGCAATATGTATGGACATCACATAAGTATAACCTAAAACGTGTGCTAAGTTATGAGTAGCTAGTATAAACAATAGACATGATTTAATATCTGAATTAGTATTATATTAAATATATATTTAGTTATATATTTATATACAATATTATAAATTTAAATATCTAAATACCTAGTGCATTAGATTCTGAGAAAAACGAGGAATGTGATCTAGGGAAGTTATTTTTTTTGTTAGTCCCAGTTTGTTTTTATAATAAATGTAAAAAACTGAGAAAAAAGGGAAAATTTACGAAATGTATTATTTTTAATTCGTAAATATTACGGCCTTTCAAAACATGTACAACCAAACTCCGCTCAGAATCGTTTTTCGTTATCAATGATTCAAATTTCTCAATTACAACAGTAGCCCACCTAACGTACGAAGTATGTCCGTTTGTTTATTTATATATTTCTAAAGCAGAATTCACTTTTCGTTGAATGGTTTTATTTATACATGTTATATGCAAAGGTAATTATTACCTTATAGTTATATACATATGCATAGGTTTCTTAGATTATACTAAAATATGTTGACAAATATCTAAACATCATTTCCCATAGGTATATAATGATTATGGGACATGGGTAGATAATGCAATTAATTGTTTTTGAGTATAATTACGAAAATAACACAAAGGAACAAGGAATTATTCAATTAAGTATATGAAAAAATAATAATTTTACTGTTAAAAAAAATATTACAATAAATGTAACATATGGACAATAATAGTTATTATACGTCTTAAATAAATAGAACGGGATGTTAATTATGAATGAATATTAGTCAAACGTTTGACTTGTAATTTATTTACAGAAATAGAATACGTTCGTTGTAAAAAGGGTGGCTATTCAACTCAGAAATGGGTCAGCGGTCCAAGGCGAAATGGAGGGAGAAAGATAATGAAACCCACCGGTGAAGGGCGCAATCGATATGATGACGGTTTTGTGGTCGACTGTAAGACTAGAGGGATAGAGGGAAAAACTACTGATATTATAAGGTCGCAAAACACAAAAAAAAAGACAATTTTCGATTTTGAATGTACATTTCTGATAAACCTATGTATATTGTATACATACAAAATATATGATATATTGATATATTATATAATAGTGAAGTACCTACACACATTTTGAATGTAAATAATTAAATATTTTTAGATTCTGAGAGCAACCCAGTTATTGACAAATATCTTTCTTATTTCAATATTGAGATTTTTGTTCGTAATTTTTTTATTCTTGCTAAAATGCTTTTCGTCATCATTCTTCTTGTTTTAATATCGATTGTTGTCTTACCACCATGCGTAATTAAACTCCCCTGGTAGCAAAACTTTTCTATTATGCTGTATTAAATCATTTTTTCGATTAAAGTTGGCTGGTGGTTTTTTGGTTTAATCTATTAAATTCTATTTATTATAAGACTATTAAATTCAGCGGAGTTTTTTACACCAGTTATTAGCTATACGGAAGAATATTCCATCACTGAAATTATATACAATATCAAAAAATATTCTATAAGTCTATAATTATTGAATGAAAAATATATCCAATACAAACGTACATCGTTGCCGAATACACCACATTCCAAAATCACTTGTAAATATTAATTTAATATTAAATTTTCACAATTATTAAATGTGTTATTTTTTAATAGTTAATTTTTACTATAGTTTTTGAATTAAACTCAGTAATAAGAAACGCTATCTAAATTATAATTTATGGATAATATTGATATTTTTAATTGCATACATTTTGAGGCTTATTGTAAAGTTTCAATTATTGAACTCATACCTACTGTTTTTTTTTTTGTGTCTGTAAGCAACTCTTCAAACGCGAAACATGCTCTGATGTTTCAATCCAGAAATCAGAAGGGGGGCGAATTTTCAAAAATCGAATTACTATTTTTTCTTTTTAACCTTTATTGGAGGTTAATTATTTGTATTATTTCTGTAAATTCATAAAATGAATGGTATACAAGTATAAGTCTATACGAATGAATGGGTCATACAATATATTATTACGACATAGATACGTAAGTATATCATTGGTTTTATGAAATACATACAGATAAGATAATGTGTGTTCTGGTGTTTCCCAACATATTCTGTTACTATTAATTATTTATTATTAGCAAATGAACGATTTCCGTCCCTATCGCCCCACCACGGATCTGCGCCAGCGATGTATCAAGTGTAATACCTTTTCTGAAAAGAAATTGTACATAGTTGCCATAATAGGAAGCCTTTTTTTTGACTTTCTAGATTTTCATAATAATTGGGAAGACCGGGAAAAAATTATCGGAAAAACGGCAAATATTTACAGTACGCCGAGGCGTTATACCTGCCGATTTAATTATTTTTAATTTTCAACGATCAATGTTTTCTACAAGAAAGACTTATAATAAAATATTTCCAAGTATACCGTTTTGTTTCATTTTGGATCTAATTGCTAACGAAGTAATTTTTTTGACAAGCTACTTTTTTTTGTTGCATTGTTAATCAAGATGGAGAGTATGAAAACTGTTTTATGGGATTCTTTGTAGTTTTTTAATAATTGAGTATAATAACAATAAAAAAACCTAGATAAAACGGTATATCTACCTTTATTAAACGTGGTAAATTAAATATTTAGATGATTTTTGAACTCTTTATAGGCATTTTATGTTTGTGTTTTTTTTTTACATCATTTTTATTTGGCAGGTACTATGTGACTAACTAAATTAAAATAATTTGACCAACTAAATATGCTTAAAAATTTAAAGGGAGATTGTGCTTAGTGATCAAAAATGATAAGTAATGTGTAAAGAGTGTAATGTAGTAAATTTACTGTGTGCTTTTTTTTTTTCTGCCTGTTAACAACTTTTGGAAAAGAAATCGTAATCCAATGTTTTGAAAGGTAAATTTTTGATTTTCCAAGAAATTTTCAAAATAAATGTGAAAACCCGGAAAGAAAATTATAGGTAAAACGAAAAAATATTTACAGCGCGCTGCGGCATTAACGATTTTATTATTGTTAATTTTTGCAAACTATGTTTTCTACCAGAAATATTGTTCCAATCGAAAAATAAAAACAGATCGATTTTGTTCCTTTTAAAATACAAGGTGATCCATTTATGTGGGTAAATGCATTATCTTAGAAAGCCTATTAACTTTTTTCGGAATTAGTTTTATAGAAAATTTAAGAAATAAGCAGCTCTACAATTTTAAATTTATGTTACTAATTTTTGTCACCCCTATTTTTGGGGGTAAACTAATGATTCCCGTCAACCCATTGACGAGATATTCTACTTTTTAAGTAGGGGCAGAGTAATGAGTACTATTCAAACATTAGAGGCCGTGCTGCCACACAAATGATGCTCCACTACTCTCCCCCGGCCCAAATTTAGTGGAATATCTCATTAACAGATTAACGGAAATCAAAAATATCAAAACCAAAATTTATTTTAACTAATACTTCATCTATTTATGTAATTTTAAATGTGGGTTGCTATTTGAAAATTAAAAGTAGGTACCTGGTGGTTATACCTCTTAAAACAAAGGTGACAAAAAATTATATAGATCTAAAATTGTGAAACTGCTCGTTTCTTAAGTCCTATGAAATAAATTACAAAAAAAAAAAAAAAATACTTTCTAAGATTAGCGTATCATTATAGCTTATACTATGTTCCAAGTAATAAACGTATTTAAGACTAGGACAATGAATGTGAATTTGAGTGATTTAGTATAATAATTATGTCTAGTACTCGATCTAATGTTACAAATTTAAAAAATGAGCTAATGTTGTAGGTTGGAAGGTAAGAAGATAGGATACATTAAGTTTTTTAATTTATACCTGTAACTAGATAAATCATTGCAAACTAAATACAATTTTAAGCAAAGTTCAGCTAAATATGTTTTGGAATGCCGTAATTTTTATGATTTTCGCCAACATTTGTACTTCCAACACGTTTATAAAAAAACTACTATATTACAGTTAACTTTTTTTTTTGACTACTATGTACAATTTATTTTTATAAAATCCAATAAATAAACTAAAAAATTACAAATGGCTATAAAATGACTCAAAAATTACTAGTATTTTTGGAAAATGTCTACACTTATATTTAACTTAATGAAAATTAAAAAACAAATTCGAAAAATGATGGAAATCGTTATGGCATAATTTGTTCTAATTGAAAAAAAAATACAAGAAAAATCAAAAAATGACCTCTCCAATATTTGCATTTAGAAAAGATCCTACACTTAATAGGAACAAGATTATTGGTGGAAAAATTGTTTATACACACATTAAACAAATAACACACATAGTAAAACCAATACAATCCTTGCTGAACATTAGAGAAGTTAGTTCTACTTTAAACCAAAAACAATATTTAGCAAATTGGTTTTTACAGAATGGAAAATCATCTGTAAAGCCACACATTTTATTTTTAGTTTGGTTGCCCAAAATTTATCTAGCCACATCAAGTTTTCAGATTAACTTCAAACATTTAAACATTGCAAACAATTAAATTTGTTTTTTTTTTTTTTATTTTCAAATTACATGAAGCACTATAAAATGGAGTCACAAAGTAGTCGTGATTAAACTCTGTTGAAAATACTCTACACTTAGTGGTCAGATCTATTTCAGAATGTTACTAATTGAACTAATTTTAAAACTATAGAAGTTAATCTTTTCACGAAATTAATTTTTAATTATATTAAATAAAAAAAATAAGGACATGAATTTATAAATTAATAATTATAGCTATTTAGCTTAAAAATAGCTAAAATGCTTTAAAAATTTAATCATGTCTAGAAAAATCAATTACAAGTTTTTAATTAAAATTGCAAGTTCCTTACTAATTTTTTTAACTGAATTATAACAACAACATTGTATCAATAATTTCTTAAACTTAACTGTTTCCTTACATTTTGTACGGTTTTCATCAATTAATAAAAAAAAACTATACTAAAAATGAAAAAAATTATTTTCTTCCTCAACAACTTAATCTAAGATACAACAAAAAAGGTCTCTTGTCATTTTTTGATTGGAACATGTTTTTTGTTTGGAAATTTGTTTACAGACAAAAAACATGAAAAAACAAAACAGAAAAACCAATAAATTCTTTGCTGCACTCTGAATCTAAACGTTGATGTTTGATCAATCACCGGAGTATCATCTGTTTTCAGTGCAGCATAATTACTTACTAGATTATTAATATCATAATTACAACTTGAACAATTCTAAGTAGATTCAGGTAAAATGAAGAGCTAGTTTATGAGCATCATTTATGTAATTATTTATTGAATTTAATGATACATTATTTGAAATAAATAGTTAACAATTTGAACTTCAAACACTAATTTACTTTGTAGTTTAACAAGTACTAAATTTACATTATGTAGTAAATTAAACTAGTGTTTTTTTAACTATTAAGAACAATTAATGACAAATATAAATTAAATTTACTGGGCAATTATACTGGGCTAAAATAATTTTATCCACATAAATTGAACAAACGTATTTTTTAATCCGAAAATGCAAAACAGCTATAATTGGGCAACTCAAAAATAGAAAAAAATATTTTGAAAAATTGTAATACAATTTATTTTCTATAAAAGTAGTATTATAAATATGTATTGACTTAATAATTATTTCATAACTCATCACTAATTCAAAAAAATGAAAAAAAAATAAACGGGTAACACATACTTACTCTACTTAATAGTAGAGTAAAAACTGAATAGGTATTATAATAATAAAATAGATGAAAATAATATGTATATATAATAATATGATAATAAAATAAAGGTATATAATTCAAATAAAATTTAAAAGAAGAGCTGATACTGCTGGTGAATGTGATACTGTTGTAGATAGAAAGTAGAGCTCTATAATGTTATACGTTAGCCAATATTTTTAGGCCCAGTCAAACCCCAGCTCATTAGAACTTTACTATATTCTCACTAATGAAATCTAAGTCTTCCCTACTTTAAAATTATAAAATAAAACGTACTGAAATGAGTCAAACTGGTCCATTTAAGTCCAATTTAACCTTTTGGGCTTATCATTGTTAGTAGTGGATATTAGTATTTAAAAAGATAAAAATAAATATTTGACAAGAAAATAAATAAATCAAATATATTGTAAATTAAAATAAAAATTATTAATTTTATATAGTTTTCAAATATTCTTGTAGAAATCATTCAAAAACAAAATTGATACTACTGTATCACCTTGGCACATTCTCTTATTTTTTATTAGTTTTTATCAGGGTTGTAATGTATTGTATAGTATAAAATACTATGTACATTGACTTCCACCCAATAAACTTATTCAATTAATATAATACATTTATACTTTTTAATCACTCTTCTTACATGCCTTATCTTACACAGTTTAATCATAAGACATTAACATTAAATATCAGATATGTTTAAAAAGTTCTGGGACTGTTTAAATTGCGCGCCAACGGAACGCCCAAGAGCAGTGGAGGATCGATATCACTAACTTCTGTGACTCCTCTGAAGTACATTTACAATTGTAGATTCTCTGTAACTTTCTTTGTTTTGATTTGACTGGTGTTTATTTTATTTGACAGTTTTTTTTATCTACTTCACCACCCCCTGCTCCAAAAACCTCTCTTCTAGGTTTTATTACAAAATTGCCAAATATGAAAACAATATTTTACAAAAAATGTTATAGACAAACTACACAAATAGATGTGTTCTGGAGGAGTCGAGGAAGTCAATAATATCAATTCTACTGTTCTTGGATGCTCCATTGACGCGCAATTCAAACAGTCCCAGAACTTTTTGAACAGACCTCATATAATAAAAACTGTGGTATATAACTATCTAGATTATAGTTTATATTATTTTTAAATATTTTTTTATTTAATTTTTGTAGATACATGCCCTATTTTTGGTTGAATAGTAATAAAAATACAATTGAAAATTTCAAAAACATAAGTTAATATTTATATTTTATATAGGTTTTTACTAAAAGAAGACACTATAATTTGGAAATGTGATACTATATTGGATATAGCATTTATCGTTTTTTTTTTCAGGTAAGTATAATGCTTAATTATTAAATAAATATCATACCCATCTCATAATTTGATTTTTGATTATTTAATTGAAGCAATTTAGTTATAGTAGAGCTAAAACTAGATAAAATAAAAATTGCTACTATTTAATTATAATTTCTTATAGAATCAACTATGAAATTGATAAAATGTAAACAAATTTAAATTATGTACACTAAACAATAGATTCAGAAATAGTTATCTAACTTAATGTTTTAATATTTAAACAGCTTTCTTAGTATTGACATGATTGATATTCACATTTATGAAAATTGCAATGAAGGTACTCAATACTATTTATTTTATAAATTATAATATTTTGAAGGAAAAAAATTTAGATCATGTTAATACATTTTATGTTTTGATAGGTATAAAAGAGTAATTTTGGTGAAATTTGGAGATGTAGTTCTTCATGTGCTGCAAAAGGGTTGAAAAATAACCAATTTAAAAACTGTAACATTTACATAAAAATGTACCATATTTAAAATATAGAACATACAGACATCTAGAAAAAAAATGTGTTGACAAAGTTTCTCATAAATTAAAACGTCATACTTAAAAATGTCAAGACGCTTTTTTACAAATCATTGCTTTATATTTAAGGTCTGGTAAATTTGTATGTAATACTATAGTTTTTTAATTAAGTTTAATAAACGGCCAAATTACCCTTTCTTACTAGGATGGGGGGGGGGGCTTAAACAAATCGAACTTCTTAATATAATATTGATAAATGTTTCATTATTAAATAATTATATCTGTTGTAATTATTAAATGTCAACATGTACCATTAGTAACTAATTAATCAAAACTAAAACCTACATAGGTACTAGGTATGTTTAATGATACTAATATATGTTTCTATGCCACGGAACTTTTCTACTTTAAAGGACACTCATTTTTTTGACTATAATTTTTGATGAAAGTGTTAGTGAAACCAGAAATTGGGGTATAAAAGCCAATCTGTTTCACAGTAATAACTATGCTTTTATTATAATTTAGTGTTCAGCATTCGATCCTCCCGTAAGACTGTTATCATGCACATATATACTCGATGTGGTCATTTGATCGCTGAACTCACTCAGACAAGTTTAATAGAAAATAACTCTCGATGTGAAGTGCAAAACTTCATCAGGTAGGTAATAGGGTAAAGTCAAAAGTATTACAGGTGGAACTAGAGACCAGGCATTGTCACTTGTTCGCTTGATAACAACATAATACACATAATGTTATTGAACTGATTTCTATGTGTTATATAACACTATAAACTAAGTCCAAGCCCCAAATTCTGAATGCATCAACGTTCTCAGCATGCTTAACCATAAAAGTTTCAATAAAGAAAAAAAAAATTATCAAAAAGAGGTTGTCCCATAAAGTAAAAATATATTGAAATTAATAGAATATGATAATCCATTAGCAGATTAATAAATTACTTATTTAATGACCTAATGTACTTATTTTATGAAGTAAAATTTACTTAAGTAAAAGCAAGTGAGTACCTACATAAGAAAACTATTAAATACAAAGGTAAACATACTGAATAGTTTACTCAGAATTTTATTTTTATACATTTAGTTACTACTTACCCCATACTAAAGTAATATAGACATTACAATGAATAATATAGAAAATACTGGGTATCTACTGCTTATATAATACTAATTTTTTATTATTAAAATTAGTAAATTAAATAATTAATGATAGGCACACTTAATTTTTATTGGATATTTTACTAATTAGAATAAGTAGTTATAATATCCTTAAAAATATCAATAACAGACTGCGACTATCGAAATTTCAAATTAAATTGAATACAAACATTAAAATTACTATTCCCATTTATTTTCATCCTGCTATTTATAATTTGAATAGGTAGATATAATAGTACAATGCTTCATATGAAACTGAAATTCACTGTAGTTTAATAGCATTTTTAATTATAAAGAATTATTAGTTTTGTATGGTGTTTAAACAAACATTACAACTCGAACAAAGAAACTTTATTAAAATAAAATAAGTCCAAACATAATATGGTAACTTTTAAGGTATTTCTAAGAAATATTACTATGAAAAGACATACGTATGGAGTAGATGAAGAAATGGTGGATAAATATTGAGATGTGGAAGGAAAAAATAACAGTAACTGACCCCACTATAAGATAAAGGTGAAGAGAAAAACAAAAATAATAGAATAGAATAGAGTACTTAATAGGTGCCTAGGTACTTATACATTTTAAATATTTTTTGTTATAATTAGAATACATATTGTATTACCTATTAAAATATAGGTAGAAATCTGGGTATACAAGTATATACATATAAATAAAACATAGATAGATATAGGTAATATTTAAACGATTCATATTTATTTAATACATAAAAAAAAATGAATTATCTATCTAATTATAAAATTAATTTTAGTTTGATTTATCTAAATTTGAATGAAGAAAATTATTTTTCAATTAAAACAAAGTAAGGTAGACTTATTGATAGACTTTCTCTATAAGTTAGTTAATCTAAAAATATGATAGTACCCATATTATACTGAAAAACTGCTATACATGAAATATAAAAAAATTTAACTATAGATTATGTACTAAATTAAAATTTTCAGATAAATAGGTACATGGAACCTAAGAAAACTATATGTAGATAACTTGTAATGTACCTATATAAAATGTATTATGATAACATAGGGACCTACTTTCTAATAAGATTGTATGTGAACACAAATCAATGTTTCATAATCTACCAATTTGTAATACCTATTTAATGAAATTTTGAAAAGAATGATCAATGAAACATTTAATATATAATAATAAAAAATAATTATCAATAACACTATACCTTGTCAGATGGAATGGATCTGATAGATGTAGTCATAATTGTAAGTTGATGGCCAATGTTGCTGTGCTATGAATAAGCTACAAATATCCGGCGTGGGATCGTACCAAAAACCGTCGGAGTCATGGAATTCTGTTAATTCATCTTCATCGTTACACACCAACAACAAAAACACTTAAATATAGATGGTAGGTATATTGCATTTTATATTATATAATTCTATATAATTGTATTTTCAAAAACCAAAACGTTAACAATGAAGAGATTAAATAAAACAACGATTACACTATACGGTTACTACTGAGTAAATAGGTAGGTATTAAGTAGTTAGGTACCTAAGTTGTATAGTTACTGATTATTATCGAAACTATATTGCACTTGCACTATATGGTTCCGACGGTTGTGACGGTGACGACGAAGACAAAATAGAACAACGGCACTACGCCATATTGATGTGATTACAAAAAAATATATAGGTATTAATGAACAGTGAACAAAATAACAAACTTCACGGGGTCATAAGAACAATAACAATTAAATGTATGTTTAAGTAGCCCAATCGGAACACCAGCGTCACCAGCACTACAAGAAGCCAGAGCTAGGTAATAAGAATACACAATTTCACATAGGTGGCGTACGACAAGCGTACAAAAGAGAAAATAATATAAAAAAAAACAATGATAATAAAATGTATCTGTAACTATGTGTACGTGTGTACGTACGTTCAATGTGTGTGTGTGTGTGTGTGTGTGTGTGCGTGTGTTTGTATGCTGTGCCTGTCGCTGTGCTTGATTAGAAGATGCTAGCAGATCCTTTGTGATGACTGGGAAAACGGTGGGGGCGTGTCAGGTGGTTTTCTAACCCCACCATCGCTATTCTGCCACTGTGGGCGGAACCACCACCATCAATACAACACTGTACCCACTGAACCCGTGGGCCGTCCGCAAGGTGCATGCGTACATCAGTTTAGAAACTTGGCAACACTGCTATGTCAAGTGCGATGCGCCGAATGGCATACAACGGGAATATTATTATTTTATTATCATCGTGAGTTTTGACTACGGTTTGAGATAATACCATGGATAAACCAAAGACCACGAATAAAATGAACAGGAATACAGAATTCTCATTTTTCAACGACTTATATACTACATATTACGTTCTTATTTTGTAAATAGTTCTGACAGCATGCCGCTATGAACGCTAGTGCCTAGTAATCAGGGTAAATTGAAGTTACCACGGTTAAAAGAAGTACATTGTGGTATGCATGAATCATATACTACTTTAGCATAAGGTCCATGGTGATATGAGCCATATTATCATCTCATACCCGCCAGGTACCAAAATGAATCAAGAAATAAGAAACAAATTTAGAAAAGTCACTACCCATATGGTTACATTACGTATTATCCGCTTTGTATTTTCATAATATTATATAAATTAATTTATACCTACATACTATGTAGGTATATTTTTTTTTTTTTTTATTTTTAAAAAGTAATACACAATCTGTAGGTATATTAATAAATAATTACCTACCTATTTGAAATGTAAGAAAAAAAAATTTTTTAAAATAATTATATATTTCAAACAAATAAAAATTTGAAAATTAATTATCAATTTATTTAATAAATAAATTTAAATTATTATGTGTCCTTATCAATGATTTGACGCTTTGACACAAGAAAAATGTAGCGATATACGAAACAAACTTTAGTTCCAAACAAAAAAACAGTGATTTAAAAAAAATCTAAACTATCCAAAACATAATTTAAGTAATTCTTAAATTATACATTGTTATTTGTTTTAAATTATTGAGTAGGCAATAGGCACAATATGTTTTCTAAATTCCGTTAGTAATTACAGGTGTCAATGAAAACTCGATAATTATTATATAAAATTTAAATTAAACTAATTATAAATTTACTACCTTTTATTATTATTATATGATTATAAATACAGATTACAGTAATGCTGTGATCAAGGTGTATTGTATTCAATACACCTTGACTGTGATACATTTTCATACTGATATGGCTCGCCTTCATAAACAAAAAGCTTAACGAGAAACTGTTAAAATATTTACAAATTCGAGATATGCAGCTACCAGTTACTATTTTTTTTTTACTTTTTGTTTATAGCCAGGTCAGTGCAGCGTCGCATAGTGTGCGTAATGTAAATAATATGTTGATTATCTGCAGACTAAAATTTTTAAAAAATATGGTACCGTATTTAAAATTTACTAACTCTTTCCCAAAACAGGTTTTAAGCATTATTTATGATGTTATTTAATTTAAGAGGATTGGTAAAACACATTTTATTTATTATAGGCATTGCATCGGAATTTAAACATGTTCTATTTTAACATATTGATTGAAGCAAGAATATCAAAAATATGACATACGTTAAAAATGAATTGCTAACGCTCCAGGCGGAAAAGTTACAATACAATGTTGCTATAACAGATATATAATATATTGTGTTTATCATTTGCCGTAATCCGCAATCTAATTATCTTTATCATTGCTCGTGTTTTCATTTTGTGTTGTTTTTATACTGTGTGATAATCGCGTAGTCGTCTTATCGATTTTAATAAAAATGAGTGGTGCTGGAGTATTAAGTGTTGATGATTGGAAATAAATATATAAAATACTCGGTTTTACGTTAGGTGATATTTTATCGAAAAGCATAATTAGATTTACATTAAGATTATAAAATATTGTTGGACATTATTGTTGGTAAACAATCCAAATATTTATCAGTATATATTTTTAAAAATAGACTAATATAAGAAATTGTATAATGATTTATGAGTTATACCTAGTTATGAAATCAATTATCTTCTATCTTCTAATTTTATATAGTTCTGTTATACCTAATTTATAAAATAATGTATTGCAGGTGAAATGTGTTTACCCGAGGTACAGAAGCCTACTGAACACCTAATAATATCTGATGAAGAAGTGGAACCTGTAGATCAAAACGATGTTATTCAGGAAATTTCTGATGATGAGTCGTCATCAGATTCTAGTATAGGTAATAAAATAGTTATTTTCATGGTCATAATTCATAAGGTATCATAATCAATCATTTTTATTCTTACATTTTTTGACATAATTCTAGTTAAGCAACTTGTTTTTATGATTTTATTTTTATTTAAAATGTGCCTTTTCGCGTTTACAATAACTAATTAAAAAAAGTTATTTGGAAGTTATTCATGAAAAACTTTAATAAGTCCAGTTTTTTGTAAAATATTTAAAAAAAAAAAACCTACTTAGAATTAAATATTGCCTAACATTATTTTGCCTTCAAAATATATGATTTTTAATGTTTAATTGATTAGTTAAATCAAACTTATCATGGGTACTTACTTTAAAAGTTTTTTCACGCAAACCTTGGAAAATTAGATTTTTGAAACTAATCAAATATGTGGATTTAAAAGTCAATTATCTCAGTGGTGTAGTTAAGGGTATAATGTGTATAATAACTTCTCAATTTTTAATTGATGTGTATACTTATTGTATAATGTGTGATACAAAGGTATATGCAAAAGGGACTTATATTAGTTGTGCATCAATATTTTTTTTTAACCTCTTTCATAAGAAATTTACGTACCCTTAAATGGTTAGGTCATACACCATTTGTGTATCAAGATTTTTAACTATGGAAGAGTTGAAAGTGATAAGGGTATATTCAATTGTTTCCAACTTTCAGCTTAATATCCAGTATAGGTATTATAGGTATAGAAGGTGTATGTTTGTTTTAAATATATATATATATATATAATATATATGCCTATTACTACGATAACCACAGGTGGTGAGTTGTAACAACAATTTTAATTGTTGTACTATTTTTTGATTAGTATTGATTAGTAGTGCTAGTTCTTTATTGTAAACTTGCTACTTGAAATTGTTAAGTTAAACTGCACACTAGCTTAACTAACAGTTAATTTACATTTAATAGCATTCCTTAATATAATTCTTAACTATTGTATTTTGTTTATTATCTTTAATATTTAATATGGTTTAGGAGGGTTTAGCTCTTCCTAAGCCATCTCAAGTCTTATGTATATTAATTAAATTTAGTCTTTAATATTAGGTTTGTTTTTAATGGCTTAATGTTAAACCTATTTGGCTCAAATCTTATGTATTTTTAGACTTTATTTACCACTTTAAATACTAAACACCATAATAAACTAAAAAAACCTATCTATGTGGTCTGTAAAAAACAATTTTCTGAATTTAATTATAAACTGTATTTTACAACAAATTACTACATAATTTAATGAATGTTTTATTTTCTGTAGATTTAAACAGTTGGAATTCTGATGGTGAGAATAGTGATGATGACATATCCATGTCGGATGACAGTAATAATGAAGATAACTTATACAATGGTCAAGAGAATTCAACTGACGATGAAGTTCAAGAAGTAATATATGTAGATGATTCAGATACAAATGATGATGAAGATGATGATGAAAATGATGATGATGATGATGATGAGGAGGAGGAGGAGGAGGAGGAAGATAATGAGAATGATGATGAAGAACAAGAAGAAGTAGATGAAGTAGTAGATGCTTTTATTAGAGCTAGTTCAGAAAGAAATAGAAACCATCCACCAAATTTGTCTATTGATGATTCCTTAATTGGTGGACTTTCTTTTCATCCAAAATTAAATGTTATTGCACTTGGTCTCTCAAATGGTGATATTACCATGTAAGCATCTTTTTTTTTCATTTTTAATACTTGTATAAATCTTTCAATTTTTATTTTTAACTAAAGGTATAAGTATTCTAATGCAAAGAATAGACATTTAAGGACTAATGATAATGTTCATTTAAAAAAAATAATGCTTTTGGAATTTAATGATACTGGTGACTACTTATATTCAGCCTGTAGGGACAACAATGTATCAGTGTCTGATACTGAGACAGGAAAAATGAAAGTATATTTTGAAAAAGCTCATAGTTTTGGGTTAGTATAATATTTAAACATAGCTATGTATCATAAATTACTAATTAAAATAAATAAATCATTTTTTTGTTAGGAGTTTTGTAACATCATTTTCTTCTATTGACGAAAATATATTTGCAACTGGTGATGAAGATGGTGTTATTAATGGTAAAAATAATTATGTCACACATTAATTATATTATTATTATATTAATATAATTTTATTTTTTAGTTTGGGATATTCGTGCTAATGGATGTAAATTTTCATTAAAGAAAACTGAAGACAGTATTAACTCTATGATTGCGGTTAATAATAGTAACAACCAACCCACTTTAGCTTGTGCATCAAGTGATGGGACATTGAGCATTATAGATATATCATCAAAGAAAATGGTTATTCAGGTACTGTTGTGAATTTATGATTAACAACTTAATAGAAACTAAGTAGAAGAACCAATTAGTTTTACAACTCAGGAATTTGTGATAAAATATTTCCATTTATAATAAACCATTTTCTTGGTAATTAAGTAACTGGTTTAATTTCCTATCAGAGAATATTTTTTTTAAGTATTTTGGGAACGCTGTAAAATTTAAAACATTAGAGTGTATATTGCTGTTTTACAAATTTTGCCCTTTCAATTTTTGATTTCATAAATGACTTTCCAAGTTCGATTTTAAGAGTATTTCTAGTCATCCTATATTTTAACCTTGCTTTATATTAACTTACGAAGAAGATATTTAAAACTTGTGATCAATGTTCAACCCACTTTCTGTTGTCCAATCAACGTAAAATTTGCATTCACTCATATTTTCAATGACAATATAGTAATCGGATTTTCTGGTTACGTCCTTGTTTTCAAGGGGTGGAAAATGGTTTTCACTCTTTATAGTTATTGGTTGAAAAAAATATTTGTAAGTATAATTAAAATGCATTGTAAGACTTTTGTTTAAATAATTTAAATACCTACTAATTTTAATTAAATTTTTTTTTTTATTAATCGTGCAATTGAATATTGAATCAAGTTATTTATTCTCTTTTATTTCAGTCTGAACCTTATAAATCTTTACTAACTAGTTGTGTTACAATGAAACAAAAAACCAAACTAGTGTGTGGTACTGGTGTAGGATCACTGATTACCTTTAATGCAGGGGATTACAATATGTTTAATGATGAATTTCCCTGTGTTGACAAAAATGCAGCAGTTAACAGACTAGTTCCAGTTACAGAAAACATTGTAATAAGTGCTTTAGATAATGGAAAAATCAGGTATAATATTATATACTTGTCTGTTAACATGTATAAATTCAACATATTTATTTTATATAGAGCAACAAATTTGTTCCCGAACTGTCATTTGGGTATTGTTGGTCACCATCAAGAAATGTCTGTTGATCTTTTGGATATATCAAATAATGGCCACCTAATAGCTTCAACATCTTATTTTAGTAATACTGTTAAATTTTGGAACATAGAGTTTTTTGAGAACTTTGATGTAAAAAAACATTTCAAAAAGATTGATCCTAAAGAATTCAATTTGCCATCTTCAAATGTTGTTAATGCTACAGACTTCTTTTCCGGTCTTCAATAACATCATACATTTTATGGTATTTTGTATATAATACTATTTAGATTATTATAAAGATAATTTCTATAAATAGATTAATTTATAAAGGAGTTCTTGGTTTGATTTTTTTTTGAAATATTATTGTTATTGGCCTTATATTATTAAGAGGATTGGTGACAGTTTTCTCCATATTTAAACATGAATGTATAAATAAAGAATATCCAATAATCTACTATCCAAGGCCCATTTAAAGGGAAGAGGTATAGATGAGTGCTGATATTTTAATTGAAAAGACAAACAAAACAGAAATTGCATAGACGGATTTAAATTTTGAAAATGTATTGTAAATGATTTTTCTTTACAGGATATGTCAGAATAATTTTTTTTCAATCTAATAAAATATACATAATCAATTGTCACCAATTCTTTTAAACAAATATAATGTGATTAGATTCATTTTTTAGATATTTAAATATTTTTAACCCGATATCACTTGAGTGTTTTATTTTACGAGATTGCTTGCATATTGGAATTTTTTCTAATAATATATTATTTTATATAATTTCATCAAAATATGAATTCCAAAATAAGTTTTGTATAATTTAATCTTATAAATAATAATGGTATTATACGTTTCATAACCATGTAGATAAAGCTTTGGTGATTAATTATCATTCAATCAATAATAATCGTTATTCTTAAAATAAGTTATATATTAGATTTTTTCCAACGAGCTATCGCGGGTTAAACAAATTAATTTAGAATTTTGTTTTTAACTTTTTAAAAACACATTTTAATTGAATAAATTAAGAAAATGTTATATCACCTGTTAACTGTATTTAAAAAATGTGTAGAAAACTGTTCAGAAGATGAAAATGTATAATCTCAAAAATATTAATATTTGTTTAATAAATTTAAAAGTAGTCCAATGTTATCAGAAGCATTGTATAATTATAAAATGTTTACAAAAAATTCTAAATGATGAAAAACTTGCACTATACATCGTTGAAATTATTTTTTTTTTAAATCACTAATATTTTGATTTTGAATATATTAAAATTATAAGATTCCAAAAATATAAAAATATTTTTTTGTATTTGCAATGTTAAATAAAAAATAAAATCAACTAAAGCAGTATTACTTATCAGCCCACCCTCATATTTTAGTTATTTTAAAAGGTTAAGTTGTTCAAAATGTAATGTTTTATTTACATAAGATCTATGAAAAACACAAAACAACAAATCATACCTAATGCATATCAGCAAAAAATATCTCTTATAAATGAAAAACAGCACTAAAAATCTTAAAACTCCAAATAATAAGCTTAATAGAAATATGTACAGTGGAATCTTTTGTTTGTTGAAATTCAACAAATAAATGTGGGAAATACAATTTTTTTTCAAATTATCAAGGTTTTAAGAAAATAAAGATTAGATGGGATATTGCTAAGAAAGCAGGGACAAAGGAATACACAATGTCTGGAGGTCAATTTTTTATATTACTTATTGTAACAGAGTTACACTACTGTTACAAATAAAAAGTACCATATAATATTACTCCAATATTTAATTATTACTGTCACAATACCAAAACATTCATTTTGAATATCAACTACAATGATACAACCACAGATTAAATTAAATTTCATGAGTAAAATAGCATGGAATCCTACAGGCCGTCTTAGATCCTTTCAAACTAGTATGAGAATTTAAGTCTCACAGCAGTATTTATGCTGTTGAGTGAGGAGATATAGTATGAATATATATACATAGTCGTGTAGACTATACTTCAATACTTAGTTAATTATGTTACCTAGTTCCTAAAAAATAATATTTATAAGGATATTGGCAGATTTTATTCCAGTCAATTATTGTATCACACCATATAATTCTGAAAACAATTAATATACACACCCTTAAGGTGTGAAAACGGTAAAAAAGTCTAAGAAAAAATTATCATGGCTTTGCATATTATACAATTGAACATAAGTAGTAAATAGTTCAAGATGGAAAAGTTCCCAGAAAGCATCAAAAAAATATTCTGATACATTAATTACCATTGTTTTTCTAATTTTGAGGGCGTTGATATATTTAATTTAATTTTAAAAACTGACTAAAGACTATATTATCACCTAGGCTTGGATTCTGTAGAATTTGCTAATTATTTTAGTTTATAGATAAAAGTAGCAGAGTAATCTATACATTTATTTTCAAATACAACGGAACCACAATAAGTAGAAAATCTTGATTACTGGAATGTTCTGTGTACCTTCAACTTGAAGCTCTACTGACAAACATATTTTGCCAAAAGGCTTAAAAATATGTCAAGTGTGCCAAGAACACTTGGCTGGACATATTGACAGAATTTAAAATTCCAGGAGGGCATAAAATTATTAAAAAAAACAATATGAAAAATTAGTGTTAGCCAAAGGTGTGTTTATAAGTGTTGCTAGATATGCTTTAGCTACACCTGTATCTTTTTTCAGATTATTATTTTAACTTATAACTTTAAAAGCCATTAGTTCAAGAAATTCAGCAAGTTTGATTATTGACATTTTTTTTTAATTATATGTCAAATGATAAATATAAATCAAACCCTTGGCAGCACCATACACCTTAATTAAGCCCAGATTACATACGAATCTGTAAAGAACATTGGATGTAGCTAAAACGTTCAATAGTGCTAATAACTTATCTCTTATAGTATCTGTATCTTAGACTAATTTTGTGTCTAACTTTTACTGATCAGCTAATCAGATAAGAAAAAACAAATTTATTATCAAGTTCTACTGAAGTATTACAAGTTTCTACTTTTTAAATATCAACTAAATCCCCAAGATCTTAAGATACTAAACAGATCTTAATCCCCATGGGTCTTTGTGAATAGCCATGTTAGCATTTTTTGGAAGTCAGCAAATTTGGTATTTTAAAAATGTTTAATCAAACACTTTCATTATTTTTTATTAGGGCTGGCTTTGATTTTACTAAAACATATTGATGTTTTTGCATTAATTTGCATACATTTTTAGTTTTTTTGTACTATTAAAATGTAACAGTAATAGTTTCGGTTCAAAATTAAATGTAAGTTAACCAGAAAATAATGAATTTGAAAAAAATTAAATAGTTGAATCCTATATAAACAACTATGATTATATTAGTAAAATAAATGTATTCAGTTAAGATGTATTCTAAATATGTTTTCAAATAAAAACTGTTTTAAACAACCAATAAGTATTATTTAAGGTTCTATCAAATGTGTATTATCATTATATTCTGAACACTATTGTCGACATTACTTATGTCACACAGAAACCAAAGAGTCGCGTCCCAGTAGGTTCATACTAGTTGATATAGCAGTATTGTCCACACATTTACAAAGTATAGTTTATATTAAAAATATGTTCAGTAATTCAGACGAAGAACTTCTACTTTTATATGCAATAACATGAAAGTCAAGTGAAAATGGGTTCATGAAATAAACAAAAAAAAAACAATTATGGTGAATACCATTATTTATGTTGTGAACTGGAGTTACACAAAGACCATTTTAATTTTTACTTCTGGATGTCGCAGGAAAGTTTTAAAGAACTGTAATTTGCGTAATTTTGTACAATGTTACATTCTAGCGCCGGATTAATCACGCTGTCGAGCCATGTTTGAGAGCTGCTATAATTTGTAATTGAATACAACGGGACGTTAATACCACTTTCATAGTGCAGAAAGTAAATCAACTTTAACAGACCATGTAACACTACCCATCTAATTAATCTCTTGCACTTACATAAAACTCAAAATTAAAGTTGCTTGAAAACTTATAATGAAAATCTATTAATGAGAACATGGTACACAAGTTGATGCTTTTATAAGATCATTAAAAAACTATAAAACAAAATATATGATGCATAACTTTTTACCACTAAGTACTACTTATGATGAACTTACTAAATTTTGAGACATTTTGGCTGGCAAAAAATGTTATCCAAATAAAACCAAATAAAAACTCATTTATATAAATATTTTATATAAATAGCTAGAAATCAAGAGAACTTTTTGACCGTGCCTAGAAAAGACCAATAGAAGTATTCAGTAAAAATTCAGTTTTTATAATTAATTTTAACCTAATTACAAAATAAAAAAAACAATATAAACTGTTATTGAGTAAATTTTCACGTTTTTTTTTTTTTTTTTATACCTAATCTAACTAAAAGAAAAATCAATAACTGACCTTAATGCACCAAAAACAATTAACCCTTTAAAATATTGGAATGTTTATTATTCTTCGAGTACAATTATTTATAAACTTTAACTTTACTTTTTTTAAATATGTATTTAGTTATAATATTGATAGTTTAGTAAATATATGACTGACCGACTGATAATAAAATAGTATAAAATACAATATTATAATTTTTACTAAATAATATGTCCAAACTAATTATAAATAAAATAAAGGAATTCTTAAATTAATGTTATGAATCTACATAGTTCTAATATCATATTTTTAATTTAAATCCAATAATAATAAAACTAAAAAATTAGTGTAAAATAAACATGATTAGTAGGTACATGATGATTATCATTTAAAATATTATAAAGAAAAAATATATAAAGATTAAAGATGTATTGAGAAATCTACCGTGACCCAGTTTGATCTGGTCTATAATAATGAGATGAAGGATGAGATGGATGTACAGGTGGTGGAAAGCATCTTACGTGTTCTACTGCACTAGCATCAGTGTCATTAGCTTTTAAATATTTATTCAATGTGGCAAATATCTGTGAATTCAAAACTTGAAAACGACGTATTCTATCGACCATACGTTTTAAATGCTATAAACAGAAAAAACATTGTTTACATGGTTTGGTTCGCGCAATAATGTACTTACAATTCCTTTGACATTATCATCTTTGCTGTCCACTCTTTGGACTCTAAGTATATGATAACAAAAATCAAGTGCTTCAAATCTTCTCTGCTGACCAAGTAGGACAATCATTGTACAACCCGCCCAATGCAAACCTTCTCCAAATAGTTCCCTAGAATATTATTGTTGAAATAAAACAATAAAAATTAAAACCTATTTAAACTCACTCGACAGTAAATTCTGTTTCACCGACTGGTATACAATACACAAACTGCAGTGCAGACCATAGTCTATGGAATTCTGTACATTCGTCTATATTCATCACACCATTCTGGGGTGGTGGACCAACCCATACAGGATCATCCAACATACCACGAAGTCTTGAAAGAACTACTTCAAAAATTGATAAACCACAACATAAACGCTCACGAGTTAATAAGTCTCCATCACGAGCAATTACAACTTGCTAGAATTATATTAAAATGGAAATAAAATAATAATTTAATTTAGTTATACAACTAAATACTAACTTTGGCTGTTCCATATCGTTCAATATTAGGAACAATTTGTAAAGCTGCATATTTTGCTTCTAATCTTTTTTGTTTACTTTCGGTCTTTTCACCTTCCTTAGTAAAAGGTCTAGGTAATATGTTCTGAAATGGTGCAGCATGAAGTAGATCGCAAACTTCTTCTTGAGATAACGCTTGTTCCATTAGTAAACAAAATAAAATTGTATTTCCTAATTCACGGAAATTATGGAATAGTTCGGTCTTTGCATCAGGATATTGAACTATATCATTGAGTTGGGCATGATAATATCCTAAAACACCTGGTGATCCATAATCATATCGCGGTAATTTACATTGTCTAGGCATGGCTTCCATTAAAGTTTTTGCAAATTGTAACAGATTCCCTTGAATTAATGACTTTACAATTTTTAATAATTCTTCCATAACTACTGCGATCCCTTGATAGCCTAACATTTTGCACATTGTACGAAAGTGTGGAGCACCAACAAATCCTAAATAACAATAAATTAAAATAATATTAAACAATTATTGCAACATTCAATTCTTACCAGTGTATTGTCCATAAATTGTAGTATAAGCAAGATTCAATTGTTTGCTACCCCATAAATATTGGTGTCCCATTTGGGGGGGTTTATCTCTTTGTACAGGTTGTGTAAAGCTAATCCCCCGACATTTAACAAAACGATTGGTTGCAGCATTATAACAATAGTTGGGTAAAAAATCATAATTCAATTCCCAAAATACATGCAGAGTGATGCGACCATAAGGAGCTAGAACATTATGGTTAGCTTCACGAAACATAGCATCAAATTCATCTAAAGCTAAATGTTTGCTTAATAATTTATGGCATAATCTGTTTACTTGCATAATTCCTTCCAATTCCTACATAAAATAAATTAAAATATAATCAATTCTGAAATATTATTAAGTATAAATTAAAAATAACATACCACAATACCAGTGATATCACCACCTTCAAATTTAGCAATAGCTAATTCTAAAGACTTTAACATATCTGCATTAACTCGCTGTGTGATAAGTTTATTCAAATCTACACTACGTCCTAATAATTGCACATGCCGCTGTTTTAACAGAGTCTCATATCTATTTGCTCTTGGATATAAGATAAGATATGTTCCCATAGCGACACACTCAACACGAAATCGTTTATCTAATAATATACTTGATGCTAATTGTTTATAATGAGCAAAAATTTGTTCACTTAATTTATAAACAAATTGATCAAAGCATAGATTAACTTCAGCCTCAACTTCATCATATAGAAATTGTTTGCGGAAAACAGTTAAGGCATAATGAGCACTATCATTATATAAATCTAATGGGTATAATACATATTCCATCATAGATGGTTCTTTTGTTTTCAAAATATGATCAGTTAAAATCCAAGGCATTGACATTTCAATAGGAAACTGAATTCTTTTCTCCATTGTAATTAAGTCACTACATTCTTCATTATGCTGATGTTTAACAGTACATTTTTGAATACGTCTCGCCATGGTCATTTCCAAATAAAACTCACGATACCATAGTTGTGAAAGATCACAACATTGTTGTAAAGATTCTAAAATAAATGTTATGAATTGTTATTACAATTGTTATTATTTTTTAGTAATTATTTCAAATAGTAATAAATAAAGATATTCAAGATGAATGGCAATGTTGATTGATAAAAAATTAACAATTAGCCTTGAAATTAGTGATAAGGTATATTTATTTTTCAAATAAGTTATGCAGTAAATAAAAAAAAACTTGCAACTGATCTCTGGCACTGACTGTAAAGTTCAACATCACATCAATAACAAATTAAAATAAAAACTTGGATAATTTACTACAATACTCTATTAGAGTTGAGATTTTTAGATATTGGATTGTTTATTAGACATATTTTGTCAGCTAATTTCATCAGAGAACAAAACTTAGTAACATTTTAAAATATTACAAAAATGTTTAAAAAGTTGATATAAAAGCCACATAGACATATTATGTTAAGTTAAATCTTGGTAATCTGATTAAAATCATAAGAGTTATGAGAAAGTATCATTATATTATATAATAATTTAAAACATAATACATTTTATATACATACGATTGAATCCAAGGAGATAACTCCAGAAAAATGAAGTCTTGTGAAATTGATCTATTTGCATTAAGTATTGTCCATCAATATCTTTTCGTAATGTTCGTTTACCACCAGATTTATCAGCAATTAATGATTCCAACATTGTTCTTACCATGTAAAGTTGAGTAGATGATGGCCCTAAAAAAAAAAAAAAACAATAATTATTTTATTATTTTCATAATTATATTTGATATATCTTACCAACATTCCTTCGTGGTACTTTAATTCCAAAACCAACATCTGGATCTTTCTTTCCTTTTAAAGCAGGATCAGCTGATGGTTCTACACCTCTTTGCCAATCAGCACAGGTTTCTCGAACTGAAACGAGTATACTTCTAATTAGATCTCTTTTGTTCTTAATAGCTTTTCTTAAAGGTTCTCTCAAAGTCAATTGAACAAAATCTTGTAACTCTGCATATATATTACGGCGAATAGTATCAGTAAATACTGTTTCCATTCGGGCCATGAGTACTTGTAATCCTTTTATCATGGCTATAACTTCAATAAGTGCAAATTTTTCTTCATCAGTATAATTGTAACGCGTGGCTCGTTCATACTCTTCAGCTTCAACAGGACATTCTTTGTTTTGGTGGTGATCAGTTGGATGTAGTAATTTCCAAGAATAAAGTTCTGTCACAACGCTTGTCCATTCAGATAATAGTTGCAAACCCCTCAAAGCTAATTCGGCTGTATCTTTGTTTTCAGTGTCAGTTCTTGTTTCTTTGTAAGTAGTTGTTACTTCATTGCTGTAACGGGCTAGTTCACTAATATATTTCACATGGTCTTCTCTAATTTGAGGCAAATGCACCATAAGATCTGCTTGAGGACTTATTTGTGGAGAACTAGATAAAGGCCAGCGTCCAGGTTCAAAATGCTTAGATCGCTTAATATAATTAAATGGTGCAATCTGCATGTCTCCAAATAAAGGTACAACTTCTAGATTCTAAAATATTAAACAAACAGTTAATATCAAATAATTAATGATTAAAAAAAAAATAGTTTTAAACCTTAAAAATTCTGTCAATTTTTCCCAAATTTAGTTTTTTCTTCTGATCTAATTTATTTATATTACATAGTTCGTTATCCATGAGAAACAATCCAAATCCCATAACCTAAAATTAAAAAAAAAAACATTATAATACTATTTAATAACACACAATTTATTTACATTTACCTTAACAAGCATATGTTTTTCTGAGGGAGTAAGGTACATCTTGGATTCAAACATTTGTACACACAAATTTACAACATCAGATAAAAGTTCTTCGTACGCAGGGATTTTTTCTAAATTTTCTTTAACTGTATCTCTAATTTTATTTTGTGTAGCTAAAAACATTGATAAATTTTGAGATTCTTGCAATGTATGTGAATCAGCCATAACTTTTAAAAACTGAGCAGCTCGACGATAACTTGAATAATCATTTTTTACACTGGATTTCATATTTTTGAGTTCATCAAGAACAGCAAACATATTAATAAATTTTCCAAGAGTTAATAGGTATGCTTCAGAGACAAAGTCTTTTCTTTTTTCTGCATGACACAAACGTTTAACTTCTCCACAAAATCGTTCAATTGCTTTTCTCTATTAAACGACAAAATTACTAACTACAAATTTTTATAAAAATAATAATAATACAATTAATGTAAAATAATAATTCCTAAATTATGCAGCATCATATCCTAGAGAAACCTTAATACTAAACAAGTAATGTATGGAAATATTGTATACTTATTTATAAACATTTTAATTTCTACTTAATTTGCAGAAAGTTCTTCTTTTCCTTCGCCTATCCTCCCATTTCTTTTGAGTTTACCACCTTGGTCTTAGCTCTCTACTTGACTCAGTCTAGACATCTAGTAACACCCCAGCAATCCTCATATCAATCATGTTTAACCATTTTCTTTTGGTTAATTAACTCAAAATAATATAAATTTAACTAATGAGTAATGATAGGGAATAAATAATATCTCTTTACCTATTTCCAACAAATATTACTATATTTTTAATAATAAAATTTTTTTTTTTTTCGTTTAATAATTTTTTTTGTTTTATCTGTAATAAATTATTTTTTTACTACAAGCATAATAAGCATAAAGACAATGCATAAGTCACCACTTATGTACAATCTTTTACAGGAGATATCATTGGAAGCACTATCCATCAATGAAACAAGAGCTCTGATTAATCAGCCATCAGATCTCTACACCAGTTATGCTTCATACACCTGACAGGATCACAAGGCATAGTGAAAAGTATATAACTGAGATATGAGAGAATTTTGGTGGTAAACAGAAGTGAAACTATTTATTGAAGGTATAGGCAACATTTTTAACCAAAATAAATAATTTCAATTCCTTTAGTGTGTAAAATCTGGTAAAAAAACTATTAGGAAAAAATTTGATTAGGAATAGAAAATTATAGGAACGATTATTTTACAATAATGTAAATAACCAGGAAATATTTTTTTTAAGAGTATAAATTTTATGAACAATATAAAATAAGGAAATTTTTTACAGAAATAATAAAAATTAGGAAAATCAAATAAATTTCTTAGAATTTATTTCATATTATAAATAATGTATTATAATTAGTAATCAGATTTTTATGATTTTACATATTTGTTTCTAGCATATGCAGTTAAATGGGAGTAAAATATCTTCACAATTTATAACACATAGAATTCAAGATTTAAGAGAATATATTACCTATTTTAAATGATAAAAAAACATCATATTTTAATGATTTTAAGAGAATATAATTCCGACATCTAATTATAATTGTTAAACTGGCTGTGTTCTTAAAAGATAATAAAAAATAATAATAACAATAAAATTGACAATAAATATTATTTTTCATAATGAAAAGAAAGTAGATTGATGTAGATGTACTAAAACTCTAATATCTACCAATTTTTCTTTCAAAAATCTTTTCAAAAGAACCATTTAAATACAAAGTTAGGAAGAACTAAATTTTCTCATCAAATTTAAAGAAAAGAACTGATACTGGGGATAGTTGTAGCCACTGTTGTAGGTGGGAAGTTAGAAAGGTATAATAAATGAGGTAATTTTATTTATATCTGTACGCAATGATAAACCATTGTTGACGAAAAACGATTCTGAGCACAGTTTGGTAATACATAATTTGATGTGCTGTCATTATTTTGAGATTTTTCGTTTAAATTTGATTTTAAAAATGATTATTAAAAAAAAAAAAGTCATCCAGTAATTTTAGAAAATTTACCACATCTAGTTAAGTCCAATACGAGTATTATAACCAAGTTTCCAGTCTCTAAATGTATTAATAACCATATTACAGCAAAAAACTCCCATAAATTAAAATTCCTTAAAAGCTCAAAAGTTTTGGAGATCATACTGGAAGAAAGTAAATCAAAGAAGTAACAAAAAAAAAGGTGTTTTGTGATTTTTCGATTAAACTGTTTTTTTCTGGTAGAAAACGTTGTCCTTGTTATTATAAAATAATGAAATCGTGAAATTGTACGTTTTCCTGTTTTTTCCCACTTAAGTGCTTTCATTTCAAAAAAAACATCGAAAATCAAAAAAACGACCACTTTAAACTACCATCTAGACAACTTGAGTTTTCAGAAAGTTGTTACACGTAAAAATAGGAGAAAGTTTACTAGGAAAAAAGATGTTCAAAGACTAGAAAATAAAAAACATCTTAGTAAAACCAATAGCTCTCTCGCTAAACTTGGAATCTAAAAAAAAGAAATAAACAGAATTGTAAAACCAATAGCTCCCTCACTACGTTCGAAATCTAAAATGATATGAAACTGATTTGAATTTTCCAATTTATATTGTCCCCAAAATTATACAATCCTAAAAAAGTAAGAGTAAAATAAAATTATGCATATTATATATTTACATGTATTATTTTGCTAATTATATCTATATTGTTTAAGGGAAATATAAGACAAATATTCAATATGAGAAACTTATGTAAAATGTACAAATGATATTTAGGTACCTGAAAATACATAAACTGAAGCAACTTGTTAACTTCTGGTCCTAAAACCTCTACTGTTTTTTCATAAATTTCTACTCGATTTGGTTGTTCATTGGATTTTGGCTGTGGGATTGCTCTTGAACAACAACGCCATGTATAAAGCATAACTGCATGCACTTGACCTTCTTCTAATAATTCATTCTAAACAAAAAAAAATAAAAAATAATTTAAAATGTAATGATTTATTGTTACAATTATGTATATTTACAATTACAAACTTACAAGACTAGCGTGCACAGTGGCTTCCTCAATATATTTTGCTATTCCTGTTACAAATCCATTACGGTCTTCAAAATTTGTATCAAAATCGGCCTGATAAAGAATTGAACATGGTTGTGCTTCTATACAAGGCTGTTCATCAGGCAGTGTAAGTTCATCAAGAACATCAACATTAGACAAAGCATCTGTCAGTGTCACTTTGTCTGTAGCCATTTTCTGAAAATGTACACAATGCTGTTATAGATTAGGTTATATATATATTTATACAGTTTTACAAAATATATTAATATTGATAGAAAATTTGAGTATAAATCTAGTTGTACTTCCTCATGATTTTTAACATTTTTTTATTGAATATGTTTTTTGATACTGAAACTGAATAATAGTAATAATAAATATTCAGCAAACAATAAATCATAATTAAAATGTATGTGTTACTTTTAAATTAAAGGACTTTGAAGTTGGTTATAATGATACAATACGATCAGTGACACAACTAAAGAGGGGAGTGAGTAATGGGTCATACAATGTCAATTGGCTTCAAAATACAAAAAAAAATTAAAATAAATATTTATTTAGTAATTAAATCTCAAAATTAATATATTTCAACCAAGTTAAAAAGAAAAACTGATTACTTGATTAGAAATTGAGTTTGTTTAGAATCAGACTTAAATTATCAAATTTATTTCCATAGCCAACTTGGATAAAGAAGATAATTGTATGACTTATTTATGATTCTTATTTGCTACATCCCCTCTTATCGAAAATTCCTTGGAAAGCTACTGAATACAATAGAGAAAACCAAAGTATTTTCTGTTTTCTATTTGAAACTAGACAAAAATAACATGTAATAATAATTGGGTAGTTACATTTCGTTTTTGAGTTATTAGTATTTTAGATAATATGAAATTAAGTACAGCAAACCTGGTCTTACATAGCAAGGTTTAGGTTTACATTAAACATACCAATTCGTATTGCAGTACTACTAGGTTGGCTAGGATAGGTATATTATTGATTTAAAATTTGTAGTTTTACAAGTTCAACATTAGCTCGTGAAGCAATTTAATGGTGTGATAACTACAAACTAAGTTCGTCTCACAAATTCTGACTTCACAATCATTATTAACTTGTTACTGGTAATTGAGTAGGCAAGCGAAGCCGGCAGACGTAAAAAAACTGTCTTTTACACTCACAATTGACTGTTCCGTAAATTATAGTTTTTTAAATCGCTTCACTTCTAAAATTAGTTTCGGAAAATTTTTGATTGCACCATTATCTTTAAGATTTAAAACCCTGTATTTTCCAAAGTTTTGATTATCATTTGTTTTGAATTTTTAATACCAGAAAATTTTTAATAATGGTTTCAGTAAAAAAAAAATTGTGAGGAGGCACTTAACTAGATTTATTCCAACAGTTGAAACAAATTTACATACAACAATGTAATATTAATAACTTACTGTCTTTGTCCTGTTCTTAAACTTAATGACTTAGGTTCATAAACGTACACCTACATAAAAACTAGTAATGATAATATATACTAGATAAGTTTGGCAGAAAATCATATTTTAATTACTATTTAGAATATGAATTAATAAATTAAATATTGTAAACAATGAATTTATAAACTTATCAGATAAAAATTATTTTATATTTATTATCCCAGTTTTTTTAAACTCGTTTATAACATCCGTATTCGGTTTTATCTGTAACCGTGGTTAGTAGCATTATTCCAATCACAAAAATAGATAATAATATCACAGGAGCGTCTAAATCATAGACATGTGTGATACTTTGATGTCTCTTTCTCGTACTCTCGCCCAAAGAGTACTCTATACCCTACTGGGGTCTTATCTTGATTGGACAGTAAACGTTTCGTGGTCTTGTTAGTCACCACTGTTCTTTGTCAATTGATCTATAGTCATCGTCTCGACTCTCGAGTCGTTATACGCTCGATCGACGAAATAATTTACTGCTGTACTATTTTCATGTTTTTCGCATTAATAGAAACTTTTTTATACCAACTTCACACATTTACGTGTTCTCTTTAATTCATTATAACAGTCAATTGTTGACTGCGCGCCAAATCACTTGGTCAACAAAATATTGTAACTCGCGTGGCTGTTTAAATCATACTGATCATAGACATAATAGTGTAAAAGTTCTATTATGGTTGAATGGTTTTGTAGGTTTATAACATGAATTTATATAAATGCAATTTTAATAAATGGGTGAAACATTAGTATAGTTATAGTACTAGCATAGATAATAAATTTATAAATACTATGGACTGTGACTGCTGCATATTTACGCAGCGTATTAGTTGTCGACCGCTGCTATGAATCGCTGTATAGCTGTCATCGCCTACTGATTAGGCAATAGTAATGTCGCCCGTCGCAGTAGTGCGCTAGTATTAAAGAAAATAAGGAATTAGTTCTAATGATTTTAGTAAACTAATGAACCGCAGCATAGAGTGCGCGCGTTCGATGTTGGATTTCCCAATAATATCAAGGTACCTCTACCGCGCATAGGTAATTACAAACTAGTTATTAAATACTTAACGGTGATGTTATTTTACAAATTAATAATTATATACTTCATATAAAAGGTAAATCACCATTATAATATGAGTAAAGATTTATAACTAAAAACTTGTTTTTGACAATTGTATCAACAAAAGTAGGAAATGTATGCAAAATGTTTTCTATTATTGTAATTTTAGATTTTGAGTGGAGCGAAGGAGCTTAAGGTTTTACAAAGATGTTTATTTTTAGGGAGGTTATTTTTCGAATTTTTTAAGAATTTTGTTGAATTTTTCAAAATCAATAATCATGTTGATTCAAAATGTATCGGTACTCGGTTCAATACTCACCGGTACGTAGAAAAAAGATCGGTATGATGTTGATACCGATTTATTAATACCGGTGTGTGATACTGATTCTAATATTATGGTACCGATGTAACAAGAAATTCGGTGCAATAATCGAACATCGGAAATTCGGAATACCTCTTCCTAATGCCAATATATTGTTATTTTGTTAATGAACAAACAATATTGCCAATTAAATTTAAATTTATGCAAAAAGATGAAGCATTGTGAAATCAATATCGGTATTCAACAAGTGATTATCATTATAGATTTAATGATAATTTAACAAATAAACATACACTGATCAAGGAATCTATGTTTTGGAATACGGTCAAATTTAACTTAGAATGAAGAGCTATAACTTTGTCCTGGACGATTATGCCATGATTGGGAAACATACTACTTCACAGACGTTCTTATAATCTGTGTATGAAGTATAGTTCTAATTCAACTTGTGGATGATAACTATGATCATATTCCCATGTCATAATAAAAACCAAATTAAAATAATTCCTATTTTATTATTTAAATTTGATTAAAGACAATTTATATATTATCTAACATCAATAATTTGTTAAGGTTTTATTTTTCAATTATAAATTTGTGCTACTTTTTTTCAATGAACAAACATTTTTTATAAATTGTATACTTTGTAATTGGGAATCAGCAAATTTTATAAAAATATACAAATAAAATACCAAAAATGTATAATGATTATGTTGATTGATTTTTTTAATTAATTAATGCATAGGTCATTTACAAAAAAAAAAAACCAAATATAATTTTACACAAAGTAAAATCGTAAAATTATATTTAAGTAGTAAATTGAAGAATTATTATTATTCTAACTAAGGCTTTGGACAATTTAATTCTTAAAATAATATAGAACAGACTTTCCTCAGCCAGAAATTTCTTTACATTGCAAATAGGAAATCATTTTTAAATTTTGTATATTACATTCATCTATTACAACAAAAGATTTAAGTAAAATAAATTTTGCTTTAAATGTATGTTTTTATTTACTAATATAGTCATATATTCTTATTACATTATGTTTATTAACTGTAGATAATCATCTAAATTTATGTATTAAATAAAAAAATAAATAATAATAATATTCAATATCACAATCCACCTTGGTGATTTCTAAAAATAATAATAAAAATAATACATTTATTTGTTCTACAGTTCAAATTTTTCAGCACATTCAATCATTTCACAAAAATTATGACATAATAAAACTAATGAATTATAAGTATATATTTTCAAAACAATTATAAAATAATAACATTCTTTTACAAGCCATATTATAATAATGCAAATAATCAAGACGGCATTATTCGTGAACGTCATAAAATTGACAGTTATGTGTTTCATTATATATATACATACACATAATATATATATATGTTATTTATATCACAGCGTTTAATCGGAAACAAATAAACTAAACATTATATAATTACATAAACTAATCACATATTATAATTAGATCTAATGGTTATATAGAATGCAATATAAATATTTTACATACATACAAAAATGAAATTAACTATAATGTTCCAATAGGGTAATCTTGTTTATTACATTACATCAGAGATCAAATAAAATAAAAAATAAAATAATTGGTCAAAACTCATGTTACATTGAAAAAGTAATTAGGGTATTGAACATAGAAAAAATTAAGTATATTGCAGAATGATTTCTAAAAGAAATATACCTACTAATTACTGACATCAACATGGAATGAAATTTAAGTTTTTTTAAAAAAAATATAATATAATTAAATATATCAATTAATCAATATAAGTTTTGATTGATACTATAAAGTATATATTCTTATTTATACAGTAATGACCAATAAAGACAATCACTAAACTTGGTAAAAAATATTACAATTTTGTTTTTAAATATTAATATTTTTATTCATATGAAAATGAACATTAAGCAATATTTGTATAGAAGATGACTTGTTCAAAGTAAAATAATTCTTCAAAGGTTCACTACAGAATAAATAATATTATAATTTGTATACAAAGTAAATTTAATTTTCAACCAACATCTGATAAATATTTATACTATAATAGAACAGGTAATTTTTTAATTTTCTTTATAATATAACAAGTAAAAATTTAAATATTGTTCAATTAACTAAACAAAAAATACATGTTGTAACAATTATATTTTTTTCATCATTAATTAGCATATTATAAAATATATTCATTTTATAATACCAAATTAGTAGTTCTTAATGTCATATTTAAATATGCATTCAATAAAGTTAATATAATTAAATTATAATAATAATTTTTTATCAAGAAAATAACATAACATTAGAAATAAAAATATAAATTAACTCTAAAATAGGTACTTAAATATGTGTCCACAAAGAATTTCCATGATTAGGTTTATCATTTAGTTGAATATTATATTACACTTTGTATTCATATATATATATATGTTATGTTTAATGTTAAAAATTGGATAATTTCAATTTTCCGTTTAATAAAACCGTTTTATGCTGTTAGTTTTAACATAAAAGTTAATCGACTTATTATCAAACTTAATAGTAAGAACATAAGCTATATTTTAAGTTAATTTTGTTAATATTTCAACTTTTAAGCAGGATAAAATTATTTTGAAATGTTTTATATTTCAAATACTCACATAAAAATTTAAATATAGACAAAATCAACATAAAAATACAGACAATATTTTTACTTTTAAAGTTGTTAATAAACTAATTCATTCAATTATTAAAATAAATAGCACAAATTGAATTTAATGAATGAAAAGTTGACATCAAATTTGTTAACATTAGACAAAATATATACATACAGGAGTATATACAGTGTTCTATAATAGTTGTGCCATTCCAAGCATACAATACTCAATGGGATGCCCCAATAATGTCATTTTTATTTTACTTCCGAATCTGGTTTTTTATTTTTTAAATATAGTTGACAAATATTTATAAAAGTTTAAAAATAAACATGACATGATATTTCATGCAAAGATTTCATATGCATCCACAGGGTTATGTTATTTCTACAAACATAATTATTGATAATCAATGGAATCAAAATGGAAAAGTGATATATGACAATTTTGCAAAGAATAACACAGTGCAAAAAAGAATATATTTGGTTAACAAATAAGTAAAATAACCAAAACACTATTTTTAAAATTAATTCTAACAAAATAGAACAATCATGTATTGAACAATATTAGTAAAAATTACTTTAAATTTTTCTTTTTTGGTGATTTTACTTATTTGTTAATCAGGCATGTTCTGTTTTGAAAAAAATTGGTATGTGACATTCCCTGCAAAACTCATAAATATTCTATAAGGAAATGTAAAAAAACAAGGTTTTGGAAGAAGAAAAAATTTCAAAAGTATTGTTATTGAAGGCACCCCATCAATATAGTATGCTGGGGATGACACAACTATAGCAAAACACCCTGTTTATGCGTTTCAAGAATAATAATCTAAGTTGATGTATTTTTACACGAATCATCACTAAATTTTAACCAACAATTACTTTTGGAATTATGAAATTATTTACCATTGATTTATTTCAGATAGTTTTAATTAATTATATTATCATATATAAAAATATTAAATAATATTTCTTAAAATAAGGCGGTATAAAACGTTTCAGTTAATAATAGGAAATTAAAACTATTATTAAATTTATATTAATGAATATAATTGTCTAAGATTAGTTAAATTATTATTATATGAATGTAAAACAGAATGAACGCTAAATAATACATATAACAATAATGCGTATGTTCATTTAATACAGTTAGAATTATGAATATAGAGATTTAAACATTGAAAAAAGTGAAAAAAAAAACTTAATATATTTTTAATAATACATTTTTAATCAAACTCTAGTAAGGGGTACTTTGTTCCAGTTGTTAAAAAAGATATATAACAATGAATCATGAATACAACAAATGCATTAAGCTGTAAACAAACTTGATGACTAGTTGGCATATTGTTCATAAACAACTATTGCATGATAATTCATTTCTCAATCAAAAATTGAATTTAAAACAAAATTCAAATTTATTTGATGATACATAATGTACTATGTCAATTTTGATCATCTAATATATCATCATCTGGATCATCTAATTTTGATCCACTGGTACATACACGACATTTGCAACAAACTATACACGGAGCAGCTAGCAATAATAATGGACTAGCAACAAGTAGTAATATACCAAAACCTGCAAATATACCAATCACTTGTGTACGATGCCATATAACAGAAGCTCTTGAATGACCCAGTTTATTTTTACATGGGCCTTTATCATAATGTCTTAAAAGGAAATCATCCTAAAATGTATAAAAATAATAATTAAATTAGTAATTGATTAGTAGTACTTATAAATAATAAACTTACATCTAAAGAAGCAAGACAGTACCAACAAAATACATGTTTACATCTTTTACATAACATTTGAGCACAACCTTCGTCCTTCTCAATAGGTACACTACACATGGGACAACATTTAATTAAATCTGAATCAAATGTAGGCATATCATGTGTAGCAGGTGGTGGACATGGTTTGCCAGGATGCCATGTTGCTCGACATCCAGAACAAAATTCAGTTTGGCAGGTTGGGCATACTACACTGTGTGGTCGAGATCGGTCTCCAACATGACATACAGTCTCACATCCTGGTTTTGGGCACCACATACGACTTTTATCTAATTCCACTTCTATTAATAAAAACAAATTTCAAAATTAATATTTTATAGTAAATATACAAGTTTTTCAACAAAAATTTAAAATTATTAGTATTTAAGACTATAAACTAGAGGTGTCCAACCCATGGTAGATTTTAATACGGCCCTCACTTTAATTTCAAATTATCAATTAACTATATATAATGTTATAAGAAAAAAATTATTTTAAGAATATAAAACTTAAAAATATTAAAAAAAACTTTAAATATTACTTAATAGTATATACTATTGTATGAAAGTTTTATTGTTATTGAGAAATGATAGTGATAAGAAACTAATATGACTAAAATAACAATAAAATTATTTTCTTTTAATCATACATCAATATATTTATTTTTTTGTAATTATAAATAAAATGTAATAGCTCGTTAAAATATTTCTACTCATTATCTACTATGGTTGTTATCATTATTAAAATGTAATATAATTTATTACATATTATTAATTATTGGTGTATATTTATTATATAATATAATAACCACTAAATGGTTATAATTATTAAAATGTATGTGACCCACAATAACTTTTACTTAGATGATGTGATCCAGTCTTCACAAAAGGTTAGACACCCCTGCTCTACAATATATAAATATTCGTATAGGTTTATATGATTTTTCTAAAAATGTTGACGTAATGTAATCAAAATATAAAAAAAAAGTTTCTGACCAATTCTACTCTAAATACTAAGGATAATCATGGTAGGTATCTAAAATCGTAGGTAAACCACTTGCTCTGTCTTATCATAAGACTCATATAACTTGTTTTAATTAAAACAGTAAATATATTCTAAGTATCCAATATCAATTGTATGCCTTATAACAAATTTAAAAATAAATACTAAATATTTTTCCATTATATCAGTAGGCGGAAAATGTTAAAATTATGCAGTTTTAAATGGATAGTTAAATGAGAACTAAAATGCATGTAGGAGCCACTGCCAATGAGTTTTTTGACCCTAAAAATGCCGTAGGGGAAAAATGTTGATGTCTTGTAATATGATCAGATTTTGATGATTGTTAATTTTGTTTGAAACAGGATAATTCTAACAAACTTTACTGAACTCCATACTACAATATGTTCATCTCAAATTGTATAATACATCTTTTAAAAGGTCAGTTTTTAACTTTTTGTGTACCGTTATTTGAACAAATAAAAAAATTAGAGTTTTGTGCGGTCTATAGAACTTTTTTTATCAATTTTACAAAAAATACATGTTGACGAGCTACACTATTCTTATAAAATCATTTTAGTTCATAAAAACGGTAATACCCCTTTTCCCCTTAATAGCCATCAGGAAGTCAATTAATGGAAAAGTTTAATTTATTAAGGGGGTCAACTACCTAAAACATGGAGAAAAGACTACATAATAGCTTTTTTTAAACCTGGCAAAGAACCAAAAAATCATATATACGTCACTTATATAATTTTTGAATATGAGCTTTATATAAGAGAAATAGTCTTCAGGAAAGGGAAATCATGCATAAGTCAGATACTGAATATGATACAGTTTATTGAAAAAAAAAGGTCCCTGTAATAACTCTTACAGATTTTACAGTAGCATATAATACAGTTAATCACAGACTTGTATTAAAGAAGATCTACAGTAGAAGTGTTCTGGGTCCAATCATTTTTAATATTTATATAAACGACAAACTGACCACTCCAAATGTCAGACAATTCACTTATGTCGATAATATAAATTTCGATGAAGTAAAAGCTAAACTAAAGTATTTGCTTAAAATCATAACATACTACAAATAAATGAAGCCAAATCCTAATCCAACAAAACTCAAATGTTTAATTTGAAAACTAGTCCAGTTGGACATAAAATGAGAATTAATAGAGATAAAACATACTCCCTATCCCAAATACCCTTGATAGGTCATTCACCTTCAACGAGCATTGTGTTGCTTTAAGATGGAAAATATACACCAGAAATACTCTTTTGAAAAAATTTACTAACTTAAAATGGGGAATTCATACCGAAATGGTTAGAATTTCTGCTTTATAATATATAAATAGTTTTAAATTTCTCAGTGACCAATATGAAATAGATTAGTACACAGTACGGCATTAAATAAGAATCTACACATTATGACAGGATGTTTAAAGCCTAACACCAGTGGAAAAACTATATCCTCTAGTACAACGGTTCTTAGAATCTGATACCCGTAACAATGATGGTACGTGTTGGACAACAGGGTGGTATGCAGAAGGCTGAATAGTAGATATTTGGAAAATGAATTAATACATATTTGTACAAATGTTTTTAATCGATCTAATATTATTTTATATTTTTAATTTTTATAATTTTAATTATATTTTAGTAATCTACTGTCTGTTTTTATGCTTTTATCATTTTAAAATAAATTTATAGATATCATAAATAATTCAATTTTTAAACATAAATGACAGATGGATTAGATATATAAGTGGTACACGAAAAAAACAAAAGAGAATTTCTGCTCTATCAAAAATAGCGCCACTACATGTACATAGATAAATCACTAGTGATACTGAATGGATGAAATACTCAAATACATTGAAAGGCACTCAATATATTCTATAATACATGAAACTTTTTGACTAAATCAAGAAAGAGCTTTCTAAAATGTAAAAATTAGAAAACAATCCAAAGACAGTAAGATTAAAATAATGGAAGGAAGAGAGCAAGCAAACAGTTGAAGAGAAAAATTACCATCGGGACATAACAATAAATAGACAGTCTGGAGGACTTTAAAATACCTATGCACAGGAATTGAACCTGAGAAATGGAAAATAATCGACAAGAAGATACAAATTGTAATTATAGAGAGTTCCAAACATTGGTACACCATTTAATCTGTAACAACTATCTAATCAAACATGAGATAACAGACTTAAAATCTTCAAACAACAATATCGTAGAAATAAGCAGAGTCTGGAGTCATGCATACTATCATGTTACATTGCTTTCATATTATTATTTAGTTTGTTTTATTTTTACCTATATTTGTTGAATTTAATTATTTGATTTTTTGACTAATTGTATAATATGGTTTACTTTATATATGCCATGTTATTTATGTATTTATTTATCTTTTAAAATTGATCATTCACCTTCCAAATTTTACAAAATTGGAAAATATTTGGAAAACTGGCACTGGGCCGCATAACTTATATTATACTATATATAATAATAATTAACACATATATAATATAATATATTGACTCCAGCAATGAAAATAGTTGTAACTCGCTTTTTAAAAATGTACAGAAGAGGAAAATTAAACAAATTTGAATTATGCATTTTTTAAATTCAAATTTATTTTTTTCTAACTCTCTTAGTAATACTCTTTAAATCTCTTCAGTAGTAATTTCAAATAACTCTTTTTGTTAAACATTAAAACAGATTTATATAAAAAAAAAAATAAGTGAATTACAAGAGTTTTCATAGCAGGAGTCAATAGTTATGATATTAATAATACTTTAAAACTGTTTTCAGTAATTAATTATTTATATTTTGTATACTAATGAAAAACTATTAGTCAAGTAATTATGTTCAAGGTTATTGAAATATAATCAAAATGTTTTGTTGTACAAACAAAGAGTATTTAATTAGTCATGATAAAAATACTAGTTTAATATTATTATTAAATATAATATCTTCGTCACTACAACCGCTATTCAAATTAAGTTATTTTCTAATGTAGTATTGTTATTGGTTTGTTAATAAACATAATATACATAGTTAGTTACTAGTTAAAGTAAACTTTTAATATTAAAAGGCAATTTAATTTCTATATAAATTATAATTAGCTATTGCACGACTTAAAAAAATAAAAACAAAATTTTCATAAATGTTATAAGCAAAAATGATGTATAAAAATAATGTTTATCAAAAACAATAAGCGAAAATAATACTTTATATTGATAAACAAAAAAATTAAACATTTTCTAGACCTAATAATAACTGAATAATTCAAAATAAATAAATAAATAAATATCAAGAGATAAGACTTATATTTTACAAAAAATTAATTAACCTTTATTCAGCCTGTATCTGTGATGTTTTTCAATTTCATCATTGCTAACCAATGCTTCTATTTCTTCTAATTGGATAATGCCTTGTTTAGGACACTGAGCATCAGGACAAGATATATTGTATGCACCTTGATTGATTTCAAATTCCACATACGCTCTTACACACTAAAAATAAATAAGTAAATTAAGTACAATTAATGTTTCATTCTTTATATAAATTTATATGTATTTGTACAATTTTTGATTTTAATAAAAATATAAATGTTATAAAGAGATAATGATACTGAAGCATCTATTGTATGTGGGAAGTTGGAAAGAAAGGATGCAAAGAATTATTTAATACAGGTATAAAAAAATAAAATAATAAATCATTACCAACAAAAAATCATTATGAATGAAGTTCGGTTAAACATCATTAAAAAAGACAAAATATGTACAGTCAATATAATAATTTAAACTTTCAACAATTATAAAAAAAGTGACTATAAAAATTTAATTTTTTTATAGTGACATAAGAACAATTTAAGATAAGCCTTGTATCAAATTTCAAGCACTTTTGAGAGCTCCCATTAAAAAATATAAAATATACAATTAAAATGGTTTAATTAGCTCAAAATTTGACAGATTATTTTGAAAACAGGACTTCTTTTAGAAAAAGGCTAATATAAGTATTCTGTGAACATTTTGAATTGAAGTACAACAGAAAATAAAATTGAAAATAACAGAAACTGTTATTATTGCATACATTTTTCCGATTTTTGACATTTTGTTTCATTATTAAAATAATTACAAGGAAAATCAAAATATGATTTTCTCAATCCACAAACTATACAACATTTGTTAAAGATCTCTTGTCATTTTTTAATTAGAGCAAGATTTATGGTAGAAAAATATTTCAGACAGAAAAAGCATACATCATAATGCATCTCAGAATCTAAAATAAAACATACTACATAGTAGTTTATGCACTGTATATAAGTACACTTTGGATATACTGGAACTTACAGACTTTGTTTGCAAGTTTTAAAGTAAGAAAAGCAACATTAAATCATTGTATTCAAAGAAACAATAAAAGCAATTTCCCATACTTAATTTGGCAGTAAGAATTGTACTGAAAATAAATATAAGAGGGAACGAAGTAGAGAAGAAGACCAAAGAAAAGGTGGTTGAATGTGATTAAGAATTATATGACAGCCAATGTGTATGCCAGTGGAAGATTGAGTCAAGTGGAAGTTTAGAACAAGTGTGGCTAACTAAATAATTGGGATGAAGGAAAAGGAGATGGAAAATGTATTACATTATTTAAAACTATACCTATTACATGTAATTGTAGAATTAATATGATTATATGATTAGCTAAAGGTATACAAAATGAAAAAGTATTCAGATAGAAAAACAATAATAACTAAAAAAAACATGTATAGTAAAAACAATACATCCTCCTATGCACTCAAAATTTAAAAAAAATTTAATTTTTTTTGTTTAGCAACTTTATCAAAACATTAGGCCAGTCACATTGGTGTTATTTTCCAAGGAAAACCAAGGTCACGCAAATTCATGCTAAATATTGGTTAAAAAAAAAAATTTGAAATAGGAGGACCTGGTGCAAACGCACATAAAAATAGTTACTTTTTTAATGTACCAACAAGATCCTAAATGCTTAGGAGGTAGGACGGCCGCAAGGTGTAGAACCCCCCTGTAGCGCCGTAATACCACACAAAAAAAAATCCTAAATGCTACAAAAATTATCTCTGGTCATTTGATTGAAACAAGATTTCCAGTAAATAACTTGTTTTCAGACAGGAAAAACAGAGCTGATAATGGTTATGAATATGTAGGAGGGAAATTGGGAAATTAGCATAATATATAGTTATTTAATTTATATCTATAAGCAACAATAAATGTACTGCTAACGAAAAACGATTCTGGGCAAAGTTAGGTTTAATCTGATTTGAAATGCCGTAATTTTTAAGATTTTTATTAAAATATGAACTTGAAAAAATGACTATATTTACAAGGGGTGGAGCTGAGCTTAATATTACAGATCCCTGCTTTACTCACAAATTGTATGTTGCATGCTTGTCTTATAGTTCTGCAAATGTCCCTAACCATAAAATTAGCAATATTGATCACGGCAAAATATTATATTAAATATAGCTTAATTTAAAATAAACAAATCATTTAATAAACAATTAGTTAGATAAATACTAACTAGGACATGTCCTTAAAACCTGGACGAATGGTAAACTTTTCTTAGTTACCTAGACAACAAGTGAAAAAATTATAATATTTTTTGTAATTTGTTTTTATGAACAAATATAAATTAAATAAAACTATGTACCTTAGAGTATCTGCTGTTTTTTTAAGTTACTATTGCCAGTATGTGTATGACTATTACAGCTGAATGATTAAAAAACTATCCTAGGATAATGGTGATGGGCACCGTCAATGTTATAGATGAGAAATTAGGAAGGTAGTAGAGGGGAAATATCTGTATGCAACAATTAACCATCGCTAACGAAAAAAACGATTCCTAGTGGAGATAAGTTGATAGTGTTGCTTTGTCAAAAATATATATTTAATATTGTACCTATTTTCCCACTTTTCCTAAGTTTTTTCCCAGTTGTTCACATTTGTTGGGAAAAGAAATGACCTTTTAAAGTACCACCTCAGTCAGAAAAAGTGCTATTATTGTAAATCAGAGCAAAATTGCTAGTAGAAAAGTTGTTCAGATAAAATAAAAAGTAAACATCATTGTAAAACAAATACATTCCTCACTCTACTCAAAATCTAAAAGAAACCAAACTGATTAGTTCTTTTTTTAAGTTATTACTTGCGTGTTATATTTTTGTAATATTCCAAACTTATACAAATTAATGATTTTTATAATAATATATTTTTTAAAAAAAGAAACATCTAATTTCATCTATAAGTAATATTTTAATTTTATTATCTTTTACATGATACTTCAAAATAATTATGATTAATATATGTTTAAATATTCTATTTTAAAAATAAACAATTATTATTACAGGTACTCTTAAAAGCAGTGTAACATGTTATAATGATGGATCATAAACAATAACATTATTATTTACTTCATATTTGAAAAAAAAATTCATATAATCTAATTACCAATTACTTATAATGTTTATTAAGAAAATGTCACATCCCCATCTGTTCCAATTTAACTAAAGAGTAATATAGCAACATATATTACTTACAATTTAAACAGTGATGTTTAGATTGAAATTAAGAGTTTAAGCACAAATTTCAACATTTAAAGAGAAATATAATTTTGAGGACTGTATGTAACTAAATAATGTTAGTTTTCTATGTTGCCCGGTGAAACAGTAGATATTGTTGTGGTGTCCTCCTAACATAACTATGCCTAAAAACTATACAATATAGAATCTCTACAGATTAAATTTTAATATTATACTTGTAACTTCAATACATTTACGTGTATATTGTGTTATTATAAATATACAAAATTTAATTATTCAAAATAATATTTCAATAGTTATAAATAAAAATTATTTTATTATCACAAATAACTTTTGGTTATAGTTTGTACATGATTTTTATTTCTTATGCTTGAAAATAAATTGTATTATAAAGGAACACTAGTATGAAGTTTTAGTTTTTAACTACCTTAATTGAACTGAATGCGAGAGTAAATAGCCATATAACGGTATAACCACTAGTGCATAAGACCAGTTTTACTACAGTGTAACTTTTCTATATTCCAGGTATATAAGTAGATTATGCATAGTAAATTGCTAATTATTATATAACATAAATAAATAAAGTTTGATAATTATACATATTTACTGTTAATCATTACTCTCTTGATGATTGATTGTTAGTTGGAATTGCATCATTGCATTATGAATGTATTTATAAGTTTACTTAATTTACATCCTATAATAGGTAACTGAAAATTAGAAATCACATATGATATGTATTCATGTAAATTTGTGAATAGCAAAATTCATTCATAAAATAGTTTATTTTGTCTTTATAATACACATTTTGATATAATTAAGTTTAATATGCACATTAAATAAATATAAAAAATGAATTTAATATTTACTATCAATATTATTGCCTATTTAATAAATACATATCTATTATTTTAACTTGAATATTTTAGATTCTTAGAGGAGTGAGAAATGTATTGGTTTTACAATGTTTATTTTTTTATTCTGTGAACAACTTTTCTATCAGAAATTTTGCTCTCATTTTCAAGTGTAGCGCCTATTTTGAAAGGAAATTTTTCCCTTATAGGTGAAAAAGCATTTCTTTGATTTTTAAAGCTGTTTTCATAATAATTGGGGAAAACCTTGAAAATGTAGGTAATTTATTATTTTCAATTTTGTGATTCAGTTATTCATATTCGTAGAATTGAAACTTTGACAGAAAACTTATACTTTTCATTTCTAGATGTGGTCAAATTTTCAAAATATTTTAGCAATTTTTGAGCTATTTATAGATTTAATGTAATATTTATTCGGTAGGTATCCTGTGGATAAAATGATTAGACACGCTTGAAAATTTTACAGGAAGTTCATTATAAGTTATACTTAATGGTCAAAAGAAAAAATTGAGTATTATGTAGAATTTTTTTTTGAAAAGACTTTTAGTTTCAAATTTTGATGAAATTTCTAAATATTACAGCATTTTAAAAGATACATAACTTAACTCTGCTAAGAATCGTTTTTCATTAGCAAAGAGTAATCATTGAGAGTACAGATAGAAAATTGAGTAACTACATTAAATTCACCTCTATATCCTACATTCTCAACTTCTCACTTACAACAGTGTGAAGTATGTCTGTATCTTTGTAATCTTAATAATGTATTCTAATTTCAAAATGATCACTGAGTAACGAAAATGTTGTGACTTTATGGTCAGAGTTGGACAATATCATAGATACAATTACATTTTGTGTCTTTTTTTGTATCAAGATATTTTCTAAAGGTATTACATATCTTTTTATTCTTAATGATACAAGATAACTAAACATTTTTTTTGTATAATTTAAAAATAAAATAAAATAATGAAAAATCCAAAAAGTTGTTCACATTAACTACTCTATAACAAATAAATTATACACATAGTACGTTTTAGAATACATATTTACAAATATAAAAGTAGGTAATTGAGCAGGCTATTTTTAAGCTTTAATTTTCTTTTCCTGGGTATGTTAACTTATCATATAGATCTAATTTATTAAATAAAATATTTAAAGGCAAATAAAAATTAATCAATACAAAAAAACACCTATTAAAAATCTAGATAAATGTTATTTATATTGATTAATGATGTTTATTACAAAAAGTTTAGCATTATTTACTATTACATTCTATTTTATATTATTATATTATATTCTATCTTGCAAATTGTAAATTGCTATAGTTATAACTATTTCATTTAGATATTATAAATTAAAATTAAAAAATTGAAAGTATTTTGAACCTTTTATGTAAAGTGTATTGTATAAGCTATAGTTACTAATTATTTAGTTTAAAAAAAAATAACTAATAATTTGTTCAAACAAATATTATCCAATTTATAAAAATTACAACTATTAGGATAATGGTACAAGAATAAATTACTTAAAAGACAAGTAAGGGAAAGAACACGCAACAAGCATACCTATAGATTATTTATTTTAAGTAAAACCAATATGGCTAATATTATATTGATTAATAAACTATATAAATATATTCAAAACATAGTTACTAAAATGGTAATTACACGTACACACGTAAATGAGATGTGATAAATATTAGCTGCTATATTAAAAATAATATATATTCGGCAATTAGTTCAAATAATTGAAACGTTGATTAATTGAATGTCAATAGAATAACATAGAAAAAAGCCATATAACAACACTGTATAGTTTAAGATAGATACCTATTTATTAAAATATAGCAGTAAAACCTAAAATTTTATTGAGAGTCAAGGTAATAATTTTATTTCATATTCTTTAAAAATTAAAAATTCAATTAATACGGACAACAAAATTTGAGACAAATAAATACAACTGATTAAACGATATATAGTGCAAATATTGTATACATAATTTTGAAGCATAAAAAAGTAAAATAAAATAATACAATAATGACATTATCAACACCTATAGATAAACAAATTGTATATTTCCTAATCCATTATTATATGACCTAATCAAAGTATAATTTTTAGAATTTTAGATAAGATTTGTTTTTATTTAACATGACAAGAATAATTATAGACATATTTACACATATGATGAGCATTCATTGGTTGATAAGAGGGGATATACCTCTCCAGATGTTCATATTACATAGTAGTTAGCAGTTTAATAAAAAGGTCAATATTATTGAAAAAATAATATGTTTCCCACCCCCTGGAATTTTGAAGATGGATGCCTTTATACTTCAAAACACATAAAGATAATATCGTAATTCATAGTCAACATAGATAGATTATATAAATATTTGTGAGCATCAATAATCATGTGAACAAGTTCCAAACATCTAGTATAAGTCTAATTATTGACTTATGAGAGTTGTAGATAAAAATATGATACATTTGCCCAATGAAATTATAAAAGCACAAAATGATAAATAATAAAATTCAACAAATAAAACTTTTAAAATAATAACATTTTTTTGGGAAATAACAAAAATTAGGTAACCTATCAACTATTTATAAGTTTACACCATTGTTTCAGATACATTTTCAATTTTAGAACAATAAAAATGTTGCAATAATTATTTAATATCTGCAATCTATATACTATTGAAAATAAGAAATACAAATTATATGTAGTTATAATTTCTAATCCTTAAGATTATCAACAGATTTCCAATATTAGTTACTTAGGTTACTATAGTAAATCATAACATTATTGCAGGATTGTAATTTATTTTTAAATACACTAAGGTTATATTTTTTTACATTTTTAATCACGAAGAAGGATATATCTAAATTTTGATTGGTATTCATATTTAATAGAAAGTTTATTGAATTATTATTACTGTTTTAATTGTATAAGTTACAATGATAATACAAATTGTATTTTGATAACATATATTAACATTCTTAATGCTAATAATAAATTGAAAATTAGTTTTAAAAAACACCCCATATCTCCCTTAAACAAGTTTCTGAAAACAAAACTATGTATTAGAACTATTTGATGAAATCAAAAGTTCCTTCATAATTAGTACTTATTTATTGAGAATTGAAATTTTAAACTTAGATGTAAGTGATTACACATCTAATAATTTATATTTAAAAATAAAATAAAACAGCGTTTTCAAGCTTTTTAGTAATGTGACCCCATAAATTAATATTTAATTTGTTTTATTTTGTACACAGTAACCTGATATTTTTTATTTTTGGAAACTTTATAATAAGTTAATGAACTACAAAAGGTAATAAAATCATAATGATGACATTTTTATTACAATAAAAGGTTTTATTTCATTTCATACTTTTCTGCCACACCTTTCCTTGTCAACTGAATTAAGCATAATTAATCTAATTAGAATATATTAACACATATAAGGGTATATTATGCTGTATAACACTTATACCAAATTTAATAATTCAAGGTTTTTTTATTTGTACCTATATAAATATTTTAAAAAGTAGATACTTTACTTTTTACTGTATAAAATAATCATTTTCTACAAATGTAGATATATTTATGTTTAAATTTATAAACCAATTTTTTATGCACATGTATAGTAGGAGAAAACATTAATTTTTCATCAAATTAGACAGGGTCCAACCTAATATGACTAATAATTATGATAAATTTATTTTATTTAATATTATTTATCTGATAATCAATCTATGAAAAATATATATTTTAATTTTGAAAAAAAAAAGTTATCATTTAATAAATACAAAATATCACTCACTTCAATACAATAAGAGCATCCACATTGTTGAAGCGTCCACGAATTTTTTACAGAAACTTCATTTAAACACACTTTACATAATACAATAGGTTGATCTCTGTGTATTATAAAACTTGATGTTGATCCCAGTGAATATCTAGATGAAGAAGCAGCTAAAGACAATACACTACTACATCTTGAACAAACAGCAGTATCTCGCAGCCGGTTTACTGGTTTGATTCCTGCAGGTTGATTTAATACTACATTTGATAATGTTACCATAGTGTTGTATTTACGAATAGGTTCATTATCTCGTACACATTCTAAATGAGACCAACTTTCTGCTGAACCCGGTTGATTTAACGATGTAGCTGAGGTTGACTTGCCCCTGGCCATAGTGACCAGGGACCGTAAACTCGGCATTAACAAATCAATTTTACTTTTACTCCATTTTCGTAGTTTTCTGGCAGTATCTTCATCATCGAATGATGATCCATTATTTAAAAGTACTTCCTCTTCTTTTTCCCAACTACGCCTATTTTGATTGGACAAATTAACATCATTTTTAGATGATTTCTCTTCCAACCCATTTTGACCGGAAAGTACAGCAATACGGTGGGACTTTGGGCGCCGGAACGGATCTCGTTCTAATATTATCTCACGACTATCATCTTCGTCATCCCCCAACGAATGAGTACGTTCATAGTTAACAGCGGTCTTCTTCATATCGCCGGTCGACGTGACCGCCAATCCGTCGACCGATCAGTTTTTGCTAATGGATGATTGTTTGTCATTTTCCGTTAACAAAAAGTTCAACTACATTTTGTAACTTAAATGGAAATGTGTACTTAGTGTTATTTAACTATAATCTTCATCTATAAAAATAATATAAAATACTATCTTTTAGAGTACTTATATCAACTATTACTAAATTGAAATTGAAATTAAATAGTGACAGTTGTTTTATAATATCTATTATTTTGTATTACAAATATTATTAATTTCAATATTTAATTACCTGACGATGTTGAATTAGTGACCCCCTTTGCTTTGAAAACAAGATTACTACAGTCTGAACCTATTATTTGGGTTACGACTTTAATAGTAGGTCATTATTCTATGTACAAACGATCGATAACATGATATTGAAAAATTCTTAAACCTAAAAATACATAATAGCACTAGTGATAAATTTTAGCAAAACGAGAATATTTTATGGTTTTTATCAGATGAATATGACCAATCAGCCGATTTGACAGATGACTACACGCGCGCCAATATACGAAAATAAACCGGTGACAGGTTGACAAACATCAATTGCATTATTTTTTTTTCACTATCTGATTTACAAATTATGAGTATGGTCGCATGTTTATGTTAAATTCTTAGATCATATACATGTTCATATATAAATAATTTATGATCTAAAATTTTTTTATTAAATATAAGAATCTTCTGTCAATGAGTAGGAAAGTAAGAAAAGAATCTGACCGTGAAATTTGTCACACGATTTATCTACAGATTTTCTCGAGGCGTTAATTGCGGTAATAATACAAATTGATAGATGTATTTATAACTAATTTCAAGTTCTTATATTTATTAATCACGAACGTAAAACATGTCTTAACCACATTGGTTAAAAAATACCACAAAAATCATATCATCATAATTAGTTATTTTTTCATAATGCTCTATAGTCTATACCTAAATGCCAGGTTTAACTTTAATGGAGAATATTTTATAACTTATATTCTAATCTATAAGCCATTTTTTTGATTGGTCGTAAAGATAACGGTAGGTAACTACGTATTATACTTAATTAATGGTTATACCAAAGCAGTGTCAATGACTCAATATTATATTTAATTTTAAATAATAAAATGTATAATTATAAAGATAAGATAAAAATTAAATAGGTATATAGATAATTCAATAATTAACAATAGATAGGTGAAATATATTGTCTGGCTAATAGGTACCATATGTCCGTACCAACGGTTTGGATAAAAATTCAGGTAAACGGTTAATAAGTCTGGAAACAAAAAGTCCTATTAAGAAAAATCCGGATATATTTTTGATGGCTGGACAAAAAATTTGATCGGTAAAAAAATATGTATTGATCCAACTGATTTTGTCTTCGGTAATTTACATTATATAAATAACATTACTTTTTTTTATAAATCGTCGAAAAAATACATAACTCATAACATCAATGAAAAAAGAGTTGATACTAAGGACGGGGGAAGTCGATGTTGTTGGCAGGTAGTGGGGGATGTTAGTAATGGGGATACATAAATTGAAGCAAAATTACTGGTTGAAAAATATTTCAAAAATATATTACGTCCTTCTTTTTTCCTGTGAACAACTTTTCTACTAGCAATTTGATTCAGATTTATAATGATAGCAACTTTTCCCTTAAATAGGTATTATCTTTAATTGAGCCATATCCTCAAGATCCTACACTTTGTAAAAAGCAATAATTCCTCTGTATAAAGGAGGTAATAAAAAAGATTGCAATAATTATTGTCCTATTTGTTTAACATTGTCAATATCTAAACTTTTTGAAAAATATATTAAGAATAGTCTTACAATTTTTAAATACCTATAAATAAATTGTTTTCTGTATATCAGCTTGGTTTTATGAAAAATAATTAAAAAACTGATGCTCTAGTTGTTACAGATCATATACATAGGTATTTAGACTGTAATAAAAGAGTAATTGGTACGTTTCGTGATATTAAAGAGGTCATTGATTCAATTAATCATACAATTTTATTAAAAAATTAGAATTTTGTGGTATAAGAGAAACGGCTTATTGTCGTTTCTTAAAGGAAATCGGTGTAGGCAGGTACGTTCAGAAGATCATTTTTCAAGAGGTTCGATTTTCTCACGAGTTTCCACATTAAATTTGAAAAAAACGAAAAAATATAAGAAATGTAGGCATTAATTGAAATATATTACAAATTTTTAAGTCTGTGTAAAACTTTTCTACCAGTAATTTTGCTCCAATTTATAATGATAGCAATGTTTCTAAAAGGAAATCCAACTGGAGAGGTATTTTAGGAAAGGTCACTTTTTGATTGCCTCATGAGTTTCCCAGGAAAATGTAAGAAAACTGGGAAAATCGGTATAATATTAATCAAATATTATTAATAAAAATATAGAAAGCTTATTTAATTATTTTAATATTCGATGACATATATATTGTTTACAAATCATCACTATCAATTGAACTTTGCTCAGAATTGTTTTTTTTGTAAGTAATTATAGGTATAAATTATATTATCTATAACAGTGGCTGCACCCGTCCCCATTATCTTCAAGCATTCTTTTTCTTTTCTTTTTTATCTGTTTACTTTTATTGGTTTACTTAACTAGGTATTAATTAATGTTTATAAATTCTTATATATACTTCGCTATAGTTTTTAATTTAAGTATATATTACTTGCCCCATTGCTCTGGTTCATTAAGTAAGAATAATATATCAATGCCGAATCGTTTAAAAAATATTTTTCTATTTTTCGTTACAAAATTACTTAAATATTTTGTAACTAAAGATGATACTTCATGAGATTTAATTGATAGTTTTTTAATTATTTTATCTAAACCATTGTTTCAATTCAAAGCTTTAATCATCTTTTTCGACAGATACATTATCATCAAAAAATACAAAACTTATTGCTTCATCACATAAATACCATAAATGACTATTTTAGAAATATCAGTATCATTATAGTTGTCCACATCTTTTCTAAAATTAGTCTTGGTGTAGTGCTATTACAGAATGTGGAGTTCTAAACCTTACTTTCACATATAGACGAATCAAAAATATACATAATATGTCTCTTAAACCTTTTTCTTTATTTCTATTTAAATGAAACTGATCTCGAAATAAATATATTTTAATCAGTATTACAATTTTGCCATACACCAAGCGTGATGAATAGTTGTAGTTTTAATAGTGATTTCACCATATGAAACGCCTCATTAATGATAATTATTAATTGGAATTAGAATTAATGATAATTCTAACAATTCAAATAGTGATCATAGTGAAAATTTTTCATAATTGTTGGGTACAAAATCATATTATAGTGTTACTTACGTCCATAGTTCCTAATTTGATATTATTTGCTATACCAATCGTTAATTTGTTGAGTCTATTTTTTCCTAAGCTTGCTACAATCTTTTAAACAGCACACTATCAGGACCAGAAAATTGCACATTTTTAATTTAAATATTGATCGTAGTACGAGTTCATAAATATGCTGACAACATGATAAATAAAGAATGCTTTTATTTAGTAATTGCTAATTATATAGGCACCATTTATTCTTCCTGTATTAGAAATCATAGTGTCACAACACAGTGCATTTACATGATGATATCATTAGAATGATTGGGGTCAATATGTATCACAAACTGTTGAATATATTAAAACAAAAGAAGTTCTAAATTTAGTTTCTTTTTCAAATTTTCATTTGATGAACGGTTTATGAAAATTACAAAATTTTTAAAAAGTTCAAATTTTAAAATAAGGTTAAATTTGTCCTATTTATCTTATATTTTGTATGTATATACACTGTTTCAGGGGTGAGACGAATAAAAATGTCAACTTGAAATTTAAGGACCATCTTAGGGGGTCCATCTTTCCGGACCAATAGAAAACAAATAAAAAAGTACAAACTATACAAACACTAAAAATTAAAAAGTCTAGACAAAATTTGTGGATTTACTTCGTTATAATCAGACATTTAAGTTTATTGTAATGAATTATAAAGGAAACATTCAAGGAAAGCCCTACATAGGACTTATAAACTGGAATATAAATAATAGATCATGAAAGATGATATTTGTACCTATTTACATCTTAAAAAAAAACAGACGAAGAAGAACAATATCAGGATTGAGGAGAGAGAGAAGGAATAATTACATATATATTTTGTATAGGGTTATACAATATCAACAGTGATTTGCTCTTTGTAAAATATATGAGTCAATTTTTTTTTTTTTTTTTTATCTAAATATGATATGTTAAGAATCTAGAATAAAATTAAATCATTAATGCAAATTGTTTCAGTTAAAAAATATAATCATAGTATAACATAAGTTGTTCGTGTCACAAAACATTTGATTCTGAGAAAATAATAATAATAGTAACAATCATGATTTGATATTTTTTTACATGAAAAATACAAACATTGCATATATATAAAGAATAATAATAATTACAATTTTATAAATATTTTTGAATGTTATACATATATATAATAATTTTACTTCAAAACATTAAGTAATTGTACAATTGAATATTTAACAGAAGACAGAAATATATAGTAATACTTAAACTTATTATTAAAACATACCATCATTTGCGCCTAATGGTATCAACAATAAGATGAAACATATTAAATTACGGAACAAATCCTTATGGTCAGATGGCACAGCATATGGTGTTAGTTTGATTGTAATTTCATGTAACTAATTAATTAAGTTTATATTAAATAAAATTATAAAGGAAAATATCTCGGGGCAATATTTACCTCATGACAGATACAAATAAAAATGAATGACACAATCAAACCATTTACTACTGGATAACCAGGTAATAATACTAAAACTCCATGAGTATCAGCAGCCAGCCATATATGACATTGGCAAACCATTAATTCTAAAGAAATTCTGCCAAACCAAGCAAATAAGCTGGATAAACGTGTTCTTAACACTCCAGAAACATTTCTTAAAATAATGTAACTAATTATCTGAACAGAAATAAAATAAACTTACAATCATTGAATTAATATTGATTTTAATTTGGGGAATTTTAAAACTTACAGGAATAACTGATGTATAAGATAACAATTCATAGCATTCCATTATGTTTTGACAGAGAATATTATAAATAATAGAAGCAACAAGTCCAACAAGTGCTAAAAATGAAGAGAACACGGCCAATCGTGGTGATACTAAATTACTGTGATTATTGTCGTCAATTAAGTTATACCTTTGAGCTAGGATGATTGCAAAACTTAAAATTATGCCATTAACAACACTAAAAATATATTTAGTAAATTATTTTAATAATATATTTGTACTACAATATCAAAATAATTACCTAAAACGGTTCAATTTCCATCGAAACCACCATTCATGAATATCATCATCTGTAGTCACAAATAAAGCTTTCCAAGGACGTGTAAGAAAAATTTTATCAAAAAATACCTATAATTAAAATAAATAATCAGTAAATATTTTTATGTAGTTTTGGTATTTTAAACAAACTTACCTCAGACATATAAAGTATGGTGATGAAAATAAAAAGAGCCAATATTTTTAAAATTATATATAAGTACTGTGCTGGTCTTATTTCAGATGAAGCAGCAGTAACACGAGGTGGACAAATTAATACTAAGTAGATAACAGTAAACCAGAATGATACTAATGGTATGTAAAAATAAAATTGGTAAGGCCGGTTCATACATATACACAGCACTACAGTCAGCATGTTTAATCTGAATAAGATCTGCAAGATAATTTTTTTTTAGCAGTTAATTTTATTGAATACAATAAAACTAAAAATTAAAAATAATAGTTTTTTTTTTTAGATGACAGGAATACGAGTTTTAAGTGAGTATTATTAAGTTAACTAGAAAATGTTGACACAACATTTTAAAAATAATATAGATACCAAGAAGTTCACGCTAAAAGAGGTACCACTAAATATTTCAGATAGATCATCTAATATCGGAATGAAATATTGGGAAATGATAGGGAGTACCAAAATACACACATTCTCAGACAAATTTTAAATTTTTAACCTTTTCAGTATGTGAATGCGCAATACAATTTACTTTTTATAAATGACAACACAATTTTTTTTTCTATAGACTCAGATAGTTTTTTTTTTTTTAAACAGTTATTGTACAAATGAAAATTATAAAAAGAAGTCCTAGGATAATGGAGACAGGTATAGTTACTATTTTAGGTAATTTAATGTATACCTGTAGCTATAAACCAATGCCACTGAAAAAAACGATTCCAAGAGCAATTCAGTTGATAGTGATGCTTTGTCAACAGTATATATATATATCATATTATAGTAAAATAATTATTAAATAGGCTTTACATCTTATATAAATCTATATCATCTTATAATTATATTAATAGGTAAAACTATATTACATATTTTTTAATGTATTTCAACATCTTATTAATTTATCCTATGAAACTATGCTTGCGCTGGATAAATGAGTTTTAAAAATCTTAAAACTATAACTTACTTTTAGAACACATCAATATATTTGGTCAGCACAATTAAAATGAATTCATAATGTAGGGCCTAAAATAAATCTGATTTCAAGAGACACACTTCTTAGTCTAATTGTAACTTTTGACAGGTTTTCATAGCAAAAAACTGTGGTGGTTTATAACACCCAAAATTATCCCCCTCTTTATATACTGCTCACCTTATACATTTATATTATTTATATGAAATTTGGACTAAAAATATACAAAATAATTATAAATAAAAGTACAAAATATTTTACTGATAGTTAAATAATCACCGTCAGAACAAAAATAACTATAATAAGCTGTTGTCACAAATTCGAGATTACCTACATAGTACACAGTATATTTATAGACATAAGGTATATTCGTTAAATTTATGATTAAAGGTAGTACATTTCGGTTGTATAATATTTTAACGAGGAAGTTATTATTAATTTATATTGAGATAAACAAGATTTATTTGTATTAAAATTTCAAATTGTTTATTTCCACAATTAAAACTAAAAACACGTTATAGAATATGGGCCACACATTTATAATTCAGGAAACACAGTATTTTAGCCCTAGCATAATGAGTACAGTTAATGTAAGTCAGTCAAAAAATTGGGTTATTTAATCTATACCAAGAAAGGTCAGCATAACTTAAGACTAAACTGCTAAGTTTGATTAATAAGGGATGGGAAAACTTTAAGTAGACAAAGAACATAAACGAATAATAAAAATAGATGGACAAATTAGGCATGTGGGCTACTCAGCCACTGTTGTAACTGAGAAGTTGGAAAGGTAGTAGAGGGGAAATTTAATGTATGCAACAATTAACCATTGCTAACAAAATGATTCTGAGGAGCAAAGTTTAGTATTTCTTTGACAATAATAAATATATCATATTATGGTAAAATAATTACGAGGTGTGTTGGTAAAATAACTTTCCCAATACAATAACTAAGGAATGCGGATTAACTAGTTATACAAAATGTTTACCAAGAATAAATAAACTAATCAAATATATTAGAACTCATTAATTATTAGTCATAATTCATAATGCCCTAAAAATCCAAAATTTAAAAAGCGAGTATTATTATTAATATTTTAGTAAAAACATTTTACAATTATTCTAACTAATTATAAATTATAATTCTCATTGAATTTTGATTGAATCAGGTAAAGGAAGATTTAAATGAAGTAGATGAAATGACGGGAATGACTTATAATTTAATTGATAATATACTACAAATTAAAAGAAAAAAAAATGTTGAGCATATGAATTTTTTTTTTTATTTACCTTGCTAGACCTAATTTGGTAACAATTCCAAAAATAAATTTTATGAATTATATGGTGTTACGATATCTAGGTAACTTAATTCTATTATAATAAAACCAGTAAATTTATAAAAACTGTATTATTGTAGTTGGCCTTCTATTCAAAAAAAATAATACTTTTATTGCACATAAATAATTGCCTAGAATTAAATATATAAATATGTATGTATTAATACAATCACACACACGTAAAATATACATAAAAGTTAGTAGGGGGAAACTGTTACTGTCTCACTTTATCAAGTTAAAATGACGCAGGTAGCTCATTGTCAAGGTCAGTTCATATAGGATTAGAAGCCTAGGATTGTTATATCACAAAAGTTTTTACTATTGAATAACAAAAAAAATACTGGAAGGAGATAAATGAAGCAATGTAAATGTTATTTTTCAAGGTTCTGGTCATGGTACAAATAGATAACTTAAAATTGTATTGATTCATAAAAAGATTGCTTACACAAGTTAAACAAAAAAAAAAAAAAAAATAATAAAATAATATTTAACAAAATTCTCTCTAGACAATCCAGTGTTTTCTAGTTATCTAATTTATGTCTTTATTAACAGTAAAATATTGTTAATGTAATTTTTAACAGGACTTCAACAATTTAGAAATAAGGAAAATTACATATTAATATACAAGATGTCCCACGAAGATCTGACAAACAAATAAAATACATTTTGTTCCTTTCAATATATTTGTAGTAATTACTTAAGTCCTGAATTATGATAACTCTATAGTATATTTGTTTGAACTAAAATTAAAAATTTAATTTAAAAAAAAATCGTTTTTACAAAATCTAAAGTAGCCATTTTATAAATATACTCTGAAACATTATAATTTTGGCCATAATTTTGGCGTTAAAAATATTTATATTTAAATTTATATGAACTTAACTAAGTTTTTAAAATTTTTAAAGTTCACCAAAATTATTTTTAGAGACAAATTGGTAAATCAATAAATATTATTTATTAGTGGCAATGAAAAAAATGTATACTATATAAAACTTTAAAAATAATTTGAATTTGATTTTAAAGGCAGTAAGTAATCTAGATGTGGAAAGAGTACGAAGGTAAATATTATATCATGATTATTTGTTTAAACATTATCTAATAGAAATTAATTTTTTTTATTTATAGAGATCATCTCAACGACTAAAAAAAATATTCCACCATTTATAATAATTGTACTAGCATGTGTGTTTACCAATACAAGTTGCAATGTTGATTTAAATTTATTTAGGCTTTTTATAGCAAGTAGAATTTTACATAAATTAGTTTACACAATTTATGTCAAACCACAAACGATAAGAGGAATATTATTTGTAATAAGTTCTTAGAACATTGTATATGGCTAATTATGGGTTATTCTTTTTTAAATAGTAATTCTTGGTTAAAACAAATCAAAGATTTGATTTATGCAGATTATAATTAGTGAAGATTTATGTTTCTGGGTTGGGTTAAAAATGTAATTTGTATAATTTTAAACACTTCAATTTTCTTTTAATAAGACTAATTATATTTAGATTAGAATTTAAAAAATTATGTGTCAACATTCCTGTGTATTTGTTATCAACAATTTGCATAGTATCAGTGGCAGTGGTAACATGCATCAGTACATTTTTTTTCCGTACAAATTAAATTTGTATACTTACACATTGAATATTTGTTCCATACCACTCACCTTTATCAGTTCTCCGTCCAGTTGTCAAAAATTACACAAGACAAGAGAATGACAAAGGAGAGTAATGTGAATTTTTGAGTGTTTTTAGAAATTTTAGAAAAATATATAATTTACCTGAAAATAACGAGTTAGTCCCGCATCAAGTCTATGCCACAAATAATAAAAATGACCATATCCAGTAAGAAAAAGGTATGCAGCAATTAATATTTGAACATTATTTGCAATTGAAGCTTTTATACTTGCTCCAGTTAGATTATAAATCAAAATTATTAACTGCATCCAACCTTAAAAATAAAAGTTGTTCTTTTTTAAATTATTATTCTGCATTAGATGGATTTTATACAAACATAGGTTAAATACCTTTCCATTCGTCAGTTTGATCACGATGAAGAACTTTTGTATATCTACTTTCATCAGTAAAAAATAAACCAAGTACAAAAACATAACCTATAGGCAACCAGAAACTGGCATCTGAATAATATTTATTTTCTTTCATGAAAAAATTAGTTCTACAAATAAAATATGTTTTAAATGAAAAAATCATTTTAAAATAATAATTAAAAATATTAAAAATATACCTGTCACATAGGTAAAAATAAATCATAATAAGACCCAACTTTGCAAGAGAAATCATTATAACATAACATGGTTCATTTTTAGATAGTCTATTTCGGCGATACCTTACAGCCATTAGAATTCCAATACAAATACTAAAATATAATATTATATAAATTACAAAATAGAACTAATATGTGTAAACTACATATGTTTACACCTATTTAACTTACCAAATAATAAAAAATAACAGCATATAACTTTGTATTGAAGTATAAGGTTCAGTGCTAGAACAACAGGTGCCATCATTGAAGTTCATATGATCATTGCAGTATAAATTTAACAGTATTTGAGCCCTTAATCTTAGTGATGCATTACTAGAATGAAGACCATCAGGGCTATCATTCATTTCACCTTGAGAAACTAGTCTTGAACTCCACCACATTTCAGCAGAACTTTTACTTAAAACCTAAACATAATATCAGTATAAGTGATGAGCTAAACTGTCTAAATCATAAACCGAATTCTTGATATTCAGTCCAATTTAAATTCAAACTTAGGGTGAAATAAATTTGAACTGAACTATTAGTATTTAATACTAGTTTAAAAATTATTAGTAGCAAGTATTGTATATCGGCCAATATTGAGGATATTTGGATATCAGTTTTCTCGCTGAACCTGATATTTGAAATTTTTTTTGCATTTATTTTTGAAACTTGCCTTTACAGTAAAATAACAAGGTCCCGTAAAAAAAAATTGCAATTCAACATATTTTAACCTGTCTATAACAGATGCTTTATATTACAGATACGAACAGTAATATATTTCCCTAATACTTTGGTAACAGACATCTTAGTTTAAAATCAAATATATCGCAAACGTGTACATACATACCATGCGTCCCTCTATTTCCAATAATGATTATGACAGATAACATATTTGATAATAAGAATTTTAGTTAATTAAGAGGATAGAAATAACCTAGTGTAATATTATAAGTCATAACTGTAGACTATAGACTAGGCGCTTATTCCATATCACTTCACTATTATTATGTTGTACATTTTTTCTGTTCGTTGTAAGTTTTAATTGAATTTTTTTTTTGCAATAATATCTTTCGTACATGTTCGGTATATACATATTTCAATGTATTACAATATGAAAAAAACGTTTTTAACATCAAATGTTAACTGCTGTTCAGAAGAGAGAGCTTCACTGCACAATAAGATTGATTGCAAGTACATTTGTGGCCACGGTGAATGGCTTTTGTTCAGGTAATATAAACAATATTGTTAAATATCGTGTATCAGTTTATTAATATATCAGTTAATCTCAATATCGGCTCAAAGTTTTTGATTTTAAATATCAAATTGGTTATAAATCGGTAGCAAATATTTGAATTTCAGATATAAGAAAAAAAATGTATTGGTTTACCACTAAGAATTAGTAACTTGAAAATAATCATTGAACTACTGGTCATGAGATATCGAAGGGCAAAATTTTTAATTTGAAAAACTTTTAAAAATAAAATATTTAATTACCTATATAATGTTAAAATCATTACATCTTAATACATGCGTTGTACAAATCTACATAAGCTTGAAATTATCTTGAGAAATTAAAAATGAATATATCACCTCCCCTCCTAATTTATTAATTTAATTATTTACAAACAAGAAATAACGAAATAAGTGCTATTTTATTATATTTAATCTTTACCCAATTTTTAAAAATAATAAGCAATTGAAAAAGCAATTAGCGAAAAAATTTTAAATTAAAAAATTATAGAAAATACTTTTAATTCAAAAATGCCATAAAATAAATTCTATTTTACTATTTATTTCATATAAAAAAAGTAAAAAGTAAAAAATGAGATAATGAGAACAAATAGTTTTTTAATAATTGGCTAAAGATTGAATATAATAATGAAACAGGACCTATTTCATTGTATAAATAAATAAAATATAAAATTATCTGAAATAATAAAAAAAAAAAAAAACTATGAAAAACAACACCCATGTATTCATTATTGAATTATGATTCAATACTATTTCGGCACTAAAAGGGAAACAATTAACAAGTCCATATTTTCAAAAATTATTTTTTGATATAAAATGGAAGGAATACTCATATTGAATTTCATAAGTTTTTGGACCACTCCAAATTGCTACATAGGTATAGTTTAGGTTCAGAGCGGAGTGAAGAATCTTTAGTTTTTACTATGATATTAACTATTTTTCTATTTGTAAACAACTTTTTAAACACAAAATTTGTTCAAATTTAATAATGACTTAAGACATTCTTTGTTGGATCTATGTGGTCCATTAGAGGTCATTTTTTAATTTTACAATTGGTTTTCAAAACTGAAAAAAAAAAAATTGAAACAAAATTATAGGAAAAAAAACAAATATTTCAGACTTTTTTTTTATTACTAGAAATATAACTTTAATCAAATAATGTTAAAAGACGTTTTTTGATGCATTTTGGATTTAGTTAATGAGCAAGTAATTTTTTTGATTTTCCAATCAGTTTTCATAATTGAGAAAAATCGGAAACTTAAAATTAACAGAGTACAATTTTACTTTAAATTTTAATGCTTTTCATATATTTTACTTTATTTTTATTGGTAAGTTAATTAAGAGTTTACTGATTTTCTGTGTAATTTTCTTAAATAAGCAAAAACAAAAAAAAATGGAATAGTTTTTGGAAATTACAAGTTTATTATTTTCATTTGTTTATTTTGTTTTAATTCACTTAAAAATGTTTGAAAATTCGAAAATTTTTACAGAAAACATATTTGTTAGTTACTTATAGGTTTTTTAAATTTGCGAGATTTTTTCCATAGATTTTATTTGAAGTTCTATGTGAATATGATTGTTTGACTAAACAGAAATAATTAAAAAATTAACAGGAAGTTCATTATAAGTTGTACTTAATGGTTAAAAAAATTTGAGCGTGATGTAACAGTTTTTTTTATAATTGTTTAAATATCATATTTTAATGAATATTTGGAATACTAATAAGACATTTCAAAAAATGTTTAACTGAACTTCACTTAGAATCGTATATCGTTAGAAATTGTTTACCATTACAGCTTACAGATATAAATTAAATTACTTTACGTACTCTACCATCTTAACTAATTTGTGTACTATACATATATTTTTTTTTTTTTTTTTATAACTGTTTCAAGATCAAATTTTGATGAAACATATTATTATATTCTTTCAAAATCATGTAAAAGTAAACTTCTCTCTGAAATTTTTCATTGACGATGATATACTTTTGCTCACTAATATGTATTCTAACTTCCCATATAAAACAGTGGTGCACTTAGCAGTATTAGCCTTTTATTATTATTACATTTTAATTACGTCTTTAATCAATTTTAATTTTGTCTTAAATAACTTATCAAATCATATAATAGTCAATAATAAAAAGGAATTATAATATATGAAAAAAAAAATTCAGTTCAAATTTGAAAAAAATTAACTCATCACCAATCATTATTCATTAATATAGTTACTATTTGAATATTTTAGTTTCTCAGCTTAGCAATGAATATTTTTAAATTGTAATAAGGATTTTGTGGTTGTATAAGAATAAATAGTCTACAAATTACAATGTATGACTACATCAAAAATTAAATATGCACTAATGTGTGGCTCCCTTTATAAGAAATACATAGTAAATTGTTTTCATATACAAAGTATGTATATAGTATATACTAATTATACTATTTTGTGTAGATTGTATTTTTAAAGTCTGTAGTAATTTTTAAATGTGGAAAATTGTTAAATTAAACCACTGTTGTAAAGAGGAAGTTAAGGATATATAGGATGATTTAGTTTATAATTTATATAGTGTACAACAATAAATAATTACTAACAAAAAAATAAGATCAGTTAAACATTTTTTTAATTAAAACTAAATTATCCTATATATCCTTAACTTCCTTTTAAAAAAAAGTGACCTAATTTAAAAATAGAAATTATAATATATAAAGACGTTCTAGGATAATAGGGAAGGATGCAGCAACTGTTATAGATAAATTAACGAATACCTGTAAACAATGATAAACCATTGCTTACGAAACAACGATTTTGAGCAGAATTCAGTTGATAGTAATGCTTTGTATATGTTATTTTATAGCAAAATAATTAAATAAGCTTTATATATTTTCTTTAATAATGTTTGCTTACTGTTGTACTAATTTTCCTAGTTTTTCTTATTTGCTGGAACAGCTGTTGGGAAAATCGAAAAATAAACACTGTAAGTACCTTCCTAGTCAAATTTCCTTTTAGAAAATTGCTACCATTGTAGGTTGAAACAAAATTGCTGGTAGAAAAGTTGTGCACAGAAAAAAAGAAAGCCGTAATATATTTTAACTATTACATATATTTCTTATATTTTTCCGTTTTTCCTCAGTGCTTTTTGGTTTTTCAAATTTGATGATATAACTCCTAATATCAAAAAATTACCTCCCTTAAGTATCTTGCCGCACTAATTGCCTTTCAGAAAAGATGCTATACTTAAAAATCTTAGCAAGTCTTCTGGTAGAAAAGTTGCGCAGATAAAAAAATAAAAATAAACATCTCTGTAAAACCATAAGCTTCTTCACTCCACTCAAAATCTAATCCATATAATAGTAAAACTATTACATGCAATTTTTAATTTGATTATGAAATCACTGAATATTTTTTAAATAATTCTATAAACTTACATCCATTGCAGCTTCGTTGTAAAGGTCAATCAAATTGTTAGTAACCATAGATAATGAATTATCTAGTTTGCTCTCATCAACTGGTTCTTGCAAAACCCACAACACAATTGATTTTGATGAAATATCATTAATTGGCTAAAAATTGTAAAATAAATTGAATGTTTAAAAATTTAATTAGATAAAAACTTACTTGAATCAATTGAGTGAGATTAGCGATATAATCTTGAATACCATTTAACGATCCATTTGATTGTATAATGGGCCAAATTGCACTTCCAGCTACAATTACTTGAGGTATATCATTCACATCCTATATCATATATCACTGTAAATTGTATTTTTATTTAAGTTGAATATAAAGTAAAAATATTTAAATTATGTGATTGATTAATTTGCTTACTTTCAGTTTTTTAAGTACTTTAACCATAGTATTTAAAACATAAGGACTCCAAATAAATTTGACATCTAATTTCAAACGACTATCATGAAATGAGTGATCGTGGTCATAATAATGGGAATATGAAGAAAATTCTGAACTTGGAGCCAACTTTGCTTTTGGTTCTATGGTATGAATAAATGCATTATACATATCTAGTATTCTAGGTCCGCCAATAAAAAGAAATTGATTGTGACTTCCTCTAAATGCTAAATATTTTAAGCAACGGCTGCAATCCCTGAAATTATTATTACCGCAAAGATTCATAAAGATTAATGACTGATGTTTTTTAAGCAAATCTATTTTTATTTTATAGGGCATTCAAAAAACAATTTAGTTGTTACATTACAATAATGATTTTCAATTTGTTCACTATATATTAGTTAAGTTGTAATAAATTTAAAAGATTACCACACTTACCCTTCTTCTAATTTTAATATCTTTTATAGTATAAAAGTGTGTGCAAAATATATGGAATTACAATATACACGAAAATACCAGAAATATGACAATTTGTGAAATCGGACAAAAAACTGGTATAATTGTATAGCACTTGTTATAACTTTTATAGTTCATTAGGCAATATTATAAAAACACTTTTAGATACAAATTATTTATCTTAAGTTATTTTGTATATACAAATAAAGAACTTTAAAAATGCCAGAATTCTATTGTCAGCCATCTTTTTGAATTTGGAACCTTGGACTGAAAGTCCCATCAGTCCAGCAGTTTAAAGTTTTTTAAGTCACAATCTTTATAATTATTATTTGTATTAAATTTTCAAAACACAAAAATAGAATGGAAATCCACTTAATAGGTACCATTAATTATAAATATACAGATAGGAACATATAGGAACATTTGACTAGCAATATAAGATTAGAGATACCGCTAATTTATTCAATATCGGTCTACACTCAGCACAGTAACTATGGCTTTTTATAAGTGAGCCATGCAGTTAAGTTTGATATTTAAGCTTTTATCAAAAAAGTTTGAGCATTTAATCATTGGCATGTTTGTTTATTGTAAAAAAAAAAAAAAAGAAAACTATTAGGCGAGTGTTAAATAATTATTAATGATTAGTAAATAAAAATATGTAATTATCAGCAAAAAAAAAATAGGTATAAATGTATAAAATGTCACATAAAGTATGGTGGATCGGTAATTAAGGTTTCCAAGCAAAATATAATTTTTGAATCTTTTTTTAAAACCAGTTTTTCAAACACAACATATATTATTGCATTAATCATATTATTATTATAAACGTCACTAAACTACAGTTTTCATACAATTTACGATAAACTGTGACTTCCCTGTTAGGCCTTTACGACAATCGTGAGTATTATAATTTGTACTATTGTAAACACTAATAAAATATTAAGATGACATTAGTCGACTTCTGACAATGTTAGGATAGGTGACAAGATACACCTTGTCATGCCTTGCACAATAGTGAAGACGCTGGCCAGCAAACTTCCAGTGACTGTCAACAACGTTTCATAGAGGTGGCCAGAGTAGAGTACAAAAGTACTTTTCACATATTATTATAATGTAGTTATTGATAATAATAATAATAATTATTAATAATTAGATGAAGTAATAATTAGAACATATGTTGTCTAAAGTTGTAAAATCATATTATTAAGTTATACCTAGTTTAATTATAAGTACTTAGGAGCTTTAAAGATAATACCTACAAAGAATATTAAATTTTATATTATACAAAAATGTATATTTCTTAAATATTAAAAAATGAAACATTTAAATTATTTACCTAAATTAAAATATCTTTTAATATTTCTTTCAAATCAAAATATTTAAGAAATGAAGTCTTGAAAAAAATTGAAACAGCAATTATGAAATAAAATGTGTACTTAAATTCTTTACTTTTCATTGACCTATTGACAAGATTTTAACTTTTAAAGGTTTTTCTTTTTAAAAACTAATTATCATTTGTAATCAAATTTAATAACAACAATTGACAATTAGTATCAACAAGAAATAAGATAATAATAATGAAATATAATAACACCCAGACACTGCTACATAAATAAATAAATATACATTATAAAAAAAGTGCCTCTTACCTAAAATAAGTTAATACAATACAGAGAAGAAAATGTATTTTATTAATTTATTTTAATGTCTTATTAAAGACCACTGGAAAAACCTGATTACTTGCTAAACATCAGTAACTCTTAATATTCTTAAATTTATGCTAGATTATTTAATAGTTAAACTTATAGTCAAGGATAATTTTTGATATATATATATTATACATAAATTTTATGTACCTATTTTATGTTACTTATTTTATATACCTAAATTATAAACCTAACAGCAGTTATTTAATAAATAGCAATGAAATAAACTTACAATTCACTATATTCATGCATCATACAACCATATGGTTGCCAACCCATGTCACCTTTGTAACGTCCATCAGATAGGAGCCATTTGCAAGAATCTCTTGCTAAAAAAAAGCAAATATTAATTCATAATGTAAAAATCAAAAAGTGCAAATTTATTCTATTTGACTTTTTACTTACCATAAAATAAATGAATACACGAATGAATCACAATAAACCAAAATACAAAACATAGTGCTATTTTTTTCGCATTTTTTGAGTTGAATTTTTTGTTAATATCATCGTGCCTTTGTATGGATTCATCGCATAAGAGCGGTGCTTCATCTGAGATTTGATCATCGGCCATTTTTCATGCATTTAATATAAGCATTATTTAATTCATTATTTAATCATGATGAAGCAATATATCTACTGGTATTTATAATATTTGATTCAACTATAAATAACTTATTTAGAACAAAAAATATATAGACAAAATAACAAATAATGAAATATTAAAAGAAAAGTTACATAGATATTAACAATAATACATTTTTTGGGATTTCGGAAGGATTGAATTATTCATCATTGCTCATTGTGAATAAAGCAGTGTAGCCATATTACATCAATGATTGCGAATTCAGAATTGTACATTATAAAATTAAAATCATGAACTTAAATACTATTAAAATATCGGAAAACTTAACGGACAGACGTGATTAATGCTCATACACCTAACCTATTTGATGTCTGGCTTCAAAGGGTGATCTAATTGACCATTATACACCGAATAACGTAATACTTGGGAAAAAGAAAAGCAACACTAAATAAAGCCACACGAAGAATACCTTCTTGATATAAAGTCTCACGATAACAACCAAACACCATCACCATAATCCAACAAATAACCATCATACAATACTACCAACGGTATATTTGGGTGCATATTGGCCATTATTTATGAGCCTTATTCACAGATATATAATAAAATGTAAACCTACCCTAGCTCGTACTTCTAGTTGTAGGAAAGATAAGAGACTACGATAGCGACCTACAGTAATAACAACTTCAAAAAAAAAAATCCGCCACGTCCAAACCCACGATTTAAGATAATATACAGATTGCATATCTAACACCCCGTTGAACTTTCTAAAACAGCTGGTACCGGTACTAAGAGCGAACCACGAGGATAAGTTTATAATTTCTATTACATACCTATAGTAACAACGGGCTTATATTATTAATTGTTCCTTGAATAATATAGATATATTATGTCAATGTATTTGTTGTAAAAAATGTATGGAAGAAGTATTTTGTGGAACAAATGATTTTGGAAGAAGTGTTTATTTGTTCTACAGAATATTTGTACCACAAACCATTCATTAACATAAGTACCTGTAAAAATCTGAAAGTACTTAAATCGGGGGTTTTACGGTTATCAACATTTGAACCGTACAAACTGGTAATTTAAAAGTCTGAACTGTACAAATTTTGAAAAATACTAATCCAGTGTCACCAACTATGACTAAAAAATTTGAATTTCTATACACAATTTTATTTACCATATATCCCAATTTCACTAATTTTGCCTATGCACTTAATAATAACATCCACAACTAAAGATAATACGGTTGCGGAACGACCTATACTAAACAAAAACGCTCAACCGGAATGTTGTTAAAGATTCCCGTGACAAATAACGAACATGTCGCGCCATATTCTACGGTACGTAATAGAACTTGTACTATGGCTTTAGATATAATGCAAATCATTATGACCTACTATAAACTGTAAGTATTTGTACTCAATTAGTTTCCCTTGCGAATTTACATGTTAAATTGCAATTGAAACAGCAATAGTAGTATTTCATTTATTCTTAAAAATGGCTAAATTTTATATGAAATATCCATATAAAGTTTCAAAAACCGTTTTCGGAGTCGAGTCCCAAAAATGGATTTGAAAATAATTTATGGAAAATGCATTGAAAATTAACCTTGAAAATAGTTATAGGGTGTATGCTTCAAATTTTGGGGACAGTGACATAAAGTCTACTTATTATTCAAAAATATCGAATTATAACAATTAAACAAAACGAAAACAAAATTATCAAAATTGGTCACGAACTAAATTTTTAATTAATATAAAAAGTAGTTAGGTACTACCTATAGATAATTATTAATTAATAAATACAAATACTTGAGTAAGAACTGTGAACTTGACTATTGCATTTCTAATCGTATTCGTATACACGAACATAAATATTATGTAACTAATTAGTAAATAATAATTACTGTTTCATTGTATTTTATGTTACTATATTTCACTTCTGTAACCCTGTAGGTGCTTGAACAATAATATATATATTAATGCAGTCGTATAATTTAACACCAAAAGAACGTTCTGTACTGGTATGAAAACCAATATATATTTTGAGTTTTAAATTATCACAGTTCATTCTGTACCTATATTATCTATAACTGTGATAACACCTAATAATAGTTTTTTAAAAATAAAGATATAGTGACGTTAACTAATTCTGATAAGAAATTTGAGGTATAATATGTTCCAAACGTAATTAAGGCAAAGTTTTAAGATGGGATGATTGTTCTTACAATTTTTAAAATATTAGCTTTTGGTTACAGACGTATAAGTTTTTAGTAAAAAGTTGGTTACACTGGAATAATAGAAAATTATTTTTGAAGATTTTTACATTACAGGCTTTCAGGTTTAACTTTTACAATTTTGATAACCGTATTAATTTACATACAAGATTTATACTTCCCAGATTTGTATTTTCAAGAATCATACGTTCCAGATTTGTGCATTCAAGGTTTGTACATTACAGATTTTTAAGCACTCAATTATACCACAAATAATTTGTTCCGTTAACATTTGATCTTTAGACATTTACACTGTTTTCTTTATTTAAATTCCTGTGTGGTTGAACACAATTATTTTTCTTTTAAATTTCAAAGTTTATTTATTCATTCGTATGATTTTACAATGAGCTATAGCTCTAAAATTGTATGATATGATATATAACATGATAAATTAAATTATTACTATTATTTGAACAAGTTTAAACATAAAGGCCGTCATCCCACTAGAGCGACGCGACGGGATCATAAATAAATATCGTGTGATAATCGTTTGTTTTATAAAACATGGATTAATATATCGGAGTCCTCTTATTGACGCGATGCGATGTGACACGAAAGTGACTGGTGCTGTCAGTCGCTTGGTAAAAGTTGCCTTGTCAACCACGTTTTTTTTATATTATATAATATATTATATAACTATAGGTACCATATTTGACTATATTTTTACTGCTACTATTTAATACTGTTTTATATTATAATAAATTAATAAAATAATATTTATAAAAAAATATACTAAAAATACTGTAAATTATTATTATATAATTTAACTATAGTATGTTCTACTATTAGCCATATAACTATGGCAAAACAAAAGAAGAAAACTTAATTTTAAACCATGATAGCTTCTGAGAAACTCTAGTCGCGTCGCCTATGATGTGCAGAACTCATGACATCAGGTCGTACGATATTTTGATTGGCAACTATTTTTTTATATTGCGTCAACTTCATATCGCGTTGCGTCACCCCAGTGTCATGAGGGCCTTAAGGTACAAAATACAATAACAAAAATCACAATAAGTACCACAGTGAATAGAATGATATCTAATATATATATATATATATGTAGATAGATATTTATGTTTACCATAATCTATGCCCTTATAATATAGTATGGTTTCTAAATAAATTTTAGGCATTTGGGTATCAATTATTGATACCTTAAAGCATTAAAATTCACATAATTTGTTTTAGAACTAAAAAATATACTCATTATGTATTTTGTATAATAAGTTATCATAACCACATACTATCCAATGAGTAATAACATTTGCAAGTTAAACCTAATTGTACTCTGCATTTTGGAATATTGTGCTTAAGTTCAATCATACAAAAAATAAACATAATTATTTTTCTTTTAAATTTCAAAAGAATTTAACTGTTAATAATTATCTTATTTGTATTATATTTTGAATATTTAATTTGAGTATAAATTAGATATTAATCATTAAGCATTTCATAAATGCAAGTTAGAAAATCAAAAACTGATGAAATATCAACAAATGTATCTTTTTACTTTCACTACTATAATATAAAACTATTGACGTTTAATTTTTAATTTTATAAATCTAAAAATTTTTAAAGCTTATACAAACAAAATAAGTATTTACTTATTCATTTAATATTTTAAAAAATAACATCTCTGTTAGTTGATATAGATATATAGATTATATTGCAAACAAAATTTAAGTTTTGAATAATTTTATATCACTTATATTTTACCTGCTTACAGTAAATTATTTCTTTAAATCACATATAAATATTAAATGTATTATAGATTTTGCAAGGATTAGTTAATTCGCCGTCGGAAACATCACATTCCAAAAAAGAAGACAAAACTGTATTTACTGATGAAGATTTTGAGAAATTTGAACGCGAGTATTTTCAAAATTGATGGATGATGCTATAATAGGAAAAATTATTATAACTATAGTCATAGTCATATTTGCTTATTTTACATGTTGGCTGTTAATACCACCATTTGCTGATTCAGAATCATTTATTAATCAATTATTTCCATCTATTTATAATGCACTAGTTATGCCTGTCTTGTTTGGTGTAATATTTATAATTAGTTTAACAATCTACACGTGTGTTGCAATAAGCTATTAAATTATGTCGAAAAAATTAATTGTTGTAATTGCAGGAATTACTTGCGGGGGCAAAACTTCTATTGCAAACAATCTTCCAAAATTTTTTAGTAATATTTCAATATTACATCAAGATGACTTTTATTACACTGACTTAAATAAATTAGAAAGTATTCCAGAATTAAATTATTATGCATTTGATAAAATAAATGCGTATGATATGGATAAAATGATGATTTCAATTAATTCTCAAATCTCTGATATTTTGGTATTAGAAGGAATTCTTTTACTTGATGATATAAGGATTGTAAAATTAGTTGATTTAAAATTTTTCATTGTCATGGATAAAAATAATAGTTGGAACAGACGTAAAGCAAGAACATATTTACCCCCTGAACCAACTGACTATTTTAACAATTATGTCTGGCCCGAGTATGAAAAACATTTAGCAAAAATAGAAATTGAAAACCAAGATGTAATATTTTTAAATGGTTCTAATAGCATTGACTTTAATACAACAGTTGTTGTTAATCATATTAAACAATTTTTATTAAATTTAAAATAATTTCAATTTTGTATTTCTTCATTAATGTTATTATCTTATTGAGTATTAAGTTTAATTTAATCTTGTTAATTAAAAATTTGTTAAAATGTTAATTATGCAATGTAAATTTACATTAAAGAATACATTTATATATAATTATTTTCAAAATTGTAATTGTTAAAAAAAAAATTGTATTTTGGGTTTCAAAATATTTCCAAAAATATAATAATTGATTATTAAATAGTGTTTAATTTGATTGTTTTATTTTATTTTTTACAAACTAATTAGTTTTACTCCACAATTCTAAAAAAAGGAAATAATATTTCATATTAATTGCCTATGTAATAATTTACAAGTTTATTACTTAATAACCCGCTATTTAAATTTGATATACTGAGAACAAAAAATAATTCCTGTTTCTTATTATTTTATATGATACTTGAGATTTTTTTATTTATAGGTTCTGAATAGATTGGAAATACAATGGTATTTATTTTTCTGTGGACAAAAATCTACCAGCAATTTTGCCTCAGTTTACAATGAAAGCACTATTTCTGAAAAGAAATCATAATATGGCTTATGCATTGTTGACAAAACAACATTATCAAATAAACTCTGCTAAGTTCCTTTTTTTCGTTGTGATGGTTATTATGGGATTTTCATTTCTAATTTTGATGATAATCGTTTCAGGAAAATATTATGTAAAACAAATAATTTATTTGTTTTTAACATAAATGCATATTACCAATTATATAACAATAGTGAATTCAAAATTGAGCGAATTGTCTTAATTTCAAAATTATAGTTTTTTGTAGTTCTGATATTATTTGTTTTGTTAATTAACTTTATATTATCAATATTTTATAGCATATTGGTACTACCTATCTTTTGTCTTTATAGAGATTGAGAGTTCAAACTCGTGTTTTGGAAACTAAGTTTAAGTTGTTTATTGCTTTTTACTTGAACAGGGAAAAAAAAGACATTTCAGGTGTGCCTTAATATCCAAGTTATCGCTTGCTCGGATTTTTTTAATCAAAAAATATTGCCCTTTTTTGAATTTTCCAAGTTTCTCAATAAATGGGAAAAACCGGAGAATATATTCAATATTAATGAAAATATATAATGCATATTATTTTATTATTTTCCATTTATACATATATATTATTGACAAAGGTGAACTTAAACTTAACTATATTCATCTAAGAATCGTATTTCGTTGCAATGACTAATTGTTGCATACAATAATAAAATTAATTTCCCTTTTTATCCTACATTTCAAAATTTTCACCCCTAACAATTACAACACTGCCCGATAATATATCTATATTATTTTTAACAATGGCAGTGATCGGATATTTGGAGTGGAGTTCTGGAATAAACGATATTATTTATATCTAAAATAGTAAACATATTTAATATGTTTACTATTTTATTCCTCATCTATTTACCAAGAACATTGTTGCAAACTTGGGTCATAAATTACACTGACTTTAAAATTTTTTTTTCTAGTTATTAAATTAAAAATGGTTTAAATATGTATAAAGTGAAAGTGTACAGTCGTCACTATCCTATAACGTTTGGGTTAACTACTTTCATTTTCCTTCTACTATACAGGAATATTAATCTATCTTAAGACCCTCGTTTTCTCGGAAACTATTTACTTTTACGGGAATTTATTTTCTAGAATATTTAAGAAACAAACTGTTTTTTAATTTTATATTTACATTATTTTTGGGGATAAAACCACTACTTCATTTTTATTTTCAAGTGATAACCTATATTGAAAATTCCATGAATACATGAAGTATTAGTTAAAATAAATTCTGATGTTAACATTTTTTATTTCCTTCGATCCGTTGACGAGATATTCCACTTTTAAGTTTATGTAAAGGGAGAGTGGTTGTCCATTATTAACACGCTGCCCGCTGTACCACTACACGAATGATATTCCACTACTCTCTTTCAACCAATTTATAAAAGTGGAATGTCCTGTCTATGGATTGACTGAAATCAATAATTTCAACAAAAAAATTTATTTTAAATAATACCCTATTTATTTATGGAATTTTAAATTTAGGTTGCCATTTGAAAATTAAAAGTAGGTAGTGGTTTTGCTCTATAAATAAGGGTAATAAAAAGTTACGTAAATTTAAAATTGTAGATTACTTGGTTTCTTTAATATTCTAGAGAACAAATTCCGGTAGAGTAGATACTTTTAAGATAATGAGTGTCTTATGAAAGATTGATCACTACAAGCATCTATCAATACTATCAATACAATGTATTCTATAATGAATGCTACGAGTTTCGTATCTATTAGGATAAGGTCTAAATTTCTGGTCTCCTTATCTGCAATCTTCATCAATCATGGTTATAGAAAGAATCACAATGTTTATAACCTTAAATATTTTGACTGTTAACTGAATGTAGAATTTTGTTTTTTATACTATAAATGACATACGGATCGTGTGAACTCGCCTATGCTACATAGTACATTGCTACATCTAGAAACAGCCATCAACATCAAAAACAGTACAGAGTAATAAAGAATAGTACAATTACTCTATTTTATACCAAGTAAATCAAATTATTAGCATTTAAAATTAAAAAATATATAAAATATCAACTTAAAGTGTCTCAAATCGTTAATAATTCTGATTAATGGTAACTTTATTGTTGTAGTTAGAATTATTGGTTTTGGGTGTATTTATTTTAGAATTTTGTGTATTCAACATTGCTGTACCAAGTTCATATTGATTAAACTAATATTTGTATAATTATCTTCATTGGACTATGTATTTTTTTTTAAATTTAGTTTCAGTTTGCACAATTAAAATATGTCTTATTCTACATTAAAAAAAGCCCTACAATTATTCGAAGACCCGATTTCTTGTAAAAACTCAAATCCACAAAAACCAGGTAATTTATTATTTAAATACATAATACCCAACTTGAATTTTGTTGTTTTTTCAGGCAAAAAATTGCATAGTTTCCTTAAAAAGTCTAAGGGTAAATCACAACACGCCAAAAATATTTTCAAGGTACAAAATTATTCAAAAACAGATGCTGGAAAGTCTGTTCAAAAACTCAAGGATCAAATAAAAAATGAAAAGGACTTAAATTTAGTGAAAATAAATTTGGATCGTTTACACAAATTAGATAGAACAAGTTGTGTAAATAATATTGGATCAAACTTGGTATGTACCTAAACAGATAAACATTTTATTAATTGCATAAATATTGAGAATAATTTTACCCACTTAAACAAATTATTGTTATATTCAGTATCATAAATTTGTACAGATTTGTAATCTAGTATATTTTGTTTAAAAAGTCATATATTTAAAAAAAATATTTCCAAATTTGTGAACCAAGTAATTAAAGTGAACATTAAAATATTCAAAGATGGTTTAAATGATATCAAAAATATATATATAGATATTTATGTATACCATAATCTATGCCCTTATAATATAGTATGGTTTCTAAATAAATTTTAGGCATTTGGGTATCAATTATTGATACCTTATAGCATTAAAATTCACATAATTTGTTTTAGAACTAAAAAATATACTCATTATGTATTTTGTATAATAAGTTATCATAACCACATACTATCCAATGAGTAATAACATTTGCAAGTTAAACCTAATTGTACTCTGCATTTTGGAATATTGTGCTTAAGTTCAATCATACAAAAAATAAACATAATTATTTTTCTTTTAAATTTCAAAAGAATTTAACTGTTAATAATTATCTTATTTGTATTATATTTTGAATATTTAATTTGAGTATAAATTAGATATTAATCATTAAGCATTTCATAAATGCAAGTTAGAAAATCAAAAACTGATGAAATATCAACAAATGTATCTTTTTACTTTCACTACTATAATATAAAACTATTGACGTTTAATTTTTAATTTTATAAATCTAAAAATTTTTAAAGCTTATACAAACAAAATAAGTATTTACTTATTCATTTAATATTTTAAAAAATAACATCTCTGTTAGTTGATATAGATATATAGATTATATTGCANATGAAGATTTTGAGAAATTTGAACGCGAGTATTTTCAAAATTGATGGATGATGCTATAATAGGAAAAATTATTATAACTATAGTCATAGTCATATTTGCTTATTTTACATGTTGGCTGTTAATACCACCATTTGCTGATTCAGAATCATTTATTAATCAATTATTTCCATCTATTTATAATGCACTAGTTATGCCTGTCTTGTTTGGTGTAATATTTATAATTAGTTTAACAATCTACACGTGTGTTGCAATAAGCTATTAAATTATGTCGAAAAAATTAATTGTTGTAATTGCAGGAATTACTTGCGGGGGCAAAACTTCTATTGCAAACAATCTTCCAAAATTTTTTAGTAATATTTCAATATTACATCAAGATGACTTTTATTACACTGACTTAAATAAATTAGAAAGTATTCCAGAATTAAATTATTATGCATTTGATAAAATAAATGCGTATGATATGGATAAAATGATGATTTCAATTAATTCTCAAATCTCTGATATTTTGGTATTAGAAGGAATTCTTTTACTTGATGATATAAGGATTGTAAAATTAGTTGATTTAAAATTTTTCATTGTCATGGATAAAAATAATAGTTGGAACAGACGTAAAGCAAGAACATATTTACCCCCTGAACCAACTGACTATTTTAACAATTATGTCTGGCCCGAGTATGAAAAACATTTAGCAAAAATAGAAATTGAAAACCAAGATGTAATATTTTTAAATGGTTCTAATAGCATTGACTTTAATACAACAGTTGTTGTTAATCATATTAAACAATTTTTATTAAATTTAAAATAATTTCAATTTTGTATTTCTTCATTAATGTTATTATCTTATTGAGTATTAAGTTTAATTTAATCTTGTTAATTAAAAATTTGTTAAAATGTTAATTATGCAATGTAAATTTACATTAAAGAATACATTTATATATAATTATTTTCAAAATTGTAATTGTTAAAAAAAAAATTGTATTTTGGGTTTCAAAATATTTCCAAAAATATAATAATTGATTATTAAATAGTGTTTAATTTGATTGTTTTATTTTATTTTTTACAAACTAATTAGTTTTACTCCACAATTCTAAAAAAAGGAAATAATATTTCATATTAATTGCCTATGTAATAATTTACAAGTTTATTACTTAATAACCCGCTATTTAAATTTGATATACTGAGAACAAAAAATAATTCCTGTTTCTTATTATTTTATATGATACTTGAGATTTTTTTATTTATAGGTTCTGAATAGATTGGAAATACAATGGTATTTATTTTTCTGTGGACAAAAATCTACCAGCAATTTTGCCTCAGTTTACAATGAAAGCACTATTTCTGAAAAGAAATCATAATATGGCTTATGCATTGTTGACAAAACAACATTATCAAATAAACTCTGCTAAGTTCCTTTTTTTCGTTGTGATGGTTATTATGGGATTTTCATTTCTAATTTTGATGATAATCGTTTCAGGAAAATATTATGTAAAACAAATAATTTATTTGTTTTTAACATAAATGCATATTACCAATTATATAACAATAGTGAATTCAAAATTGAGCGAATTGTCTTAATTTCAAAATTATAGTTTTTTGTAGTTCTGATATTATTTGTTTTGTTAATTAACTTTATATTATCAATATTTTATAGCATATTGGTACTACCTATCTTTTGTCTTTATAGAGATTGAGAGTTCAAACTCGTGTTTTGGAAACTAAGTTTAAGTTGTTTATTGCTTTTTACCTGAACAGGGAAAAAAAAGACATTTCAGGTGTGCCTTAATATCCAAGTTATCGCTTGCTCGGATTTTGTTAATAAAAGTGTACAGTAGTCACTATCCCATAACATGTCTACTATCTGTCACCATCTCTTTGTCTACCAGACTTCCTCACTTACGTTTCACTTATAATCTTTTCATAATAATTTAGTTATACTCTTAAAAGTAGATTCATTTAGAACTTAATCAGTTCAATGTAAAACATACATGCTAAATGAGTTAAACCCGGGAAAACTATTTTCAGACCAAGTTAAGTTTATATATAAAATTAAATATCGCATTCATAATTGACACTCACTTTTCAATTTACGATACACTTTACATATAAGGATATTTATATATTATAGAGCATAGCATCTTACCTTTTGTGAAGACTCATGTAAATAAAAGTTTTGTGGGCCACATACATTTTATTTATAATTTTACTATAGCGAATAATGAGTAGAATTATTTTAATGAGCTATTACATTTTATTTAAAATTTCAAGAAAAAAATTATATATATATGTATGATTAAAAGAAAAAAATGTCATTGTTATTTTAGTCACATTGCTGTAGTATGCCATTAACGATAAAACTTTCATATAATAGTATATACTATTATGTAATATTTAAAGATTTTTGATATTTTGTAGTTTTATATTCCTAAAATAAATCTCTTCTCATAATATTATCTATAATTAATTGATGTTTTGAAACTAAAGGGAGGGCCATATTAAAATCTGCCGTGAGCTGGTCACCCTTGTTTAGAGATTACAATTGAAGTGCAAATAAACACCAAATTGATGAATTATTAATACTACACTAAGTCAGTCCACAGAAATTGTTTGTTTAAAACTTTAAAAATAATTTGTATACAACATAATCATTTTTAGCACAAATGATTTGTTCAAATTTCCAGTGCAAAAAAAAAATTATGAACTAATGGACAGTTAATAATATTTTGGTGAGGACAATGATCTTCAGATTTCTTTAATGCAGCCTGCAAATTATGTATTCAAACTAAAATAACTAAATATCAAATGCTCTATGATTAACAATGGATACTTAAAATTTAAATTATGCATTTAATGCATTTTAAAATAAAAGATTAATTATAATACTAAAAAGAAATTTTACATCAATACCATAAACTGGGACAAACCAATGTTAAATAAATATTTCATTTAAAACATATTTCAGTACTAAATTTACACAAATAAATTTGTTTTTAAAATTGATCATACATTGATACAATGAACAATAATTGTATATATATATATATATGTAGTTATATCAATTAATTAGAATTGTTTTTTTGACCTAAATAACCAGAATAATAATTTATATTAAAGGAATTAAAATAATTACATTTTAAATTTAGTTTAATTGGGAAAATTGACTTTAATATTTAAGTTTTAAAAATATTAAATTAGAAAATATTTTAATTATACGAACTTAAACAACAATTATAAGTGTAATATAAAATCAAAGCAATTATTAAAATATATATGCATTATATAATATAATATATATTCTTATAAATCTTGTACTTTTAGATTTATCACACTTAAATAGTAAAAATATTTCAAATAATTTGTAAGCAAATTAAAAATAATTAAATTTACTTTTGTAAAGTGAACGCATTAATTATCACCCGTTCTTTTTTTTATAGGATCCTTAAATAGCAATTTTTTTTATAATATGCTTCAGATGCTACATTATATTACTTTATATAAATATAATTTAACAGAACAATAATGTATTCAATTGTTTTTCAAATTTGAGATCCCAAACGTGGCCTAGGTAATTCTCCAAAAATTCTATCACCGTGAACACTTTTTGCTAATGCTCTTATGCTGGCAGCAATATCAGTTTTATTTTCAGATTCTCGTCCTACCTAAATAAAAAACACATATTAACTTTGAAATTTTATTTATTTTATAATATTTAATTACTGGAATTCGTGGGTTAACATCACTTGGTACACTACCACTATTGATCATAAATTTAGGTACATTAATTGGTAAAGAAGTAGCCATTTCTAATCGTTTGTGGTGCGGAATGTAAATGCCTTCATCGTGACTACCAGATTCTCCTATATAAACATGTTACTTATAAACAATTCTAGCATAAAAATTAAGTTAAAATTAACTATACCCTCAGATTCAGAAATATCCTCATCATCAGAAGCACTACAACCAATTTGTAAGTTATCCATGTCTTCAAGAGGAAATAATCCTTCTGCGTCATATGATGCTGGAGGTAAACAACTATCATTGCTTCCTCCAACTGTAGGTATTTTAGTGAGACTGGATTTGGATGAAACACTTTTTTGATTGCCCTAAATAAATTGTTGGTTATACATTATCAATACTGAATAAAAAAAACATTTTATGAATGAAATTAAGTATAGCAGATACATAAACTAATATAATATAAGCAAGAAACCATTTAAAAATGTATTACCTGAGTATAAGTAGGTTTAAATGTGAAATCCATTAAATTCATTGTTGGATTATTTTTTAGAGTAGTAATAATTGGTTTTGGTAGAATTTGTGTAGGAGATGAAATTTTGTTAGAACTTGTTCGTGCAGGTAAATTTTCAAAATTTGGCGATTTATCCTTTTCAGATATTATCCTAAATGATTAAACATTAAATAAATACGTAACAACAAAAACAATTTAAGCTATTTTACCTAGCTAAAGCATGATAATCATTTAGAGCTTTAGTTCTAAATTCATCCAAAGCAGAGAGCTGATTCTCAGTGAATTTTCTAATTTTCTCTTCTACAAGTTTTGTTTCTTTTTCAACTTTATCACTCATCTGTCGTTGCAGTGCTTTGATTTTTGGTGGTAAAAGAGCTATTTTAAAAAAGATTAGATTTACAAAATTAGATAGTGCAATTATTTGGTAACAATGAAATACAATTCTTTGAATAAAAATTGGTTTTTGACAGAATTAAATGATTTAATATTTAATAAATATGGCACTTATTTATCAGAATACATTATATTTTTTAGCATTTTAAAACCATAAAATTGAAATTATAATATTGATTAGTTGTTAATATAGTGTGAATCTAAACATTTTGGGTGTGAAAAAATTAACAAAAACTCAAATCTACATGACAAGTGTACATGTTATTGTAGACATGTACAAGTTCATAGTAACTACTAAGTAAATAAAATTTGATTTTCTCCTTTCATTTTTAAATTGTCCAGCATCAAATAAATTATAATTATAAATTAATCAACTGAAATATTATAAATAGAAAAATGTGTGTATTTGTAATTTTATCAAAGGTAAACTTATCTTAAAAACATTTAGCTGGAATATGCCTTTACTTGAAGATAGAAATTAGCTACTTTTCCAGAAATTTAACGACAAAAAAAATTAAAGGGATTTCAGTGATTGAATAAAAGCAATAAAAAATGTGTTGTACAACCTAAAAATGTATGCAAAGGATATTTTAAGCGGTTTAATAAATTATGATGGTCTTACTTTTTTTTTAATAAGAATAATTCAATGCCTTACATTATTATTTGATAGTTGATATTGTAATACTGGAATTATAATTTATTTATTTTATTAGAATATAAAACCTAATAGTTTTCACAGTAATTACTCCAAAGAAAAATTGTTCTATTTAAATTTTGACTTTGTAAATACAATTGTTTGGAACTGTTGATAAATCAACTTTGTTAACATTGATAGTTGTTGAATATTTATTTAATTTAAAAATGTATATCTAAGAAATATCCTATGTCCCCCAAAAAACAGAAAACAACCAACCTTTTACTTAATAAAAAAATGTTATATTTATAATTTCATAAATTAACTTCCTATATTCCTATTTAATAGTTGGAAAAGTGTACTTTTTATTACATTCAATAAGTTATTTATATTATTATTATTATTATAATTTTTTAGTTTTTTAAGTCAAGTTTATTTGATTTTAAATAAGTTTTATTTCCAATCGCATATGATCAAAACTGTAATTTTATTTTCCTGGAACATTAAAAAATGGATATATCGTAATTCGAGAAAACTTAGTAATACATCTTACAGTTCTGAGTAGAAACATTTTTTCACACGGATAAATCAACAGGGGTGGGCCCCAAATTGACTATTTCATCTCATTGACACCTGACACCTAATGTAAATCTTCCAAATAAAAACTTTAACTTGCATTTGTTTTATTTTATAATTTTAATCCTCGAGGAATGAAAAAGAAGTATAGAAAATAGTTATGATGAATTGGAATAATATAGTTATATAAGTAAACAGAGGATAATTTTAATTTTTGTATATAATTGTAAAACTGGTATTTGTCAGATAGATAACTTTAAGAAACCATAGAACTTTCATATTATGGGAAATTTATATTATATTTGACTGTGACACAGTTTATTAATCTTAATAACCAATTTAACTTTCATGTATCCTGTACAAAAAGTATTATACAATTTTGCATGGGAGAAGTCACCAGTAACAGCTTTTTAAATGTAGTTAGAATATAACAGAGTAATCTTGTATTAATAATTAAATTTATTATGTGTATAAAAAAAAATATACCTACCTATTACTTAAACAACATAATTCAGTTTGCAAAAAAAATCAAATATTTTACTGTTTCTGAACACAGAAATAAATATATTTTAATGTTGCTTACCATATGATCGAGGAGAATATATTTTTTTAGAATCGTCAGTCCAATTAATGAAAATTTCATAAGTCGGTGAAAAACAATCTGAATTTTTTATTTTTTTTATTTGTTTTAGATCAGTCTGCAAACAATAATAATATAAATGGTGTTATTTATAATTATTTAGTTAATGACTAAAATGTAAACAACTAAAATTGTATAAAATGATAATTATTATATTCCTAGATTAAACTTTTCATTCTAAGAAAGATTATATCTATAACAATTTTAAATTGTTTAAGAAATTTAAACAAATTCCACAAATAAATAATGTAAAAATAAAATTGCATACCTTGTTGACAACATTTAGATATCTTGTATCATTGATTTTTTTTAAATTTTTGTTTTATATACAATACACAGCAATGCAAAAACATTCCAACACTAAAATATAATTTTCAACTGTTTTTTTTTTTTTTTTTTAAACCATTTCAGTTTTTAATTTATTCTCTTGTCTCTTAGAAATATATACTTTAAGTTTTTATATGCAGTTTTAATCAAATTTATAGCTTACAATTGTAATACAAAATATTTTGATTTATCTAATATAAAATAAATAGGTAGTTAATTTATTATAACGATTATACAAGTGGCAGAGGGAATAATTTTTAAATACTGTATATAACACAAATAACCCATAACCTAGTTATATTAAAAGAATATAATAATTATTAAATTATAAATATAGGAACTCAAATTATGTCTATAGTAAAATATTACCAAAGTTTTAACTATTGATTAAATTATTATAAAGTAATTATTATTTTTTATTGTTATATTTTGTACAGGTATACTTGTATGTCTATTTAATTTTATGTACAACAAACTATTAACTTTAACTATTACTAAGATGCTTAATTATTTAAAATGTATGATATTTTGTTTTAAAAAAAATATAAATAGTTATGTTATTTTTTTATTATTTAACTTATTAAAACTTTAGTATTTGAAGGTGCCAATTAAGTATCAGTATAATAACATAACATGATATTTACTTATTGTATTCAAGGATTAAATCTTACCAATAATTCAGGATTAATCAAAATTGTTGTCACTTCTTTATTAGTAGATTCGGCATAGCATAACATATCACAATTAAGACATTCGTATGTAATCCACCCATAGATTCTATCTTCACGAATTAAACAGTCTTGATGTTTAGTAACAACAATCGCTTCAGAAGATAGTAACTCCTAAAACAATGATCAAAATCACTAAGGAGTTTACAATATCCAAAACAGTAAAACTCGATTTACCTTTGAAAAAAAATTTGATTTATAATCAACGCCCAACAAGTGTTTATCAAATTTGATCGGCTGGTCTTTGGTCTCAACTTCAATGTTCAGACACTTGCATGACACGATCATTTTTTATGAGCAAATCGACGAGTTAGTTTGGTAATTCGTTCCTATACGCCGTCAGTCTTATGCCGGCGTAAACAAGCAGCTGATTAATACCATCCAGAATTCCTTTTGACTTGTCGAGTGTTGTCGGGGCAATTTAAACTATTGACAAAAATAATAATTACGATATTTTTCAACGGAACTAATTCATAGGGCACTTCACTTTGAAGTGGTGAACAATAAAAATTAAAAAGTTTTTTGAAAATCTTTTTGAACAAAGGATGATCAAATTTTGGTTATAATAAAATAAAACAACTGAAGAGAGAAAGGTATAAACAGATGATTAAACAGCTGTTGTACTGTTGAGTGGTTTGTTGTTGCCATATTCTATTAAGAGCCGATAACAGATAACAGGACGGGAAGTACTTAATCAAAAACGATAAGGTTTCAAAATAAAGACAAAAATCTGAATCGAAAAAAGACCACGAATTAAAATATACAGAATACCGAACGAGAAGGTCTTGTCAATGTTTTTCTGAGTCCGTTCGGATCTCACTGTTTAACATGACAGCTAGCATTTTAAGGCAAAGTTGATATAAAAATCAACTAAAACCAGTTTAAAGTTTAGACTGGAGAACTAAGGTATGTTATAAATTGCATATATGATTTATAATAAATATTGATATAGCTTGTAAAAAGTAAAATAAAGTATAAAGTGAAAAGATTCGAGCTTCACTTATGACACGATCGTTCGGTATCCGGTATATCTAAATTAGTGAAAAGTACATAGATACTTATACTAGTATAAGTATTGATTTAATAATAATAATAATATAATACCGGCGTGGTACTGACAACTATTGGCAATGAAAAAATGTTAAGCTTCAGTATAATTTTTAAGGATATAGCTAATATTGCCACCACAGTTGATATAGTCAATAAACTAGATTGCTAACAGCAGATGCCAAATAAAGCCATGTTGGTTGTAGGCTCCGCAGTATTATAACTACGTGATACCTGATCTATCATTTGGCGCCTGGCAGGGTGATATTTCAAATCATATCGTACATTTTACCATAGATTTATATAATAAATTTAACTATTCCCTTTTACATAAAAACATATTATAATGAAAAATAAATTTTACATGTAATTATTAATCAAAATAATTGTATAAAAATACAGTGAAACCTCCACTAACGGACACCTCCCAATAGCGGACGTTTTTTGAGGAACGGGAACATTTTCACTACTTTTCAATAGGAAAACCNAAATTTATATATTATTTTATTAGGGAATTTTTAAAATAATGGTAAATCCCTAATCATTATTTGAAAATAATACGTATTCACATTCGTATGCACTCTCGTAATAATGTATAATCGTAATAATTACGGGTGGCTTCTGCTCAAGCCCAAATCAAGCCTGAAACTCAAAAAATGCTTCTTGCGATGTGGTTTCAGTCACCAAGTCGATGAACAATTAGGACAAACAATTGATACTCTTGTACAATCTGTAATAGATGGAGAACTTTTAGCTCTCATCACACTGATCGACAGCAGTGTTAAAGTAGAGACATATTTTGAATTAGACAAAATCATTTCCACTCACGACACCGATCTAACGGGCACCAATGATCCTGATGAGCCCAACGAGCCCGAAAATGAGGAAGAAGACGAGCCTGAAGAAACAGAAACTTCAAAATATCAAATAACAAGTTTACAGGATGCTTTGCCTGTTGTAAAGAGCATAAATCATTTTATTTCATCAATAGAGGTAAAGAGCAATTCTATTTTTACTTCTGCTGTAACATTAGCGAATGATATTACTAATGAGATTGTACAGAGAAGGTGTAATTACAAACAAAAAAAGCTCACCGATTTTTTTAAACAAAAATAATTTAAAAATATGTACAACATGTATAAAAATATACTTTAAATAATAATATGTAATTTGTAAAAATATAAAAATGTAATAATTTTCAATAAATAATAAGTAATAACATTACATATATGTATGTATGTACGTACATAATACATTATTATACAAATAAATTTCAAAAATGTATCCCTTCTGAATAACGGACACCTCCGAATAACGGACAAAACGTTGGTGACCAAGAGTGTCTGCTATTCAGAGGTTTCACTGTATACATTATTAATATTAGATTATTTATAATAAACAATATTTAATGTTAACATTTAAAAAAAAAAAAAAAAAAAACAATAAACAAATGAGGATATGCGTTTCAAATGTTATGATATTTTGTGTATTGACGGTTGTTTGTAAAAGGGTAAGTAAAATGTCATTAACTTGCTGTGTGTTTGGATGTGCTAATCGTTATGGTCGTAATAAAGTGGTTTTTTTGAGTATGTGTTAGTAGTATTCAAGATGGTCATCTATAGATTCAATTTTACTACAGTGTAACATTATTTATTATTGAAAATATTTTTGAGTTCATGAATTATGATAAAATGTATTTGTGTATAATCACAATAATAAAATTGATAAAATACTATAGCTCTCAACAAATATAACGGAAAAACCTACGTCGTCCGGCCTGCTTGTGAATTTTTACTATAACAAAAATATTTAGCAATCTAGTTTATTATCTATAACATTTTATAATGTTTATATCACAAACTGAGATACATCACATAAGTTTATCTTAGTTCGTGGTTTAAGTTCAGTTTCATATAATCTGTGAGTGTAGTATTAAATGTTATCATTCATACGACAGCGGTCGATAGGCGGTCGGCAGTTGTCGACTGCTCGTGTTTGATTTTCAAAAATTAGACAATTTCTCTGACGAAAAGAGAAAGTTAGAAATATTAAATTCAACAAATATTAAATTTCTTTTAGATTTTTTGGATTTTTAATTTTACGCTTAAAACAAAATATTAAAATTTGTCAATTAATAAAATCAATTAAAATTAAAATGATTCAATTTGTATTAAATAGTTTAAAAATAATACAGTATCAAATACTTTATTATTTTTTGGGATTTTTTGCTATCATTGATGATTTAAAAAATCGCGAACATAATAAATTTAGTAAGTTAGTTATTAAAAATAATTATAGTAGATACTAGATATATTAAATATTAAAGTTTATTTATTTAGTATTGTTTATTATATTATATAAACTTTTAGACATTGTTAGTAAACGAGGAAAAGTTGCAGTTATTACTGGAGGTGCACGAGGAATAGGTTTGGAAGTAGTTAAGAAACTAGCTCAATGTGGAATGCATATCATAATTGGTAATCTTTTTAGTTTAATTACATGAATAGTATGTAGTTACATATCTATAATTTTTATAATATGTGAAAATACTTGAGCACTAAGTTTTGTTGTTTTTACAACCATATATTTATGTATGCTCATAAAATATATGCAATATGAATTACAATTTATAAATACTGCAATTACAATGATTTAAAAAATTATTGTACCAAATTGCCTGGTTTTGATTGCTCTATCCATTGTTATAGTCAAAACTTTTTTTAAATCATTAATGTGACATGAATGCGAGTGAGATGGATTGCTTGTCAGATTTTCTCAGTAATTTGAGTGTTGCTGCGTGACTTTCTTTATAGGGGGAATTAATCTAGGAATCTACTATCTGGGAGTCTACACTTAATATTGCTGCAAAGAGAATAGTATTTTAAATCTAAATATAAACCTTTACCTTGCTACGTGAATTCATACAGTCGGCAAACTCAATACTTTTAATAGAAAAAAGGATAATAACAGGAGAAAATTACAAGATTTAAAAAAAAAAAAATAATATTTGTTTAGCTTACTTTATACAAAAATATTTTTAATGTAAGTATGATAGAAAAGTTTTGATTATGAAAATGTAATAAGTATTAAAAACCACAAATTTAACACAAATAAATACATGAAAATATTAAACACTATCTAAGTAATGAGCAGAACAGGAAAATCAAATTTTTTACTGTTTTTATGATTAACTTTCCCATAAAGTTCATTCTTTTTTTTACATTTTTAATGTACTTGGGAAACACATATTTTGAAAACAAAAAAAGCGATTATTTTAGTTAACAATGTCCTCTTTAATAATAATAATTTATGTGCTTTACGTTTTAGGATGTCGTAATATAGAAGCTGGACAAAAAATTTTTCAACAACAAATTTTCTCGGATGTATCTATTGAAATATATGAACTTGATCTTAAATCATTTACTTCTGTGAGCAGATTTGCTCAAAAAATATTATTTAGACATAATCAAGTCCATTTACTTATAAATAATGGTAAAATTTAATTAGATCTATGTATATTATTTTAAAATAATTGTAGATACACGTTTACTGTTTTTACAACTGTTTTGAATGATCACTTAAATATATTTTGGTTAATATAAATACTAATATTTAGCGGGTGTGATGTTTGTGCCTTATGAAAAGTGTGAAGATGGTTACGAAGCACATTGGACAATTAATTACCTAAGTCATTTTTTGCTAACCGAATTATTATTACCAGTTTTAAAGACTTCTGGTTCAAACAATGAGAATGCAAGAATAATAAATGTTTCTTCGTGTGCTCATGAAGCTTCTCCTTTAATTGATTTTGACAAAATTAGTAAAAGGTTATTATTTTAATTTTAGAAGAACATCAGATTATTACATTTAATATTATTTATTTGTTCAGGAAAGGATATATTCCAACTGCAGCTTATGCAAAATCTAAATTAGCTCAATTAATTTCGACAAAGTATTACGATAAAAAATTATCAAATAGTAATGTTCAAGTATTGGCTGTACACCCGGGCATAGTTGATACAGAATTATTCAATGGCACATTGTTGAAAAAGACAATGCCCTGGATATTAAGATACATATGCAAAGTATAACATAATTTATTTATCTTTGTTTTTGCAACTTTTGTTATGTATTTTTACATTTTATTTTTCAGACCCCAGAAGAAGGGTCTCGATGTATTACTTATGCTTGTGTTTCTCCAAAGTTAGAAGGACATGGTGGTTACTATGCAAATTGTCAATCTGTTAAGAATTTGCCTTATGCTGATGATGATAAGATACAGTTAGAACTTTATAATACATCTAAGGTTATGGTTGAACATTTTTTAATGTAAATCAGTGTGTTGTTTAATCAATTATTAAAACTTGATTGAATAATTTACTTAATACTTAATGAATATTTCAAAGACTGGTGAATTAATGATAATAACTGATTCATTCATATCTATGTACTGAATTATTTCTTTCCTTTTAATGGCCTTAATGATACGACTTTTGCTAATCTACTATTTGATATTCATTTTAAAGAAGGATTTATGGCTGTTCTTAAGAAGTAATATTTTTAGACAAATAAACTGGAAAATTAGACAGGCTTCCTATTGTCTAAATTTGAATTTTTAAAGTAGTTATGTATTAATTTGTTGATAAATTGTATTATTTAGAAAGTTGATTTTACAATTTAAAATTAGGTGTATTCAAAATCAGTATACATACACTTAAAGGCATTTCACAAAATTTTAAAAACAAATATCGTAATTGTGGAGGTCTTCAAAACTGTAAATTTAAATTTGATTTCCTATATAATTTATTAGTCATAAAATTCATACATACCTACTTTAAAAATTAAAATCAAACATTGTGTAGCATGTTCTATTTTCACAGCACAGTAAACTCTATACCATTAATTATATTAAAACAAAAAAAATAATATTAATATTTTAATACATTATTATTATGAGTACTTATGCAATTTAAAATATCTATAGTGAAAATATAATAAGTACAATGTATAAGACAAATTATAGAGCCACTAATATTATTATTGAAATAATTTTCAATAATATAAAAAATAAATGTTTTGGTCTTAACCCATCTTCAAATATTTAACAGATATATATTCAATGCATTTTATTTACTTTTTAAAACTTAATATAATTTATGCACCTTTGAACTTTGTGATAGCATTACAAGAACGTTATTAGTTTTAAAATATTGTTTTATTTGATAGTGGTTTATCTTATTTCTTGTGTTTCTATCCAAGTTTAAAATTTGAAATTTATTGTAGTTGTTCACATTTTATAAAACTATAAAATTCATAAATTCAATTTTTTAAATAATATCTATTTTTCATTAAAATTAATAAATGATAGCTTGTATTTCCTTAAGTGTACTATTCCTTGATCAATTTTTACATGAATTAAAATATATTAAAAAAGAGCTGATACTGGGGACAGGTGCGGTCACTGTTGTAGGTGGATAGTGGGTAATTTGGGATGCATAAAATTATTTAACTTTCACCTGTAACCAAAGATAAACCATTGATAACAAATAAACAAATAATTAGGTGTAGTTATACAAGTTTTAAAAAGCAATAATATTTATGTTTTTTTATCACAGGACGATTAATAATGTATCTCCTATTAAATTGTCAAGTATTTCTGTTAAGCTTACTAATTATTTATCTACAAAGCACCAAGGTACTTAACAAAAAGTTACATGAAAACTCATAAAATTAAAAATTTGATCAGGAAAGTTTTACCATGTACAGACAAAGTAAACATGAGTTTTATGTCAACATTTTAAGTCTACAAATATTTTAAATTAAATAACATTAAAAAAAAAATTTTAAATAATAAATTAATAATTTACATAAATTTCCTCATTTTTCTGCTTGGATATTTTCCGGTTTTTCCTATTTATTTAATATTACAGGGAAAATCAAAAACTAATAACTTATGAACTTGATTAGAAATGAAATAAAAAAAATTCTACTGTTATTTATCTATTGAAGCCGTATTTATAATGGAAAAAATAAGTTCTAAAAATTTAAAATAATGAAATTGTGCCATAATTTGTACAGAATCAGATATTTTGTCTTTGTTTAATGACTCCCAACTCTTAGTAATGACAACCTGATTCCAAACTCTTCCTACTTTGACTGAATATTTGACAAATGTTTCATCTGGGCCACTTTGTACACCAAGTATTAAGATTTTGCTTTTTTTTACAAACCATTTTACCATATTTGTCTTTTGTAATCCCCAAATTATAGATTTTAAATCTATTTTTATGTTTTTATCAAAAAACAAAAACAACATTAATAATTATAAATATTTTTTTTTAAATAGATCTTAATAATTATTTTATCAATATAATATTTAAATTATCAATAAATCGTATTAAAAACATTGAGATAATTAAAAGAAATAATACATCTATACTCTGGCCCACAAGAGATGCACAATGACTGGCAGTAACGGTTCGTAGTTCCATTTCACACTGTCAGTAAGCCAATGAGTGAGGGCACGGAATCAAACGAGTTTTGATCAAATAATGATACCGATCTCTCGTGGACCGGAGTATACTCAATATTTAGATCAGTAATGACCAACCTTTTTACAGAGGGTTGTGAAGAAAAAAAAATTCTTGAGGACAAATAATTAAAACTTTTATTTTTAAGTTTATAGAATATTATATTTTATTGTAAGTAAATATTAATATAGGTACAGTGATATATTTAATCATTTATTATGTATGGATTTTTATAATTTATAAATGAGAAAAAAATTTAAAGTATAAACATATCTCCTATTAATGTGAGTGTTACTTTTTAAAATTTGAAGTTATTTTTTTTTTAAATTGTGATTTAATATTTTGGTGGGCCAATTAATAAATGATTGCGGGCTGTAGTTAATCTCAACTGATTTAGATGAATAATCTTGTTGCTATAATATTTGTTATTAGAGAAAATAAAAACTAAAATCTTTTATGTTCATTAGATAACAAGTTATTCTATAATACATGTAACATTGAAACATTTCACAACATTATAAATAAAAGATAAAACATCATCACCATGAAGTTATTCAAACAAAATATTAAATAACATTAAATTAATGAATATTAAAAATTGTTATTGTTTTTTTCTGATAATTATATTGTGCTAATAAATTATAATTATTAACCTAAATTATAATATTATTTTTTAAAAGTCATTTCAAAAAAGTATTGCACAAGATTTTTAGTAAATAAAAAAAAATGTATAAAATAAACATTAAATTGTTTTTGGTAATACTAATAAATTAAGTTACTTAATAGGTAAAATATATTATAAAAACAAAATAACTATAAATTAATACATCATGTTTTGTTCAATTGATTAGGTGTAGATAATAACCAACAAACATACATTTGCAAGCTATTTTATATAATATATGCTATGTATTATAATAATAAAAAAACTGAATTAACTAAATTTACAATTGAGTTATAATGGTTTACAATTAAAATAGCATTTAATTAATAAATAAACATTTGTTAAAACTTTAAAATTAATAAGAATCAAGGTACATAATTATATAAGAATTTAAAACAAAAAAATTCTCCAAAGAATTTTAGTTAACACAATAAAATACTATTTCATAATACTTTTGTTAATTTAATACATTTTTCATTATAAATAAAAATAAAATTAGAAATACAGTACATTTACTTAAAAAAAATATGGTTTTGAAAATGTAATCATAATTAAGTGATCATACAATTGAGCACAACACTTCTTTTGGAAGCACATGTAGCACATAATTAATTTGTATGCAAACAATTTAGAAACAACCGTGACACATTAACATTCGGTAAAAATATTTAATCATAATCAATTGGATGTTAGTTGTTCAATAATTAAATAAAATTATAATACTATTTTTGCTCATATAATTACTGTTGGGTAACATTATGTTATTAAATAGATTATTATGGAAATGATTTCAGGGAAAGTAGTTTGATTACAATTTACCCTGTCATAAGCTCTTTATACAAATGATAATTATTATTAAAAATATTGATTATATCTTTAACGATTACAACAGAAATCGTTGATTGTTTTGGATGTCCTAGTATTGAATGGCAATGATTGTGGACTCTCGGTGGATATTCCTTTGGATTTAGCTTGCTAAATAATAATTAACAGTTAAAATTATTTTTAGCACAATACAATTTAATAAGTAATTGTTAATATAAAACTTACCTAACCTAACCTAACCATCATAAATTACATTAAACTATTAATGCATTATGTTATTTTTTTATATGGGACCATTTTGTTTTAAAGACCTAACTAATTAAAAAAACTATAGATATGTGTAATTTGTAAGTACTTATGGTTTCTCAAATTCCTGAAAAAACATAACATACTCATTTGATCACATAGGAAAAATAAAATAATCTGAAATATTTCAATGGATACCTAGTTTAATTATAATTTTAGTTTGAATATATCAATTTACTTTACTCTCTCCTTTACTTAATAATTATAATAATTTAAACTATGGGTGATATAATATATATATTAATAATATTTGTATAAATTTGTTTTACCTCCATTAGTTCTGAAGCAATTTGAACAAATAACTTTTCTACATTATCTGCTTGTTTTGCTGATGTTTCTAAATAACGCATGTCATGTCTTTGAGCAAAATCTTGACCAACATGAGAAGGAATTTCACGATCTTCTTTGTCTATTTTGTTACCTGATACAACATAATAGCATAATATAAAAATGTACTTAATAAAAGATACTTGATAATAATTTTAAAATATTTTATTTACCAACTAAAACTCTTAATACTCTATTGTTTGCATATTCATCAATTTCACGTAACCAGTCATTAAGGCAATCAAAGGTTGGCTGAGAAGTTATGTCATAAATTAATATTAAAGCATGTGCAGAGCGATAATAACTTTGGGTAATAGAACGAAATCTTTCTTGTCCTGCTGTGTCCCAGATTTGAAGCTAATAAAATAAAATTAGCAATGTATTACAATAATGATATACTATTAATTTATAAAAAACTATAAATATTCATGATACAAACTAACTTTAAATGTGCTACAAAAAAAAAAAAAAAAGTGTAATACAAGTTAGAAAATGTGCTAAGCAGACATATTCAAAAATAAAATTAGGGGAAGATGGGACTATGTAATAAATTTGTACATTTTAAGTGTATTCAATCAGAATTATCATATAATATACTACCTATTATTACCCTGTAATTAATTTATCTCAATATTTAATCTTATATTTATCAAAAAATAAATTGAATTAGTAGTTTCATAGATATGGTATTTCTGGCTTATATAAAACATACAAATCAGAAAACAATCAGGCCATAACAATTATTAAATTTGTTTGTAACAAGTTCCCAAGTGCCTTATCACAAATTTAGGATAAAGAAATGATAATTATTCCAATGAAATTTGACAAACCAAAACTCAGTTACCAGTAATTTAATAACCATAATATTTTACCATAAACCAAGTGAGGGCCATCCTTTAAGATTAGAATACCAGGATGAAATAAAAACAGTGATATGCCTTTTGTTTTGAATATCAAGTAATCAAAATTTCAATTTCACAGACAAACAGACTTAAGAATTATGTTTACATTATAATTTGCAGATAAATAAAACATAATAGAATTTTTAATTTATAAAATCTTGTTTTTTTACTAGTACAATGTTATTTTAATTAATTATATAATTAAACAACATTATACAAGATAATGCAAAATGACTTAATAAATATAATATTTTTTATAAGTTAGACAACCAATTAAAAAAAAATATTTCTTTTTTTAATATCTGTATAAATAAAATAACATGTTCTGAGAGTTTTTTCAATTATTATTTAACAAACATGATACATCTCACATAATACATATAAAAATAATATTAAAAATGTACATTACAAAAGTGCCCACAAGTGAAGCCGTGTACTACAAGTAGTATATAATGAAACTGTAAATACTAGTAATACCATACATAATTTCTTATATATGATTGAGAAACAAATACACTTCATTATGTCCTTTACAAATTTAAATTTTGTTTTGAGAAAATTATTATGAAAAATGTTAAAATAAAAAACTTCAAAACCTTTAAATTTTCAATTGTTTTAAAATTTCTATTTGTATTGTTTACATATAATATAATATATTGTTTAAAAACATGTCTTAAAAAAAAAATTGAAATTTGTAAGGGCACGCAAAAGTGCATTTTAGACTAAGATTGATTATAATTGAATAATTAATTATGAATAGTAAAAATAATTACTTTCACTTTTTCATTGTCTATTTCAATTGTTTTTATCATAAAATCCACTCCTATTGTTGCACCTTGACCAGGAGGAAACATCCCCTAAAATAATGTTAGCAATTATTTTAAATGTTTCAATGTAGCTCATTATAAATTATTCCATACTCAAACTAATTTTTTTAATGTAAAAGAAAAATTATTATTTATAAATATTTCAGTATTTTACTATTAAAATATATACATATATCATAATATCTATGTTAAATTTTCAATTTATCAATAAAACTGTAAGAAGTTTTTACGTCATTTTTGCTATACCAAAAAAAAATATTTTAGGTATCATAGTAAATTTATAAATTTTCTTTTTTCAATCAAAATTTTAAAACAATAGTCCCTTCTAAGTATTTATTGCATAGCCAATTTATTCAGGGTTTAATATAAATATATACCTATTCAAAGGGTAGTGAGAAATAAACAATAGGAAAAAATATCAAGAGAAAAAAGAACAAAAATTTAAAATCTTTTAATTAGTAATTTAAGCAATTATGATTATTAATCATTGGTGACAATGTACTTGACTGTAATTTATAAAACTATTCAGAATAAATTACTGTATTTCATAAAGTCTTCATAGGGTTTCCAATTTCTATACTATTATATTATTATATACAATTAAGTGTGATCATATTCACAGTTGTATGTGAAAAGTTTAGTAAATTGTAATCTATTTTAATTTTACTGCACATCTGTTAATAGTCAAATAAATATTATTTAAATGAACATTTTTAAATCCAATAAAGTGGCATTAAAATAACAACATAATTATGCAGCAAGTGAATCTGATGTCAATGTACTATAATCTTTAATGTACAGTTTCACCGACGATTAATAATCATAATTGTAAATAACTAATTTAAAGGTTGTACATTTTTTTTTTAAAATAAAATCTGCTGTTCTTTTTTTACCAGTATTCATACAAAAAGAACAATGCTAATTTGTTTTTTAACTCAAAGTTTAATTTCATGTTGTGTACAATATTTTTTTCAAAAAAATATAAATAAATTGTACCTATCTAAAAAAATTGTTTAGATTTTATTATGAGGACTACATATCTACAAACAATTATACTAACAGGAAATTTTTAATTAATATTATATAATTTCAATGAACCTTATGTTAAAATTAATTATGTACATACTTGTGTAAATCGTCGAACTAAACAAGTTTTCCCAACACCAGCATTACCGACTAATACAACTTTGAATAAAAATTTATAGTCTTCCATAGCTGAGAATTATGATAAAACTGGACAAATATATTACTCAGTTAAAATTTAAATAGATGAAAATAAATATTTTGATCAGTAAAATTACTTATCACACATTAGACATTTGCATTACTTAAATCTCTAAGAATAGGGTAACTTAGATAATTAATTTGTTCATTCATTATTACAAGTGCACATCACTTTTACAAAACAGAAAATAAAAAAGAACAATCAAATATCACTAATTAGGTATTCGTAAACACTCAAACAATGGGAATAGTGAGATAATGGTTTTTCTTTTATTATATAAATTATGTGTGTATTTTTATGAACGTGTGTGTGTGTGTGTGTGCGAACACAGGTATAATATTATAATATATTTAAAATTTATTTACGTATATTCACACACAAATACAATATTTATAATAACAATTAACCACAAGCTGATAAAGGCATATTATTGATAAGGTCGTTGGTTTTTTGGCGGGGTCAGGTATAATCGTATATATTTTTGGTGATGATTTATATCTTAGGAATAATTTTTGTAATTTGGCGTATGAACAAATATTATTAGGAAACGTATTTCATACATAGGAAAATAAAAATCAGAAATGTATAATTACCACATAAGAATCAAACGTACGCATGCAAATTGAGGAGGAGGACAATATATTCCCGCTTAACTTATAAATCCGGAAAACAATTCTTAGAAATTATAATTGGGACAATTTTATATAGGAATATATAACTCAAGACAATACATGGTGAAACAGAAACACAATATTTAAGAGTACAATTTCTATCATAATTCGTAATATTTTTTTCTGATCTTATGTTCCTAGTGTTTTTGAATAATTATCTTCCCCGAATTGTATTTTCCTCATATTTCTCTCGATTTGGTTAGGTAAGGCTCGATCATGTTAATATTATTAATTGATTCACTTTTTACATAAATTGTTTATGGATTAAGTATAGTCAGGTATCGAATAGATAAGTATTAATCAAGGACACTCGCAGAGAATTAACTCAGTAAATTCAAAACACTTTTCAATAAAGTCCATTCGTCCATAGTAAGATGCAACAGTCCTTCAGAATTGGTGTTTACCATTTTGGTCATTATCATGAAAACAAATTAACAAAAGATTAATTTTATATTTTATTTCATTTTTTTTAATAAATTGACAATTGTGTACCTACATAAATTTTTATTATAGTCCAAATTTATGAAAAAATAATCATCTCCATAGGTGCATTTGCACTACCTGGCACTCCCTTGTGGGCGTTCCTGGTATTAATGGTTAATTAGAACCACGAATTAAGATAATATACAGGACTAAAAACAAAGATCAAATCAGTGGACCTAAAATGTTTTTAGTACAACCTGTATACTTAGCGCTATCTATGTCTATAATCAATAATCAGTCACTTTATAATAAGCCTAAATTTAATTTTTTTTTTCCATGTTTTAAAATGTTCATGTTTTTATGTATTATAAATATTAATATAATAGAACTTACCTACTCTTAAAAATTAATAATTAAACAAAATTACTTATATAAGTAGTTAATAGAACAAATTGAATGAATGTTCAATGTTCATCAATTGCTGACCATTTTGATAGACTTGTTTCATTTCCCTTCAAAACGAGGAAGATTAAGAACAAAAAAATTTGTAACAAACGAATTTATAGATATAAGAAAGGCTTGTGGTATTAATATAGACCAGAAAAAATATAGTAGTGATTTTACTAAAACTTACTGCTTTATACTAATTTTATTATGTATAACAAATATAAAACATTTGGTTATCTATTTATAAAACAATATGAATTATTTTAAAATAATAATACATATTTTATAATAATTTTAAATATACACAAATTATAGGACATAATTAATTATGATTTATTATTATGTATTTATTAATTTAGCTAACTTATTTTTGCATTAAGTTTAATTGGATTTTTATTTGTTATTAATGAATACTAAATGCATTTACATAATAACAATTTGTGTACATAGGTACATATTTTTATGTTTAATACAAGGAAAATTGACTCCCTAATTTTTGTAAATTTTTGTCATTGTTTGTCATTAAAAAACATTATTGTTTTCTCAATATTTGACTAATGATTTTTCAACAGCGGTTACTAATCCAAATAAAAAAATCATTTGGATGTGTCAAACCATCATGTATTTTTGAATTAAGAAGAGTAGCTTCTGGTTTGCTTGAGTAAGACTCTTTAACTAAATCATAGAGATAATTTATTAACTACAAATTGGTGATTATTTTGAAATTATTTGTTTCGTATACATATTAGTTAACACTGTAATAAGACAATTATTATATTTAATTTTTTTTATATAGCCACAAATATAGTTTAGGACACAATTTTAAACATCTGCTTTGTATAATAATTATGTGTATTATTATGAAATATGTTGTATACTTCTATTTTATTTATCAGTAAAGATCCTACAAAATACATGATATATTTTCAAATTGCATTTTGTAAACTTTTAGATATCTATTTTTATAAATTGTTTTCAATTATAATACTAATACTAATACAAATACACATTTACTAAAAATAAAATATACAATTTTTTTCTAATAAGTTTTAAATAATTTTTCAAAATCAATTTTTGAACATTTTATCCGATAGATTTGATCTCTTTATTGTTCCTTAGTTCGGTCTATTATTGAATATAGGTTTGTGTTATGAGATCATCGCTCAGCGTCTAGCTTCCTACAACTAGAGCACGTCCAGAGACGCTTTTTATCATTCGCTTTTATGCTTTAAAGATTATTTACCTTTGCTGTTTTATAACCTCTTGATAATTTTTCAAATCGTAAACTATCGTATATACAAGCACCTTCTATAATAATCCAGACTTTGTTTTTTTTGAATACATATTTATTTATTTAATATCTTATTGAACACTGTAGGTATAATAAAGTAGGTATAATACAGTAGGTATAATACAGAGATATATATTTAATAANACAGTGCATTATTTGAAACGCAGTGTACAAAACCTGTCGATAGATCCGGGAGGGAATAAATGGATAGTGTTGTGGCGTGGGGATGCGCAGTAGCGCTTCGATTTGGTCGGAGAGCGGACCGTTCTCTCCTGGGACAAACTATAGGACCTTTTTTGGAGGGGTGATATGAATATTTATCAATAATAGCAAGGAAACACACATATAATATATTTTAATCCAACTTAAATTATTGATAATTTATAACAAAATTTTAAGTTTTTTTGGTGTTTTGTTAGTTCATCAATTATTTTATCAAAATCCAATGAAATATGTTGATTTATTGACATACTAATAAGCTATTACGGCTCACTAATAACAAATCAAGAAGGTTATCGTAGTTTAAAGATTATCACTTATCGGTTATGGCTTAACCAAAATGTGCTTATTAAACATATAATTTGATAGAAAATTTCATAACTAAATAGAATTCAAATTGATTATAATTAATTCATTAACATAGTAATGATGACTTAATATTAATTGCGTAGTTAAAAAGACGGACATATTTCGCACGATAAGTGCAGCCACTGTTGTTAGTGAGAAGTAGGGAATGGAAGTAGGATATAGAAGGGAAAATAATTTGTATCTGTAAGCACCGATAAACTATTGCTAACGAAAAACGATTCTGAGCGCAGTTCAGTTGATAGTGTTGATTTGTCAAAAAAATACACTAGAAGCCGCTTACTAGGAACACGGATAATTGATACAATCGCGTTTTTGAAAAAAAATGTATAGGAACAAACTGGTCGTATATTAAAACAATCATTTATTAAAACCGATCGTTTATAAGAAACAATCGGTTAATTGATACGATTCACCACGGTTACAAAGTGTTCCTTATAAGTGGCTTCTACTGTATATGCCGTGATATGGTAAAATAATTACATATGCATAAAATAATTATTATCTATGACTACACAAGATATAAAAGCAAATTATATGATGTAAAAGACCGTTTTTATATTTTTTTATGGTAGAAAAAAATTTGTGGAATCATATTATTAAATTTCGACCATTCGACATAAATTAAAATTACATTATTTAAATTACAGTACGTTTCACGAAACTAGTGACTCCGCAGTGACGCTTTCGGTGTTCCACGGTTTCTCAAACTTGCACACAATATGCGGCAATTTGGAATACTGCACGGTTTTTAAAAGATATGAATAAAAATAACTATTTTATTTATTGTATAATAAACTAAAATATACATTTTCTTTTGATATTTTAACATTAAAATTTACAATAATTATAACATTTTTAAATTACCGCGCTTTTTTAGATACACGTTTAGGAAACCCTTTGGTCAATCTGCCACTGTAAGCGCCACTACGGAGTCGCTAGTTTCGTGAAACGTACTGTAGCTATAGTGTACTCGGTTACAGCTGTTTGTAAGATCGCCATGGTTTTAACTGTTTTAGCTTTTAAGAAATTAGAGTTCTATCACAGAATAAGACCACTCTTATTATTCTATTTTATTATATTATAATATAGATAATATTATTCCAAAGATAATCTTCGAACCTTTATCACGTGTTATCAGTGGGTCGTGGTAAATATAGAACGATGACGTTTAGATATTGTAAATGCAACTATAATGTTTTATGATCGAAAAATACCTTTAAGGTTATTCTGTGGCTAAATTAAGCTAAGTACTGACTTTTAGTAATTATTAGCAACAGCGATTAAGTGCGAAAAATTATTAAACTATTTAGAAAGATTCAAGCCTAATCTACTTAGCCACTGTGATTGTTGATACCGGTTGTCGTTTAACGGGTATTTTCGATTAAACAAAAAAAACTTGGAAAAAATTGCTTATTACCGGGCGGCCATGTTACCGAGGCAGCGGCGGTAGCGTATCCGATCACGGGTTAACTTATACTTTAGTAGTAAAGTACTGTTTATAAACAATAATTAAAGTTATAACCTAAAATGAGACACAACATAGTTTTCATTCTACGTATTACATTTTTGGCAGTTACAAACGGTACTATAAGTTTAAAGTCATAACCATCATTCTCACTTTTTTATGACGAAAAGGAAAATACAATTTCATCAACTTGTTCTTTAGCTAGTCCAACTAGGTCATGTTCATTTAAGTCACCGATTAATATGTTGTGAACCCCTGCACGTACTGCGCTTATGCTGTTCAGTATACTGTTTTGCCGTCGGCCGTGCGGGTGAACACACAACAGTCGACTACACCGTTTTAGAAACAGATTTGTTTTAGTTTATAGTATTAGGATTAGTGAAATTAACATATATTATACATAACCGCGTGTACACTTTTCACTAACTATTGAATGCCTAATTCGATCTTAATAAATTTTTCTGGGTACTAGAGTACTACATTCCGCTCAATGATTCGGAACGGAGTGATTGGTTTTAACTATGCTAAATTAAGGATCAAAAGAACTCTGTAATTCGCGGACTTAACCGAGGTTACAAAAAATAATTAAGTAATTTTAAATACTAATTATAATCTGGAATTACATAAAAACTAAGACATAAAACTAAAATGTCCTTTTTTACCAGTAGTATAACTTCTAATGAATCTTGTGTTAAATTGTCAGTTATTTCTCTTAAGTTATATTATAATTTGAAATTTGAATTACAGATTACCTATAAATTGCATAAAAAGAGCTAGAATATTTTGTAAATTTTATCACATCTACAAAAGGCTAATATAAGTATTTTGTGAAAATTACAGATCTCTACAAATATTTTTAACCAAATAAAAAGAAAACACCAAATGCCGTATTTTCAATGTTAATTTTTGGTTTTAGATTCTGAGTGAAAAAGCTTATGGTTTTACAAAGATGTTTATTTTTATTTCATTGGGTGGTACTTAAGTGATGTTATTTTTTCCATTTTCCTTGGAGTTTTCTCAATGAATGGGAAAAACTAGGAAAATCAGTACAATATTAAATAAATATTATTAAAGAAAATATATAAAGACTATTTAATTATTATACAATAATACAGCATATACAGTGAGACCTCCCTTAAAGGACACCTCCAAAAAGCGAACGATTTTTTGGGAACGAGATCATTTTCACTATTTACGTATGGAAAAACCTAAATAACGGACACTATTATGACATTGATCATTTTTAAGAATAATTGTAGAATTCTTAAATAAAAGTTTATACTATTAAGTTATTTTTTATTACTGTATATGTACATTGTACACGTATATCTTTTATTATTCGTCTAGTATTTAAAATCTTATCTCGTAAACGAAATGTTGCAATTTTAATATGTATTTAATTAATGTAAAAATATTATATAATACAATTTATTTAATAAAAATACAATTTCTCCCTCTAAATATCGGACACCTCTGAATAGAGGACACAATTTCAGTGACCGAGAGTGTCTGGTATTTAGAGGTTTCACTATATATTGTTGACAAAGCATCACTACCAACTGAACTCCACTCACAATCGTTTTTTTGTAAGCAAGATATAAACCATTGCTTACATATATACATTAAATTACCTATAACAGTAGCTGCATCTATCCCCATTATTCTAGGACGTCTTTTTTGTAATTATTAGAAAAACCATACAGAAAATCTGACGACATTCTTACTCATAAATTAGATAACATTTTCTTTCGGAAAGTATGCGTTCTTGAAATTTGGACAAATATTTCTTGTAGAAATATATTATAATTTTAAACATTTAAAATAATGAAATCGTTGCGCCGAAATTTGAAAAAAAATTGTATTTTTCGGTTTATCCTAATTGTTATGAAAACTACTTGGGAAATCGAAAAATGACTTTCTCTTTCAGTTAATATATATTCAAAGGAACATATTCGATGTCCTTTCATTTTTATCTAGAGCAAGTTTTCTAAGAGAAATTTTGTACACAGTATAAAAAAAAAGTAATAAACATCATTGTAAAACCAAAAAATTTATCGTTCTGCTACGAATTTAAAAACGTGCTGAAGGTAGAAAGACATGCAGGCATTGTAAGGTTATAATGTTATACGCACCCGGTTATGTATATCTGATAATGTAAAAATGGTTCAAACGTTTTCCAAGATTCCGAGGTTATATGGTTCTTGATTAAAAATTTATTTTCCGATAATATACAGTCTGAGCGTTCACAATCCGTACAAATACGTTTTGCATATTTTTCAATTCCGGAGTTTTACGATTTGTGACTTCTTTTTCTTCTTTNTGGGTTTTCCTCTATTACTCTTCTTATTAATGAGTCATGTTTCCTCCAGGCATGTCCAGCCCAAACTAGCCTTCTTTTTTTTATCTCTTTCAATATATCCGGTCGTTGAAAAAGGGATTGCAGTTCTTCATTGTGTAATTTCCACCATTCATTTGTGAGAACATCAAAGTATGCCCCCTAAATTTTCCTGAGTACTTTTCTCTCAAATACTGCAATTCTTCGTTCTTCAGTCTTTCTCAGAGGCCATATTTCTGCTCCGTACAGGACAATTGGTCTTATCAAAGTTAAGTATATTCTAACTTTTAAATTCTTAGAGATTGCTCTTGATCTNTGACTATAGTTCGCAAATTTTTTATTTCTGGAAAATACAATCCGGGTTTATAAGGTTTCCGGTAAAATACAGTTCGAGTGTATACATTCCGGAAACATGTAATGCGTAAAAGTACGATTTGAAAAAAAAAATTCTGGAAACCAATATTCCGTACATATACATTCTGTGCTTTTACATGTGTCAAAATTATCAAAATTTGTCACATCCTAAAATTAAATTTTTAATTAATATAGGTAATATATAGCTAGTTAGGTACTACCTATTAATAATTATTGATTAATAAATAAAAATACTTGAGGGAGAACTGTGAGCCGGAATATTTATTTTTGAATAACACGAAAATAAATATTATTGTATTACTAAAGTGTAAATTATAATTACTATTATACTATTATTACTATATTTTACTTCTGTAACCCTGTAGGTACACAAGCAATAATATTATATTTAATTATGCAATCATACTGCTTATCTCCTATAGAGCACTTTATGCTAGTGTGAAATTCTATATACGTTTTGTGCTTGACATTACCACGGTTGGTTCCGCAACCATATTGTCCTGTAATTTAATTATAATAAATAAGGTTCCTGTATAGAAAAAAATCTGGTATATTGGTTATCTCTTTTGAAATATGTTATCACTTTATCAGTGATAAAATTATAATTCCTATTTAACATATTAAAGTACAAACAACACATTATACTAAATATTTTACAATATTTTTTTTACCAAAAGTAATGGTACTGAAAAAGTAGAAACCTTTTATACAACGATATTGGAAACGGTCTTTCCAGGTTTTCTTTTATCTATGGCCCTCTCTATATTATTCTATGCTGTATCCCGTCCTTGTGTGTCCTGTTGGCAACACTGTAAGGTCACCGTCGATCGGTTGTTTTGAGTTGGCGGGCGCGGTGGAGTAGGGTCAACAGCTCACCGCAATAATATACTGTGTATTGGTGACATTGGTGTTGGTATCCGCCATCTTGTACTGCATTTTGTATCTGCTTATGCTTTACCATTTGAGCATAGTCTTGTTACGTATTGTCATATGTATCATTTGGAAACATTAATTGTTTGTTCAAACAACATAATAATTACCTTACATTTTTGTCGTCGCATCGTTCGTCGCAACTTTCAAGCAGTTTTTCATAGAACATGAGCGAATAGTAACAAATCCAAGAGTTCGGGTCGACGGTGACGCGGATTCCATGTACATTTGGGTAAGTCAATATAACTTTACGCCCCGTTATCTGATAAAATGGTATTTCAAAAGTACAAAACATCCATACAAAATTTTACAGTTTTTTTCTCGCGATGTTTTGTATTATTTTGACTACCCACTCGTTTTCGTGCAACGTTGACAAATGTTGATCAGCCGTAATAAAATGAATATGGTGGCGGCCATTACGTGTATTGCATGCTTAATTTGCTTGTACAATAATATCCGAAACATAAATATGTAAGGTTCTTTGAATAATATTATAGCAACATTTCATTTAAATTGATTTTGGATGGCCATATGTATAGTTAAAATTAAATATGTTTCATTTTTCACATAGGTACCTGGCTTGAAACTTATCTAATTATATCTAAATATTAAGTAAAGGATTACTGAATAATATTACTAAAATATTATCATATTATGATTAAATGAACAATATTTCAGTTATAGAGTTGGTATATTTATTATTATGCACAATGATTCTTAATTAAATTAACGTCAATAATTTTATTTTGTTTTAGTTTAAACATTGTTTTACCAAAATTCTAAATTAAATATAAATATTTTATTTACTGTTTGCATTTAACAAATTTGACCTATGTACCAATGTTTTAACTATTCATTTATTTTTATTTAAAATTTAAACCTCATATTTTTAAATAGTCATAAGAGAATAAAATTGAAATTCCATTTGAATGAATTGGTTATAATAAGTTATCACTTATCAAGAATAATCTTTTGTGGATCATAATAATATTTGGAATGATTCTAGTTTGGCATGCTAGGGATTTTTTTTCACAAGCACCTAATTTAGAATATAAAAAACCCGATGAATTTTGTTTGCAAGTTAGGATTGGAGGGAAATTCCGAAAGTTCAATTTCTTTTTGTTGTAGTTATTGAGGTAGGATTTAATATTAAAAAAAAAAAAAAAAAAAAAAAAAAAATGTTTTTCTAAATGTAGTAATACTCATAAATCATTGGTATCGTTTAAATTTATCTATCACACTTAATTTTTGAACATAAACCTTAAAAATAGAAGCCTTGGAATTAATCCAAAATGTATTTTTATTTTCATTATACGTTTTTGATAACAAAGTTTATTTGTTCAAGTCAAAATAAGTTTATCTAGCTTGGTTTTAGAGTTACAGACCTTAAAACTCTGTAATTAATGGGGCGCCTCAACAAAAACGTTCTCTTGATCTGATTCTCCACATTGTTTTCACATATATCTGTCATCCTAATATCATTTTCAAATGTACCCAACAACCCCTATTTTAGTTTTCTTCTCCCATATTTATTTTCATTTTAACTCTTACCTGTTTCTAATTTTTTTGATTTTATATTTTATTGAAGCCTTAAGCTGCGTCCTATGCATTCCTTATACTATCTTTAAATTATCACTCTTCTCATAAATCAAAATCTTGTTATCTCCACAAAACTTATTTTGTGGTCTTACCAAACTTTTATAGCACTGACCTTTAAGTTTCATTGAAATTTTCTTATCACATAAAATAACTGAATCTTCTCTCCACTTGATCTAACCACAATTAATCCTATGTTTTACATCCTCTTTAAAGCCATTATTCTTTTGTACAAAACATTCTAAGTATTTAAAACTTTCAACCTCACCCATTATGTCACCACCATCTAATTATAATTTATCCTGTTTTACTTATTCTTGGTCGTCCATTTCCTTCAAATGCTACTTGCTCTCTATTCACCTATACATTTATTGTTAACTTTTTCTGAATTTTCTTCTTGGTAACATGCAATGTTATTATCTTCTAAATCCAATACAATACTACCTATAGTTTATACAATAATAATTGTACTGAGTAGTGTGCGCCTAACATCAAATTTTATTACATCACTGTCTTTTGTTTGACAACAACTTGTAATGTATGGTGATATACAGGAGGCTTGTCTATTAGTAGGTATAAGGTATATCAATGTGAAACTTTTTACCCCTGATTGGTAATGATTGTTTTTCATGATAATTTTAGTGCTAAAGATATGATATAATACCAACATACTTATACAAAAATATAAATCCTATTTTACAGTGCTATAATTACTTATTATTATAATCTTTATTGTACATAATAGAATAAACAGCAACATAAGCTTCCTTCAAAATTTTATTGGCGGTTGTACTGATACCTCATTGCTCCCTTATAAACTTTTATGTTCCTCCACATCTAATCCGCCCTATTGCTTAATTTTTTTTATTCTTACAAGTTCAACTAATTACTGTCAGAATAATCTAATTGACTGATTAATGCTTCTAGCCAACACCCACCCTTTATTTCTGTTGTAATCTGGTAGCTAGTTCTATCTCACTTCTACTAAACTCAGACTACCTATTGGTAAATATTTACCATTGTATTTTGGGTCAAACCTGTATTTAATCAAAATAAAATAAATAAATAATAGTCATTTTATTGTTAGATGTTTTTCTATTACTTGAATATATAAGTGGTATACTATTTAGGTGATAAATAGTTTGAATATGTTGGTTTTTTATTTTTATATTAAAATTGTATGATAGATCTGTATAAAGTAGGTTCACGACAGTATAATTAATTAACTATAGAGTAATTTAAAGTATTGTTAACTTTTGATTATCACATATATTCAAAAAGTACATTTAATTGACAAATTGTCCTGTAATCTCTAAAAAAGTTTGACTTATTATTTTTACTTTATTGTGTGTAGTGTGGATAGTGTATATTTTTCCATAATATGAGATTTGTATAAACATGTACAGGTATTTAATTGTTTATAAATAATTTTATACTATAAATTATTAATAAAAAAATAGTACCACAGTATCTGGTTTATGTATTATTATATCTACAAAAGAGGAATTTGATATTGTAAGAATGATAAATGTAGGAAGGAAGAGTAAAACTGAAAAAAGTTGTTGGATGTGATTTAAAATTAGAATAACCAATGTATGGAAGTGTATTTTGTGGGTGATCTGGGTTAAATGTAATTTTTGGACGAGGGTAGCACACTCTAAATAATTAGGATGAATTTAAAGAAGAAGATAGTGCTTCTCAATATCACTGATTAGTGTGAATAATATTATCAATATTATGAAGGCAATCAGAAGGCATGAAAATAGCCACTTCCCCATTTCGAATATTACAATAATGTGTATAGATATTTGTTCCAGCCCAATAAAGTTAGGCAGATTAACCTATTAGTCAGAACTTCTTTATTCTATATTATAAAATCTCAGTCGCTGTGTTTTATAAAAAAGAAATATCTTTTTCAAATAATAAGTAATAAGTAATGTTACTAAGGTTGGAAAATCATAATAGTAAATTTGAAACTTCTGTAAACTAGGTAATCCATTTTTACTTGGTGTATAAGGAAAGTAGACTAATATTTACAGCGTAATGATTACATTATTCATAATTTTTTTGCAACTTCGTTCTGCCAGAATTCTTGTTCTAAATTTCAAGACTAGCATCTTTTTTTCTCTTGCAATTACTGAATACCAGAGAATATCAAGATGTATTTAACTACTGTATTCAGTACTTGAGCATTATTTTGACTACCAATATATTTCTAAAACTAACTCTTAGATTATATTCTATAGTTAGAGCCACAGCCTATAGATTATATATGATGCACATGTTAGCGACGAGTAACCAGGTTAGTAATTTTTAGTGAGCATGCGTGCCGGCGATTAGTCACATATTTATCTCAAATTATTAGCATATATATTTTGTTCATATCTATAATATATTATAGGTACTTTGTATAGATTACAGTTTATTGTCTATTCAATGAACTAAAGTTTTAATTCATTAAAATGCAATTATTATTATCATTTATCTTATCAGTTATTTAACATTTATCACATTATATTAAAGCACTGGAATAAATATGCGACTAGTCGCTAGCACACATGTGCAGTAACGGCTACTCACCTGGCAACTCATTGCTAAGATGTACATCAAAATATTGAGCTGTGATTTCAACCATTGAATATTATATAAAAACTACCTCCTATAACTTGATAATAAACTGTCCGTATATTTCAATCATTCAGACTTTTTCCTAACTAAAGTTTTTAGTGTAAAACTTGTTTTCAAACATTTCATTTTTAAAAGTATTTTTGGATAATAAGACTTAATCTTATCCAAAACAAATATTATTAATTTGATTTTAATTATTTAAGTTTTATTTTTTATTTTAACATTTTAAAATATAATAATATAAAATGTTTGTTTATTTATTTGATATCAAATTGCAGTAATCGAAATAACATGAATGATCATACTAAGTAGTCAAGATAATGCACCAGTACAAATTAAGATGCATATGATACAGAATGAGCACTTATCAGTTGTTATACGAAACTTCTTCGTTCTTGAACTAATAATTAGCTTTTGAATGTGACAGTGGCGAGTTTTGTACTATAATCTGGCTCACGAAAAGTGAGTACTGAAAAAAGCATTCACCAGTGGCAATTTCTTAATAAAACTAGATAATTTATATCTCATATAAAATTGTATTAATTAGTGAATTATATCATAAATAATACATTAATTAATACAATACTAGTAAATTATAATTTACATTAAATACCTATTGTCACTTGCCAATATAACCTACTTTTACTGTTCATGTTCCCTGGTGTAAATTATAGTTTAAACATCAGAATTGATTTGTTAAACACAAATATGTATTATAATTTATTTGATCACTTGAAATACAATTTTTTTTCTTTGTGGCAATAATTTATTATGAGAATTTTAATGAAGCTGGATATCAATACAGGATAAATTAGAGAGCTTAATAAGAGTGGTCAACTTAGTGATCATATCTGATTGTTTACTGTCCTTAATTTTGATACAATTTCATCCAAACAATATTATACATTAATATTTTAATGTTATTCTAAAAGTTTTTAAATAGGTACCTACTATACATAATACGGTATTTAAATACATTTTACAGAACTTCTGTTAGTTCAATTTTGTATCTATGTATGCATTATTAGTTTAGAAAAGTGATACCTACTCGCCGTTATTATTGTCTCAGTTTAAAGTAAAATAAAGTAAAAATATACTTACATGGACTGAGTAAATTCGATAAATGTTGGTTTTTTGTACATCACCCTCTGAATAATGTAATATTTTGTAATATAAGCTGTAAAGCAACTAAAAAATAAATTATTGTATTTACACCATGTATTTCTGGAAACCTAGAAAACATGAAATAAACAGGGAATTTGTATGAAATTCTGGAATTTGAATTTTAAATTTTAATCTCTATATTCATAAATATTATTCAAAATTAAGAAAATATCACATATTATTATGTTGCACATTTAATACTATAAATATTGTAACTTCGAAACATATTTATTCACTATTACACTTATTCGTGTCGATAATAAAAAAATATTTAATACAAACATATGTTTAATGCATGTTTATTAAGTAAATTTTATGCTATGTGGCTTTTTAATACGATAACTTGCAACAATAACATATTGTTGTGTAGAATACAATTATTGTTTTTACAACTTCTTAGCTAAATTGTGGTAACATAATATGACAACCAAAGTAAATATTAAATAAATACAAACATTTATAGAGGTAGGACACATCAAAATTAGCAAGAGATATTCATCTTCTGATTGGTTTGTTTGCTAAATAATTTGAGGTGCATAGAAGAATGTAAAAAGGAAAAGTAGACTTAGAGATTCATTGCAGGACACTGAAGTACTGACTTTTAGGAGGTATTTGAGAATCAACTTTTTTAGGTAATAAACCATTTAAAAATCTTAACCCTAGGGTATAAATACGCCTAGTGATTCTATACTAAACGTGTCAAAAACAGGGTTATCATTTAAGTAGAAAAGAAAGCATAACTATAACTGACAGATGCAGAAATCCTTCATAACTAAGAAGCTTTCTTTGAAAAATGTCTAGTTTTTTAGTATTGAAAAAAATATCTCTGGGAAAATCTAGGTAAAATTCAAAATTGAATTTCGAGGCAAATATATTAGCACAAAGTATTAATAATTATAATTTATTTATATCTATTGATATACATTAAATATCTAGGTATTTAACATTGACTATAGTACATTTTTAGTTAAACCTCACTTGAAAAATTGAATGTATATGTTTCTTAGTTTAATATTAATTTATGAGCACCCTGGGGATATATGCATATTTATTGTATGATATTGTTAGCATTAAACCTTATTATAAATGTTTTATATTAGTTACGAAAATATTTGTGAAAAATAATTATGAAACCCAAATAACAACTGAAAGATGGAAATAAGTAATGAACAAGTTATGTTAGTGTATGCAGATAATATTGTAGTCACGGGTAAAACTAAACGCTATGTTATCAATTAAACACCAAAGTTCATAAATGTGAGTAAGAGAAAACTAAATACACAGTTATATCACAAAGATCTTCTAATATAGACTAAGAATAAGTGATTATATAAGTTTGAAAAAGTTAAGGGTTTTAAATACTTGGGCATTAACGTCAATAGAAAAATAGGCATTTATATAAAAATAAAAGAACGGATTTTGAATGGAAATACATATTATGAAACTCCTAAGATCTAAGCTACTATCCTGAGAGTGAAAAATAGTATTACACCATAGTTATCTTCGCCCTGTAATAACCTAGGCGTGAAGACTTATTTATGTTTGAAAGGAAATCTTTAACCTGGAAATACAGATATATGAAAGAAAAACCAATGCAAAAATATCAAAGACAATACAATAGGTCAGACATACTCCCCTTTCTTAAGAGGAAACAACTAAGATGGTTTGGACACATGTGAAAAGCGGATGATCCTCGCAAATAGTGTATAGCGCACAAAGATAGAGATGGAGGGAGATTTTGATGACAGCACTAGTTTTGAATTAAACATTAAGCTGACAAAGAAGAAGATATTTTATATCTTTATAATTGTTTGGTTTTGTATTTGTTCAAATTGATCAATATCAAACATGATAACTATTTTTAAGTGCATATTATTATGTTTGGTATCTGATTAACATATCAAATTTATTTGTTTTTATCTAAAATATATATTTATATTATTATGAATATTAATTTACTTTGTTGTGTGGTCATAAGTCATAAGTTCTGATTGAATTAAAACAAGATTATTGAAATATACCTTATGTAATGAATAATGTTATACTCATCAAACATGGGCCCTTTATATGGTTACATTATTTCTTTGTGATAAAATCATCTTTATAATTTTTTGTTTCTTCTTGATCGATTTATTTTGATTATATTTAGTTTAATATATGCCTTCCCATTTCTATCCTTATTTCTATTACAGTTGTTGTCTAGTAAATATTTCAAAATACTAATCTCTGTTTTTTTCATTTGTGACACCTAGGTGACCTTTAATTCAATTGTCATTTCAAAAATCCTGTTTCAGCCACCCTTTAGGCGTTTTGAAAGTTTTATCAAGTATGCAAAGTATCATCAGGATCTGAATAACTCTATTTCAGATGCTTATTCAAAGTTTTATATACTTTTTTTTCAAAAACTTGCATTTCTTTTTCCAATTTATTTATATGTATAATAATTATGTATTATTCTTGAATTGTCCACTGATTGATAGTTATCTGAATTTTGTAGTAAAAATAATGGTCATTACTTTTGGGTTACCAATTATAAATAAATTCAACTTTTAAATGTATAATTTATATTTGATTGTTTTAGTTGTGGATGAATTGAATATATTTGTAGTATGATCAAAACAATATCTACAATGACTGCCAAAGAAAAAGAAGTAGCAGAAGAATATTCTAGTGCCTTAGCTGACCTCAACGTCAATAGCAAGCCCTTAATTAACATGTTGACGATGCTGGCTGATGAGAATTCTGCTTATGCGTCAATCATTGTACAGTGTATTGAAAGACAACTGCATAAGGTTTTTAAACTTTATAATAGTAATGAATATTTTAAAGTCATAATGGAGGGATATTCATCATTGTATGACTCCAAATTCATTGTTATTAAATGTATTGATCCTACTTAATTTATAAATTTCAATATAATGTAACTGGATAATTTTTTTTTTCTTGGGAAACCATTATTCACATTTATTAATTTAAATAATGTAATATGTTGATTTTGGATTGAGACAGTGTTGAAGTCATCCCTCTGATTATGATGACATATATTTAGTTAAAAGTACAAATATATGTGAATATTTACAATATTTAAACAAACATGAAATAAAAATATATGATGTGACTAAATATGGTATACGTCCTTTTTGGTCCTCTTTTTTTTTTTTGTTAATATCTCCAGCAAATAATACCTTAAAAGATCATTAACAACAAGAAAATTGAATGGTTTGCTTTTTTTAAAAAAATAGTTGGTTATTAGCAAATGTGTATTGTAAACAAAACAAAATTATTATAATACTAGTAATGTATTAAATACAATTTATATGAAAGTGTAAATAAAATCTAATAATTGGTTAATACTGTTTCTTTAACATTTGCTTTACTTCTATGTACACCTAAATTATGTATGCATTTTGGTATGAATACAAAGCTATATAAAGTTATAAGTAAAAATGTTAATCATTAACAAACAAAAAAAAAAAAAAAACGATTTGTGTTGGGAGGTTTACTCCAGAAGACTACTTCAAATTCAATCACTTCAAAGATGAACAGAAGATAACAGATATATTTAAATATTATATTCAGTATACTGTTTTAAAAACAATGCTATTTGAAGTTGATCCGTAATGTTGTTTGCATTTTAATTTATATATATATATATATATAAAAAAAACAATTGGTAATAAAACATTGAGGTAGGTATTATTATTGAAAATGAAGATGAGTATGATGTATATATATGTACATATGTATATATATATATAAATGTATGTATATATACATGCGTGTGTTTTGTATATATTATATTCTTGATATTTAGTATAATTTTAATCAAATTGACAACCCTAATGTTTTAATTATATAGTTAAAAGTAATTATGATATTGTATCATAATATAATAGCTAATTTTGTGGCTGGTTGAGAATTTGAATGTACAACTACAACTATAGAGTATACTGAAATCTGAAATGATAAAAATTCATTATACAAAAATATGAATGGAAAGTATAATTAAGTTCAATATATGTGTGTTAAATCTTAATAATTTATGGGTTTTTTAAATTTAAAAATTTTTATTAAATTATTGATAGCATTTATATGATGTAGTTAAATTAATTTCTGTGCATTGTTTTGAGTTTTGTGATTAATATAATATATATCATTAAAAACTATTTATTTTTTTAGACTAAACTTTCTTTTATTTAATTATATTAATTTCTATTTAAATTAGGTATATAAAATACTTTATAAAAACAAAAGTATATTTTGTAATATTTATGATTCCTTTTAATTATTATGCATTTGATTAATGAGTAATTCAAGTTAATAAGGAATTACAATTTTATGTTGAGGTTTTTAATAAAAACATTTTTTGTGGTTTGTCCTGATATGAAAAGAATGTTCAGTATTTATTTTATTTATTCAAAGCTGGATACTTCTACTACTACAAGTTAAGAATGGTTAGACATTTGTTCACATATTAATTTATATTTTATTTTAGACAATAAAAATTATAATTATACAGACTACATATTTTAATATAATATTGATAATTAGAAGGAACGATACTTTCTTCTCTACTTAATTAATGGTAGACAGTTAATTAATAATAATAAATACTGTGGTCAATGGCATGTATAATTATATCAAAACAATACTGCTATGGTTATCATATATTATTAGTTAAAATCTCTACTCCGAATAGACCATACAATTTTTTCTTATACATTTTTGATAAATTTAAATAACAATATTTTTCTTACGATAATATTAGATTGATTCAAAATATATGGTAAATACATTGAAAGTATGATGTACTGAATATTTATTAAATCTATAGTTATCAAGTTATCATGTTCAGTCATCAGTGATATTTAATAGAAATAATCGTGTAAAATATTTGATTATGGTATTTTAAAAAAATAATTATATTCAGACATCTAATTAAAACATGAATATTTCAAATATTTGTATACTTAATGAATAATTTAATTAGCAAAAAGCAAATTTCCCAAAATATTATATTAATTTTTAAAATATTTTTAATACTTAATATATAAAAATAATAATTTAGTATTAGCCATAAAAGTATTTCATTTTTTATTATAAGAAATGCTTTTTTTTTTTTTTTTTGTCTTTTTTAATCTTTAATAGTCAAAATATAATTATAATAAATAATATATATTTTTTCAACATAAAGATAAAAATATTCATCATAAAGTTATCTCAAACCATATATATATTTTTTATTGTTTAGGTGTAATCATTTAATTTTACCAATAAATAAAAGTTATATATTTTAAATTGTCTAATTTTTTCTATAAATACAAATTTACTTATTTAAATGTCTATTGTATTTTGAATTGACTTATTGGAGTTTTTGAGTATTAGTTGTATTATAGTTAGGCTGAAACATCCCAAAGTTCATTTTCTTCTTTCACATAACTTAAACATAACCTAAAGTTATGGTTGTATAAAAATATGGGATAAGTTCATAAACTTTATTTGTATTTTTCGTAGAGCATTATTATGTGGTTAATAAAACAGAAACTCATCTGTGGTACTTAAAGTTGACTAATATTTGCAATTAATTGCTAGAACTTGAAACTATATATATTTGTAATGGTTTAGTAACTTAAATAATTTACTCCTTAGTTAAATACATGAATCTACATTTCTGATTCATAATTGTTTTTCATAAAAATATTATTAATTACCTTCAAATCAAAAAAAAAAAAAATACATTGTAGCTATGCAATTATAGCAATGGAGTGTTTAAATTTTATCTTTTATTAAATTATATTATTTATATTAGGAGTGCTAGATTGTTATATTTGTTCTCATTATTAAACCTAATCCTCTGATAAAACCATATACTTTAATCTGATCAAATTATTATCTTATATTATAAAAATATTTAAATACATTGTTTAACATTTTGTGATCAGTCAATAACACTGATCGATTCACGGTATCAGCCTATATCATCAATAATATTAGTCTTAAAATTAAGAAAATTCTTAGATTTTTTTCCTTTCTTATGTGGATATATGTATAAAATGGTTGTACTACTTGATTTTTTAGAAATACATATATTTTTACAAAAAATTAAATTCTATAAGTATGATGAAAATTAAAAAATTATTAGTGTTAAATTAATTGAAAACAAAGAGGTTGCCTTTTTGCTGCAAATGTTGGAGAATTCTAGAAGATACTCTGGAGGACCCGCAAGGATGAAACCATGTCCAGGTTTGTTTTCAAACTTACATTTAACATTAATTATATTCAGGTGCAGGCAGACAGCAAGTTACCAGTGCTTTACTTAATTGACTCAGTCATCAAAAATATTGGACAACCATATATACCACTATTCGTTCAAAATATTGAGAAACTATTTGCTAACACTTTTAACAAAGTAATTATTTAGTATTTCATTAATGTTTTGTGTAAAATATTTTCTTTATTATGTTTTGTTGTTGTAGGTGGATGAAAAAACCAGAGCAAATATGTATAAGCTACGAACTACTTGGAATGATGTAATAACACCTACAAAACTTCATGCCATAGATGTTGCTATCCACGCAATTGACCCAAATTGGCCTATCAGTGCTGCTCCACCAAACATTCATGTTAATCCAAAATTTCTAAACAATGTACATACTATTCATATTATAAGTTATATACTCTATATATAAGTTTAACCAAATATATTTAATTAGAAGTAGTGTAAGAGTAAATTTGAAACGAGAATAATCAAAAGTTAGATTGTAAGATAATTAAATTAAGTAAAGGCGAAATTTCAAAAATTATTGTATGATATGTATAGAATTATAGAGTAAACAAATATAGTGATACTCAAGCAGAGGGTGAGGATGTCTGAATGTTAAAAAACAAGTTTGATATAATTTTTTTAAATAATAATAATTAAAAAACAAATAGATATTATAATTACTACAATATCAAATATTTCTTCTCCTTCGCTTATGTCTCAATTATTTGGGATTGCTCGCCTTTGCCCTAAACTTTCACTTGACCTGATGTTCAACACCAGAATATTATTATAATAATATTTTGAAAAATTTGAAGATAGTAGTTTTATAAAGTTTATTTTTCTGTAAATCTAGGCTTTTTGAATCTATTTTTGTTAATTATGTAAGTTTTGATAATTTTTTAAAATTTTGAGAAAATTCATATGATTATGCAGCATGCTTTAATTGAGTTTGCTAATTACTAATTATTATTATGGCTAATTGATTGCACTAAAATAAAAAGTTTATACATTAAAATTTTCAGAAGAATAAATTCGATAAAATATAACTTTTTTTTTAGTTCGCCAAAATATAAAAATATAAATAAAATATTAACATTTGTAGTCTTTATCACTGTAGATAAAATACATAATTTGTTAATCTATTTATCTCCGGAGATAATAATACTGGGTATATCTTGCACCTTGTTTGATTTTTTTTTTTCAAATATAATCCATCAACACCTTTATATGTTGTGGATTTTTTTACAAAGTATTAACCTTCTGAACTTATGCAGGATAAATATGAAAAAGAAGATTACGAGATATACTTTGATATAAATGACAATATACCTAATTTATAATTACTTTGTGTAATATATAATTATAAAATTTAAATTTTTTTCGATAATTTCATAGTCATTTATATCTTAAGTAAACTCGTCTCAATATTAGTATTGTTTTTACTGAATATATTTTAATTCTTTAGGTAAATACTAATGAAACACCTAAACCTATACAATCTACTTTGCATAATGATGTTGATGAAGAAACACTACGGCAAAAATTCATTAAGAAACAGAAGGAACTCCTTGAACTTCAACAAAAAAAATTAGAATTGGAATTACTTCAAACCAGAACTCAAATAGAAATACAGAAAAAAAGAATGAATAAAGTCAATTTATTTAAAGTAAATATTTTAGTTATTATTTTTAAATTAATAATTGATAAAAACAAAACATTTTAATAGAATTCTTCGAATACAAGTGTTCCACCACCAAATGATGAACTTCATGCCAAAATTCAGGCATTATCTGAAAATCCTCGAAAGGTCCCTGAAGATCCTTTAAGGTCAACAGATGGTGCAGCTATCAATTCAGAGTCTCCTACAATGCAGACAAAAATACTAGTCTCCCCTTCTAAAAAATTCCAATCAACATCTGTAGCAACTATACAACAACCATTTAAACCTCCTCCACAGTCATTTGTATCCCAGCAACATCATTCGCAAATGGTAATTATTCATTGTCAGATGTGTTTAAATAATATTAACTTTATAATAATTTCTGTGCAGGTTGCTTCAAATCAATTCTTTAATGTGACTCAACAAATTCCAAAAATCAATCCAATCAGTACACAGTTACTACAAACTTTAAATCGGGATCCTCGTTTAAGAAAAGTAGAAACTGCTGTAAAGACAACACCAACATTAAATACTGCCGTTAAGAATCCTGTTTTAAAAAATAAAGAAGATAAAAAACAACTTGATAAGCCAAAAAGAGATAGTAGTAAACATCGTGATTCAAAAAGAAAAGGAAGGAGTCCTAGTCGTTCACCATCTCAAAAAGAACTTTCCAGAAAATTGCATAAAAAACCAATTCGCAAAGAAAGAAGTCCAAGAGATGAAAAATATCACAAAAGAAGAGAAGAAAAGAAAATTAAAGAACCCGAAACAAAGAAAAAAAGTATATCTCATATAAAAGTGCAACCAAATGTAATTGTAACTGTAAATCATGAAATACCTTCAAAAGATAATGAGAAATTTCTTAAAACTATTCCTAAGAATGATAATGTTATTAAAGACCATCCTCTAATTGAACCAATGGAAACTAATTTTCCTAAAGAAAAAATAGTAATTTCTGAAATTGTAAAAGAAGTTGAAGTAAATATTCCTTCACAGATTTCTTGCGAATCTGAACTTGTGAAAACTGATTCACCTTTAGAAGATTCTGATTCACTAAAACGTCTTAGAAAGTATATGCAAACGATGAAAAAATCTCCCGAGCCTGCAACAACTTTATTGGACTTGAAAAATGACTCTGAAGACATCTGCGGTATAAAACCAATTCAAAGTAAGATTAAAATTCCTGGTCAACTTTATTTTATCATACAATTGATTGTTGGCGATTTGTTGTTATTTTTAAATAAAATACATTATATTCTACGCCACAATAAAAGAATACAATTTCACCTTTCCACTTTCCTATCTTGACTTTTTTTTTTTATTTATTTATATCATGTTTATATGAATGTTTTTATTATCAATCAACCAATATGGTTGTAGATGTTGTTTTTCATTTTATTATGTTTTTAAGTACATATATACTCTAATATTGTGTACTTGTACATTGAAAGTTTAATATAATACTATTGGCTTTGAAATTAAATAAATAAGACATGTGTTGTCTTTATGAATATATTAATTTATCAAATAGAGATGCATTATTATAAAAATGCATTATTCTACACGGTATTTAATTAAATTTGTATTGAAAATATAATGTGAATTACTAAAGGTTAATTTTTAAATGTCATATATCAAAATCAAAGAAGAAAATCTGTTTTCTGAATAATGGTGCAATTTAAATTTAAAATAATGGTGCTATTCACTTATGTTTTTTTCCCATATGCTGAATAGGTGTGTAATATATTAATTTATTGAAATCTGATATAGTTAATATTTTGTAATTTGTTAATGATATGTAAAAAACTGTATTCATTTCAGTAAATATGTCTTGTATTAATTTGAAGACATTTTAGAGCACTTATGCTTTAAATATTTAATTTGTTCTAACATTTATTGTAGATTGTAATTATTAATTATGTCAAAAATTGATTATTTTTGGAGAAAAAATGATTACTGTGTAGTCAAAATATATGGTTAAGAGTATAACTAGAAATGTTTGAGACTTTTTTTTTGTTGTTAATTAAACTTAAGGGTTCTTTTATCTGCCTTGCATTGACTGAGCTTTGTTAGTTACCTAGTGACAGAATTTCTTTAAGGTGTTTGCATTTCTAGGGTGCGGGATATCAATATCTCCCTAGACGTCTGTTTACCAGAGAGAGCGAGAGAACTAGAATTTAAACGGACAAAGGTATAAATTGACCACCTTTTTTCACTTGACCACTGTTTCTCTCGATTAAATTGAAACGTTATTCATACATTTTAAATTCCTTATGAAAACTGATTTATTCTTATATTTTTTATTTCAATCAGCTCAGAATTATTTTAAAAAATCATAATTATTACTTCCAAATTAATTTTTTAATATTCAAGTGATTTCCCTATCAATGAAGATTTTTTTTTTTTTTTTTTTTTTTTTTTTTTTTTTTTTTATAAATATATCAACAGATTATTGAGTACATAGTACATATTTCAATTCTTATGAAAATTAAAGGTATGCTTGCAGACGTAATAATCACACCACAAAATGACATTGATCTAAGAGTTATAGCTCCAACCGTGAAGAGGACCTCAGAATCAATCAAGACAGATGATATTGAACCGGTTGCGAAAAAAAGCAAATCAGAAATCACCGATGAGTAAGTTCTTATTTTGACAATCTAATAAATATATATATATATTATAAATTCAAATTTAGAGTTATTTTTAAACAATTTTACAATCCAATAATACTTGATATATTTTCGATCTATAAAATGTATCCAATTTATTTAGTTATTGTTATAAAATTATTGTTATGATTATATAGGGGTCCCATATGGCATTAATTATATCTTAGAGTAATTTTTCTTTTTCTAAATTTAAGAAATAAACAACTCTAAAATAATAAATTATAATTATTCTATTACACTTTTATTTTTGGGAGTGTAACACCAACCTATTTAAATAGTATTGAAGTAAATCATCCATTAATATTTATGCAATTTTTAGTATAGATTGTTCTTTGGGTAATGGGTATCTTCATAAAATACCCTATTAATAAATTTTTTTTTCTCTTGCCAATTAGAAAAATCTAATTTTTTCTTTTTTAAAGTTAACATTGTCCATTTGAATATAATAAATTCCCTTAATGCTATAATTTTTATTTTTTTTTAAATTTTATACAATTTTACTGTTTTAGTAATCCCTAATATCAATATTCAATATATTGAAATAATTATATGTATATTATTATAATTATATTTTTTTAAATTATATAACTTATAATAAAATAAAACTTATGATGTTTATGCAACCCTAATGATAATATTCTTAATTATTTTATATTTTAATACAATTTTTAATATTAAATGTACCAACTATCAAATTAATTTTTAATTATTTATTGAACTTGAGTTTAATTAAAATATAAACTGTTCTGACCACAATTATGAATTATCTAAATATTATATTTCTGACTATTAGCCTGATTATTTTGAAATACAAATTTAATCAAACTTTTTTGAGTAGTAGTTTTTACATATTATAAGCCTTGTACTATAAGGTAATTGTATATAGGTTTGTTGAAAGTTTTACTCAAAAATTTCACTATAACAGAATAAGTAAGATAATTGTTAAATATCTTATGTTAAGTAATAATTGATAGTAAACTTGGAATTTGATTTCTTTCATGATTTTTATAAAATATCAAAATTTGTTTGTTTTAAATAATTTTCTCTCGCTTTTAGTCCATTATTATTCACAGAGACAGAATTTGTAAATATACATTTATAATATTTACAGGGTTTCCAAATTATACATTATAATTGTTATAATCTAGAGTACCTATACTTTCTAAACTGTAACATACAATTTGGATGACCTATATTTTATTACATTAAAAAACAACAAATTATATGTAAACTAAAATGTCATCCTATGTATGAAGTTTTTTAATATAGGCTGCTTTTTGAAATTAAAACTGTTTAGTGGTTTAACATCTAAAAATAAGAACACAAAAAAATAATAACAATGTAATATTTTAAAATATATGATTACAAAAAGTTTTTGCATAAGTCATATTTTGAAGAAGAAAAAAACAGTATTTCATGAAACTTTTACTGAAACGTGAAATTTGGAAGGCTATCTATATATATATTGCACATATAGTAAAAGTGAACAATATAAAGATAATTTGCAAAAAACAATGTTATAATTAATTTTAAAATATATTATATTTATAACATTTATCTATATTGGCCATGAAAGAAGGAACTATTCATATATTTATGAGTGTATAGATTCTTTTAATTCGTTATTCAAAATAATTGATTGGTAATGGTTTTTTTTTTCCTACAAAATGAGGATTTTACTAGTTTATATTCTAATTTTGTGTATGGTGTATAAATGTATAACTCAATGAAAATCCTGAAAATGGTATAACCATTCATGTTATGTTTATGATGATTTCAGTTTACTCTAAATTGTTAATACTGGTTTTTACAGTTTAGAAGTTTATTTAAAAAAATAACTATCATTTTATTTATATTATATAACCTTGTTGTATTTATGTATGTGCCATAAAATAAATTGGAAATCTTATCTACAACAAATAATATTGTCAGATAATAAATTCTGATAAATTTAGATGGAAAATCATTAGTCTCAATCTCTTTATATTCATATAAATATATTTATATTAAATAATATACTTAGTCTCTTATTTATCATGTCTGATGAATTTGTGATGTGCACTAATTATATTAATATAAAAATTATAGTGTTTAAACTTTTAAAAACTTCATTTTGTTTCTACTTTTAAATATTTATTTTGATGTGTTATAATATCATGTACATTTTAATCATTTTTATATTTATTATATTTGCGATAAAAATCATTTTCAGACTTTTTGGTGCCGAAGATGTAGATTTGCGTACATTAACTGTTCCGCCTATTGTACCTACACCACCTCCTCCACCTCAAATATCTGAAACCCCAATTCCTGAAGTTAGTAAATCTTGGGCAAAATATAAAGAAGTAAAACCAGATACATTTAAAACCCCTTATAAATCGCCAACTAAAAAAATTACTACTGAATTAAATGACAAATTAGTAGAAAATAATGATACAATGGATGTGGACATGAGAACTAAACCAACACAGAACAAAAGTCACATTCTTAGGCAAGCTCAGGAAGCTTTGAATGCAGGAAGTATATCTTTTGATGAATACCACCAGAAAATCATGTGTCGGGTAAGATAATTTTACTTTAATTATTATTTATTTGTATTAATTTTTAAAATATTTTATATCAAGGTAACTGAAATGACGGAAGCAGAAAAATCAGAAGAAGCAAATAACATAGAAGACAATAAGTTAAAGTTAAAAGAGTATACTATTCCAAAAATTACTCAACCTCTCAATGGTAATGAAACTGATTTGCAATCTAACTTAGAAGTTACTAGCAATCTTGAAAAATTGCAAGTTAACGAAAACATTCCTACCCAAGATTCTTATAATGTGGTTAATAAAAAATCAAGTGATGTCAGTGGAAGTGATAGTGATTGTTCTTCAAAAAGTGGTTCCACTGGTTCAGGAGAATCAAAAATAATAAATAAAAAATCTGATTCTGAAGATAGGCCTATGTTTAATAAAAGACATAAAATATTTAAACGTAATGAAAAAGAAAATTCTAAAAGCCGTAGTTGGAGAAATAAAAATTGGAATTCAAGACAAGAAAATGGTCAAAGATTCTCTCAAAATAAAATTGAACCATGGTCTAGAGGAGGACCTCGTCCTAATTATTCACATTCAACAAGATCTCTTGTTGCGCCACCTATCTATGAAGTACCAAGAATAACTGCCCCCTTTGCATCTTCATCGCCAGATTGGACTGTTCCTGTTATTTCCCCTTCAGATCCTGTAATATTAGATATGATTGCTCATGATGCTACTCAAACTATCAATATTGATGGTGTGTCAAGGGAAGTACGATTTTATGGTCCAACTGCAATTACTTTTGTTTCTTGGGACGACCCTAGAGAGATATATTTTCAAGGATCTCCTAAAAATGTTATATTTGATGATCTTTTTTCAGTTTTATGTCATTTCAATACTCCTGATAGAGAGTTTTTATTAGATTGTCAACCACATAGGGTACGTTTGGGTGCACCCACTCGAGAACTATATTTAGATGGTAAATTCTATGAATGTTTTTTTGGTGGTCCTCCAATTTTTACTGATCTTGGGGGTGTCAAAAGATCTGTTAAACTAGAAGGCCCTCCACCATCAGTAAATATAGGCACTAAAAAACGACAAGATTTAGTTGCTGGTCGTATTGCTGTTATTATTGATAACACATATACAGTACCAGTTTACTTAGATGCAAAACCACAGCGTATTGATGTTGGAAACACAGCACTTATACTTCGTTTTATTGATGGCTTGATGAGAGCAATGATTAATGATCAACCATTCAAAGTCAACTATAATGGACCGCCACAAGCAATCATTGTTCGGGGCAATACTCATTATTTAAGTTTCTCGGGATTACCAACAAATGTTAGACCTGGATATGCTGCTATTTCTCAAATGATGGGTGTTGTACTGACTGAAGATACCACTACTGAACCTTTGACGCCTCTACCTGCACCACCATTACCACCTAATTTTACTGCTTTTGACATTCCTTCATTAACGACGATCGAAAATATCAGTCAACCATCTCCCGCACAATCATCATTTTCTTCTACGTATTCATTAGCTCCAAGTAAAATTAAAATAAAAAAATGTATGATTATATATTATTATTGTTTTATTTTTATTTTTCAGCCACTACAGTGCCACTAATTTCCAATGTTAAACCAAAATCAGAACCTGTTACGAGTTCCTATGTATCTCCTCCTACACCTACTCCTACAGTACCTACTCCAACAGTACTACCTCCTGTTTTACCAAGTAATATGGATATTAATGAATTATTTAAGAAGTTAGTGGATAGTGGAATTGTACCACAAGAAAAACCAAAAGAAGTTATTCCTTTAAAAATAAAAAAGAAAGAAAAAGAAGCTGATAGTTTGATAATTAAATCAGTAGATTTTTCAGATCCTTCATCATTAAAACAGTTAGTATAATTAAATGTAAAAAAAAATAATATTTTACATTATAAATATTTTTTCTTATAACAGAAAACAGCCTGGATTAGTGCATAGTTTATATACAGGAATTCAATGTAGTTCTTGTGGTATTCGTTTCACTGCTGAGTTTACCATTAAGTATAGTAGTCATTTAGATTGGCATTTCAGACAAAATAGACGTGAAAAAATGGCAAGCAAAACTGTCCAATCTAGAAAATGGTATTATGACAGTAGTGACTGGTGTAAATACGAAGAGCAAGAAGATGAAACTACTAGAGGTAATTAGTTTTTTTTTTTTTTTTAATTTTATACATTTATTTTAAACAAATTTGTATGCACATTTTTAGCTGCCAGTTGGTTTGATTTACAAGCAGAACAAGGTACTAAAGAAGATGAACAAGTAGAAGAAGAGAATATACCTTGTATTCCAGCAGGTGAAAATAGTGAACTGGCTGCTTGTTATTTGTGTCATGATCAATTTGAACAGTTTTATAATGAGAAAGATGAAGAATGGCAATTAAAGAACTGTATAGAAAAAGATAAACATCTATATCATCCAATGTGTCATGATGATATGATTGTAAGTATTACAATTAAATTAATATTATTAATTTAATCTAATATAATTCAACTTTTTTTTTTTTAATAGAAAGCACGAGAAGAAAAATTACGTAAAAGAAATGAAGCTATTGAAGAAGCTAATAAACGAATAGAAAGTGAAAAAGTAGAAGTTAAAGATGAACAGTTAATAGAATTAAAACCATTAGAAGACATCAAATTAAAAGATGAAACTAATGAAGAAATAGAATTAAAATGTGAAGAAACAGTACCTGAAACAGAAACTATCACAGAAAAAAAAGAAAATGAAGAACAAATTATAGATGAACTTGAATCGGAACAAATATCTCAAAAATTAAATATTGAAGAAAATACAAAGAAAAATGACTATGAAGATTTAGAGATTCCTGACACCATGGAGATAATTCAAGTGAGTGGTGAAGTATTATCACCAAAATTAACCAATGAACCACCCATAGTTAAAGAAACTAATTCTTCATCCCCCTCGGTTACTCAAGAAATTCTGCATGATGAAATCAAACCTAGATCTCCTTCTCCTGTTTCTACAATGACATGTTCTATTGATGGAAATACCGACACCGAATGGAATGTTCCAGTTGCTCCTGCCATGGGAACAATCAAAATAAATATTAGTCAAAAAATGACGCCCCTTGTTAAACCGATTGTCACACCTATAGAAGACAAGTCCATTGAACCCCAATCACCACCAGACTTCACCCCAACATTTGGAGAGATTGATCCTGATCAACCGCCACCACCAGGTCTTGAACTGGAAACTGTAGTGGCTCCTAAAATACAAAGAGAAATGAAGCCAAGACTAATGCAAAATGCGAAAAAAATTAAAGAATATCCAATACTTAATAGAGGAAAAGAAATGTCTGGATTGTGTTCAATTATGTAAATTATGTAAGAAAATTATTCTTTCGTTAATTTTTTAACATTTTATGTCTATAGATGTTTATGAATTTTATAAATTTGTAATTTGAATTTAAATTGTGATATATATTTGTTAAATATATAGGTAATAAATTCTTTTTTTTTTGTATATAACATAATCTTAGAATATTTAGATAATTTCACATTGTTGATTTTTTTTTTTACCAAAAATAAATTATAATTTTCTAATATTGATTTTGATTTAATGTCTTAACAATTCATTTGATATATATTTTAAATTTACAGGATTAAAAAAGAAGTCATGGATCAGAGGTTTAAAAAAATGTACTGGTATAATAATTTACTTGTATTTTGTAAAAATATTTTAAATTTGAAATAAAATATATTTGAACAAAACGTATTATTGGTAATTAGTAATTATGTATTTTTTTAGTCATTAATTTTATTAGTGTGGTTTAATATGAAAATTGTACTACATATTATGGTTTCAATAAAGACTGCTCTAAAAATGTAATTTTTTAATTATTAATTGGATTATAGTAAGTCATAATAGTTTGAATGCAATTTATAAGACTAGTTTCTGTTTTATACAATATTTAAGTGAAACTTAAAATATAAACACAATTTTTAAATCTGAAATTTTTTGAATAGGTTAATCGGTTCATTTAGTTAAGTAAATTAATATTGAAAAAATACTTTATTTACCAATTAATATACAGTATTATTTTACTTGTTAAACTTGATTTGAAAATAATTTATGTTACAAAATTTTGAATAAATAGATTTTCAAATGTAAAATATAGGTCTACAGATCTTTAAATTCATTGAACCATTCATTCCTAATAATTATATTATGTATTAGTTATAGTTGATGAGTAAATTTGAATACCAAAACATTATAAATTAATAAAATCAAGAAAATCTGAGGTGGATATTAACACCAACATATTTGGTTCAAGATTATATATATATATATAAACCATAATAAATATAAAGTAAATAAAATTAATTTTTATTATTCAATTTACAGTTTACATTTTACAATTATGTGGCCATCGAGGAAATGGAATAGTGTCTTTTATGTTCTGCACGTCCAACACTACTTGAAGAAAACGTTCAAACCCTATGCCAAAACCTGCAGTAGACACATTTCCAAATTTTCTCAACTCTAAATACCAATCTAGTTTGTCTTCCAGTCCAACAAAAGATAACTTTTCTTTTAAACTATCATAATCATCTTCACGCACACTCCCACCACATAATTCACCAACATTAGGACATAATAAATCAACAGCCGATACCTGCACATAAGTTATACAGATTAGATGTATGTTTACATATATAATCAATAAAAAAAAAAAACATACCATTGAATCATCATTAAATTTTGCTTTTGTATAAAATGGTTTTAAATGTTTAGGCCAATCAACAACAAATATTGGTTTCTGACCATTATATTTTACTAAGAATAATTCATGTTCTTTAGTTAATGGTTTGCCTCTAATTATTGGATTTTTAAAACTATTTTCTTTTTTTAATACATCACATGCTTTCTGGTAACTTATTACTTCATAAGGGACTTTAATTAAATTAACGGGATCATTATCATTAGAAGCACTAGTGACTTTTCTATAATGTTTTAATTCATCACCAGATTCATCAAGTAGTTGTTTTACTACAGTAGATATAGTTTTTTCTATTACATTTAATAGGTCTTCAGTATTGTCAATAAAAGCTTGTTCTGCTTCAATCATATAAAACTCTGATAAATGTAATCTAGACTTTGAATTTTCAGCTCTAAAAGTTGGTCCCAAAGTGTAAACTTTATTTAGAGCTCGTGCCATACATTCCAAATGCAATTGTCCAGATACTGTTAGGTATGTTTGATTATTGAAGTAAGCTTCCATAGGTGATTGATGGTCATGTGAAGCCATTTCTTTAATTAAACTATTACTATCTGGTCTTACTGCAAATACTTCTCCAGCTCCTTCACAATCATTCGAAGACAACACAGGAGTATTTATTTCTACAAAATTTTCTTCAAAAAATCTGTTTCTTACAGCACTGGACATTTTATCCCGGAGTCTAAGTAAACTACTGAATGTAACTGTACGTGGTCGAATGTGTAAATGCTGTCTTACATAATCTGGATGGTAAGTCTTACGAGGGGCGAATGGATAACCATCTTGAACAACACAAGGCCCACAAACATTAATATTTTCTGCTACCAGTTCAAGTTTACTACTAGGATTTTTAATTAAAACACCCTCAACTTCAAATGAACATCCATAAGTTAATGAAGCAGGAGTCTTATTTTTAGGTATTACTACCTGTAAACGGTGATGTGTAGAACCATCATCCAAATCTATAAATATGTTCTCTTTCATTTTACGCATTGCTTTTGCCCAACCCTGAAAATAAAATAAATGTCTAATAGCTTAACATAAATATTTTATGCATGTAAAAGTTATTAAGTACCAGTTAAATTACTATTGTAATTTAATTATATTGAAAATACTTTTAAAATGTATTGTGTGCATTGGTATTGATTTGTATTGTCTTTTTTCGAAATAAACACAGTTATACAAGATAATAGAATATTGAAAATAAGATATTACCTTTATTTTTTTTTTACTGCCTTCTGGTTGTGATTCTATAATATGTTTAACAGAACAACTTGAATAAAAATATTTGCTGAAAGATAATCTAGATAAACTTAATAACTTCATGATAATTGTGTATAAATTGACAGTAACAAGATATAATATAATTAGAATTTCACACAATATCGTTTATACAACTATATCTAAATTAGTAGATAAATACTATCTATTTGTATTAATATTTAACTTTTAAATAAGTATTTTACTTTAAAAGCATAAACAATTATATAAATATAAGTACTTTTAATACTAGCAAGTGAAATTAAAGAACATCTAGTCAACAATTATATTGTAGAATGGTATTCATAACATTACAAGTATGTATTTTTAATTTAAATTGAAAAATCAAATTAAACATGTTATAATTAAGAATTATTTTATCCTACTTGTAAGTTAAACTTTCAAACCTTAGATCATATTATAGAAAATATTCAAATTCCAGATTAGAGATCAATCTACTTAATTAAGTTTAAACTTTTAAACCACAACAGATTAAATATGATTATTTAATGAATAGTGAGTAATCACGATTGAGCAGCGCACTGTGGCAAAATTGCACAAGATATAATTACAGTCTTAAAAGAATTTACTCCCCTGTCAATTAAACAATGTTTGCTATGAGCTCATAAATGTCATAGATCCGGTGTGTTCTTTTTACTAGTGCGGTGGTGTTTCTTGCATTTATTCGATATTCGTACGTACGGCCTAGTTGAAGATTAGTGATAATTGATGTCGTGATAACAATCCAAGCATGGTCAGCATTATATTCCATTAATCATGAGTTTATATTTTTGATCATTTATTTTGTTATTGGCATTATTCTGATTTATTTTAACTTGTTTTTCCATTGTAGCTAGATTTCTCGTAGAAAAAATCGTTTGTTGAATTTAAAATAATTGAACACAATTACAACGTTGATTAATTTAAGTAAATATTATTAAATTTGATTTTTTTAATTTTTCCTAATTATTACTGAAAACTACATTGAAATTTGGATAACAAAAAACGATATCCTTAATAGGGGCTACACGTTAAACGATTATTAAATCGATCTCATGTTATTTTTCAATTGGAGCAATATTTCTGGTAGAAAACATCGTACACAAAAATTAAAAATAATGAAAACGGTAACTCCACGGCGTTACCATAAATTTTATAAATGTTAATTATATTTGTTATTGCATCATTATATAATTCAACTATGAGCGCCTATCCAGTATATATTATGTACGCTACTCCTCGTATAGTCCTCGCTTCTACTCTGTACGATTCGTTGGAGTTGTGGAGGGTTGTTCTCAGTCAGCAAGTACAAAACGGTACCTTTCTTTCGAGTGCATAGATAAAGAAATTAAGACTGGACCGACTATAGATAGCTTACAGTGACGTCATACTCACGAATATGTATTAAATGAAATATTTAATCGATCCCGGCAAAGACATTTCTAATGTTTTCAATCAGTAAAGTATTAAGTGTTTATACCAATCATAGACTTTATACTTAGGATATACGTGGCATTGATTTATAGAATGGACCGTTGACATAATATAAATTACATATTAAATATATGTAATAATTTATAATACATACTATGTCAATGGAATAGACTATAGTCTATCTACATATGGTCTATTCTATAATCAATGGTATAAGGTTTATGATACCAAAATCTATTTGGCTTTGAACCATTGACATTGATTTATAATTATCTTTAACATTTTTTTTTTATCAATTTTTTATTGCAGATCTACTGTAGATCTTTTGTACTATAATCATTAGGCATAATCATGCCTATACGCATGCCTATACCGTAAAGTTGATAACAATGCTTGTAAAATAAAATATTTGATAAGAAAAGTTATTTTTTGAATTTTGATGAACACGTGTGAATTTTAGTATTCAATATTCAATTATTTTTATTACGATTTATTATTAAAGTTTTACTAAGATTTTGTATTTCCTTTTATGGTACTACAACTTGTATTAAAAAGAAACCAAAATTTACTCAAAATGCACCAGTTCAGTGATGCGGAGGATGACAATTCGCCGTAAGTTAAATTTCATTTCAATTAAAAATGAACCTATTTAGTATAGTGAAGTAGAGAGTAAGTAAGTTAATATTCCATTAAGCCTATTTAAAATATTAAAATTCCCACATTTGTGGTAAGGTATTATATAGTTAGAAATCCAATTCAAATTTGGTGATATTTTCAAGTTTAGTTTTGACCCCGAGGTTAGGTTAGGTTAGGTGTGGACTTGAAAACAATTTTTGATTTAAAATTTATGAACAAATACCGATAAAAAAAAATTCCAGTGTTTAAAAAGTGGAGTTATTTACTATTTAAGAAACCAAAGTTTATTGTACATGTACATCTAACCAATGGTAGTCGGTAAAAGAACAAAAATTAAGTAACTTAAACAAAAAAAAATTTTTTTTAAATTAAATTACGAATATAACACCTAATAATAATAAATTATCTGTTATAAATCACAACCTTTTACTAGGTCCTGATAGGGTTTCCAGTTTCTACATTATCTGATATAAGTTTAACTATAAATCAGGGTTAAAGTTCAAACAAAGACAGTAATACTTCTCACGATGGGTGAGTCACTGTTTAATAGTTGGGAAGGTAGAATATAAAAATAAATTAAATTTATTTTTATGCAACGATTAATTATTACTAGCATAAAACAATTCTGGGTGGAGTTCGGTTATTCCTTTTTTTAAAGGTTGTTATATTTACGATTTCCGTAGACATTTGATACTAAATTCATATATAAAAAAAAAATTTAACACACAACATTTTTTTTTATTAACTACTGATAACTTATAATAAATCTCCTGTTAAATTTTCAGGTTAATTTGTTTTATCTAAAACAATTTTATCCACAGTGTATCTCTGAAAAAAATTACCTAAAAAACTCGCAAATTTCAAATGTTCAAATATTTTGAAAATTTTACTGTGTTTATGTGTAAATATAACATTTCTATATACAATTTTAAGTTTCTATAAACATTTTCAACTCAAAATTAACAAATACACAAAATTTAAAATAATTAAAGTATTGTTTTTACACATTTTCCTTGTTTTTGCCAATTATTTTGTAAACTGCTTTAAAAATCAAAAAGTAGCCTCCTTTTAGTACTAGCTCAGAAAATTTCCTCACAATATGAAAAAAAATTTTAAAAAATATTATTATAAAACCAAAAAATTCCTTACTTCTCACAGATTCTAAAATAACTTACAAAATGAGAAAGTTCAAAAATATAACTATAACTTCAATAAGTCATGAATATTAGGTAGTTGTACATTTGACTGTTCTGTTCATTAAGTGAATAAAATTTGGTCTGTTAACAGTAACATCTGTTACTGAAAAGTTTAGTAAATTTTATTACAATTATATTGTAGTGAACATTTCTTGACAGTAAAATAAATATTATTTAAATTAATATTTTCTAAATCTAATAAAGGTGGTGAGAAAATGGTATTAAATGGTATATTTATATAACCAAGTATAAGGGAAAAAATTATTTTATTTAGAAATGTTCAACACAGAATAATAAATTGTGTTAGAATCGTGGTATCAGTTCCACAACAATTAATTTAAAGATTTTAAATTTTTGTTATTTTTTTCTTGATATTATTTTCCATTGTTATCTTTCTCTGTTTTTTGGGGGGGAGGGGGGATTCTAAACCAAAGTTAAACATTTTAAACCAAACCTCAAATTGCACGACAGTGTAATTTTTTAAGTGTTTTCAATTAATGTTTCACGCTGTTTATATTTTTGAAGTTTTTCAATATTTTGACCTTTTTTTGTTTATCTAAGAGCTAGTTTTAATTCTCATTTTTATCTGTTATTAATAATATATAAATTTGTATGAATATACTAAGTTATACATATGGATTTTATTACTATTGCATTATTATTCAATTGGTTTTCCCCTGAAGACTAATAGGCGGTGTAAATCTAACAATCAGGTAGATACCTAAACATTGTTTACTTATAACTAATTAAAATTTTTAGATTGATTATCAATGATAAAGATGATGTGTGTAAATTGTTTGGCGAAATGACTTTTAAAAATAATGGCCGTAAATTAGTAAATGATCAAAGTACATATGATAGTGATTATTCTGACAATGACAGTAGTGATGACGAAGAACTTTTTGATACTGGTATAACTAACAAGAAGAGTTTAATTACTTAAATTGATCACTTTAATATTTGTTGAATAGGTTGTTACAGTAAAAAAGGTGCAAATGAAATCAAAGCTCAAATACAATCCAACACTCCTAATCAACAAAACAAAAACATAAAAATTAGTGATTATCAACCACCCGAGAAACTATTTAAAAAATATTTAGATAAAGTTAATACAGACCCATATGAAGGCCCTGTACTTACTCATGAAGCTTCTAACAGACTGATGGAAAGCTACAAAAAAGCAGATGCTATGAGGTATATATATATTCATACAACTTTAAATAAAATTAATTATAATATTTGTATTACATTTTGCCATATTTTAGGATTAGAAATAAAGACAAGTGTGATCGAGCTACAGCAGAACAAGTTATGGATCCAAGAACTCGAATGATACTTTTTAAATTGCTTAATAGAGGGATGATTGGACAAATTGATGGATGTATATCTACTGGCAAAGAAGCAAATGTATATCATTCAATTTCAGCCGATGGGGACAATCATTATGCTATTAAAGTATTTAAAACGTCAATATTAGTATTCAAGGATCGTGATCGTTATGTGTCTGGGGAATTCAGGTATTACTAAAACCAATGAATAATTATTTAGTTATTTATAAGTGTTATATTTAAAAAAAATTAAACAATTGGACTACAATAGTCACACTCATTTAATAATTAAATAAATAACTCAACTTTACACAAAATACTAAAATCTCAACAGCTCTAATAAAAAAATAAATATATTATATTTTGTTACAAAATTTCCATCTTAAAGTACACTTTAATATGCTTCTCTCAAATTTGAAAAATTTTATAAGCTCATTGAGGTCAACAAATTTTTGATTTTCATTTTTTCTTTATTATCTACACAAAGAAAAAATTTTGTTTCACAAATTGTGATTTATTCTCAATTATTTTGGTTTTTTTTAAGTAAGACTGGCAAAATGGTAGCATAAGGAAATTTGTTTTCATTGAATCACATAGTATCAACACATTTGGATATTTAAAGTTAAATGGTTACATATGAAGCATAGACGTTAATAGCATATTGCACAATTTTATTTTTAACCGAAATATGAGTATGTAAAATATCACAATTTAAAAATGATTATATCTTGGTTAAAAACTAAAATATTAAAAAAAACATCAACGCTAGAGTACTTATAATCTTCTTACCTTTAAGTTTGGTTATAAGTCAATTTGCTTTAATATTAAAACTAACGGCACAAAATTTGTAGTTGTAAATTCGGATGTGATGTCCTTGTAAGAACATAGACCAAGAACACTCAACAGCCCTGGGTGTTTCGTGAGGAAATATTGTCACGTTTTGTATATTTTCATCACGCTAAAATTAAATGTTTCCATTGCTATAAATAATTAATTAAATGTTTTCATTGTTTTTAGATCTTTTGAATCAATTTTATCATCAGAAAAAATGCATTATATTTAAAAATTTGATGTATTGGTATCTTTTTAAAGTTTACAATTTTAAGGCTGGTCATAACAAAAGATATTAACCTATTGGTTTTAGATTTTGCATACACCATATAGCCTGTCAATATCTTTTTTGCATTAGACATTTACGATATGACCACTTTCGGTCATTTTAATACACCTTACTATATATCTCTCATCACTGCTGGTTTCAATAATTACTATTAGTCATAAACGTCCGTACGTTTTTTTAGCTAACGAGTGGTGGAGGGGAATTTCATCTACACTGCCCCAGCAGTCAGTCACTATACTCAAATAGTGATTATTGAATTATTTTTGTTTGAGATAAAGTATAGTATTTATTTTATTATTTAATATTGACTTGTTTAGATAAAATGTTCATTCTCTCCTTACATTGCCATTTGAATTTTTTTTTTTTGATAACAGTGGCAACTATCTACAATAATCTAGGATATTAGAGTTGAAATATACATTTTAACAATGTTTGATCACAACTTCTTTAACAATACATTTTGCAGACAAATTCAAACATTTTCAAATATCGACAAACACATCTTTTCATTAATACAATTTCAAATCCTCGGCAATGGTGATAAAGTACACTTGTTCCAAATTCTGTTCCTAAGTGTTTGAATTTACCTTTTACCTGACTGTAACAGGGTGTTGTAATTTTGTTGTTTTAATTTCACCATAACTCCTAAATGGCTGAATCAATTTTGATATGTATAAATTCAGTGGAAACCATACCTAGATTGCCATAATAAATTATTTATTTGAATTTTAATAAAGCCCCACCACTTCTATTAACTTCTTCTGAATTTACCTATACTATAGATATATATTTAAAAATGTATAGGATATGTATAAAATAATCTAAAACATTTATTATTTTTATATTCAGTTTATATTATGAGTAAACTTATAAGGTTAGGTTATATTTTATTAAATAATTTGCATAATATTGAATAAAAACATACTTTGTAAAAACAAAATAAAAAAGATGTAAATAATATAAATTAAAAAACTTGACTGTAAAATGCGAAAAAAAAAAATCAATAGAAAAAAGAACAAGACAAAATATAAATTAATTTAATTCTCCCTTGGCTTGAGGTAGTCACAGTTTTCAGCCTTTAAGATGCTACTGAAAAGTGATAGAAAATGCAATGTAGATTGATCTCTGATGCCTCTCATGTTCATGACTACATTTTCTATCACATTTCAATAAAGAAGCATAATCATTTTTTTTATTTTATCATTTCTATTTATTTTATTTCATATTTTTAAAACTAATATTTATTTATAAAATCATTCCCAACCCTTAATGTTATCATTAATTGTGTTGTTATTTTTATGTAGATTTAGACATGGTTACTGTAGACATAATCCACGTAAAATGGTTCGTTTATGGGCTGAAAAAGAAATGCGTAATCTCACTCGGATGTACTCAGCTGGCCTACCAGTACCTCAACCAATTTTGTTAAGATCTCATGTATTAATGATGTCTTTTATTGGTAAAGATGGTTGGCCTGCTCCAAAGTTAAAAGTAATTGTGCTGCATAATTATTTGAAACATATATCTTTAATTTTTTGACATTTTTACAATCATATTTTCACAGGATGTTCATCTTTCTGTATCTAAAGCATGCCAACTTTATAGAGATTGTTTAATAATTATGTGGAAACTATACAATATCTGTAAATTAGTACATGCTGATCTTAGCGAGTTTAATTTATTGTAAATACAATTTCAAATATATATTAGTTATATTCTAAATGCTATATCCTATAGATACTTAAATACTGATATCTAATTAATAGGTATAATAATGGTGAAATAGTCATGATTGATGTATCACAAGCTGTTGAGCATGATCATCCATATGCTTTAGAATTTCTTCGTAAAGATTGTACAAACATTACAGGTAAAGTTTATTAAAGTATTGAATAAATTGTTGAAAATTAAAATCACTAACACAATTTGTTGTATTATGGTTTTAGAATTTTTCCGACATCATGATGTTGCTACTTTAACTATTAAATCTTTTTTTGACTTTCTCACTGATCCAACTATCACATTAGATATTATGGAAATTTGTCTTGATAAACTACAAAGTAATACAGAAAATGCAGATCCATTAACTAATGAAGAAATAATTGAACAAGAAGTATTCAAAAATGCTTACATCCCCAAAAATCTTAATGAGGTATATTACATTACAGTAAATCTATACTTTTATTAAACAATTGTTTAAAATAGGTTGTTGATTTTGAAAGAGATATCAGTTTGATAAAATCTGGTCAAACAAGTGAAGATTTAATTTATCAGAAAATTGTTGGTCTAAAAGAAGATTTATCTGGACCTCAAAATATACCAGTATTATTGGAAGATAATGATTCATATAGTACCATCAGTACATCAGAAGATGAAAATATTAATTCTGATAATAAAAGTAAATTTTGTAATTCAGCTAGGCCTAAAAATGAAGATACTGAAAACAAACGAGTAAGATTTAATGTTTGTCTGTATAATAAAAACTTTTATTTTACATTATTCATGTATACTTTTGTATGTATGGTGGTATTAGTTACGAAAAAAACAAGTAAAAGAAGAAAAATCAGAAAAAAGGAAGATGAAAGTGAAAAAACATTTGAAAAAAAGAAAAGAAAAAACAACTCAATGCAGAAAAAAATAATTTATTTTGTTTAGTTCATATTACTATTTTTATTGTTAATAAATTGCATATATATACATATATATATTTTTATTTTATTTAATCTTAGACATTTTTATTGGCTGTCTATTATAATTTTTCAGATTTAATTACCAGAATTAAAATCAGGTCTTCATTTTCATGAAATTTAAAGATTTTCTTAACTTAAAATCCATAACATAAAGTTGACTACTTATTTGTTTATTTTTTGCTGATTGTGGATGATCAATTATTATTCTTTCATTTTAACGGTAGTAATACTCTGTATTTCATTTTCAGTCTTTAACCTTACTTTTGTTTTGATTTGCAGTTACGATGTAAAACTTTTAACTGTACTATATTTTTGTCCCAAGCTATAAGTTCTGTAGTTTCTTCAAAATAATTATTTATATTTTAAAAAATGTATGATCTAATTTGTTTTATTTGTGTATAATTCAGTATTTTACAAGAACCCAGGAAAGTCCAGGGAAATTAAATTTAAAAATACATATTTAATTAACAAAATTAAAATTTTAAAAATCTAATCTATTTTCATGTTCATTAACCAATATTGTATTCGATTATTATTCTTTACATCTATCTATACATAAATTCTAAGTAAGTCCCCTGAAAAAAAGCGAGGAAACATCATTTTACAAAGATGTTTATTTTTTATTGTTATCTGTGTACAACTTTTCTACCAGAAATATTAATTTAATTAAGTGTAGCCCCTTTTCTGAAAGAAAATCAGTGTAGGGAGGTACTTTAGGGAAGTCATTATTCGATTACATTGATTTTCTCATCAAATGTGAAAAACTGTGAAAAAAACGGGAAAATCGGTATAATATTAAACAAATATTATGAGAAATATTTAGCCTATTTAATTATTTTACTATATGGCATGACTATTGTTGACAAAGCATCATTATTATCTGAACTTCACTCAGAATCATTTTTTGTTAGCAATGGTTTATCGTTGCTTACAGGTATATATTAAATTGCCTTTAACAATGGCTGCACCTGTATTATCCTAGAACATATTTCAATAATATAGTTGCATTTAACTATTTCTGAACCTTCGATAAAAGGTCTTTTATAATCACCAATATATTGATTTATGTCAGTGATTTCTATTACAGAATTAAACATTATATACTTTTATTAATATAAACTGTAAACAAAATAAGTTTTAATAAGCAAATTTTAAAAAACTAGTACTAAATAGATTATTTTGGATAAATCACTATTATTTAATTTAATGTATAACAGTTCCACACCCTTTCCAAATAATAAAACAGAGTAATACTCTATGTAATAAACGAATAGATAAATGATGATATTGATAAAAATTTAATTGATAACAATTAATATTCAAATAAATTTTAATGCCTGTGATTTAGACAATTCAATAAAATTACGTAACAAAATTAATACCATATTCATTTTAATAAACGGGAAATGGGAAGTGTAAGTAATAATTAAAATAATTGATCAATATTTAATTGGGTTTATTATTGTTAATTTTGGACAATGTTAGAGGTACACTGATTTCCATCGTCGAATATCTATAGCTGATGTAAAATAATCGGTATCAAGTGTTATTAAACCGGTACGAATTTCTAATCTATTCTCTATATTATACACTGTGACCGTATAGGTTTATTGAATCATAGGTAATTCTAATGCCAAGTTCCATTACCCCATGAATTAATATACGTATTCTAATTGGCTGATACAAAAGATATTTAAAATAGTAGATACTATACATTTTTTTTATAGTAACTACCTGGTTTATAATAGTGGTTTGTAATATCAATTTTTCACCGTTTGGTAATATCATTTTTGTGATAGTTGTTATTATTTTGTTTATAGACATATTAACTATTAACTATTTATATTTCTATGGTTTAAGTAATATAAAAAAATAAAATCATATCGCAAACACTAAAATTATAACGATATGATAGTATATAATACAGTGGCTAATGTTTGTCAATTTTACTATATGGGCGGCGAGTGATATAAAATACACGGGGCACGGAACCATAGATTATTAATAAATGTACTGTGTTTACTTCTCGAAGCGTATTACATTTATTCACATATGTTTATGCACCGAAGAAGAAACATGGTGTAATGGAAACTCACCATAAAAACCACAGAACAATGGTTAACAATCGTTTACAATGGTTATCCTAAGTACAGATACGGGAATATCCATATTCCATTTGTCCGAAAATGATAAGACGACAAGTAATAGTGTGGCCAACATTCTAAACATTCATAAACTGATAAAATGGACTATAAGTCGTGGAGCATTTTAATATTTATGTTCTGACTGGCGGTATTTGAATACTGAATAGTGTTTATAGTAATCAGATGACAAAGTGCTTTTCTCCCACTGTTTATTATTTCATTAATTCATAAACAGGTTGATGGAAATCGACAATTTCAAAATCTAATTGTTTTTAAATTAATACTCCCATTTATGTTTAGATTTTTTAATGCGGATAGGTTGCTATTTGAAAACCAAAAATGGATAGTATCAATAAAAAATAATGGAAATGTAATTTTTTAGAGCTTGTTTCTTAAGTTTTCATTAAAAAATAATAATTTTCGGTAAATCTTCATGGGAACCGTTTTATACATTTTTAAAATATTTTGTATAAGTATGTAAAATTATATAATTATAGTATGGGTATTCCAATTTTATTTAATAATATGTTGTAAATAAATAGGTATATGGTATCGTTAGAAATTAACCATTTTTAATCATTTGCATTTTGCATATTATAGGGTTATAAAATATTCATCGATAGTTGGACAGTGTATAGTACTATAGTAGGATTATGAAAACATCGATTTCAAAAATCCGTTATTATGTTATATCGATTATTATCATACAATATTCTACGAACCAGGTTATGCAACCTCGTGACCTATGTGATTCTTAAAATTACCAATTTGTTTCTACATTTATTGCCGAATTGCCGATCATTTTTATTTTTTTACTGAACGTTTATTAGTTTACTACTGTTTAGTATTAAGTAGTATTGTATTATACTTTTTAGTTTTTACTACTATATGTTCTTTTGAAAATCTTACTACTTTATAGAATAGGTTTTTAGTTGTTCAGATTATTATCTTTAATCCAGTACTTTACTGCTTTTTCAAATTCGATTGACTAAACGAAAAATAACATGAGTGAAAATCCGACAAATCCTAGTGAACAACCAGCTGAATCGGCAAGCATTGAAGCTACAAAATCGAAAAAGTATTTATTATCTAATACTCCTATAACTCCTTATAAATATACATTTTAAACTATACATCCATCTTTTAGAAAAAGAAATAGAAATCGTAAAAATAGTGTTAAGGCAGAACAAACTAGCCGGAATGGAACTGTTGAAGAAACTACATTGCCATCTACTATTTCTATTCAGGTTTGTGTATTTGATTTTATTAACCTAATAAAAATCACAGACATAAAATTAGTATTAATTAACTTAGTAGTATAAATATGTTTTAAAAACACCCCATTATAATTTATTTGGTCTTTATGTTTTTAAATTGAAATACAAATATTTCAACTTATTGTACATTATTAGGTAATTATATTGTATTATTGCTTAGATTTTATTTTAGTAAAGGATCAATTGTATATATTATATTTCTATAATCAATAATTTTAAATTTATAAGTAGTAGGTAACTTGCCATCCTTTTAAACTACTCCATTATTAACAACTTATTATCTAGTATTGCATTTATAATAAATAATAAATAAGCTCAATGGGCTGTACTTTACAACATTTCTCTAACTTCCTTGGATAATTTTTTAAATTTTCTTCGAAAACAAATGTTTTTTTTACATTACCTATAAGACCAAAACATCAATCTTGGTAAATACTACCACTTAGGTCTCAAATATAATTATTCGTTATTTGCCATATAATAGTCATATTTTAGAGCAAGAATTAAAACTTGTTATTGGTATTGATGGACTTGACATTTATAAAAGTACTTCTTTACAATTTTGGCTTACTAAAGATCAAAATCTGATCTTGTTTTTCCTGTAGGACTGTACTGTGGAAATCAAAAACCATTAGACAGCAATGACTATAGAGGTTGATTAGTTTTCTATTTATGAAAATCTAAATCTGTATTTTATAACTTGTAGATAATAATGGTTCAATTTTACAGGATATTCAAAAAGCAATGGAAGTTTTTTCACTTCAACAAAGAGCAGCTAAAACTCCCGAAGAGGCTTTGCATAAACAATATCGTTTTTGGTACACTCAACCAGTGCCTAAAATGAGTAAGTAATATTCAAGTTTTTTAAAGTATTTAATAAAATTGAATGCCTTTTAATTTATTGCTCATAGTAAATTTATTTGGATTTTACATCATGGTTTAAAAAACATTTTTTATTTTTTTTTTTTTTATATATATGTAGACGAAACAATAATAAACGATGGTCCAATTGAAGAGGATAAAATGGTAGATCAGATCAGAGTAGAGCCATTTACTTTGCCTGCTGGTTTTATATGGGATACTCTCAGTCTAGATGATCCTTTTGTTTTAAAAGAGTTATACACACTATTAAATGAAAACTATGTTGAAGATGAAGATAGCATGTTTAGATTTGATTATCAGCCTCATTTTCTGAAATGGTATTTAAGAATCAAATTATTTTTATACCTATATATTTTTTGTTGTTTAATTAATATAGGGCTCTTCAGCCTCCTGGATGGTTAAAAGAATGGCATGTTGGAGTTCGAGTCATTAAAAGTAAAAAATTAGTAGGTTTCATTAGTGCTATTCCAGCTACGCTTAAAGTCTATGACAAGTAAATTTTATTTATATTTCTAAATTGTAATCATTTATAAAATATAATATTTATTTACATTTATTTTTAGATCTCAAAAAATGGTTGAAATAAATTTCCTTTGCGTACATAAAAAATTACGTAGTAAAAGAGTAGCTCCGGTCTTGATACGCGAAATAACAAGACGAGTGAATCAAATGGGTATTTTTCAAGCAGTGTATACAGCTGGAATAGTTTTACCAAAACCAATTGGAACCTGCAGGTAAAAATCAATAACTTCTTATTTAAATTGATCATTTAAAAAATATTTTAATATTTGTTCATATTTTAAATTTAATTTCAAATAATACATTTAATAGTTGTCATTTGTGAATTTCAATAATCAGTTTATGTCAATTAGTAAGATATTCAGGAATAAATAATAATAATATAATAACAATTCCTTCTAAAAAATATTTAAAATCCCACTTAAATTTTTTTCTACCATGTATTTGAATATTACTTACTAAGAAATATGTGTTATAAGTAAGGAAAAGAGTGCATTTTATGAAGAAATAGAAATAATTTAATGAGTTTACCAAAATATTGTATCAAAATGATAGTTTGAGATGTAAATGCTCAAGTAGAGGGGAATTGATTAGACCGATAAATAAATAGGAAAGTCTACACAAAGAATCCAACAGTAATGTAGGTTAGTTAATCAATTAATTTCTTCTTGGTCTTGGCCAAAGGAGCAAAAAAAATACAATACAATAGGGAAATTGCGTGGTTATTTTTCAGTTTTCCATAGTACACATATTATATGTATTTGAGATTGATGTATACATTTAAAATTAAAATTTTAACACTATAATGGAAAATAAATATTGCAGTGTATTATATATGAAAAAAAATAACCGTAACTAGCAAACGAATAGTCACAAACAAATTTAGTGGTATCCATTTTTTCATTATAATATGTAATATTATTTAAGCCAAAAAAAACTTATTGAATTGGATGGTTTTTTAAGGCTTGTCTATAATAATAATATTGGTGGCAAGTTCACATTTTAATTGTTTGTTGGGTAAATTTGAGATTTTGTAGTGCACAAAATGTGTTTAGTCCGCATAAAAATAGCCTATTGGGAATAATAGTTTATTAGCTTACGTTGACAGTATTATTATCCTTGATAGGTTTTTTTACGAGTACTATTAAACTAATAATAGTAGAAAAATGATGTGACTTATGAACTAATGAAAATAAGACAAAATACATTTTTATTACTAGATAGCTGACAATTATAAAAAAAACTTTTGAGTTGTGAATACTTCTTTGTTCAAGTTGAAGATTTTAATAATTTAGCGATTAATATAAACTAAAAAAGTAATATACATAATGAAGTAAGGTTGAAACTTGTATTAATAAATAGAAAATATTACACAGTGAAAATTAATGTTAGCATAATTTTCACTTAATTTAGGTTACTATCTAGAAAAACTAAAACGAAACTTTGTATATTCTATTTACCCCCTATGTTACACATGCCTCTGAAACCTAAGTAACAAAAAAGACTAAGAATTAAAACTCAATATTTGGAAGAAAAGAAGAATAGACCCAAATTAAATATGGAACCCAAAGTTATGAAAAATAGAAAAATGAAGAAATCGAAAACTTTTTTTTCTAAAGACCATACATACAAAGATGGGAAAAACCAGCATAAGATAAACTAATACATTTCGTATCAATCATCATAAAGAAGCCAAAATTTCAGTCATGGTTTGATAAGATAAACAAAGATATGGAGAACATGGGAATAAATGAAAATTGAAAATGCAGATGATTGAACATAGGAGATAATTTTTAGAAGTGCTGATAAACCTTCATGGCCTGTAAGCCAAGAAGAAAAAGAGAAAAAAAAAACTGAACAAGTCTCAAGTAAATTGTTATTAAATTTAAAGTGTTGAGGAGCAAATTCGATGAAACTGTTGTGTCAAATTTTAGATTCAGAGTGTAACGTAGAATGTATTGGTATTACGAAGATGTTTATATTTTTATCTATTACTTTTTCTACCAGAAAACTTACTTCAATGTATATGATGAAGACTTTTCTGGGGCTGGTACTTTGAGGAGGTCATTTTTCGATTTTCCTAAGTTTTTCCAGCAGATGTGAAAAAACAGTTAAATAATTACAATATAAACAAATATTATTAAATAAATACATAATGTCTATTTAATTATTTTACCATTATATGTCATATTGTTGTCAAAGCATCACTTTTAACTGAACTTCGCTCAGAATCGTTTTTAGTCAACAATGGTTTATTGTTGCTTACAGATTCAAATTAATTTCCCATCTATATCCTACCTTCCCAATTTCTCACCAACAATAGTTGCTGTACACATTGAACCAAATATGTCTGTCTTTTTAACTTTTAAAAATTTTTGATAATGAAGGTATTATTGTTTTCATATTTTCTATTTTGAATAATAAAAGAATTTGACAATAACGTTGCCATTTAAAAAGTTGATACTTTAAAAAAATGTTGATAAAAATGTTTAACACTTAATAATTATTGAAACATATTTAATAAAAAAAAATGTATGCCTATTTAAGGAATGTTTCATTGAATATTATTAAAATTCGTGGAATTTTATGTTATAGATATTGGCATCGTTCCTTAAACCCCAAAAAGTTAATTGATGTTAAGTTTTCACATTTGAGCCGTAATATGACTATGCAACGAACATTAAAGTTACATAAACTACCTGAATCAACACGTACTCCTGGATTTCGTAAACTTCTTGCAGAGGATTTGCCACAGGCTCGAAAATTACTTTCTGATGTTAGAATGCATTAATATAGAAGTAAACAAATATATAATTGTATATTATTTTCAGTATCTGCAAACCTTTGATCTATCCTCTACATTTTCTGAAGAAGAATTCAAACACTGGTTCTTGCCCCAAGATGGCATTATTGATGCTTATGTTGTTGTTAAAGATAAGAAAATTACAGGTATGCAATAACTTCTATTTTAATAAGGTTAATAATAGTTATGTATTTTGGCAAAAATTTTCCCAAAAAAAGACTAACTATTGTCATACTATGTCTTATATTTAGTAAAACCTATTCTAAGGGAGATGAATTTTTGAAATTCATTAAGGGTAATTGTATAAAAAGATAAATATGTATACACTAGGTTAAATTCAGCTATGTAAGCTATGTATAATGTTATAATGTATGTATTTTGTACATTAACGATATAATAATAATAAAATAATAAAATAAAAACAAAATGATTAAAATGGTTAATACTCGGAAATAAATGTATGAATGAATATAAATGTGTCGCCTGGAGTATTATGATAAGTAAACTCGAGTCTTGTTTTACATTTTGACTGTGATATACCTGATGATGAATTTTTAATTCAAAATCGTTTGTATAATACATTTATCATTATACTCCAGGCGTCGCATTTAATCATTTATTTATTTTTTATTATATAATAATTTTAATATGTATTTTTAATAAATGTGAACAATGCATACATATATAAATACAATTCAATTTGGTGTAGACAACAGTCAGCTTTGTCTGTTTACAACTCTGTTGTCTCCGTATATTCTTACTAGTAATTTCATTTACCAATGTTATAGTTAAAGAGAAAATAGTTATGCTTTCTCTCATTATTAACAAAATGAAAAGATCTATGTTCTTCACAGCCAATGAGTTTCAAAAACTAGTAATGTTAAAATTTAAAGTTTCTTTCTTATTGTCGGTCCCATTGTGGTATCATCAATTATCGTTGTCATAAGTGGAAACAATTTTGTGCAAATAATTAAATTATAATATATGTGTTTGCCAATCAATTGTATGAGGGATGAAAATTAGTTTTGTATTTAAAGTTCTTCGGGTATTACTTGTAAGTCCTAATTGTTTATCGTATGATTGTCTCTGTGAGTGAAAGAGTGAAACAACTTCACAAAAGCACTTTTTTACAGTTTCGGGCTTGACATCGGCAAAGTGTCCAAATCATTAATAACGCTTAGAGTCACTAGCATTTAAATCAGCAACAGCTCTTTGTAGCAGTTACTTTAATAAAGCTTCTTGAATTGTTGGATTATTTCCTGATTCAGAGGTTGACAGTGAAATGTCAGGTTTTTGGATGAGGGAAGAAAGTCTGATATTTTTCAGTTTTTGATGGGGATAAGGAACTATTTTGTCAAAAAAAATAGCACTTTTAATCGAATTTTGTAAACCAGTCTATCATATTTATTGTCAGCATCCAGGACTTTATTCCAGTTCTAATCAACTGTGAATTTATTACTTTTTGAAAGCTTACTTTTGTTTTGATTTACCTATGATGATGGAATTACATTCAAATTCATCTCATATTATAGCACAAAAACACAGTAAATTGTTCTTTTGAATTTCTTCCACTATTACATATTTCACTTTTTAAAAATGCCAAAGTTTTATTTGGTAGAACTCCAAAAAAATATTTTTCAATTATGTTTGGTAAAATCGTCTTGCAGTTATCAATAGCTGTTTTATTAATAGTTATTTAATAGTCTATTAATGTTTTTCGGAATTTTTGAAATCCCCTCTTTAAATGTTAAAATTTCTAGACAATTTTTAAAATATAATGTCATTTTTTAGTTATTTTAGATATTTTATCTAATGGGATATTTTGATTATATGTAGATAAAAATTTTATGAGTTTTTAAAAAAACTTAAAAAATTGTACTTGTTAGTAGTTTGAGAAAAAAAATAGAGTGTGATGTCATTATTTATTTTTTATAAATTGTTCACTTATAGTCATGATAAAATTAGAAATTTGTTTTAAACAAACTATGAAAAGTCTACTCTATGAGCGCCCAGTTTTTTAAATTATTGTACTAATTATTATAAATGCTAAAGTTTTGTTTGGATTAATGGATGTTTCTTATCTCCTCACGCCAAAACTACCAGATAGATTGAGCTGAAACTATACTTAAATGTAGTTTTAGATCAGGAATAACATATAGACTATCCCCCCCCAATTTAGTACCTAAAGGGCTGGAGGGTTGTGATAGTTATTGGTATTTTTGGTGCAAAAATTAAATTATTTTTGTTGATTTGAAACAAACTTAATAGTAAAAATTATATCATTTGGCATGGGAAATGCTGTGTGAAACAACTAGTAAACTATAATTCCATACACAATTTTAAAAAAAATTGGTAACTTAATTATATTATACTCATATGTAACATATATAAATTCAATATCTTGATTTTTAAATAGTTAATAAAATATTTTTTAACTCTTAAAAGGTTTGGTGTTTATTTTCAGATTCAATTTTTTTTTTTTTTTTTGTAATTTTATTGAAAAAAAATTGTGTAGATCCAAAATTGTCACAGAATGCTAATTATGATGACCTTTTCTAAATGTGGTAAAATTTTCAAGGTTTTAGTTTTTCAGGTTTTAACATATAGTGTATTCAGTAGTAACAAAAAAACAAAATTATTGTATTTTGTTTTATACAGCAAGATTGACCAAGCGTACTTGCACCAATTTTTTTGTTAAATTTTGCATGTATTTAAATTCTGATTTTTGGAATTTTTAAGTATAGTTGTAACTGATATTTTTGAATACCTGTTTAATACACAACATTTAAAGAGTATCTTGTGGTGTTACCAACTTTGGTTTTTAATTGAGAACCAATATTAAAAATTTCATATATAGATGAAGTATTTATTATACATTTTTTGGTGTCTAAATTTATGATTTCCGTCAAACTGTTAATCAGAAATCACACTTTAAAGTTTAGGTAGGGAGAGAGTAGTGATGTAGTGTTATATGCCGCGAACCGTGTCGCAACAAAATAATACTACACAACTCTCCTCCAACCCAAGCTTAAAAGTGGAATATCTCGTTAACAGATTGACAGAAATTAAAAATGTTAACACTAAAATTTATATTATATAATATTTAGATCTATTTATAGAACTTTTAATATACATGGAAATCAAAAGTAGGTAATGGTTTTACTCTCAAATAATATTATAAATAAAAAATTGCGGAGTAGCTTGTTTTTTAAATTTTTCAAAAAAAAAAACAAATTCCGGAAAAGTTACTACTTTCAGAGATAATAAGTGTACCCCACTCAAATGGATCACCTAATTTAACCAGATTTTTTGTAAACTTAGCTAACCTCAGATTTTCTACCTCGCTAATACTAGCTTTTTGTAGAAACTCCTTCCTAACGACATTGAGTATTCATTCTTATTTTCTAAACTTAATTTTTATATGCCTTCCCGTATTACACTTTTAACTGCTGGTTTTTTACTTAGGTTTTAATACCACTACTATTTACAAACTCAATAAAACAATTATTCACTTTATGTGTATTGCCAATACCTACCCTTTCTTCTTTTCTTCCTATTATATTTTGTATCCTTAAGTGTATATTTTACTTTTACTATTTTACTCTTATTCATACTATGTATATATTTTATGTCAAACATGAATTTTCTATAAATATGTTAATGTTTTAGAAGCAAGCCTAGCATTATAAATTATAACAATCCATATTGAGATGTTCCAAAAATACATAGAATTTGTATCTGGAATTTAAAATTTGGAGATTGGAAAATAGTAAATTTAATTTAAAATTTAAAATATTTTCAATGTTCTTGTTATTGTTGTGTTTTATGAATCAATTCTAAATATTATGGAGGTAATTTTTTTGATTTTTCAAATGGTTTTCATAATATTTGGTATCAAAACTGGAGAATCTATAAAAATAATATAGAGAATGTTTGTAATGATTTGAAATTTGGAAAGAAAATTTGTATTCACCTATTTAAGACATGTTAAAATGTTTAAATCATTTGTGCCATTTATAGATAGTTTAATATTGCAATTTTTTTTTTTTACAAATTTTTTTATTAAAATTTGACATGGTTATTATAAGTCCTATTTGGTGGTAAAAATAAAAAATCAAATTTTAATGAAAATCATAAAATTGCGGTTTTCAAAACATGTATATTGTATAATCCAATTTGTCTCAGAATTTTTTTTTGTTGTATTGTAAAAACCTAAATTAAACTAAATCATCCTACATATTGTACTATTTTATTTTCATTCATACATATATTTGTTTTTATCTATATGAACAATTCATATTAATTCAATATAAATTAAACAAAATTCTAAAAATTTAATATAATACTGTAATACATTTACTATATTATTCCAAATAATTATTTGTTACAGATTTAGTTAGTTTTTATACTCTTCCTTCGACTATAATGCATCACCCTACATACCGTACATTGAAGGCTGCATACTCATTCTATAATGTATCCACTCAAACACCTTGGGTTGATCTTATGCAAGATGCACTGATTTCAGCTAGAAATGTCAGTTATTCTATTATTTTTATGTTTATTATTATCATCAAGTTAGTAATAATTTTATTTTCTAGGCCAATTTTGATGTGTTCAATGCCCTAGATTTAATGGATAATAAGGAATTTCTAGAGCCACTTAAATTTGGAGTTGGTGATGGAAATTTGCAATATTATTTATACAATTGGAAATGCCCTGAAATTAATAGTAATAAGGTAATTATTTGATTTTCCTCGAATGTACATATTTAAATAATCAAAATTCTCATGTAGATTGGCTTGATCCTTCAATAATAATTTAATAAAAAACCAAGTTAAATAGAAAAAAATGATACCACCTATGAATAATTTATACAACAACAAATAAATGAATAAAGTAAGTATATTAAATATATATTTAATTTTTTTTCAGTGTTGAAATTATAATAATTTTGTAACTAATAAAGTATGAATTTAAAATAATGCATAAATAAAATATTTAAATTGTAATAAATTTGTTGTCAACTGTTGGGCAGGTAATATAATAGCAAGTGTGTTATCACGTAGTTACTTAATATATTTCTTGGTCACATTTTTTTTTTATATATATATATATATACAATAGTAAGTTATATAAGATTTTGGAAGTTATGTTGGTTTTTTTTTTTTAAATGTCCTTCATTATTTATTTAACCTACTCAATTTGTTTGATCATATTTCATAAGTAAAATATTTTTTTTGTGAATAAACAAGCCAAAAAAAAAAAATATATATATATATTTATATTAAAGTAATATATGGTTTTCCAATTTTTTAATTTATTGACAATTTTAAAATGTGATATCTAAAAAATTACATATACTTATTATTAATACAATATTTTAAAAGTACGTACACAATTAATGTTTTATTTTTAAAATTATTAAAATTTATTTTACAATTTATATTTAATTTCAGAAATTAAGTAACTTTAATTAAGTAACTATAACTATTATACAAATATTTTTTAATGTTTAATATAATTTGTTGGTATAAAACATTTGTAGAACTAGTCATGTCTACATTATATTAATGTGGAAAATATTTAATGATCACCTATCTTTTTTTGTATTATTGCTAAAAAAAATCTTTGTTTTCTGGAATAACTAAATACAAAATGATTCTATTTTAATATTTTTTTTTACTTTTTTTTTAATTATTCATATACATTGTTTGATATATGAAAACTACAATATACTATATTGAGTATTATTTATACATACATAAGTATTAAAAAAAAAAAATTAATCTAAATATTTATTTTACTTATTCATCATTACAAAATAACAAAAATATTTTATTTATTACCTACTTTAAATTAACAAAAACGTGTTTGCATAGGGAACAAATTACTGTAAATATATTTAACTGTTTTAATGTCATAAAAGAAAATTAATTTATATAATTTTTTGAAGATATATTGTGTCAATTACTTTATTTTATTAACTATTTCAAATATGATAAACAGCAAATCCATACTATAATGATGGTTTTTACCTTTTATATTATGATAATAATATCATATTTTTTTAAAAAAAAATTTGACTTCATTATATATCTAAATAATGACAAATCACATATTAATACTAGTAATTTGTGGTATAAAACAAAGTGTAAACAAGAAGTTTTTTGTATTTAAAAGATTTTAAGTCCTCGAAAATATATATGCATTATGATAATTTTGTATTGTGAGGAGTAAAATTAATGATAATACATTTTTATCATCTCATATGATTTTGCGGGGAGGAGGGTTACAACTTAAAATCTTTAATATGTTGAAGAAGTATAATATATTTTCTAACACTCTTGAAACTAACTTTTTGTTTGTTGTTTACAAAGTTAAAATAATAAAATACATTTTCTGAAATATTAATTTGTTTATCATGCCTTTATAACTTCTGCTTCTGATTACCCGGTTTTCTTATTTTATTTTATTTATATGTGTGTCATTAATTATAGATACTAATAAGTTATTGAATCTTAAACTGTCACTATCATATTTTAGTTAAAATGTATGATTTTATTAGATAACTTATAACACAATTAATAATACTATAGATATTTTTTTATTATGTATCTTAAGTCACCCTATATATTTGTTTCGATTCATATATCTTAATACAATTATAAATTTTGGACTGCTTTTTTCACTAAACAGTTAGTTTTCTATTTTAATTTCAATAAGGGAAATTTATTGACTATAGCACTCCTGGACTCTGATATAGTTTACATGCATATTCATCACAAGTTGTTATTGAGAGCTTACAACACTAATTTGATATTCTGGTTTGTATTTCTTCATTAAATTATTAGGTTCATTAAAAAATGTATGCTTCTCTTCTTACAAATAGTAACTCCAGTTATCAATAAGGGTAGTACTTGTTACTTTTAGTAAAATCGTCACAGTGTTTATTTTAAATATAATGTTTTATTTAAGATTATTATGTTTATAAAAGCCGGACATTCTTCTTACCATGGTTAGGCTAAAGTGCTGTATTAGTGATCTGTAAGGCCCATGGCTGAATCTGAAGTATTGGTTTTTTATTTTAGTTATCCTATAATGTTTACATTTAAAACTATTTTTCAATTAGTTACATAAAAAGAACATTTACGACTTATTATTAAACTGTGAACAATTTTATTGAACACTTATTTTGAAGTTATCTAATAGGCTTATAATAAAAATTAAAACAAAGTGAGTATAAACTAGATCATGATAAGAAAAAATATCAAGACGTAATGATGATTTTGGGTAAGTTTTTTTTTTTTTATAATTAAAGCGGGTTAAATTATTAAGTGTAAGGTTCATGAATATATTACACATTGTGTTATAATTTTTTTTAACAGTGAAAATGAAAATAAACTGATAAACATAAAAAATTAAAGAAATATATACATCTCCTTTATCCCAACTATTTATTGTGAACCACTTTTATCCTAAACTTCCATTTACCTGAATATCCACATTGTCCTCATAATTCACATACACCTGCCATCCTAATATTATTTTCAATTGCATCTTCCTTTCTCCCTTTTTCCTCTTACAACTATATTCATTTTAACTGCTTCTGATTTGTCTCTTCTCATCATAATATGCCCAAATATTCTCATTTTGTCCTCTATCAAAACCACACTTACCTCTTATATACTTATTCCTTATTTTGTTTTTTGCTTCAATCCACTTCAGCATTCTCATCTCATAAAATGCATATATTATTTTCACAAGGTTAAACTTGAGCTGTAAAAAGTGATAAAAAATAGTTTGCTTTAATTTAATACATAGTTTTTTTTTAGATTCTGAGCTATTGGTTTTATAATGCTGTTTCTTTCTTCCTTTTTTTTTCCAAGTAAACTTGTACCAATTTTTATGTGAAGCAACTTTTCTGAAAGCTTTTCTGAAACTTTTCTAGTTGTTTAGATTGTATAGAGGTCGTTTTTCGTACAATTTCACTATTTTATAAAAACACGGACCAAGTTTTCTACCAAGAAACGATTTTATCGAAAATTCACAAAATACCTTTTTTGTTTCCTTTTTGGTTTACATTGTTACGTTATTATTGGCAAAACTTTTGATCCAATTATAAACTTTAAACTTTAAAGGAATTTTAATTCCTATTCCCCATAATTATAGACAATGAACATAAAAAAAGGTCTCAAACTATTCAAAGCAGTTATAAATGTAATACAATATCTGGATATCAAACTAAGCTAGCTGATTTTATAAAAGAGTTAAGAAATGGGAATTTTAAAGAAGCATTTGTAGAATTTTTGATTAACTATTGGATTCAACTACCAGTTTACATCGGAAATAAAATATTCAATAAATTCAAACCAAAAAAATATAATCATATACTGTCAAACTGTAAGTACATAATTAAATTGTTTTACGAAGCACACATTAATTATTATCATGTTATTGCGAAGAAGCAGACACTAAAATGATTTACCATTTATATCAAATATCAAAATAACCCAAAAAAATGGTAATGAGATGATATTCTAATAATTATCTTGGGAAACATGAATAATTTTATTAACTATATTAATGTTTAGCTTGAAGTGGGCCTCATTTCAATAAATAATTTGCGTTACATTGATGTTACAAAATTATACTTAAATCTTGGTATTAAAATGTCTACATCACTACCAGCTTTTCAAGCATTTACCGGCTGTGAACTAAATACGGCTTTCTTAAAAAACAAAAACCCTTTAAAATATTTTTAAAAAAATTAAACTTCAAAAATTATTAAGATTTTTAGAAAAATCAGAAATAATAGCACTAGACTTTGTCTTTTTTAGACGTGAACAAATTTTCCAAAAATGTTAACTCTTTTTGAGCTATTTATAGAAATTTAAATTTTTTTGAGTTTCATGCGTATTCGGAAAATTTATCAAGCGGTTCATTAAGTCTTACTTTGTGGGTAAAAAGAAAATGGAAGTTTAATGTATTATTTTTTTGATAAGGGAATTCTAACGAAAATCGTTTGAGAAAAAAATTATGTGGAATAAATCTAATTTTAGATTCTGAGTGGAGCGAAGAAGCTTATGGTTTTACAAATATGTTTATTTATTAATTTATTTTTTCTATGGACAACTTTTCTACCAGAAGATTTGCTCATATTTTTACGTGGAGCAACTTTCTTACACTGGTGTAGGGAGGTACTTCAAAGAAGTTATTTTTCGATTTTTCAATAGTTTCCTCATCAAATGTGAAAAACCGAAAAAAAGAGAAAATATATTAAATATAATATTACAATTTTTTTTTTCTGTACACAAATTTTGCTTCAACTTTTAATGATAGCAATGTATATGAAAGGAAATTTCACTGGGGAGGTACTTTAGATAAGTCGTTTTTCCATTTTCCCCGGAGTTTTCTCAGAAAATGTGAAAAACTGGAAAAATCGGTACAACGTTAAACACATTATTGAAGAAAATATATAGACTATTTAATTATTTTACTATAAAATGACATTTATATTGTTGACAAAGTATCACTATCAACTGATCTCCGCTCAGAATTGGTTTTTCGTAAGCAATGGCTTATCGTTGCTTACAAGTATACATTAAATTATCTATAACAGTGGCTGCACCCGTCCACATTATCCTAGGATGTCGTTTTCAATTTAACATTTTATATTTGCTTTACATAGATATTTTTTTTTTATTTTTTTATACTGTGTACAAAAATTTTACCAGAAATTTTGATCCGATATATACGCGTAGCATCATTTCTGAAAGGTAATGTGGTCCAGACGATACTTTTGGGATTTTATTTTTTGATTTTCCAGGTGGTTTTCATAATATCTGAGAAAAACTAGGATAAAACGAAAAATGTACGAAAATAATGTTTATAATTTTTCAATTTTGTTATTTGTTGTAATTCAATTAAAAATATTTGTGGACTGAAACTTTGGGCAGAAAACTTATATTTGCCTTTTCTAGACATCCGTAAAACTTTTGAAACATTCGAGCTATTATTAGGCCTTCATACAAAATTTAATATTTTTGTTTAAATTCACTTAAAAATATTCGTATTAACTGTATGGACTTGAAATTTGGATAAAAACTTATAATTACCTCTTCTGGACATTGAACAATTTTCAAGTCATTTTTGAGTTATTTATAGACATTTAAATTTTGCGAGTTTTGTAAGTAATTTTAATTCGGTATGTACTGTGTGAGAAAATTCTTTGACTAGACAGACATTTTTTAAAAATTTAATTGGAGGTTCATTAAAAGTCTTACTTAGGTGTCCGTAATAAAAAAAAAAAAACTTGAGTTTTATGTAGTATTTTTTTTATTAAGAAATTTTAATATCAAATGTTGACAAAAATCGGTTGAGTAAAAAATTGTATAGAACAAATCTAATTTTTCAATTTTTTTTGAACAAGTATATTTCCGATTTAACCCTTTCATTACATAATTGATTAAATGATGCTTTAATTATTTAGTCGAGTAATTAAAGGGTTAAAAACAACGGTGAAGTAATTGAACGGACTGACTAAGTTTCGAAATTATAGATTTTTGAAGATCTGATATGCAGATATTATATGTTAAATAACTCTATATATGGTCTTCTCTTAAGTATGTAAGTTTGTCTTAGCAACGTAGCCGAATGGTTATATATATCTATTGCTACTCTTGAGTTCACTAGTTCATATTCGTGTTTCAAAAAAAAAAATTATTTGCATTTATTTTTCTCTTTTACCTAAACAAGAAAAAAATTAATGCATTTTAGGTGTATCTAGGAGACCGGCCTAGCTATCGGTCACTCTGACCATTTTAATCGAAAATCTCCCTCGATTTGTTGTGCAAACTTTTCTACTATAAATCTTACTCAGATTTAAGAGTGTAGTACTTTTTCTGAAGGAAATCGGTCTGGGAAATTACACTAGGGAGGTTTTTTTTCATTTTGCTCAGTTTTCTCAATAAATTGGATGAAACGGGAAAATGTACGAAATATAAGTATTAGTATAAAAAATAGTACGGCTTTGGTTTTTTCTAGTGAGTAAGTTTTCTACCAACAATTTTGCTCAGATTTACAATGATAGCATTTTTTTGAAAGAAATCTGGCAAAGAAGGTACTTTGAGGAGGTCATTTTTCAATTTTCCCAAAGCATCACTATCAGCTCCGCTTAGAATCATTTTTTCGTTAGCAATCGTTTATCGTTGCTTACAGATACAAATTAATTTCCCCTCTATATCCTTTACATTCCCAACTTCTCACCAATAACAGTGGGTGCATGCATCGTGCGAAGTATGTCCATCTTTATAAAAATAAAATACTAAAATACTGTTTAATTTTGTTTTGGTAATTGTAAATCTCCAAAATATTTAGTCTGTCTTTTTATATTCATAATCTACAGGTTTTAGTAGAATAATTTGGTTCTGGTTTATATTTAAATAAAAATAAAGTGTAAGTTAATTGCAATTTTTGGAAAGCTCAAGTTAGTCTGGTTCTACGAAAGAACCAACTATTTTGGTATGGCTTAGTAAATAAATAATCTTGACAAATTATACTATCCTTTAATTTTAATTAATAACGTAATAAATATAGTGTAACTTCAGTACAATTTAAGGAGTGTTTAATGAATGTACCCTGCTCGCACGCACCAACCAAGCACCACTAGACTTCAAGATTCATAATTATAAATATTTAGTAAAAAAAATAAGAATATCAAACCTTTAATGAAAATGGCGTTGAATTTACATTGTAAACTCTTGCCTAACATATTTTAAACCCTTCAAAAATTATGAATGTTTGAAGGATGAGGGTTATTTGGTCTCTTAGTAGTAGGACGAGGAAGTCAGAATTATAGCTAGTAAGAAAAAAAATATAAGATTTAGCAGCAGAACAGAAACAGAGATGATTGTGTAAAGTGCAAAATACTGTGCAAGGAAGCTAAGAAGAGGTAAGCAAAATTAAAGAAATATGACGAGAGACTATAGAAACAAAGGAATTAGATAAAATGTATTGATTGGTTAAGATTAGAGAAAAACGGACTAGGGATTTCCATAACGTATGGACATGGTGTATACAAAATGAAGAAAAAAGTGTATTAAAAAATGATGAAGATATAAAATAGATATTTCGTGGAATGAAGGTCTGGTAGATTTAGTGAGAGGAAGAAGTGTAATGGACTGTGAGAACAAAAAAAAAATAAAAAACGTTAGGTCCAGATACTATACCAGTAGAAATGTAGACAATGATAGGCATGTTAGTGAAAATTATTTCAATAAGATAATAGTAAAAGGGAAAATAAAAAAGACATCCTAAAATAATGAGGACGGGTAAAGACACTGTTATAGATAATGTAATGTATATCTGTAAGCAACAATATATATAGTTATAGTCGTTTTATAGTAAAATAATTAAACGGACTTTATATATTTGCTCTAATATATAGGTTTTAATATAGTTTATGTTGTACCGATTTTCAGTTTTCCTACGTTTTTCCAGGTTTTCCCATGTTTTATTCCGGTTTTTACATTTGCTTGGAAAATAGAAAAAAGACTTCTATAAAGTACCTCCCTAGTGAAATTTCCTTTTAGAAAAATTGCTATCATTATAAGTTGGTGCACAATTGCTGGTAAGAAAGTTGCTCACAGATGAAAAAAAAAATTATTAATTATTAATTATTTTTTTAAACTAATATGTTGGTAAGTTTATGTATGGATAATTGAATACACTAATCTTGGGTTGACAATAATTCAATAGCAAATGATAAAAAAATCAATACTTAAAGTCCATATATTTTTTAAGTTAAAATAATATATACTTTAAAATCAAAACAAACAAAAATAAATCTTGAACACATACAATTATAAATCACAAAATAAAATGTTGAAATCGTTATATACAATAAATTATTATATAACCTTATTTACAACAAAATATTTGGTTTTAATTCTTATGTTAATTATTATTATTATTGTTATGAATGTTTAAAATTGGCTATAAAATCACAGATTAAAAAAATTTAATTTAATTCAAAATAACACAATAACACTAACCATTATAATTCAGTAATTAATTTTTGATAGAATAAATTAATGTTGCTATCAAAATAAATTGAATTCAATTGTCCAAAACTTAAATATTTACAAAATTCTTAAAAAAACCTAATTACTTAAATAAATGTATTAAATAAAAATTATTTAATGGTGTAAATCTAAACTATTTTTATGATTTTAGATGTTTGATGGAAAATTAAGTATGATCCATTCATCTTTCTGGTTATTAACAAAATTGATACAAAATATTAATAATAATAATAATAATGATGTAAATATGGTAAGTTACATTAAACATAAAAACTGAAAAAAAATTCATTTCATAAGTAATGGACATCAACAAATTGAAGAGATTCAAATTAATTGTTTTTTTGCAACAATTGTGTCCGGAACAATGTCCATAAATTAGTAATACCTTGTAAATAGTTTAGATCAACTTGGCCATTAGCTGCAGTTACGTGTGCAAAATCTATTAATGATATTCTTATTAAAGGATAAGAGTCTTGATCATTTGTTAATGTTGCTGCATCATATGCTAATAACACTGAACTAGAATAAAAATGGTAATGATTTTGAGTTTGGAAGTATCGTCTTATAAGATCCAACTGAGCAGTAAAACTTTGGACTAATTTTTCTAGACCTAAATATCCACTGTTAAAGTTTAGAAATGTCTTGAACACTGAAATATTAAATTTTTTGCAGTATTAATATTAAATCAAATTATTATTTACATTTTGTCTATATAAGATGATACCAGAGATAACTTTTCCTGGATCTAAACTTTTGCCAAATTCTTTATCATATTTCCGTGGATGTTCTAAAGTAGAATTTAGTAAATCATACACTTGAAAACCTGGTATACAAAAATTCCATTCCTCTTTACATTCTTTATATTTAGCCTGAAAAAAACAATTTTGTATAATTATTGAATAACATCATGTCAGATTATTTAAAGTAGCCTTCATTGATATTATTGTGTAATAATAGCTGTTGGACTATATATTATGTATATGATATAACAATGAATAATACATGCATACATGTAAATCTATTTTTATAAATTTAAATACTAAAAATCATATTTAAATACATAATACACATCATATTACATTATATTATATTATAATTGAGACTGTTAATAACAATAATTTTGTACAATTTTATTTTTAATTTTTTTAATGTTATCATCAATATTCTATAACAGTGGTTCTCAAACTTGGCAGAGCCCTATTGTAACTTATAAAAAACTATGGAGCACTAAGGAATGCCAATCCTGATGGCTTAATTCTTTTAATATTTCTAATGACTGATTTTTTTTTTTTTTATACCTCTAATTTTGTTATTTGACTTGAAAACTGTTGTTAATGGTTATTTTGTACTTAGTTATATTTATAAATTATTTAATTTATTTAATTTAGTGAAAATGTCTGCCAAATAGCCAAATTTCATCAGTAAGCCTTATTTATCAATCAAATAGTAGTAGAGTAATAATCAATGAAGAAAAAAATATGAATTTACATTAATGTCCACAGAGTCCCTAGGTTACCTTCACTTCACACTGAGTCCTAGGGCTCTGCAGAGCATAATTCTACTTGTTCTATAGTCAGTAACAAAGACACAACCATCACTAAAATAAACAGATAATTTAATACATCTATTATAGATACAATGATGAAATTAAGTTTAAATTAATTTAAATGTTGAAGCAATCAGTACCTAAGAAAATGGTTACTAATAAGAATATTTTACTAGCTTTAAATGTAATAATTTAAAAACTTGACGAATTATAAAAATTATTATGATAAATTGGAGCACGGATCAGTGAAATAAAACAATACAAATTTTAATCTAGATAGATAATTACTATTTAAGCAGTAATTTAGAAACTTATCTATACGTCATAGACACAATAGTATTTACCATTCTTTTAAGGGGTAACACAGCAATAATTTATTCACGTAAAACAAGCTAAAAAGCTGTTAAAGTAAGGTTTAGTGATAAAATACTCCTATCATACATATTTTATTATCATTGAACAATTTTCTAAATATTCAACTCATTATTAAATGTACAATAAATTATATTTTATAAATAAATTATTATTTCAAAGTGTAGTGATTTACAAATTACATAATTTAAATATTTTTTTCTAAAACTGATTTTAAGGGCCATTCAGTTTGTTTTATGGAAACACATGAAAGACAGAGATGAAGAATTTTACTATGATGACCTCTTAAGAAATTGAATAAATAAATAACCAAGTAGTATATCAAAAACTCAGCTTTACAAGTTATGTATACTAGTAACTAATCTATTTAAATGTAAATTACTAACAATATAATCAAGAAATAAACATATAACATAAATAAAATGAATAACTGGCCTACAGAATAAAACCTATATAAACATTATAAAGCATATAGTTCTAAAGAAAAGGTATTAAGATAATAATCTTAAGAATATACAAAGTTATCCAATATAATTCATTCAATTTCAAATGTTTGAATATTTTTTAGTTTTTAGGTTTACAGTAATACCTATATGATCTATTAAATATATCATTAATATTTGGAATTAGTTTATGATATCAAAAAATGTTCTAAGTAAATGTTCCAAGTGTTCCCTTGGTCACCTGATCAACATATAATAGGACTGAGTTGAAAACTCTTTCTAATACTTTCCTCATTATCCCTGGATACCTGAGGTTGCCTTATACTTTAACCTTTGCATAAACACCCAGTTTCTTCAGGCTACATATACTGTCAACGGATGCTCTGAGCAATTGGTGCAACAATCACATTACTACAATGACAAATTTTTGTTTGGTAGACATATATGTATCTCATCACCATAAATGATAATGCCAATTTAATTAATTAATGTTATTATATAAGTTGGGATTCCCATCTATTAATTAATATTGTTTAATAAAATACAGATTATAATAAATATTTGAAATCTGATGAAACATTAATTTTAAATAACCTTGTATAACATAATACATAGGTGATTATATCGAAAAGGTTAAATGGGACAGCAGAATATAAAGAAGCTATAAAGATTAAGCTTTAGTCAACTTAAATTGAAAGTAAAACAAAAAAAAGAAAGGTATTTAATTAAAGATGTCCGAAAGAAGAAACAGAAAAAATTAAGTAGTTAAAAAAAAAATAAAGAATATAGAAACAGTGAACTGTGTGCTTATTGAAAAACTCTAGCATATGATAGGATTTTAGTTAAATAAATAATATAATACAAATATAATATACTTAATACTGATTACAACATTATTATAGAAAATAATATACATAATTATAAATTCTATGAAATTATAAAAAATACTTTGTCTAGTCTTAATAACATAATTCATTGAAAATAATTTATACAGACAGTTTATACATTAATCATATTAATACTTAAATGTTTCTTTAATGGATGTCATAATAAATTTATAACATTGTTATAAATAAATATGTTGTTTTCATCCATGTTCATCCCAATCAATAACTGAGCCATCTAATTTTTGATAATTATCTGCAAATTATTATTGTATGTTTTTTTTTTTTCATAATTGGTTCATCTAAAAATGTTTTGCCGCCAAATGTTTGATTTTCAAATGAAAACTTATGATTTTAATTTAAAAATTTCAATGAGATTGTCTTTATGTAAATGGTGATTTGTTCAATATTTAACAACATATAAATTATATACATTTAATGTACTGATTAAAGGAGCTGAGAAGGGTTTTCATAATCTGAAAACAAGTATTACATTTTCTATCACTGTTTAATTAAAATTTCCAATTTATAAGTTGTTTTATTTAGTAAATCAAAAAATATCAATTTTTTAAAATTTAAAAGCTGAAATAGTTTGAATAAATATAGTAATTTTTGTAATTTAGTAACATTATGATTATGAAAAAATACACAATAATATTTGCAAAAATAATTTCTGACAAACATGGCTGGAACTTTTGCATAATATATTTGTAAATGTTTACTTGGGAAAAGGAATTGTACTATTGTGTGTCACAAACATTTAATAATTATATAATATCAATAATTTTTAGTAATAAAATAACTAACATTGGAAAACTTATACACTAATATAAATTCAAGTAAAGTAATTCAAATATATTTTCAATTATAAAAATATTCATGTATACTAACTATTAATAATAATAGTATTTATTAAAATGAAATTTATAATACTGAATAATATTTGTAGAAACTGTCTGTACAATTTAATTATTCTATCTATAAAAATAGTTAGAATATATAATGAAAATCATCCAATATGACTATTTAACAAAATTCATTTTTTAAATTGTAGCAAATATGACTGATATTATTTTACAAATAATTACTCATAAGATTAAAAATATTAGTTTTACCATTATTTTTGAGGTCATATTAAATAATTTCTATATATATTTAAAAAATTAACTGAAATAATAATTTATTTATTTGGGGACTAACTACTAAGCATTAAAATTACTGAGCATAAATAATTTAACTATACCATAAAATCATTTTTTTATTAGCAGAATTGTAAAGAACCATTTTGAGAGGAAAAAATAGTTATATACCCAGAGATTGTTCAGTATATCATGTTACCTAAATAATGTTAACTTCAAGGTGGGTTGCATAGACATTTTTTAACTTACAAAACCATTAGTGCAATTAAAAATCTATAAACAACACAACATTGAGTGCTGTTAAAACGCTCTATAGTATTTATAGACCTGTAAATTATCATAAATTATCATGGGCTGACTAGGATTAAACCTAACTATCCAATATAAGTGGTATTGGGATGGTATTAAAATCAAAAATGATATTTGATACTGTTTAATCAATTCATAATAACCACATGGTTAAACCAATCACAGTCCTAGAATATTTCATGGCAAGCTGTGAAGGCACCTTTACTTATAGCATTTTTACTAACCGAAAAAAAATTTTTTTTTAATAAAACCTAAAAAGAACGCTAGTTCTAAATTTATTTCTAAACCAATAAATATTCAAAATAGTGATGCAGCGACATTGTACAGACTTGAAGTACATAGATTGGAAACCATTGGTTTAAATTATTAACAAATATATGGAGGTTTAAGTTATCCAAAACAATTTAAAAAATTGTTTTATGCAAAATTGTAACATATTATAACCATTTTAATTTTACAGATGCTTATAGTAACAGGCGCATATAATAAATTTACAGACTAGATTTTATGCTACCATGATTAGATTGATTTAAAAATTATTTTTGCTAAAAATGCTTTTTTAATTATTTTAACTAACAGGTAAATTCAGTAAATTTAGTTACATTTTCATCCTTTTTCTTTTTTTCTGAACATCCTGGTTCCCATGTTTGTAAACCAATTTTTACATCCATCACACATGGTTTTTTCATACTTCTGGTAATATCATCCAAAACTATAAATGTCATATCTATAAAATAAAACAAATATAATTTTTATACACACTTAATCATCTTCAATAATAATTGGTACTCATGAATTATAATTATTATTAATGATTTTTGAATTGGTATACAATTATTTTAACTAAAACATTAATAATTATTTGAACTTTAGTATATCATATTTATTCAAATTTTGGTCAAAAATGTAAAACAAAAGTACTAATTAAATAGATAGTAAAATCTAGTAAGAGTTTCAAGCATTATTCTGAACTCCAGATTGTATTACAGCTACAATTATTTCAATTGATTGATGGTATACATTAATATATTAACCATTTATCATCGATTATAAAATATAGTAGATTTTATTTAAGAAAACAGCACGCTTGAATCTACTGTCTCAGTCTAACTACTGGGCAACATGCAAAAACAATGCTTACGCAGACCAAGCTGTTAGTAAAGTACTTATCATGAAATTAAAGAAAATAATATTTTGTACAGAATCTTATAGGTGTTTTTGACTTGTGAACCATTAAAAAAAGTAAGTTATTTAAAAAAAAAATGAAAAGGTTTTTGTGCCTTTTATATCGAGCTGTAAATTTAGAATAATATAAAACCTGATGGGGCTCCCACCAAAATATTCTTCTCTATAAAATTTATAATAGGTACTTTTACTCTAAAATCAAAATTAAGTTAGTTTTACATAGTCTGTGTAAGCATTGTTTTTGCATGTTGCTCGGTAGTTTGACTGAGAATAGATGTCGGTGTGGAATTCTCTAAATAAGAAAACAAATGTATAACACAGAATTTCACAAAATTATATTTTGTAAGTTTGAACTATTATAACTAATTCTAATTCCTTGTACCTTTTCTGATACAGAAGTTATTTGATGTAGTTATAAAAAATGTATTATTATTACATCATTGCATTATTAATTGTTAATATTAATATAAAATAATTTAGGTCAAATTCATTAAATATGTTTAAAAAATGTTATGTATTTACTTTTTAGGTGCAGTGAATACATAAATTTAAATATTAAAAATTAATATACTAACCTTTTGAATTAATTTTTATAGTGACAGTTCCAAAATATGATGGAACCAGTTCTCTAAGACTTGAAAGGCTTTCATCATTTTTCAGCTCTTCGTAAAACCTTACTTCATTCTTTCCTTTTGTACCACCTTCAACTGATTTCAATATATAGCCTTCTTTGTGTTTCAATAAACCTAAGTAAAAAATCAAATATAAAGTTTTTCATAATGAAGAAAAATGATTTAAAATCATACAAACCTAGTAATGGTTTTTCTTTGGTAAATTTATGACCACCGACCTGGTCATCATATGGAACTAGATCACCCGAATCCAACCATTTAGCCATAATTCTTACTATGACATAAAATAATTTAAAAATAAATAAAGTACAAACAAGAAAAATAAAAATACTAAAGAACAAAACATTTAGTGTAAAATGCCACAAACCTTGTGTGAAACTGCAGATGACGGCCTTGTATTTTTACTTAACATGGATTGATAGTAGAATTGTATTAGTAGTTATATTGTATAATGATCAAATAAATACTATTTTATTATTATTATTTTAAATGATTCACATTTTAAAATAACTGTTACGGAATCTATTTCTAGGTATGTGTTGTGAACATAAAATTTTAATATTCCGTCCAAAATATTAATCAATCAACAATCCGCCATCATGGGATAATGATAATTTTAAATAAAAAACGTTTTCAATTATGTTTAATGAATTTGAAAAAAGTCCGTATATAAGATATAACATATAGACAAAGCATCCAATTATATACATGATATTATTATAAATTGTTGATCTACACATTTACAAGAAAAAAACACAGACATATGTTTTACAAAATGATTACTATCTAGTATCTACATACTGATAATACAATTGTGCTACATAGATATGAAATATATGGATATTTTTTATAACCATAGCTATGCAGGTTTACGATGCGGTGAAATATAGAGGGCGCTTTTTAATGACGAGCATAGAAGATAATTGATAGATAGATAGATACATATCGGCTATATAGTTTTAAATTTGTTACTTTTCATTTTACTTTTTTTTCGGTTTTTCCTAATAACTATAAATAAAACTACAGAGAAAATCTAAAAACGAATAAATTACTCATGATATAGATTATACATTTTTTGGTTTTTCCCAATTATAATGTGAAATTCATCTAATTGTGGTTGTATGACACGAAATAAAATAAAAAATGTATAATACTTTGGGTATCGTAGAACGAATTACTCTTTCATTAGTGAAATATTAAAAGGAACAAAATCGATCTCTTATCATTTTTAGATTGAAGCAAAATTTTTTATAGAAAACATTGTGTAAACATAATAAAAACAATAAAAACGGTAACGCCATGGCGTGCTGTAAATATTTGTCGTTTTTCCCATAATTTCCTTTCGAGATATTCCTAATTATTTTAATAACCCCTTGAAAAATTAAAGAATGACCCAATGTACCAACTAGAGAAAATTACGTTTCAGATAAAGTCTTTGGAGTAAGTTTTTTTTAACTCATCATAGTATAATCAATAGATCGCTCGGCTTACGCTCCAAATCTAAAAATATTCATGAAAGGGGGAAAAACTGATTAGAGTTTATTGAGATTGGTGTATGTGCATATTTAGTACCTAAAATTATCAATTTTCGGAGTACTAAATATATGTACCTACGTTAAATGCATAAAATATATACTCCAACAATACTAGATCTTATAAATGTATATGAAATACATTTTTAATGTACAACATTTTTTCTTGCAGCTCGAATATTTTTTACGGTAGTCCAAGATGAAAGTAGTTAATTAATTATTATTTAATAAAATACATCTTTATGGATATTAGTGTAAGAAAATATAGTGTTACAGACAATTAGACAATTACTTAGATTAGTTACCTAATACCTATATTATATTGTTTCTGTTCTTTGATTTTTATACATTTTATATTTTATTCTTCCATTAACTCAACTCCTCGTTCTACTGTATCACTGACAGCTTTTATTGCTTGAATGACATCTTTAGCATCTCTTTAATTTTTATTGTTTTTTCAATTACTGGATCTGCATGTAAAAATGTTATATCTAACTGGAATCGTCAACAAATATATTTTGATTTAGATGTTATGAAGTCTGTAAGGTCTTTTTAAAAATCTTTTCAACTTAATCTCTCCTAATAGTATTATAAGAATATATCATCATTCCGAAAAAACAAGCCATTATTACAGACAATATGTGAAAAAGTGTATTTTGCCATTGAGCAGGAAGAATGGAGTTTTAATGATGTTGTATTAACCATTAATAATGATTATTTTGTAGTTGGAGCATCCAGTAATCGATTGTGAAATATATTATTAACAGGGTATTAGTGCAAACAAATTGTACGTTACTTTAAATGTCTGATGTGTCAATTTGTAACTAAACAAAATAATTTGTGTTTAAATGCACTAGTTGCATGGCTGATCAACATAAAATCAAAAGAGGATTAATACACCCATATATTAATTGTTTAACTTTGTATGCGAAATTGGACTGTTGTTTACCAAGTACCTACTATAAAGTGGCATACCTTTTTGAGCTAATACTCACCAAATTATTAAAAGACACTCTTTATTTTCCTTGTTTAAACACAGTGAAAAAATAATAGCTTTTACTATAAAAATATTATATCAACATGAGGATACACAAAGTTAAAATTTTGAAGCACAAAAAGAAAATATGAATAAAAAAACATTCAATGATAATCCACTGCTAGTAAATAGAGTCTGGGTCTTATTGCACTAATATTGTAGGAAATATGCATCTAAAATTCTAAAATAATTTAAGTATGCTCAACAATATACAACTGACATTTGTTAAAAAGCAATACAGAAATCTTAATGTCTTAAATTTAGAGTTTTAAAAATATCTTAAATTTATAATTTTATTAATAGGTTTTTTACAACATAATTACTTTGTAGGTTCGTCTTCTTCTTCTATGCAATGTAAATGAAGGTTTTTATTTTTTAATAACATAAAATTAATGAAACATCTAATTTGAATTGTACAGTAACACTATAACTTGTACTATAGAGATGTACTGCATTAATATTTGATGGATACTGAACAGTGAAAACGATTATGTTTCAAAACTAATTTATATCTTACTTTGAATATTCTAGAGCCATAGTCCCGAACCTTACTAATGACAAACGATTCTAAGTGAAGTTTGGTTATACCTGTTTTTAAATTTGTAGGCACCCAGTAATGCAAACACATGCATAGTACTCCTAGTGAATTTTTATTAAAATGGTGTTAATAAGCACATCACAGTGCACAGGTCTCTTTGATTTATGATGAAAATATCTTAATTAAGTCCATAATTTAAGTAGTTTTAGTGAGTATCATACGGTTTTTCATTTGTTATTTCAATAATACACAATACATACTTGAATTAAGGGTATTACTTTTAAATGTATTTAAATTTAAATTTGAATATTATTGAGTTGATTAAATTCAATTTTCCTAAATTTCCGTGAAAATAATCTATACTCAATTTCTTTAATATGAGATGTAGTACGTCTTCTCAAGTTTTCCAAAAAAAAAAATTAAAAAAATAACTATATCATAGTATATTAGGTAACGAATTTGGTACATCCTAATTATTACAATCATACATTTTTAGTTAATAAATAAACAGTATTTACATAGTGTAATTTACATATATATATACATTATACATATTATATTATATGCATTTAGTATGTGGTTCAAATGATATGCTAAAATAAAATTAATCCGAAGTACTCGACGAAAAATAATCTGATTTTAAAAATTCGTCGCCAATTTGTTTTATCGTTTTCCCTTTGGTGTCCGGTACAAATTTAACGATAAATACGAGCGTGAGTAGTGAAAGTATACCGTATAACATGAATGTGCCGGGACCAATCCATATCTGAAAGTATGGGTACATTTTGATAGCGATAAAATTAAATACGGACGACATACAAGCTACAATAGAACCAGCCACGCCGGCGATGTCACTAGGAAATACTTCGCCAAGCATGGCGTACGGTATGGGCCTCAAACCTAGCCCATTCATGGCCATGTTGAACAGGATGCACGTGATGACTATTATGTTAGTCAAAAATTCGTCGACGACACCCAACATCAGGAAGACAGCCAATGATATCATGGACAGGGCGTAGCCCGTGCACGATATGAATGACAGCTGTTTGAACCCGGACTTGGTTAACAGCGCCGACAACAGGATCATAGCCAGGATATTGGTAAGTCCGGCTAGCAACGTCACCAAATAATTGTTCACCGAAACGTGCAGGCTGCCCAAAATCTCTATCATATACGTAGTCAGTACAAACGACCCGCTGAACTGTTGAAAGAATAGGAACGTGGTCATTATAACCACCGGCTTGTAGACGTCCGGCTCGAAGAGCCGCTCAAACGTGCTAGACGATCGTAGAGGTGTAGTAGTGGTGTGATTGTTTTCGGTATCCCGCGACGTCTGCAATATGGGCTGAGTGATGCGAAGAACTTTCTGTGAGAACTCAGCATCACCGTGGCGGCCCTGTTCGAACAGCCAGGGTGGGCTTTCGGGTATCAAAGCTCCGATAAATATGAGTGCGGCGAACGACACAATGGCTCCCACATATGCGACCACATACGCTGGCATAAGTGCACCTAGCAGATAAGTCAGGAACATACCAAAGTTGAGCATAATCGAAGTCATGATGGTAAAACATCCCCGAAGACCTGTGTAGTTAACCGTGATGCACTCGGCCGCGTAGACAGTCGCCGGTGTCGTAGACAAACCCACCGACATGCCTACCAACAGTTGACCAGCGTACAAACAGTATAGCTCAGCCGGTTGCTTTGATAATAGCAACCATCCCAAGAAGGACGGGACGTTTGTAACCATCAACGCCGTTTTACGCCCCAGTTTGTCGATTAAAGGTCCGCTCAGTAAACATCCGATGGGCATCATCGTAGACGGTAAACTGGCTGTACAAGAAACAATGTTATTATTTATATTTGTCCGTAATAAAATATAATTTATAATGTAAAGAAAATATTTTTTGGGGGGGAGAGAGATGTCCAAAATGCCTGAACTCTCTCCCAAGATTTTAAAATTATATTACAAAAATAAAACAATTTTACAAAATATTATATTCTGTTTATATGTATTGTAATTATAATGCAATTATATTATTGATAAGTAGTTAAGATAAATACCAAACCAGGATTTTTCATCGAATGATAAATTCAATTGGTCTAAGACAATAGCAGAATATCCAAAACTCATACCGGGTGCCAGACAAGGCATGGTTACTACAAACGCCAGCCATAGCTAAAATAAAACAATAGTTGGTTACCTACGTTGTTAATAAATTAAAGTTGGTTTTTATCCCCAAATAAATCAAATATGAAAAAAAGCTATTTTTAATTTTATTATGAATATAAATATTTTGAATTTTGATTCCCTACCATAAAAAAAAAAAACTATTATATCATTATAATTACATTCATTATATTCATATACCCCGTACAGAGAAGCTATTATGAAATAAATAACAACTATATAGTATAAATTATAATACTAAAGTTATAATAATATTTTGACTTATTATATACTCGTGTAATTTAAAATTTAGGTGTATGAGAAACACAGTATAAATCTGCATTTTATAATATACTAACCACTCGACTTATAGTACTTTTATAATGCAAATGATGCGATTTATGATGATGTGAATTATGTTTTTGGCTTGTAATTAAGCTCGTTTTTTCTTTTGATTCCATATGTTATTTGATGTTAGTCTTTATTTGAAAAAAGCTTATCTGAAAATTAAATTTATAAGTATTTAAAATACATTGTATACATATTAAATAAAGGTACCGTATATAATGTATGTAAATTAGTAATATACAACCAAAGTACATAAAATAGGTACTTACGAAAATTATTTATAAAAGTTAAGCACAATAGGACACTAAAGTCAAATTTTCACCTTAGTCATGATTATTTTAGTAGGTATAAGCCCATATAGAGTAATATGTAATATAGTACAATTAAATATAAAAAATTAAAAAAGACGTCCTAGGATAACGAGGACGGATGCAACCACTGTTGTATAGGTAATTTAATGTAGGTGTATTAGATTGCAACGATTGATCATTGCTAACGAAAAAATAATTGTGAGCGGAGTTATCTTGAGAAAATCGAAAAATTATATGTCTAAAGCACCTACCTAGTCGGATTTCCATTTAGAAAAATTGCTTTCATTATAAATTAGAGCAAAATTACTGATAAAAAAGTTGTCCACAGAAAAAAAAATCGTAATATTGTACTAATATATTTCGTACATTTTCCCGTTTTTCCTGACCTCTTTGAAGTACCTTTCCATACCAATTTCCTTTCAGAAAAATTGATACATGTAAAAATTGGAGCAAGTTACCTGGTAGAAAAGTTGTCTACAAAAAAAAGAGTATAAAAAATAAACATCTTTGTAAAACCATAAGTTTTGTAACCATTCTATTGTGCGCATGTGCAATACAACTTACATTTTTTTAAATAGCAACATCTATTTTCAACAACAGGTTTGGATAGACGAAAATTTGTTAAGCAAAATTGGTCCTTTTTACCATAAAACTGTATTTGCACGTATTCTTTTTGTATTCGATTTAATAATTTCTGCAAACCTATGAATACAAAAACAAAAATACGTGAAATTGCATTATAATTCATAAAATTCTAGGATGATTGTTAAAAAGACATCCTAGTATAATGAAGACGAGTGCAGCCACTGTTATAGGTAATTTAATGTACATCTGTAAGCAACGATAAACCAATGTTAACGAAAAAAATATTATGAGCGCAGTTCAGTGCTTTGTCAACAATATATAATATTTATGCAATATTATGATAAAATAATAAAATAGGCATAATATATTTTCTATAGTAATTATTTGTTTAAAATTGTAACGATTTTCTCAATTTGAAAAATGAAGTATTGAAGTGTTTTTTTCAGCGCTTATTTTGATGATTACAAGTGCTATAAGTCCCGAACCTTGATTATGAGTTATAATGGATTCTTATAAATCTGAACTCCTTTTAAAATTCATTGATGACGAAGGAAATATTTAAATTCTCAAAATAATAGTTAGTTAAAAAATTCGTGTAAATTTTGCTACTAATTATCCAAAAATATATTTTTGTACAACTATTGCAATACCATTTTTTGATGATTTTATAAGACAATTAAAAGAACGCTTCACTAACCATAAAAAATGATATCTTCATTATACTTTTTACTTTCCAATAAATTCACTAATTCTGATTTAGGATCTAGTAATTTCGAATTATATTCAGAATTTTTAGATATGAATAAACTTTTAAACAAGTTAAAACTTTGTAAAAGAAAATGGTGTGATAAATTAATATTAGAACGGTCTCCTGAAATACTCAAAGCATATTCTAACTGTAATCAACATTTTTTTTCAAATATTTCATTTTTACTAAAAGTTCTAGCAACTTTACCATTAACTATAGCAACACCGAAAATAACTTTGTCGACGCTTAAATGAATAAAACAATTACCTAAGAAGTTAATTTACTTTTAGCTTCTGAGTGGAACGAGGAATGTATTAGTTGTACAAAGATATTTTCTATTTTTCTTTTTTTTTTCTTTTTTATGTGAACACTTTTTCAACCAGAAAGCATACTCTGATTATCACCTTTACTGAAAGAAAATATTCACTGGGTAATACTCTAGAGAGGTTATTTTTTGTTTTACGTAGCATTTTTTTTTTCAAAAAAAAGGGTAAGCGAGAAAAAAGTAAGAAAAACGGGACATTACGAAAATATTGCTTTTATTATTTTTCAACTTTGTTATTTGTTGTAATTCTGTTAAAAATATTCGTAAAGACTGTATGAATTTGAAATTTGAACTAAAAACTTATACAGTGAACCTCTAAATACCGGACACTCTCAGTCACCGTTATTTTGTCCGTTATTTAGAGGTGCCCGCTATTCAGAGGGAAAAAAAATTTCGAAAATAATTCGGAGAAATAATAACTACAAAATATAATATATATGTATAATAATGATATAAGTATGTATTGTATTTGTATATATAATGGCTATTTAATTAGTTTACCATAACATGACACATATTGTAGACAAAGCAATCACTATTAACTGAACTCCGCTCAGTATCCGTTAGCAATGGTTTATCATTGCTTAAAGATATTGAAATATACATTAAATTTCCCCTCTACTACCTTCCCAACTTCGCACCTACAACAGTTGCTGCACCCACTTGCAAAGTATGTCTGGTTTTTTTTTTTATATTGTATTTATTAAAAATATCAAATGTCATGACTTGGAGGGGTGTGCACCGAGAGCCATCTTCATACTTTTTAGAAATTATCTACAAACCCCCCCCCAGTTTAAAATTTCTGAGAACGCCACTGTTCACGTAGAATATGCAATAAATGTTATTTAAAAATGTTGATTTTAAACGTGCACAAACGAGTCTTCGAACTGCAGGTGAAACATTTTATAATATGTGTAGAAACGAGTTGCACCGGTATCCACTAAACTTGGTCTCATACCTACATATAGTCCGTGCCACGAGAGTGCGACCGCCACAGGAATCTAGCTCCGACGTCCAGAAACCAAAGAGGCCGAATTTCCCCCACCACGTGGCGTCCGCTCTTTGTATACAGTAGTGATGCGCGGGAATGAACACAATATATTTGTCGCCGTCCAGTTGCACTCTTTCGTGGTACGGAGTATAGAATCCACTGTCGGAGTATGCGTAGTATATTATTCACCATTCGGCCTTGAAAAATATTTGTTCGTGAACTTGCGCCAATGTAATAGTCACGGCCGTATAAGTATATTTGAAAAACAGGTTTTAATAATTTTAGTAGTTTTGTTAGTATACATTTGTTTTAACAAATGCACGCTAACAAAATAAATTAAAGATATTATATAATATGTTACTTTTTTAAATAATAATACTGCTGTATTCGTAGGTATAGTAAGTACTGGTATAAAATGACACCGAACTTCGAGATGCAATATTAAACTATATTATATATAATATGTTAACACTGGCAAGGTAGTTCTGGATGAGTGATGGTGACAATATTAATTCAATACAAATGTTATTTGTAATAACCATACTGAAGTAATCGTAAAAAGAAAAAAATATACATAAATACAAATATCGTTAGTCAATCGGGTTAAAATTTTAAAGTAAGAAGGCACCCGTTTATGTGTTATAAAGGTAGATTAGGCTGGTGATACATTAATTGCTCTGGAATCCCAGGTAAATAAGAAAAATGATGGGATAAAAAAAAAAGTATAGGTACATCAATTATTGCGACCATCGATATTCGATTGTAATACATATTTGTATGTTAATTGCGCCAATAGATTTCTAAATATATAAAAATGTGAATTAATATATTTTTTTATTATCTCGTTGATATATTTAATGTTGAACATACAGCTTTCCACCGTATCTTTGGACATCGTGTAATATATCAGGTGATATAACATCACATATTCCTGTGCGTCGTTTCTCTTAGCATTTTTTAAATATTTTTATTCGTTTCATCCAAATATTTTTGTTCTTTATAAAGTCTTAAAAATTATACAACTTCAGTCATACACGAGAATGAATATCGTCGAGATAGAAAAAAATAAAAATAAATAAAAGGTACAAAAATAAAAAATCAAAATCAATAACAAATGGATTACATATAAATTATGCATCATTATTTTACTGTCAGTTTTTTTTTAATTTGGGAGAAAAACAGTTGAGAATCTGACATTTATCTTTCAACTAAAGTACCGATAGCCCAAAAATCAGTATTTGTAATATTCGAAAATTCGGAACATTTTTAATAACCCAACAATTTTTCCAAGAAAAAGAACACACTAATTCTCTTTCGGATTTTAAAAGGCCATTGGTCCATAATCGCAACATATACATGCTTTCATCTACGCAGTAATCGGATAAAAATGTCGTCGGACAAAAAAAATTAAGGATAAAAAAAATACGGACATACTTCCCACGGTGGGTGGGGCATGGGAACTCAAATTGTACGGTTTCGTTAGTCGTTACGATATTTATACGTGCCAATTAGTTTTACGTCTATGAATGATAACCACTGATTGGAAATTCGTCCAGTTTTCCCGTTGTGGACTATGATATTAATAGTAAAATATGGTTATCCTCTCGTGAATTACGCATAGATAATAAAGTAATGGATAGGCTACTGCTATAACAATTGTAAGTGAGACGATTTATCATTCATTACTTTATAGATAAAACGTCTCACTTTATGAAACTTGGAGTAACAACTTCCTGTACCCGCAAGGTTTATAGGTTATACTATTATTATTATTAGTACTATTAGTAAATAGTATTATCTATAAATCTTGCTGTAAATGTCTCTCTTGAAATATTGATAAGGATAGCCTATACATATTTTAATTATTATCTAGGGTGTTACTTCGGTTCGGTACTACAGTTTAAAATGTTGTTTAAACATTAAACCTAATGTTTTGATTAGCAGGTAGAATATGTAAAATCATAAGTGATTATACCTATAGGTAAGTTATACACACCTGAAAGTATCTAAATGTGTACTTATAGTTATAGTTTTAGCATATAAATGAAGTCGATAACTAAAATACAAATGTTTACTATTTATATTGACAATGTTGTAAATTACGTAGGCAAGTACATTTTGCCATAAGCCCATTATGGGTACCCCCAATGATACTTACCTATTTACCGACTTGTATTTCAAGTAACTGTAATCTTACAAATAAATATTAGGTAGGTAGGTATCTAAACCATATTTACCTATTTGTGATTGTTTACTCGATATATTTTCATTATTTATATACTAGAAAATAACTTCTGGCTTGTTTCACTTAATAATAAAAATGAATTATACACACTGCTAATAAAGGTGACGGACTAGAAACTGCACTAGAAATCTTAAATATTAGATACAAAAAAAAAAATATTGCTTAACACTACTAGAGACTATTGAATATTAACTGGCGATAAAATTTATATTGACTGTAACATCTACGTAGATCGTACAACTGCTAAACACATACACATACCCGTTTTTTTTTTTATTAAATCGGTTGGTGGGGAACAAAAACAAAATCAGTCTGGATACAATAGAATATTTTTTTAATTATGCTAATGAGGTTGTATAACGACTTAAATAAATACAAAGAAATAGCAGCTTAATTATTATTGATATGATAATAAATAAATACATTTATATGTTTATATAATATAAAATCACACAATGAATACCTAGATATAAACATAAATCACGTGTCAAAATCATGCACCCCATTAATAGCATACATTAATGATATTAAAAAAGTATTGATATTTGATAAACATAATAATATGTTCTATGGCCGTTACGACCGATTAATTCAAGGTGCATATTTTTTTATCAGGGCATCTTTATTACATAAACCAATATCTGATATGGTTTATTTATTTCTTGTTTTCATTTATATTTTTTAAAAAAACTAAATATACACATACCTACATTATGTACCACAATGATCTGCGAATATTCACTAGGTAGGTACTAGTGTTGGTAGTATCCGGATACATGGATATTTTAATATCCAGGTATAAATCAATTTGGATATATTCAGATAATAGTACTATTCGGTTATATTCGGATATATTCGAATATTAGACGTAATATACGTATGTATCTACTATTCGGATATTTTTATCAATTGAATATTCATAAAACTTAATCAAGAAAACTAGAGACATAAATGGTTTTATTAAAATTAAAATACATGGGTACTTGGAAAACATTTAAAGTACAAAAATCCGAATACAACAATCCGGTTATCCGAATATTTAAAAAATCCCAATATGTCCCAGCACAATTTTTTTTATAGTAGGTACCTAATATAATAAATTACTATAGTAATATTACTCGGCTATTTTAATCTTTGTGATAAACAGTAGATTTATATAGACATTTTATCCAGTTAGTCATTTTAGTATTTCAAATTTTGTTTTTATATTGTAATATAGTTAAAAATATTTGAAATCATTACAGAAAACCCATATTTATCTTTTTAGACATGATCAAATTTTCAAACTATTTTGGTGATTTTGAGCTATTTATCAGTATTTAATGTTTGCATGTTTTTTGAGTAGGTAGTTTTAGATTCTGAGTGGAGCAAAGAGACTTATGGTTTTACAAAAATGTTTATTTTTTTTTTTACCTGTTAACAACTTTTTTACTAGTATTTTGTTCCAACTTTTAATAATAGCAATATTTCTAAAAGGAAATTTCACTAGGAATGTACTTTAGAGAGGTCATTTTTCAATTTTCTTAGGAGTTTACCCAGCAAATGTGAAAAACATGGGAAAACCGGGAAAATGTAGTTAAATTGGGAAAATCGGTATAACATTAAACAAATATTATTAAAGAAAATATATAAAGCCTATTTAATTATTTTACTATAAAACGGCATGTATATTATTGACAAAGCATTACTATCAACTGAACTCCGCTCAGAATCGTTTTTTTGTAAACAATGGTTTATCGTTGCTTACAGTTATACATTATATTATCTATAACAGTGGCTACACATTATTCTAGGAGATATTTTTATTTGATATCTACTATGTCGGTATAATTATTTGACTAAACTGTATTGAAAGTATGAATTCAATAGAAGGTTCATTATAAGTTGTATTTAGTGGCCAAAAAAAAAAGTAGAGTGTAATGAAATATCTACTATTGTTTTTTTATAATTGTTTTAATTTGATATTTTATAGTAAATCATAAATATTAGTGCATTACATATCATAAATGAACTTCCAGTATTATTTTTTGTTAGCAATATCGTTGTTTATAGATATAATTTAAATAATTTAAAGTATCTTACCTTCCCACCTACAACAGTGGTACGCCCATGAACAGTATTAGTTTTTTTTTTGATTTTAAATTTACTTTAAGGTTAAACAAGTTTGTACTTTCTGTGGACATATCTGCAGTTATCTTTAATAATAAGTAAATTGAATGATGTGGTTAAATCAAAATAGGTCTACAGTTATACTGCTTTCACACGAAACCACTAGAGCAGCGTCACCATGGTTATGCCACCAAAAATGCATCATCTTTTATTTGTTCTTTCAGAAACATTTCTGTATTTTAATGTAGGTTATTACATACATTATTTACAAATAAGATGTTATTTGCAGTTCTCTTTATTATATAAAATAATTTATTTTTAACTAAAAAACATACAGATAAACAAAATAATAATTTTAAAAAAGTAGTTATAAAATGATTTAATGTTAATTAAAATATAAAAATGTATTTTTCATTTCAAAAATTTGATCAACAATATTTGTACTTATTTTTATGTATAAATAAATAAAATCAAATACATTTTAATTTTTTTTATAAAAAACATGTATTATATTTACTTCAGTGTTTTAAAATTTGATAAGTTCTCTTAATAATATTTTGTGTTTCATTATCATGTGTTAATAAATTAGAACATTTCTCATAATACTTATCTATACCCCAATGTCGTAGTTGAAGACGTGATTTTTGACTCTTGTATGCAATTGCCCATAAAGCTAGGCTTATATCTTTAAACTGCTGGCTAGAAAGGTTTTCCCCCATTTCTAACATGGTTTTAATTCCATTCATAAACACATCTGGAAAGAGTAATACAAATTTAATTTTTATACTGTTCAAATTTATATTTTCAGCAAATTACCTGATGACAAAACAATAATGCGATTTTGTACATTAAAACACAAATTTCTCAATATAGCTATAGAATCATCTTTATAATTTGAGTTCAAAAGATTCACCAAAGTATCCAAAACGTAATCAATCTAGAAATATAAGTGTAAAGTAATAAAATAATTAAATAGTAGTAATAATAATTTGCTATTACTTTTAAAATGTTTATTTGTCCTTCGCTGTAACTTGAAAAAATCAATAATAAGTTTAAGCATTGTTGTTCAATTTTAATTAAACGTTTTTTATCTTTGAGATCAAGAACAGATACAATATTTGATAATAATTTACTCTGGAATAAAAATATATATATTTGTACACATAAACGTAATTAAAATTTTATTATACTAAAATTTAAATAAAATCTTTACTTTTGCAATGATTATACGGCATTCTTGAGCTTGACAACAATTCAAAATTAAAAGAAGTGTAATATTCAGTATATCTCCATGTAAATGAAAATCACTAGCCAATGAAATAATTTCATGAAACAATGAGTAGGAAGTACATTTTGACTTTGGATCTACTCCCAGAGTACTGCTAGTCATTGTCATTGCACTGCATGCTATAAATAATTTAAAATTAAAAATTGACTACAGTTTAACTAATAGAATGTCAAAATCAATAATCAAATTTAAATTTAATGTTTTACTATTTCCTATGAATTAAAATTTATCCTCTAAACATTTCTAGGCATGTGAAAGTAATGAAAACAAATAAGTATCTCTTTTATCAGTCTTCGATTTAAACAAAAATAATAAAATACATAAGTAGCATTTATTCAATAGGGTAAAAAAATTAACTTCACTATTATGGAAGAACACTTACCACATCCTTGACCTTGATTTATCTAATCTTTATTTTTCACCTATATTTAAATTGTAGCTGAATTGTCCTTCAGTCAATATAAATAAGCTGAATATTACTGTTACACACAACACACGTGCAATAATAATTATAAAAGTGTAGATAGCTGATGTGTCATAAATGATAATAAATATAGTATGCATTTAAAATTTGAATTATAAAGTGCAGAACAACAGATAAGTAAATTTTTTGAAAATTCTTACAGCGTAGGGACAAACTGCGACATTATTTAATCATTATTTATACAGCCTATGTTCAGATAGTACAAAATACATAATATAAAAATGAATAATAAAACAATGTTATTTAAAAGCTGAAGAACCTAATAATCCAATATTTTATTCTACAATTTAAATATAAATTAAGAAAAATTAATATAAATTATAACATTTAACTTACCAGAAGGACAATTCGACGTAAGTGATATAAGCATCTGAATTGTACAAATTAGCATATCTGATTTAGGATTGGCAGCAACAATAGGCCAAAGTTTATGAATAATGTCTGGCAATTCAGAGGAAGCATTTTCTCTAGCACGAATGCATCCATGAAATATATTGCAACAAAATTCCACAATTTCTAAATAATCATTTTGTAACGTTTTCTAAAATATTAAAATGATCATTATTTAATGTAAATATAATTATTCAAAATAATTATTTGGTATTGTAGGTACATACCAAATTTTTACTTGATTGTTTAGTCATTTGTAATTGCATAATTTTCAATTTAGTAATCATGAAACATAATAAATTGTCTTGTTTAACTGTTTCATATGTAAAGGGATGTTCAAGAACTATGTTTGATAATGTGATTAATAAAATTTTCCGTTTTAGTTTTTGTTGCCAATTCAAGATTAAAGTATCAATTACAACTTTACATAGACTATGAGCAAACTCTAAATGAAATAAAAATAATATACTAAATTAATTAATGAATAATTTTTCACATAATATATTTTAGATTAGCGTTTCCTAGAAGTGGTAGATTTTTTTAAAACATTCTGGCTGTTACTTAGTTTTATTGATTATGTGAATAGGTTGGCTTGAAAATTTAACCATCAGTTAATCAGTTCATCATATGCAAAACTTGAGGTAAAAAAAAAAACAGAGTTTTTACTACTGATGGGTGTGTGACTGTTGTAGGTGGGAAGTTAGAAAGATACTATATATAAATTATTTGATTTATATTTGTACTCAACAATAAACAATAAACCATTACTAATAAAATACGATTCTGAGCCATGTTCGGTTAAATTTGGTTTTGTTTTAAATTCTATAAATTCCACGTAAAAAAAAAGTACTATCTTGTGCTAAATATTTAATTTTAGAAAATGTATCATGAACCTCAAGTAAAATTTTCTTACATTTCCAAAAAATTTTACCTACACAACATTTTTAACAAAAAAAACAATATTAAAAATACTTTGAAAAATAAGAAAGGATTTTCCTACTTATTAACTAAACCAAATTTTCTTTTATAAAAGATGCTAATATTAAAATTTGGAGCAGGATTTTTGGTAAAAAATAATAGAAAAAAAATGTAATGAATAAAATAATGAAATCTTTAAATTAAAATGTCTTGAAAATTTTACCATATCTAGAAAAGGCAAATATAATATTTGGTCTAAATTTTAAGTTTCTACGAATATATTAATCTGAATTACATTAAAAAAATATGTCATAAGATAATAGGGTTCAGCCACTTTTATAAATAATGTAATGTATACCTGTAAGCAATGATAAACCATTGCTTACGAAAATCGATTCTGAGCGGAGTTCAGTTAATAGTGATGTTTTGTCAATCAAATGTCGTTTTAAAGTAAAATAATTAAACTGAATAATTAAATTAAAACTCTTTGGTAAAGCAAAAACGGACCTCTCCAACATGCACCAATTTAACAAGATTTTCTTTAAGAATAGGTACTATACACTATTTATCGGTGCAAGATATATTTCTTTTTTTTGAAAAGTTGTTTACAGAAAAAAAAAGTGCAATAGTAAATTAATAGACTCCATAGATTCAAAAGTTTCTTACAGTTTTTACCTAACTGTTATAATATTGTAAATCTGAAACTAATAATAATCCAAATAACAATTTAAACATAAGAATATAATTATTAATTAATCAAATCCATACTAGGTATTTGTATCAATTGAACCATAACTTAATGATAATTTCACTTGTGGAGACCCACTGTTTTCTGTGTCTTGATGACTATAACAAAAACTGGATAACACGACTCATGAACATCGAAATTACTACTTTTTTATAGATTTATTTTTACTTTTAGGTTAATATATTCAAAAATCCGAACCCTAACCCTATTACCCCATATTGATAATATGGTTAACCAAAACCAACTTATAAACATAACCCAAACCAAAACAAACATTTGAAATCAAAATTAATCTTCACTAAAATAATTAATTGGGCTTTAAAGCCTAGTTATTATGTAGGTATAGTCTGAACAATTTATACACATTCTGGAACCCACTATTAATTTTTACAATATGATTGATCAAAATAAAGATATATTTTACACAAAATCAAAAACACATGTTCAAAAATCATCTATTGTTTTTTATTAATTTATATTTTATTACATAATGAAACCAAAATATTATATTATTTATTTTTAACTGGTATAATGACTGTCATTTAGTTATATGCCATATTATATTATTTGTAATAATACTAGAAAACAAAAAGTTTTAACTATTATAATATTTTTTTTATTGTTTGGATAAGTAATTTCAATGCAGTTTTCATTTAATATTAAATTTAAAATAAAATAATTTTAAAAAACTATTATAGTTGTATAGAACTTATTAAATATCTATCAATAATTCATCTTGTTGATATCTCAAATATTTGACTTGGTAATTGAATTTTCAATATAAAGAACCTATGTAAATTATCAACATAAAAATATATAAACTGTTAGATACATATCTTTATTTAATAAGTGTATTATTGTATTAAATACATTTTTAGTAAAAAGCAAAACAAAACTATTACCTTATATTATTTGACCTTTATATATAAATATTTTTATTTTTTAATATGGATATTGGACATTTTCCTTATAATATTTCTCGTCATAAAACCACTTAATAGAAAATATTTTTTTTAAGAAATTATTTACAGTAATAATACAAATACAAATACAAATATATTCTAACCACTTTTAAAATACAATAATAATCACTTCCAAAAGATATAAACTTGAAAATTGCAATTTATAAATATAATAGTAGAATATTAAATTATTTACTTTGAGATAATTTTGAGCATACTGCAGAAATGGTATTCAACGCATCATTACATAAATCATTATTTTTGGAAGTTATACTTCTTGATAAAGCTGATATTAAATTATCTGTAATAATACAACTTTTATTATTTGTATATTGTAGAACCGTATTTGTCAGTTTAAATAATGATCTCCATACCATAGTTGTGCAATGGTCTAAAACACAAAAATTGTTCATTTTTTAACTTGTTATTTAGCTATAAATAATAGATGAATAAAATATATATCTTACCTAAATCAATATTAATTTTTTCATAAATTAAATTTAAAGAAGTTATCAAATTTTCAAAACTATAATTGCTTGTAGGTATAAATAATGTAAGAATGGAACATATGCGACCACACATTTCCATTACATTTGGCTTTTCAATACATATAGGAGTCAAATATCTTTTTAAACACCTACAAATTATACTATTAACATTAAATTAAATAAATTAATTTTACTATCATATTAATATAATTTATAAATCAAATTAACTAACAGTTTATACATTTAAAACAAAAAATAAAAAATAAATCACTGAAATTAGAAATAAATGAAACAGATTTTTACAAATTCATTAAATACAAACTTATTCAAATATGAATTTTAACTTATTAAGATATGGGATTATTTACTATAAACCCTTTATAATGGTGGCCAATAATAGATTAACAAAAAAGAAATTATTTTATTTTATTTAGAAATTAATGTGAAATCAAGATAAGTGTCAAATATGTCCAAGGTTTGTTTGAAAAAGAAAAGTATAAGGTAAATTTACACTATCAATAAAGTTAAATAATTAATTACATACATAATAAGTGCAAGAACAAATTGATTATTTTGATCGAGTTGATGTAAATCCAATTCAGTCAATGTAAACATATTGTAAAGCATGCAGCATATGTTAGCTACAAGTTTTGGAGATGTAGAAAAATTTTTATTTTCTGTAAAAAAAAAAAAAAAAAAAAGATCTAGATACATTAAATAATAAATTATATTATTTCATATTTTCATTCAAATAATTTACCTGATTTTGTATAATCATTCTGTAAACACAAATTTATAATTTGAACAAAAGCATTAAAATCTAGTTTGTTAATATAATGTAGGCATAAGCGCTGAAAAAAAAAAAATTATTTTTTAGCAACATAATGTTAATAAAATTAAAATTGATAAATTACTTTAAACTTTGGATTGCAAAATATATTTGAACAAAATATGGTAGCCTGTTCAGCTACAACACAATTCTCCAAACGATTTGACTCACAGAAATAACTATAAAATGAATGTTTATAATCGTTTCATGAAAATAATAATAATTTTAAATGATGTTTAAATAAACTAAAGTAAATACTTTAATGCAAGTTGAATTAAATTAGGCGACACTGTAATATCAATAACTGCTAAACCAGCTGAAAACTGATAAACTAGAGCCCGCACTAATGGATCAGTACTATGTATCATTGACCATGTCCATGATTCCCAGTCATACATACCCCATACTTCACAAATCTAAAATAAAGATTGATACAACTTTATTATAAATGTTTCAGTTGGGAATATAATAAATTTAGTTTTTATTTTACATTTGGCACTAATATTGTATGATGGAGAATGTGATTCAAGATCTTTAAATAATTTCGCTGTAAATTTTTTTCACCTGAATTATTCATCAAAATTGTTTTTAATGACATAATTTGGGATAAATAAGTTTTTACAAGATTGTTATCAATATTTTTTTTATTTTCTGTAAGCACAGTAAGACACTTCATATTAATCTGAAATAAAACTAAAAAAAAAAAATAATATTATTTAATGATATTCAAATAAATAATAAATTCTGAGTTACTGCTAAAAATCATTATAAAAATAAAAACAATTTTTTAGTTGAAATGAAACTAAAAAGTAAAAAAAAATTATAATAAATATTTCAAAATATGTTTAAAACATTAAGTAGGTGTACTAATACAGACAAATATAAATATGCAGACATTTTATTACTTAATTTATATGCTTAAATACCAAATTCATTTTTTGTAGAAGATAATTGATTGAATAACAATTTTGTTAGATTTGAAGTGGAAAAATGAATAAAGTTTTTTAAACAAAGCCAATATACTTCATATAGTTCAACAAAAAATTGATTACACTAAAAAGAATCAAAATAAATTAAATTGTATATAATAATATATTATATATTTAATTGAATTACAAACCAATTTTATTGATTTTTCATCATTTTTAAAATCATCTGCCATATTATGATGCATGGATTCAGATTTAATTAATGCATCAGCAACCCAATTCAATTTGTTTATTAATATTCCTAAAATAATTAAAACCACATTTTACACAAGAAACTTGATAGTTTATTAAAAAAAATAATCTTTCTTCAAATTAAAATAGTAAATTAATAAAAAAACATTACATTTTTTGAATGATATAAAATGTCTAATATATTATTAAACAATTAACATACATACTTTTTTTTAATGCAAAGTTTAGTAATTTTAAGACGACAATTAAAGTTTGTAAATCAGTTATAAAAATTGGAGGCAAAATTAGAAACTTTTTTAGTGCAGTTTCCAGTAATTCTTCATCTAATTTAAACTGTTGAATGTATACACTTAATTCCAAGTATCTAGAAGAATTAGAATATTATGAACTATTTTAAAATCCTTAAATAATCGTAATTATTTAGGAATATGGCATAAGCTAATAGATTAAGATAATAATTATGATGCTTGAATAAAAGATCTTAAAATTAAAATGAATACATTTTTTTTAAATTTTTAAGTTTTTAAATAAAAGTATTTAATCTTGTATTTGAAATTTTTAATAGAGCACCACAGAATTTATATTATAATTTACTAAGTTATAACATTTATGTACCTAATACAATACATGTATTATTGTATAGCATACAATAGTGGTATTCCACACAGCGTTTTACAGATTATTATTAATTTCTAACACATTAAACCATTTGTTATAAGTACAGAATAACATTAACATTTGTTAACAACAAACAAAATATTTAATTAACAGTTTTCTTATGATTGTGTTTTCCAGTTACATAATGAGGTAGTCATTAAATAAAATTTGTTCAAATTCACTTCTTAAGAAATAAAACAGCTATTACTAAGAAACTATTCATTGAATATATATGTATATCAGACTAGAATTTTAAAATGGCAATCTATAACATATAGCTATTTTGATTATTTCAAAAAATTAACAAATACAATTTTTATAATAGGTGACAATAAAATTAAATTTTTCTCTAAATACATTTTCCTCTGAAAAAAAAAACAACTGAGTGTACACTAAGTATAACATATCATTTCAAATCAAATACTACAGCAGTAATTTAAAAACTAAAAATGCATTTGAGATATAAAAACATTTTCATTTCATAAAACCAAATGTTTTGGATAATTTATGATTTAAAACAAATTTAAGAAAGAATATAAAGATTATAATTTTAAATTAAAATCACACCTTCTTGCAATTGATTTAAAGAAACTTGTATACAATTTTATTGGGAAAACATTTATTGCAGCAAAATTATTTAACTGGCATTAATAAAAAGAAACTACTAGGTATACTATAGTAATATAGAGTACACCTTAACTTAACTATGTAACATTATTTATAATTTCATATTATTGATAAGTTTAATTCTTTTTCTGTTTAATAAGTATCATTTGAAATAAGCAAAACTAAACTGTATTTTTAAAAACGGAGAAAATAATAGATTTATTTTGTATACAATATAATTTTAATACAGTTAAACATAACAATCACCATAGAATTATATTTATTTAAACAATAATGTTAATATTATGTAAAATAATTGAACATTTACATTTTAATTATTGGTAAAGTTAGGTTTTCTTTTTTCAATAAAAGCGGTCATTCCTTCCTTTCGATCATTTGTAGCAAAAGTACTGTAGAACATCTTCTTTTCATATTGTAATCCTTGACTTAAGCCTGATTCATAAGCATAATTAACTGATTCTTTGATTAGAGTAACAATTAAAGGTGAATGTTCACTGATTTTTTCTGCTAATTTAATAGCCTCATCAACTAATTTTTCAGGAGGAAACACCTTGCTTACTAATCCTCTAGATAAAGCTTCTTGAGCAGTAATTTGATTTCCCGATAAACATACTTCCATTGTAAAACTTTTACCACAAGACCGTGACAACCGTTGAGTACCGCCAGCTCCTGGCATGGTTCCTATTGCAACCTCAGGTTGACCAAATTTAGCTTTTTCTCCGGCATAAATTATATCACACATCATTGCTAATTCACAGCCTCCGCCTAAAGCAAAACCATTTACAGCAGCAATAACTGGTTTCTTGCATTTACCCAAATTATCCCATTGTTGAAGTAAACCAATTTTTAAATTTGTTGAATAATCCTTGTCGATCATCTCTTTAATATCAGCCCCAGCTGCAAAAGCACGGTCACTACCAGTAACGACAATAGCTCCAATTGTATCATCAGCATCATAAGCAGACACTGCTCCGACAAGTTCTGTTATCAATCCATCACACAAGGCATTCAATGCTTTGGGTCTATTGAGTTTGACAAGGCCAACATTTTTTTTCTCACCAACTTTTTCAGTAAGAATGTATTCATAACTGCTAGTAGATAATTTCATTGAAGAAACCGGCATTACAATTTTGGACATTGAAAAAACTAATTTAGTTTTAGACATTGAAAACCTCATAAAAAGTGCCATTTTAAAAAATTATTTATTTTAGGTAGTTAAACGTCACTAACAAAAAAGTTAAAAATTTCGTAAAAAAAAAAATACTTTTTAACTGTTCTACATAAAAATGAGATCGGTTATTTAAAATTCATAAATGAAATGAACAATCATCTCAAAGTCAAGCGGACTTTGTAACTTGACTTTTGACCATCTATCAATTAAAAAAAAAAAATACCGAATTACTTATACCAGTTGTACCTATGCTATATACCAGTGGTGGCCAAACTTTTTTTTTGTAGAGATCTAAGAATATATTTTTCCTTTGAGGATCAAAATTCGACTTCCTAATAAAAATGTATAATTATAAATTAAATAATAAATAATAATATACAAACAAAATAATAAAATAAAAATATATCATTAAATAATGTTTTTCATCACACTATTATTAAGACTAATATAATATTATTGTAAATATAATTGCCAGGATAAACTTTGTTGAATTGTATTACTTGATAAATTTACAACAAAATAAAGTTTATTAAGATAAAAATTATCAGCAATTGTTATTTATCTACTAATTAGGTAGATGATACATTCTGACAAAAATGAAGATAGACATTTAAATTATCTGCGATCGACTGTTTGGCTACCCCTGATGTACTGATAACAAATTAATTGGCATTACGTCTTATGTATATCCGTGATTAAGAGATTCTTGTTGATAGGTATTTAAGCATCTAGCATAAATATGGCCTTACTAATTTAACTATCATCCACCAAAATATCAATATTTCAAACGCGCAATCATAATACAAGAGGTCAATAGAACAATATTATTCCTATTGTCGAAAACGATCAATATTCAACATTCAATTTAACAATATCCCCCTTTACAGATAGTAAAAGCTCTACTATCACAATTCACAACCAGAGTATTACAATTACTATCACTTGACACTTGCTACATTTCAAATTTCAATATGCTTACCACCACTAAATGCCATCTACGACGCTATCTACCGCCATTGTAGTAAACTAGCATAGACATCAGAGCATATTCTGATTAATAAATTCTGTCATTCTGAGACAACTAAATTTATTTCTTTAATATTGATTAAAATTTTAAATTATAATAAATGTCTTAATCACCTCAGAGGAGTATATAATGTTATGGGTTTAGCGAACAAGGGACACTGAGTTCCTACTGATGGATATCTATAGTGGGTGATTCCAGTAGACAGTACCATTTTCCCTGTGAAAGGTGATCAGAATACTCCCATGGTACTTCTATTCGTCATACGTAACAACAAATGAGGTCAACAGCCGGTGTAAAAGTGTTTTAAACAGTATTGTGGATTGTCCAATCTTGGATGTGTGTAATAGGTGTGAGAAGGTACCATAGTGTATGATTGTAGATGATAATAAGTAACTTTGATAGAAAAAAGTCTAAAAGTTAACAATAGGCTTGAATAGAGAAAAACATGAAGCACTTAAAAAAAAAAAGGAATAAGGATAAGTAAAAGTTTGAAGTGTAAGTTTGTAGCAAGACTTAAAGTTGTTTTACAAAAATATGTTGAGACTGTGTTCTATGGAGTGTTGGAGTGTTGGGCGGTAAACAAAAAAAAAGAATGAGTGTAGTAGAAATGACTATACTTAGAATGATGAGTGAAGTGTCAAGTGAAAATAGGATAAGCAATATTTACTTAAGAGATATCCTAAGTATGGCTTCGATAATAGATAAAATGAGAGAAAATAGACTGAGATGGTTTGGGCACACCACAAGGAGTGAGCAATTTGAAGCAGTAAGAATTTTAATGAAAATCAAATGTAGGAGGTAACAAGTGGAGAGGAAGACTGAAAAAGAGGTTAATAAAAGAAAGAAGTAGAAAGAGAATGCTCAGAGGACAGCCAATGTATCCAAATTGGGAGATTAAGTCAAATGGAAGTTTATAATAAGGGTGGTCAATATCTTTTAATGACTCGTCAAAATGAAAATTATCCATTGGTCAATTTAAACATTTGAAGCTTATTTAATTAAGTGTTTGACACTAAACCACGTTTGGTTAACAGCTGTCTTAATTATTTATTACCTTTATAAATAAACTGTTTTATTTTATTTTTTTACATTACTTTACTGCATTCTAATTAATGTATACAGAACAGGAAATTGCATTTATATATTGTTATTTTATACTTCCAAGTATGATAATCATGATGCTCATCAATAATAAATATAAAACAAACTTTAAACTTTAAGGCATGCAAAATAAATAAGTTATTACCTTATTAAATCACCGAGAATACATAATGCAACTGGATGAGACGTGGCTGCAATTAAGTCAATCAATAGTTTGTTAACATACCAATTAATACTAGCTTTTTGAAAATTTTTAAAAACATCATTAAATAAATAACAATGCGCTTCCATAGTAGGACCATTTTTCAGAAATAAATCTATATTATTAAAATGTTTCAAATGCCAATTTAATACTAAAACATCCATACAATTTTTGTCATCTTTAATTCCTGAAATAAAAAAAATAATATTAAATTAAATTTATCAAGTTAAAACAATATTAAGTTACTGATTTAATATCTTACTTAAATCTAATGTATCATCATAATTATTATTCGATTTCCAATATTTGTTGATATTAATAGGAATGTATATCTTATCCATAACTACTTCTGGTATGTTTCCAAATTCTTTTAAATATTGTTTAAAAATGCAGTAAAAAAAAATGTGCAAAATATATTGTTTCACAAGTGGAATTTCATAGAAATCAGACAAAACTAAAAGATAAAAAAAAATATACATATATTTGGTAAAATATGCTTATTGTGAGTAAATATAAAACTATAATGCTATTTGTGTACTTGAAATTAACTGAAGTTGTATTTCAAAATTATTTGCTAATAAATTATGTTCATTAGAAATGCATTTATTTTCCTTAGCAAAACATAAAAGTAATTTTAACAATGCAATTAACAAGCCACGTTCATTTTCAAATAGCTGGAAAATACTTAATATAGATCCAAAACTTAAATCAATACTATTTAAAATTATTTATACTTTTGACGATTTAAGTAAATTATATATAGTGTTCATTCCTCCATTGTCTATAAAATATTGTTGAAGATGACTATGTTCAAGCATTACTGATAATTTGTATAATGCACATTTAATAGTTTGTCGACTTGAACATTTATTAGAGATCAAATCTAACATACCATCTAAATCATTTTCCTAAAAATATTAAAAATTATTATGAATATAAAAATGATTATGTGTTAATAAATTCTTATTATAACAGTTATATAACATACATTATATTCCCCAACGGGTTCCTCTGATTTGTCATTAAAATCTTCAAACTCAATTATAAAAATATTGTTTGGCAGATCAATACTTTTATTTAGTGATGTTTTTAAAAGCCATGTGATTCTATTATTTGCTTCTATTCGAGATTTATTATCTTTGCTCAACAACATAACAATTATTGAATGAAGTAACTAAAACAAAATAGATTTAAACAAAGTCAATACTTTTATAACATTATATTTTATATGTTATTTACTATTTACTATTATTCTGAAACAACTTTTTAGTAAATAAATGTTGGAGTTTATTATTTTTTTAAATATGAATACAAATGTTTAACTTGTTAAATCTATACACAAAACAGAATTAATATTTAATATGGGAAAAATCTACAGATATTTAACACTAAATTAGATCAGACTCAAAATGTCTTCAGGCATAGACTCAAATTAGTTAAAATAGTTCAAAGTAAACTTTTAAAAATTTGCTGGGTTTTGTCTAAAGATACCACCTGCAGAACATACCCTAGATAGAACAAGTCTATCGCATACCAACTTAGTTTTCTTTCATTGGCTGACCTGATGCAAACAAAAAGTTCTTATGTGATCTATTAACTGGGACAATTGACTTGTCAACCATTTTGCTTTAATTTATTTCAGAGTTCCTTTACGACCAACATGCCTCAATGCTCCATTTCACATTCCTAGATATTACACCAATTACTTACATGGATGTACTTAACCAAGGAATCAATCTATAGATTAATGCAGTTAGCCAATTCAGATTCCTCCTTAGATTAAGAGAAAAATTATATTTTTCCTAAGCATATTTTGTAATTTATCTTTATTTTTATTTTTCAATACATAAAATTGTGTTTATAAAAGAGCTTGTCTGTAAATACATATGATAAATTAATTAATAACTATATTAATATCAAATTTTATTTTTATTATAATAATCAACAATTAAATAAATATAATTTCTGAACATAAATGTTCAATAATAATAATTTAACACACAATAAATTTACTTCAAAAAATCCACTCAATGTCATGGAGTTATCTCATTAGTAATAAGCAAAACTCACTAAATAATAATAATAATAATAACTGTAAATAATAATGAAAAAATAAAACATGCTTACTACTAATTTTTTTATGTTAAACTTTCCAGATTGATCAGGATCAAACAAATTAAAAATAGTTTGACCAAGAGTAGACTTTTGATTAGCATGACAGTATAATACAGGTAAAATTGGAGACAAATTATTTAAAATACATTGCCATTGATCATTATTGATTATATTTTTACTTTTCAGTAACTGCTCTGTGAATTCTAATGCTAATTGACTTATCTAAACACAATAATAATTTATTTAGTTTGGTCACCAACAAAGAATACAAACAAATGAATACCTGTTCATTTGAATTAACACAACCCAAACATATAATTTCATTTAATACATCAGTAGATAATAGATTTGCTATTAACCGGTCAATTTTATTTGAATCTGAATACAAATTATTTAATAATTTCTTGACAGTGTCATTTAGAACTGAATATGTATGTATTACAACATCCGATGATTTGAAAGAAAGCAAATTTAATAAAATGTTGCTGTATTCATTTTTATTATTAATTTTAATTAACTTTCTAAAAAAAAAAAAAATAATAATATATAATTTAAAGTATATATATGTATATAATATTATTAATTTGTTATTAAGGAAACATTTATTTTATCCTAAAAAGAAAAAGAAAATATTATTACGAAACTCTGGGTATTCCAGATTAAAGGTTTGGTTTGGGATTAACAACCCTTTTCAGTAAACAAAAATTGTTCAGAAACCACTGTCAACCTAGCATGACCATTGGAGAACCTGTACAAAACGAGAGCATGCCAAAATCTAATATATGTATTGAAGGTATATTAAATAATGGTTTCCATGTTATAAGAAATCAGGTGAATAGACACAGATTAATTAACTATTAATGACTGAATAATCTATTATAGTGAAATGGAAAATATTCACCAATTGTATCCGAAGTTTGCCATTCATAAAAACTACAAACTTTATGTGAAGCAATTTAATCCTATATACCGAACAAATAATCACAATATGACTAAACCCTATGATTCATAATTAATATACTGAATGTAGAGAAGAGCTCTAGAGGAACATAAGTATGCCTGTACATAGCAATTGAAAATTACTTACAGATGTGAAGTTTGGCCCCTGACAGTACAATTTAAAGAAAAATTAAGGACTTTTGAGAATAAAGTGCTTAAAACAATAAGCAAACCTGTACATGATATTGTGTTAAACTGCTGGTGAAAAAGAAAGAATATAAGGTTAAGCAAAATGACAAAAATATCAGTAATAACAAGCTATGTGAAGGGACAAAGACTAAAGTGACTTAGACAAGTAAAACGAAGACAGGTAACACACAAGCTAAAGCAAATATTGATTGACAACCAAAACGGAGAAGACCTGAGAAATAGTAGATAAATGATTATGACAATATCCAGATAAATTAGAAACTACAAATTGGAGGAAATGATCCAAAACCGTGGAAGTTGGAGAGCACTAATGATAACTAAAACTCTTGCAGTTACTTTTTTATTTATTTGAATTAAAAAAAAAAAAATCCTAATTCAACAACAAATTAAAAGCAAATACAAACTTTACACACATTTAAACAACTGCTTATGAGGCCATATGATGATGATATTGAAAAATATTTTTATTTTTTTTTTTGATTATATGAACAAAATAGATTCTACATAGTATTTATTTAAAAGTCAAATATTTATATTAATAATTTAAATTTCTTTTTTCTAAAAAAATAGAAATAAAATTCATAAAAACTAATAGAAATAAAATATATTAATCAATTTCCAATACTTACACATGTTTGCACGTGTCTATAATAAATTTATCAATTATATGAAACTTTTTATGAAACCACATAATAGGCAATGCAGTTTTAAATAATTGCGCATGCTGCTTCATATCCAACATATTAGTGGACAATAAAATATGAACATTTTCAACCATTTTGATTATTTTTAATTCTAACGGTTCTTCCTTAAATTTAAAAAAAATAATAATTTATTAAATATTAATAAAAAATTGGACCGTTTTATATTTCTAAATATTTAAAAATCAATAAAATATAACAACTTACATTAATTATGTGTGCATAAAGTTGATGATATAACTCAGGATAAAGATGAATCCAATAGGGTTGTTTGAGTATACTGCCAATAATATTTTTGAATTTGTCATTGTGTAGACAAAATGTTAATAATTTTTTAGCAATAACCAACAGCTTAAGCGAAGATAATGGTTCATTTCTAGAAAATCAGTTATATAAATATAAAGCAAAATTGTGTATGATTGATAAATACTTACAGTAATAGATTTTTAGTCATATAATTATAAAATACTGAATCTAAATAAAAATTAACATTACAACTTTCAGATATTGATGATAAAAGATGTATGTTGGACATAAATAAAGAGAAAGCTCCAATACTATTATAACTTATATGTTTCAATATTAAGGGTAACATTGAAACACAAAATTTGGCAATACCCCAACGAGAAATTCCATCCTAAAAATGTATACCATTTATTAAAAACTGTATAATAAAATGTAATTAAAATATATAAAAATAATATTCATTTTTTATTAAAATAATTAAGCACAAGTAAAAAAAAATTGCAGTTTATAATACTGATATAGGTACTCACATTAGTTGTGTTTTCACTATCCAATATTGTTATTTGAGAACTAGAATCATTATTGAAGTTAATACTTTCAAAGTTTTCCTGAAAAAGTAATGTTTAATGCATACAATGCATCATAAAATAAATTGATAAGTTTGATAATATACTTACAGATAAACCTGTAGTATATTCATAATGTCGTTTAATTAATTCTTCAACCAAATAATTTAGACACTCCAAAATTAAATCAGTTTCTTTATTTTCATTTAGCCATTTAATTAATTTCTACAATTATAATTCAAAACAATATTATTAATAGGTATGTACATTCTGTATTCTGGCATAAGTAGCATTCTTTTAAATAAAATAAACTTAATTTAAAATGTATTTTAAATTACCAGAATAACTAATGGATGTTGTAAAAATATTTCAGTTTGAAATTCACACAAAAGTTTGTCTTTAAAAATATTACACACATCTGAAATATGGGATTCGTTTTCCAATAATAACCATTGGTCATCTTCGCGTACATTAATTATAGGAAAATACCAATCGATAGGAAAATTCTTTTGGTCATCCGAAATATCAGAGAAATCATCTAAATTACTGAATACATCTTCATAATCTTCTGTATTAACTGCTAAAAGACCATTACTGGACCATTTCCTGATAAAATACAATATTTGGTCGTCTAGTACAAATTTGTATAAATTTATTACAAAGTAGTAACACTTACGTTGACATTTTTAATTAAATAAAAATTTCTATTCTGTATAAAAAAAACCCATAATATTATGACTGCTCTTGCATTATTATATATTCCATATTTTGTAGTATTACTTATTTAAATTGATAATACTTTCGACTCGAAAAGCTGGATAAATTTAATTTGTACAGTAAAAGAAAAGTTTTTTTTACTGTAAATGTACGTCTAATTAACACAAATTACAAAATATATTTATGATTATGTCTAAGCTTTATGTTAAACTTGGAAATTCAAAATCTAACGAAGTTTTACGCACGTTCCGTTAGCAATATTTGATATGATAGCCCAATGACTCCCAAACTGCGTAAAGATTGCTGTAAAGGCGGTAAATAGGCAATAAATAAGTACAATTGCACGATACGAAGTTATTTGAAAGGCGCTAAAAAAATTTAAGTTACTTCTTATATGTGTCGCAGTAATCCTAACGGAATAGTCGACTTTGAGTCACGATTTAAATTTGAAGGAAATTCGGAACGCCCACATTTTCTTTCACTGAAAGACAGCTGGAGACCTATACTTTAAAACAGTGTGGTCAGCTAAGCTGTTCTCAGACTTGAAAATACCCCCTTAACGGCTAGATTGCCGGGCCATTAATGGTAGGGAGCAACATGTAATGAGCAGTAAATATCACGAGTTAAAATATACCTTAATTTGTGATGGATATTCACAGTTGTAGAAAACAATGGCTATGGTTTTTGTTAAATTGAATAAGATAATAATGAGATTACTGTTCAAGATACTGAAGAAAACCGGGAGCTGATCGTTACACCCAAACAGAAATCAGATATTTCTACTATCGGGAGTTATTTACATCGGAAAATACATTTAAATCTATAAATGTGTGCAATACACCTAGAGCAGATTTAAAAAACTTTGCTCGGAGGGACTAAGGATATTCATCCGAAAACATTAAATTTGTTTAGTAAGAGTTCAAAATCAAAAAAGCTTAAATATTTTATCTATAATAAATGTACGTATGTAAAAGGAACCATTGGTCTGAAATCTGAATGATGAAACCATAATAAAATTTATAAAAATAGTAACCAAAAATGAAATAAATGATTTTATACATGAAAAATTTAAAATTTAAAATAACTCGTGTAGATACACGAGTTATTTAATAACAAGATACCTACTTATATTGTCAATAAAAACTAATCATTTGATAAAGAAAGGTTTAACATGTTACGGTGTTTGTCGACATGAGATTTGAAGAGAATATGGAACATAGGATTAGTTAGGTAAGTATAGTTGGATTAAGTAGTGAGAAACGTCAGGTGTTTTATGTGACAAGACAATTCCAATGAGACTTAAAGGTAAGTCCTACAAGAGTATTGTAACTTTGTAAAACAGGGTATTTTGTATGGGTCGAAGAATGAACAAAAAATGAATGTAGTAGGGTTGAGAATGCTTAAATAGAAGAATGAAAGTGAAAATAAGATAAGGAATAGGTATGTAAGTAAGTACATAAGAGATATCCTAGGCATGGTTAGGTTTGGCTTCGATAATAAACAAAATGGGATGGTTTGAGCCTGTTATGAGGAGAAAGGAATTTGAAGCAGTAAGAATTGTTATAAAAATAAACGTAGAAGGAAGGACGGGAGAGTCGAGATGAGATAGAGAATGATATAGGTATGACAAGAGTAGGAGTATGTAAGGACGATCTGGGGTATCGGGTCAAGTGGATGTTAAAGACGAAGGACGAGGGTAGCTGACTCTAAATAGTTGCGATGAAGGTGAGAGAGGAGATAAATAAGGTTTCGCCACTGTCTAACGATGTTCATAACATTAAGCAGAGTAATATTTACCAATATTTTACTCCTTTAAAAATAACTTTACTGGATAATCTCATAAAAAAGTGCCAAGCTCAAAAGAATAACAATGTCATATGACATGCTGAAATTTATATTTTGTATTTGGCCATTAAAAAAAAAAATAATAAACATTATTTTTACCTACTCATAACTATAGCTAATATCAACACAATTAATAATATTTAATTGTTCCATTACATTTACCTTCTTATAATAAATCATAATATATTTTTTTCATTACTTATATTATACTTGTGTGTTATAAACAAACGAATAAAATGTTTCAAAATATAAAATATTTCACAAAGTATTTTAGAATACCAATAGCTTTGAACAGAAATAAATATAGTACTAATAAAGACTGTACATCAGTAACTGTAAATCATGTTAACAAGGTTAAGTCTGAAGAGGAAATTCAGAAGATTATTTCTGTCAAAATGAAAGAATATCAAGAACTATTGAAAACCCAATCACCAGAAAACAATGAAATAAGCAGTCAAATTAATGTATTAGAATCAAAGTTAAGAAAATCATATGGATTTCCTGAAAATGAAGATTTGACTGTGTTTCCAGTATTTAAGTTTCAAGAACCCATAATAGATAATCAACTTGATTTTGTTCAAGAAAAAATAAAATAGAAATGCATAAGTACAATTTATTTTTCATTCAGTTTATTGACAATAAAAACATTAACATGAATTAAACAATTGTTGTGTTTTGTCTTTTCTTTTATTCATTTTCTTATTTTTTTGTTTCTTAAATAACCATAACATCCACCATATAAATAAAAATATAAATTCTTTAACTACTTCCCATTTTCCTTTATCCTAACTATTTAGGATCTGCCACCCTCGTTCTAAATTTCTGACATCCTTGCACTGTCCATTAGTGTCACAAATTTTTTTTTTCTTACCTTATCATTGGATTCATTTTGTTATAAAAACTTTTTAGATTAAATTTCAGAATTTTTAATTAAGTATAACTGGTCATTCAAGTGCAAAATAAAATTTTCAAACATATAAATATATTAAAATAATTTATTTATTACTCTATGTTAATTGTATACATACATGTGAATATTTTTTTAACAATTCAGTATGTAAGACACATATTAATTATAAAATTAATAACATAAACAAAAAAAAAAAATATTAAGGAATTTTGAAGTGTATGTTTGTTAGAAGTCATATTTTTAATCACAAATATTTTATAAGAATGTTATAAATACCTGTACAAACTGTAAAAACATTAAATACTTACTAATTAAAATAAATTGTTTTTTTTTTTTAGCCACGAAGTACAACTTAAAATTAACTTCCTGTTCAATTTTCAAGCATTTCTGTTTTGTCTAATAATTTTATCCATAGAGTACATATCAAATAAAAATGAGTGTCCATAAATAGCTTAAATAAGGCTCAAATGACTTTAGTTTTACAATGTAAAAATAGGCAAATATAAGTTTTCTGCTCAAATTTCAAGTCTTTATGAATATTTATAACTGAATTATAACAAAATAATACAATTGAAAATAATAAAAAGCATCATTTTAGTAAATTTTCCATTTTTTCTTAAGTTTTCTCCCGGGTTTTCAAACCCCCAAAGATTATAAAAAGTGCTTGGAAAATCAACAAATGAATTCCTAAAGTACCAATAAGACAATATTTTCTATCAGAAATGGTGCCACACATACATATCAAGCAAAATTTCTGTCACAGTATAAAAAAAAAAAATTAACATTTTTGTAACTCAAATATATTCTTCGCTACACTCAGAATCCAAAAAGTTATGTCAAATAATATAATAATAATAATACATTTGAACTATTGACTATGCCAAATGCCAATGTAAATCCACTTCTCTTGGGGGAGGGGAGAATCAAGTATCGATTTATGTATTGGCCCACTTCTAATTATAACGAATAGACAAACAGCGTGGCTGTAGTATTGTAGTTGATATTTTAAAATTAAATTATATTTAATATTATAAAATAATATGTAATAATAAAAATGCAAATACAAAGCATAAAGGTACATTATGTCACTTATGTGCACCCACACAATTGTTTTTGAAATTTTAAGTACTTTATTTCCATTAATTAAACAATTTATTTTTAATTTACATAGAATTGTCTTAATGTTTAATACAGTTAAAACTCTTTATATGAAATTCAATAGGTGTAGGTAATTAAATCTATAAATAACTCATTAAAATAAAGAAAATATTTATTTAATACACAATACAAATTTTAACTTAAATAAATGGGACAAATAATTTATTTGGTACATGTAATTGTTATATTTATTATTTAATATTTTTAATTATTAATAATAATAAGAAAAAATGTATAATAACTATTCAGTACTTTTTTCAGTAAATGCTCCTAAATTACCAAATAATTCAGAAGGCACTTCTTTAGTTGCTGGAAGGTCTTCTTCATTTTCAACATTTCCTTTGTCAAAATCTACTTCTATGTCATCATCGCTGAATTCAATTTCATCTGGATTTGTTACTTTTATAGGTACATGATTTTGTTCTTTTCCCAAAACAAATTGTATAGGCTCTAATGTCTTTTCATTCTTTTCTAACGCTTTCTCTTCTAATAATTTCATTCCACTCTTTTCTGGTTCAACTGAAATAACAGACATCATTTGTGCAGACATCATATTTACTTGAATATTGTACATTGCTTGAACACTTCTTTTAATTCTTAACATTTCTCGCAGTGTATCTTCATTACCATGAGCTACTTCAAAAGAAGTCCATGTTTGCCAAAATTCTTCTGTTACTCGAGGATCACAAATTTGACTACAATGAGAGTATATTGCTCGAGCACGATCAATTTCACCCAATTTTGTTTCCAGCTCTGCAAATCTTAGATACATTGTACGAGCATTATTGTTAGTCAATACTTCTAAGGCTTTCAAATATATTTCCCTCGTTTTAGGTATACCAGATATTTCTGCAGCTTTTTTAATATATATGTTAAACATTTCAAACTTTTCTTCTGGCAAAACTGCTTCAGTGGCTCTTTCGTAGACAGCCATTGCTCGTCTACCTAAACCATGTTTCTCTTCGAGCTTAGCATATAACAAATAAATACATTTTGCGAATTGTGGAGGACAACCTTCTAGACACTCTTCAAAAAGATCACGTGCACGTTCAAGTTTTGTTCCACCATAGCGATCTAAAAATTTTGTTAAATATGTATTCCATATATCAAAAACATTTGGCCATTTAAATAAAGCTACCCCCTTTTCATAGGCTTTAAACATTTCTTCAAAATAGTTATTTTCTTCTAAAAACAATCCATAATTAATAATAGTTTGTGGAGTTGCAATTCGTAAATCTATAACCCGATCATAACAGGCCATTGTTGATTTAACTGTACCAAAGCTCTCTTCCATATCCAAATATAAAGACCATAATTTCAATGATTTATGTAATCGAATCTGAACAGTTTCAGTATCATCATGATAAGCTACTTTTCGTGAAGGTATTGAAGTAGCTTGTCTCATTAACCGCATTGCTTCGTTAAAGTTATTGTGTCTCAATTCCATTTCTACCCATTCACACCAAACACTAGCTAAATGTTCAACTTTAATGTATGAAACTAAAACGGCTTTTTTAAATACTAGACGTGCTTCTTCTTGTTGTGAAGCTTTTTCGTAAAATTTAGCAAATTCAACCCATAGTGTATGCAATCGCCCAACAGCTTTTTGAGGATCGACTGTTTCTACAGCTTCTGTGAAAGTATTAATTACTTGAACGTCATTTCCTTCATAAAGCTGAACACGTTTTAACCATTCTTTAACATTATGTGGATTCTGTCTTAAGAGTACAGAGTTCAAAAGTAGTAATCGTCTTTCGATCAGGTTTTCTAATCTAGCCATGCGTAAATCAATTTCACAATCATCTTTTTCAGTACTATTTTGATTGGCATGAACAACTTCCATTCGTTTTTGTAAACTTAATTCTTCAAATTGTGCATAAGCATCATAAACTTGTGTAAAATCACGAACAGTTGTAACAGTTTGAATAGCTTCTTCATATATGTCTCTTGCTCTTTCAAATAATCCACTGCGTATGTAATAATCAGCCAATGAATTCCATAAATGACCAAGTTGATCAGTATAACGTCTTAACCCACTACGTATAATAGCATCAACATTTAATGATTTAATTTCTAAAGGATTTTTTGATATTAAATTACAAAGTTCATTCCAAAGTTGATGTTTTGATTTTCCATGTTTTGATATAAAGCTGTCATTGTTTACAATTTCGGATAACCGCACAGCAGATTCATCTAGTCTTCCAGACGTAGTCAAGTACTCAATGTAATCTTCTGCGTCTTCAGGAAATAATTTTAAATATCGTCTATATATTTTAATGGCAACTTCAGGATGATGATTTTCTTTAATAAAGTTTAAATATAATGGCCAAATGCGGACATGTTGAGTAATTGGTAAAGCTCTTAGTGCTCTATCAAAGAGGCGTCGGGCGACAGTAAGTTTAGGTTGTTTCAACATAAATGTACAAAATTCAATCCAGATGCGCGGCATTTTATTCATATAGACCAATGCTCGCTCATAAACATTATTCACTTCTTCGTAATCAGGATTATTTGTAGTTTTTAAATATTTACGACGGATTTTTAAATAACAATGCCAGAGTTTGTAGCTACCAGGAAGTTGTTTAAGGGCACGTTCGTAGAGTACACATACTTTTTTGTACGGTCCTTGTTTGTAATTATCTATGTATCGCATCCAGCACTTAACTGAATTTGGATTCCTCAAAATGTCCTGTTCGAATTCTACGTCTCTTTTGTTCAGATGGTATGTTTGAAAAATCTCAGCATCCGACACATTACTAACTTTCTGTTTCATTATCGCCTGTGAAATGTTAAACGTAATATTAACATAATGGTTCGTTAAAATAATATGTTTCTAGTTTAGAAATAATATAGGTACTTACAAATTTATTGAGAAACAGTTGGTTTTTTTATCGTGAAAAAGTTGAAAAAATCCAACGCTTAAATAACGACTTTTGATTTAATCTTTTATATTGTCAACATCCGAGAGAATGAAGAAAAGAGAAAAGACGGTCGGAATTACGGTCCTAGATTAGGATAGATAAAGACTGATAAGAGATAGATTGAACAAAGTTGCCAGGTGAGGTTAAAAAAGGTCATGAATAAAATATAAATTCTTCAAACATACCTAAGTCAGGTAGCATTTTATTTCTTATGCACTATGTGCCGGGCTGATTTTCGAAAACTATTCTGATTATTTTTCGAACAAGTGCCATACACTGCCAACAATATTTACTTTTCAGTTGTTTTATGTTTAAAAAACTCATAGTTTATGAAAATGAGATAAAATATACTGAAATCATTGTTATCTCTTATCTAAAACTGTGATTTAAATATTATGAAGAAAGAAGTACATAATATAATTATGGTACCATAAAGTAATATGTAATTTGTGTTTTCATTATTACAATTTATACAAAAACATGGTTTACAGCAATGAATGTGAGTGAGGTACCTTTAAATGATTTAACGCTGTGTATAAATACTTGACCAGTCGGGGTGATAGTAGATACCCGACCATATTGTTATCAAATGCGCATGCGTGATATACAGCAAGGTTTATAAATGCGGGACGATTTATATTTGAATTTGTATAATTTGTAATTTAAGCTGATCTTGAAGTCAAATTCAATAACCCGATATATAATACTCACTAATCATTGATGCTATTAAGATAATTTTTAGTGCCATAGTACATACCCCTAAATCTGATCCATTATTTATATTTAAGATAACACCAAAGCTGGTATGTTACTTTATTACAGTATTTTATTAACTATAGTAAACAAAGTGACCTGTGATATTTCTTTTAAAATTGTATATGGTATTCAATATAAAAATATTGAAAATTGGTGATACATTTGACTTATTAATTAAGTTAAAGCACTATAAAAACCCAATGTATTATGATTTTTCAACAAACAATTGTTGTACATTAAATGCAGCTCGAGTAAAATACCTCAGGAAATTGGAATTTACTCCTGAATGCTTAAATTTTTTTTTTTAAATTTAAGTGTATTCATGATCGTGTTTTTAAGAAAAGAAAGATAACTGAAGATCTATTTGCCACGTTGTAAGTATTATACAATTATCATACCTTTTTTATTATTTTCATTATCATTTGGACATTTACTATATTTGATATTATGTAGTACAATGAAATAAAATTGTCCAGCTTTTATCAATGAAAGAGTTACAATTGATGGCACTAAGTTAGAGATTTATCAAATGGATGAAACACATAACCATAAGACTTCTGAATTATTGTTCTCCAATTTGCCGAATCAACGGCGCTTGGAACCACAGATGAAAGCTGATGTACTTGAACCGATGTAGATGAAGGCAAACAAAAAGCTCATTTAGGCCAAAGTACAAGCTGAAACTGGCAAAGTGATAACTCTTAGAGATTTATCTAACATATTATGCAGTACAGGTACTAAGCAAAAGTGTGTGAAGTTTTGAAGAAACTGTGAAAGATGTCAAAAAGATGTATAGTTGTCATGTTAAACAATAAAAAATTGTAATTATTAATGACTTTTAATGTTACAAGTGAAAGACATTTTGAAGAAAATTGCTGCTAAACTTCCATTCCAAGCCAAAGCTGTTACCTAAGAGATTTTAGAATTTAATGCAGCTAAAGAACAATGACAAAATGATAATAATCAAAATCCATATATAATGGAATATTTAATTAAAAATAACATGGATGCAACAAAAGGTAAAAAAATTTTTATCTTTTACATTTTTGAAAATATGCCTAAGTTCAGTTTGTAATTAAATACATTTATATAATTAATACTTTGATGTAATTTGATTTATGTGCATATATTATAAAAGTATAAAGTTTATTATATTGAAGTTTTGTACACATTTTTGACATGTTCTATAACAATATGATAATTATATTTATATTTATTACCAATAAACAAAATTAAGGTGATATCTAAAAATCAAATTATAAAATTAAATCAGTTACTTAAAAGTTAAAATAAACATAATACAAATTCTAATATGCTATTTAATACAAAATATTATTTATTGTAATCATTTTGAAAGGCAGATATTATAATATTGAAAATTGTTAAACAATAATAAGTGTAGTTAAGTTGTAATGACAGTTATGGTGCACTTAAACAGAAGGTACAGTTAATGGGTTAGCTTTAGATTTGGGTTGATCAGAGAACATCAGTATGCCATAAACCACGTTCAGAGCAGCCATGCCAGCAAAACAGGGAAACACCCACCAGCCCAGGTGGGCATGAACGTATGGATAGGCCTTGATTACGATAAAGGCTATGGTGTAGCTAAAAGCTACTGCAACATTTTCACCAGGTGTGTCTTTGATGGGCAAACTGGGAACTAGAGCAATACAACTGGATGCCATGAATGATACGAGTCCCAAAATTGGCACAACACTTAGCAGCTGTGATCCTAATCTGTTAAGAAACATCCGACGGACGAGGATGTACACAGAGATTAGAACGCTCCCAGCTAGTATACCGGTGGACGATAATACAGCAGCAGACTGGCGATGGTTCATGGCAGTCGACACCAGACTGCCGGCAACCAGGAACCCCGCCAATACGACAGAGATAAAGTGCGGGGTGAGTACCCGGATTCCCGAGTCGGATACAAACTGAGAGGCGTACGATACAATCACTAAAGGAGCAGATAGTTGCTGAAGGACAAGGTGTAGGCACAATGCTAAGAACGGACGGTAAATTTCGGAACGGTTGGCGTGCTTCAAGAACGACAAGCCGACCGCCAGTGGTGGATTTTCTGACGGGCGATCGCCGTCGCGGACCAGCCTCAACCTGAGCCTGGAATATTCAGCGTCACCAGAGCGACCGTGAGACTCCAGCCAGGACGGACTCTCAGGTATGAACCACCGGACGAGTACGAACGAAGCAGCGGTGAAAAAAGCAGCCACCATAGCGGTCTGCGCGTAGTTGAGCAGCGACCCGGTCAGATAAACGATGAGCACGCCAAACGCAGTGAAGACGACGGGCCGGGCTGCGGGGCGCGTCGGAAAACACTCGGTGCTATGAGCGCTCGCAGCCGTCGAGACAATGCCCACGAATGCACCGGTGAACAGGCGGCCAGTCAGCAAATTGGCCGTGGTCAGGCTGGTGACGGACAACACCCAACCGATGACGCAGATCACGTGGCTTAGAAGTATGGCTCCTCGTGGTCCGAACGAGTTAATTATGCTCTCTGCCATCAGACAGCCTGCCGCTGCGCCTAAGGCAGCAAAACTAGCTGCGAACAGCAATTAAAAGATCATTAATAATAAGTAGTATAATAGGTATATAAAATATCGGCCGAAAATCGTTTTGGCTAATAAGACAAAACATAATCATACTAATTTAAATAGGTTTTGAAAATGTTCAGTTTTTAATAATAGGTACACTATAAGACAAAAATCATTGAAAACATCTTTCTATAACAAAATTATCAGATAATAAATATAGTGAACGTTTGTCACTGAGAACTATATTTTCTAGGAATTGAGGAATACAATTCGAATACAACAAAAGGAAAAATTCTCGCACCTACCATCCCTGCTTTTTATACATTTTGGCAGTTCTTAATTTTATTGAATTGAATTAAGTTATAATTTTTGATTTGTTTTTTCATCAAAAACATAAAACGTAAAATTATATAAACAATATATACATAAGCCATGAAGGCCGTTATTGTATTGAAAAAAATACTACCCTACATAGGCGTGAATAGGGAAGCTTGGAGGAGTTAATCTTCATTAGTCCTTATCAAATAATTAGTAAAACATTTTTTTTTTTTTTTTAGCAACTTATAAAATAAATAGCTCCAAAAATTTACGTTCCCATTACTTTTTGTTAGTCTTCATAAAATGCCGAATGAAATCCCTAACCGTTTTCGATTTTTAAATAGCAATTTATATTACAATTTTTATGAAGAGATACCTACTTAACGTTTCAGTAAAAGTAAATGTTTATGTTGAAATTTGCAATCTCCGCACTGTATATTATACCAAACTCGAAACATGTATCTGTACTACGAAAATTCTGAAAAAATAGTTAATGGACGGAGCACAGAATAGTGAATAATTCAGTGGCCCTACCAGAGTTTAATGCGCGCCTATGCGTTAGTCACTAACTACAACTATGAATTTTATAAGTAATGATAACGATATATTGATGTACAATAACGTAATGGCTGTAGTCGTGCACACCGATTTTTTTTTTATATTCTGTGCGTGGCGAGGAATTAATCAATGGACGACGATAGGGGAAATTTCAAGGGAACGTGGACAATTCTTTCATCACAAATACAATTTTTGTCGAGTTGCCAAAAATGCGCAAAAACCATTTTCGCACAGGTTTTAAAAACCGGCAAAATACCGTATTATTAATGCAATATATTAATACATTAAGTCCGCATGTAATCGGTACACACTACACAATAATTATTATTGATTAATAATAAATATATTATAATTATAGACAACAGATTTAATTATAATAATAATAAACTCGTCGGATCTTAACTTATTTTTATATAATATATTGTACTCGTGATCTGTGTCCCGAATAAAAAAAATTCTTAAAAATAATGAAATGTCTTTAATCTTTAATAATAATAATCAACAGTGATATAATGCAATATACATTCAAAGAAATCAATTATTATTAGTGGAAAATAGTTTCATTTTCCAAATGTACTGAATTAAAATCCGAGGAAAATGGATGGAAATACGTCAACAAATCGCCCAAGTGAAATTATGTACGATTTGAACTGATCATGCGTTTTCAAGAGAAACGAGTACGTATAATCATAACATATAGTCATCAAATTCTTTGACTGTTCGGCCAACTAATAATTAAGTACAGTAAAAAACGAAAAAGAAATAACCGGTTAAATCTACGTTCTTATTTATTTAATGGATAGACAATAAAATAGTTTAAGTACTCCTACTAGGCTGGCAGTACCAGTTATTATTTAATTTGTCTTATGTACAGTGTTTTTGTGGCAATAACATTAATAATAAAACATCATACTATTAATAGCAACATACGGCGATTGAAGATAAGAATTGTAATACAATAACATGTTATGTAATATAATAGGTACCCATTAAATATTCGAAGACGTGAAACTCGAGAGACCAGACTATAATCCAGTCTCTCTACGTGAAACTATAAAACCGAAGTTAAAAATAAGACGTTGAGACTACATTGGAAACTTTGTTCTGGGTCTATAGCGCAATATTTTTTTTTTTATCTAAATTATACAAGTCCACGGGGGGGGAGGAAAGGAGGCTCATTAAGTTTTATTATTTCCGCGTCGAGTGACTATTGTGAAAAATGCACGTATCCAATAAACATGATAATATTATAATATTATTAATATCGTATAATAATATGCGATATAGAGTCCAATTGACTGGGGGAATAATCGGTGCCGTTCGAGAATGTAAAAATCAACCGGTCGAGAATCCCCTCTTACTAATGCCCAAGTGAAGAATATGTGGTTGTATTACTAGTGTTGGATTTTTTTTCTTTCTCGAAAAACAATTTATAATTTTCTATAACAAAATATTAACTCTGTTTACTTCGCGTGTATCGTATTAAATTAAATGCGTTTTGAAATGCATATAACCCGTAACTGTTTTATCGAACAATAATAACGAAAAATCAAATAAATACCGAGACTAATATTTAACAATAAATACAATTACTTATTGAACCATTCTTGTCACATGGGTACGACATGCTTACAAAGTCAACACGTGCGCTTATAAATAAACGTCGGGAGTTATGTATAGAAACATTATCGCTAAATAATATTGTTCCGTCTACGAATCGCAGAGGAGCGCGGATTATAATAAAAAATCGACTATTACATAATCGGTTTTATTATTGCCGCCGGGAAATCGCGATTGTACCAATAAAAGGTTTTCGTCGGGCGACAATCCACGTCGACGTACGTTTATTTTATTGAATCTGAATAGACGGCATACAGTCCGTTGAAAAATCCGTTTGTAAATAAACCAACGGAAATACTCACCGAACCACGTAGCGTTCCGGTAGATTAACGGAAAATCCCACATCAATACACCCGTGTATCCCAGAATGGCTCCGGAAATGACGCATGGCAACAGGGATACGAACGCCAGAAAACCCTGGAACAAAATAAAGCGGGAGGGGGGCCCAATTTTAGCACGTCGTTGTCCAGGATCCGCTGGAAAAAAAAATAAATGAAAACCCTAGGTACTTGTGTCGCCGAAGAATTGTTGAACGGTTTATGCAAGTTTTCGGTCGGGGTGCTCGGTCCCGGCGGGTTGTCCATCTTTGAAATCGCGGTACACCGGTAATTATTACCCGTTAGGTATGTGTCGCGGACGGTTATTAATATTCAAAATATAATATTGCGTTGAAAAATGTTAATACAATTGCTGTTGTTATTATTATTATAGGTACGCCTTTCCGGTAGACTTCAACGCGGCATTTGGTCGGCTTCGAACACGGTGTCGGATTACTGTTGCGGAGCTGGGATATCACCGGACACCGGAATGTGGGTATATAATATAGGTACTCGCGGCCGTACACGTCGGACCAGACTGCCGTCGCCGCCGCGGTGTTAATTTTCTCGTCGGTAGGTACGGCGCGCGGGGACAAAGTTCCCGCCGACTGTGGCAAACACTGGTGGACACGGTTTTGTACGACAGCGGCGTATTATATTTTGGACGCAAGGAAAACGCGTAGCTACACTCCGCGGCGGTCCTTTAACTATTTAGGCGGATATAAAATATTTCGATTTTTTTTTTTTTTTTTTAAATAAGCATCATTAAAACCGCACCCAATTCAAATATATAGTATCATTATTATTATAAATTATATTTCCAGACGTAGACGAATCGTGTTGGGTGAACATTGCGACATTATTCGTCGTCGTCGTTCGCCGTCAAAACTATAATCTGTTTATCGTTCCGAGAGTCGTAGTACAAAGTGTTTTACAACATAAATATATATCTATATTATGGAATATTACAGCGTCGGTGGCCGTTTTTCTAATCGTTTCCAGTTGAATAGTAGGTACATTACATTTTACGATGTCGATTTCCACGGAATTTTGCGTATTAACGATGTTTTTTTAATTTTCTGTTCGAATCTATACTAGTCGTTAAACCGACAAGAAGCGAGAGACCGGGGTCCTCGAAAAAAAGGATTAGATCCGGAGCTAACGCTAGAGAAAGGGATCGGACTCAGAGGTATTCAGTTCTCGAATCGAGATACCTCATATTTGTGTCGTTTCTGGTTTTTTTTTTTTTTTTTTTTAATATTTTGTTTCTAGCGTAAACTCGGCATTTGACGTTCTACGCACCATGATACCGATCGATCCTCCAGACCGTAAGCTGTCCAAAATTGAAACGTTACAGTTGGCGACCAAATACATTTATCATTTGTCACAGATCCTGAACAGTGGTAAATTTCTAAACAATAGCCATTTACAATAATTATTTCGGGGGATTCGAAATTGAGGCACCAAAATCGTATAACGGTATATTTACACGTTTGTTTAACTTCGCTAAAATCTTAATTGAAACCGTCGAACGATGCGTAACTCGATTTTTTGGTTAAATAATAAAAAGATCGGTACGGTTTTTCGAAAGTAAAAAGGTTACGATAAATGATAACGACCGACGTAATTAGAAATCGTAATTACGGGACTGCACCGTGGATGGGGGGGGGGGACAGTTTTCGAATATAGATAAGAGGTTGTGTAACCAGATTCGGATTAAAGGGCGGTAGGCTGAATTCCCGATGCGCCCGTTAGAAATTGTTTCCGATTTTTAATTCACCCGATGACGTTATAAATTATAAAAACTGAAAAAATCCTCACAATAATACGTCAGTAAATCGATCACCACTCGCCAAAAAGATTAAAAGAACCTATAAATATGAATGTTAAGTAGGTACCTATGTTATAATGAGCACAAGTTGGTAAACAACACAAAACACCTACGTTATCAGTTATTTTTATATTAATTTAAAAAGTACTCGTTATATACTATCGGCCATTATATGATATTATGATTTATTAAAAATACTAAATAGTAATGAGTAATGGCGTAGACGTTTATTAAATAGTTACGGAATAATGATACATTTGGTTTTATATTAGTTTGTCAATCGAAACCAGCCATCAAATATATTACTAATAAAACACAACATTCACATTATTGTTTTAAATCGTTTATGTATTCTTTCTTCTCCTTCGCCTTTGTCGCAACTATTTGGAGTCAACCACACTCGTTCTAAACTTTCATTTGACCCGATCTCTCGCATATATAGACTGTTTTCGCATCATTTCATGAAACCACCTCTTTTTCTGTTTTTCTAACTACCTTTTTCCTCCTATGTTTATTTTCATTGCAGTTTGTAATGCATCATCAGTAAGAACTGATTTAGATTTATTTCTTCCCATGACATGCCCAAACCATCTGGGTCTATTTTTTTTTATTTTGTCTATTATCGTAGTTATGTCTCTCATTCCTTATCCTTTCTTCTTCTGTCACTATCTCCAAGCGTACACATAAGAATTCTCAAATCTGCTACATTAATTTAGTTATATTTGTCTGTCTATTGCCAACATTTCGAACCACACAACATGTATGTCTGTCCAATCACATTTTTGTAGAGCTTAAGTTTTAAGTCTCATTGGAATTCTGTTCTCAAATCATTTATATATATATTTATGTATATATTTTTAACTTTTGATCATTTTTCACATAAAATATAAGATACATGGATTCTTGATTTTATTGAATGTAAAACGCAAAAGGAATATACAGAATGTTCCACGGAGATATACCAACTACAATATCTCTTGAGATAATATTCTGTTCTTTTTTTTATATTACTTGTAGGTATAAGGACTAAAAATATTTATGTTTTAGTAAAAAGACTTTAAAAAATTTAAAATTTCCAATTTCGTTTATATTTTTTTTTGAAATTTTTAACGCATCAACTTTTTATTTTCATTAAATTGGTAGTTTTTAATCATTTTTTAAAGTTCAGAGAAAAGTACTTATAATTATGCTGTAGGCTGTAATTGCATTCACTAATTAGTTATTATTATCATAGCTATTTGACTGTAAACTTATTTTCTCTGAAATTTAAAAATGATTATAAATCATGAGATCAATGAAAATAAAGTCTAAATTTTCAGAAGAATTATAAATTGTAAAAAGACTATTTTCAAATTTTTCAAAAACAGTAAAATAAAAAATTATAATTTTTAAGTTTTTTTACCATTGTATAAGAAATTAATTGTCTTATAAATATTTGTAGTCCTTATCCCTATGAATAAGAACTGGAAAAGGTAAACTCTAAATTGTTGGGTCAATTTTGTTCATACTGTATAAAAAAAAAAAATTGAAAATAGCCAATAAGTTCATATCCCATATGGTTTTTTAAATAAGTATGAAAATAAAATATTCACTAAACACTGAATCATATAAACTATATTTTTCTAATAAAGAATTGTAAAAATAACTTCTAAACAATACTCCGTTCTATGCAAGTCTTTCAATATATTATCATTTAGAGTTATATATTTTAAACCCCAATTCTTACATTGGTTTTATCTATTCATATTAGATAAAAACTAAAATTTAATAAAAATAAGTACATTATAATCATTTGTTATTTCGTTTTTACTACACCCAGAAAATAAAATTTCAAATTTTCTTCTCCAATGTGTAAATAAAATATTAAAAATAATAGTAAGAAACAACTAAGATCTATTATGAAACTTAACTTGCCAGCGGACGAGAAAAAAACAAATAACGTTCAGGTTTATACAAAATAAAAATCTAGTTTATGAACAAGTTCATAAAAACTTATGCACAAAATATGGTACCCATTGGTATAAATAATATAGTTACATACAAATATTTATTTAGGAGATATTGAGCCAGAGAGCCGTACTTACGACGTATGCATATTTTGTTTGACAAATAATAATTAATACCTGAGAATGACACACAGAAAGCAAAATAAAATATTTATCTCACCAAAATGTTTTTATTTATTATCATATACTTTGTAAAAATTTGTTTTATATATACTTTTTAGAACTTAAAAATTAAGCGAGTAATATAGTTAAAGCTATGTGTATGTACAACACTTGTATTTAAATAAAAAATATATTCCATACATTATTATTATATACATTTTTTTTTTTTTTTTATGTGGCAATAAAAAGCACAAACTAAAATAAACCAAAGAGGAACACAGTATTATTATAACAAATCGAAACTGTTATGTTTTTTTTTTTTGTTAATTCATTGTAACAATTAAATTAAATGGTTATCTCCAAAGAATAAGAAATAGATATTAAATTTTAAAAATTATAGCTGGACATAAAAATAATTATGAATTATTGCTTATATATTAATCATAAATATAATAATTATTAAAGACAGATTATTGCAAATAGTATTTATTTATAAAAACACTATACGCCCAGTTAAATACGATTCATTTAAACCAATAAAGGATTAAAAGACAAATTAATTTCTTTTGTTATACTACTTAGCACCATACAATATATATATATTTGGTAAACATTTCTATTTTATACTTAATAATAATAATCAAAGTTATATTATATTATAATAGACTTGTTATATTGTTGTCAATAAAATGTTATGTAACTACATGAGAAAAGAAATAAATCAAAGAATATAATAATTAACAATTTGATAAAAGATTGTAATGGATTTTAAAATTTATTTGGAAAATTAATAATTAAAACAACTCATAATAACTTTCAAGTTCAAAGACATAGAAAATAAAAAAATCCTTTCGAGTAATAAAATGCTTCAATTATTGCCAACAGTTCAGTCCTTTAATAAATTCACAAATTATTCAAAATTAAGATATAGATAATTTAAAACAGTAAAACATAATAAAATGTTGTCTTCTAAAAAGGCATTTTAATGGAAACTGACAAAAAACATTAATATAAATTGTTCAAACAATTTTCATGGATATGAAGCATTTCTATTATTATTTTTTTTTTTTACATATCCTTATTAGTGCGACGGATTGATGTTGATAAGGGTGCAGCAAATACAAAAATGTACTTGCACTTATTTATAGTTTCTAATTAATTTATATTAAGTACTTATCAGTCTATTCTTAATTAATATAAAATAACCTAAATAGTTTAACTTCAATCGGTTGCGCGGTTTATTATTTTCATTTATTCTGAATTTGGCGAACAATTTGAGCTTACTAATTCAATAAAATAAGCTTTGATTCACCGATTAAGTTAAATCAACATGCAAATAACAGCAATACAGAATATTAGATGGATGTGTTATTTTGGGACATCTTGAATAAAACCCATATTAAGATGGACTAACAATCCCGTGCAACTGATTAAAGGTTAATACAAACATATCTTAATTTTAAATGATTATAAGTAAAAACCATGCACAAATTTTAGATAAAAAAAAAAAAAAAAAAATTATTAATTGTATTGTAAATTAAAATTTTATTTGGTGCATTATTTTTTAAATCTGTAAATTTGTATAAATAAAATTTAATATGTATTCAATAGATAACATTAAAATTATTAACTATTATAAGAAAATGTCTTTACATTTTATAACTAATGTACAATAAATAATTATAATATATAGTTACTAAATTATAACTTTGTTAAATTATTATATGCCATATCAATTTGTGATGAATAGCATTAATTAAAATAGTAATTTAATAGAAAAAATATAATAATAAACAAAAACATTTTCACTCTTAACTTTTGAAAAACAAAAACTATATTTTGTTTATTACAACCTTAAAATTGAATTATTCATATGCTATTTTTTTTTTTTTTTTTTATAAAAACCACTCTTAATTGTCACATTATATTTAATGTACTTACATTAATTACCCTTCTAGTTTTAGTCATTTTTTTTTCTTTTACATAATTCATTTAAATGAATCAATTTTTATGTGTATTTATTAACAAATTTGAAACAAGTTATGGTCTTCCTCGTGCAGCTTCTTCGAGTGCACGGACCTTCATCTCTCGTTCTCTTTGTTGTTGTTGCCTAAAATATTATTCAATATAGTATACATAACATAAATAACTATACTTTCAATACACGCTAAGTCTTATTGTATAAAAATGCAATGGTTTTTTTTTTTTTTTGATAATTATTACAGTTTAATGTAAAAACTGTCAAGCATTGTTAATTAGTGCAAATCTATTCTATTTTAAGATTTTAGGTGGTGACCATAATATATATATAATTATTTGTATTTTAACTTGTAAATAAAATTCTCTGTATAACTAACTGTATATGTATGCTTAATAACATGCAATAAATAAGTTTACATACAAAAGTTAAACCAAGAAATAAAATAAAATGCCTACAATACTTACAGTATACCCCTAATATTTACTTATTTAGACATACCTAATAAATTCTTCATGAGCCATTAAAGCTGGATGTGGAAAACGATCACGTTCCATCATCATTTGCCTTTGAAAATGTTCATGTGCAACCTATTTTTTAAAAATAAAGATAGTAAATAAAATATCAAATTTTAAACAAACACACATATACTATAAGTTATCAATGATACTTGTTATTTGAATTGTATTTTTATAGGGTAATCATATTAATAACATAATTTAAAATCAATAATATTTAGAATAATAATAGGATTAAATTATATTTTCTTCAAAAATTTTATGTTTAAATTGTCTATGCTTGACAAATATATAACACATGAAAGGGAGAAAAGATTAAATGTTTAACTATCATCATAAGTATGATATTTTTTATATATTAATTAGTCCACATAATTTATTAATTATAAGCATAATAAGATTGGTTTACTTGTCGACAGCAATAACGAAGTTTGCACTGTTTTCAACATATAAAAAGATAACACATGAAATATTTTTACGTTATTTTAGATATACCCAGTTAAGTACATAAACCTATTAGTTCTGTAGGACTAAGTCATATTTAAACTAAATTTTGATACTGGTTTGTAATAACACCACGATTGTCATTATATTTAGAAAATATAAAAACATTATTATTATTATTATTATATAATGTATTTCTATTTTAATTAATAAAAATAATAACAAATAATATTTTAACAATAATATAATACCTAATCTTTCAATAAAGACTACAGTGAACAAAAATGGAACTACGACATTGCATTTAATAATTATAGATTCCAAGTCATTTTTTTTGGAATTAAATGATTAAAGTAAATTGTACCAGTACCGTATGGTTTCTCATACTTCATAAGTAAATAATAGTTCATATAATATTAAATACCATTTTATCATTACAATAAATCAATAATGGTGGCGGAGCAAACAATTTTTTTTTTCCGGACAACCAAACAGGGTGAAAACTCAATATCTAAAATGTAAACAGTGTTTATTAACATAGACTTACTTGATCAGCAAATGGTCGAGCTAAAACATCACTTGGATGATGAAGTCCTAATGTAGGATCACGACCAGGTAAAAGGTTTGGACGAGGATAACCTCCAGGACCAGCGGCTAAAATTAATAAAAAATAAATATATTAGTATATAACAAATTTAATTAATAATTTAGGTCATATTTAATTTTACAAATAATAACAAAATTTGAACAAAAACAAAATAATATAAATATAAATTGTTTAAAAATGCTCAACCTAATAATGTAAAATATTGTTGATATAAAAACAGAAATTTAGACATTATATAACTTACATTATTGTGTACAGTTCCAATATTTTATTAAAATTTATTTCAAATTATTATGTAATTAACCTAAGAACTTATAACCATGAATATCAGAATAATAATCATAATAATAAAACAAAAGGACTATTAAACTTGAATTAATTTATATTAAGTAAAAATATAAATTTAACTTTAAATAAATGCATGTACACTGTTTTATCATATTTTATATTTATTAATATACTACTAATACCTCTAAAACAAAAAGTTTTGCTAAAATTTAGTTTATAATTAACAGGGTGTAACTTGATAAAAATAAAAATAAAAATAAATATAATGTCCAATGTTAGTTTACTCTCAAAACTGTTTTAAAATTTATATGATAAATAAGTTTATGTATCTTTATTACACTATTTTAATTATTATTGAAAACTGTAGTTATAATTTATGGACTACAGGACTCTAATACAATAACTTACAAACAATTTATTTTAACTTACAACCTAATGGGAATACTGAAGGCGAAGATGTAGAAGCCGAACTATCAGCAGCTGCAGCTGCAGCAGCAGCAGCGGCAGCAGCTTGCTGTCCTTGATGCAAATGAAGATGAGTATGAGAATGTGCATGAGTATGTGCATGATATTCAGGTGAAATGCCAGCCAACTGTAATCTGACCATAGGATCTGTTGCTAATGCTAAACGATTTGCTTCCTCAGCAGATGGTCCAGGAGGACCACTTGAATTATTTTGATTTGGATTTCCATTTGGCCCACCGCCTGTATAACCGCCTTATCAATTAAAAGTTAAATTTCAAAATTAAAATTTTAAGAAAATATTTATGTTACCAAGTCTATCCATACGCTCTCGTTCTAATGGATTCATATTGCTAGGAGTAGAAGGCTGACTAGGAGCTCCAGGTGATGGATACAAAAATGGATGCATACCAGGTGTTCCTCCATAGCGACGTTGAAGTTCAATCCAATGTGGATCAATTCTGGGAGGACCAGATGACCCAGACTTTAAAAATTCATCTTTAAGGCGATCATTCAATTCTTTTTCTCGTAGTTCTCTCAATTCTCTTTCTCGTTTCTCTCGTTCCATCTGTTCGTACTCAAATCTAAAAAAAGAACATTGAACTAAATACTGTTAAATTATTCTTTATTGAACATACCTGTCACGTGGATACATATTAAATTGATAATGTAACATCGGATCAATACAATGAGGTGGCAAACCTAAACCAGGCGCTGAGCGTTGTAATGATACTGGAGAAAAACCAGCATGTGGTCTAGCATATTCACTAAATTAAAAATAAATAATAAATGTCAATTCTAACTAAAACCAACGATTGTTAATTATTATGTCTTATTTTAATTTTTAAATGTCATTGTATTATATATTATACAAAAATACGAATTCTTAAACAATATATATAACTGGTTTGATATAATTACCTCAATTGTCTTAATGCAGGAGTATCTGGATACATTGGAGCATTTGCCGGTGTTCCTCTATGCTGATAACTGTTAACTCTATCATATGGGGATTGAAGTGCATCAATGCTACCCCGAGAAGGTGGCTTAGCAACTTGTTCATTACTTGCTTGCATATGTTTATCATTGTTAGAATTTTTTCGCTAAAATTTTTTTAATTAGATAGAAGTATTACAAGGTGTAATTATAAAAATAAATTATAATTACTGAATGAGATTTGTCTCGTTCATCCCGTTCCTTTTCAGCCTGTCGCCTAGTTCGTTCTTCACGCTTTCTACTGAGTTTAGACTCGGGAACTGGTTTGAATGTTAAATCAGTACGACAACAAGAATTATAATCCCCTCTGTTCCAATGTCTCAAAAATCTAAGTTAAATATTTAATTAAATGTATTTAAATCATTGTAATTTTGTAACTATGCAGGAAAAATACATTGCACTTTGACTACGATGACATTCACTGTCTTCAATTTTTGGTTCAGGTGAAGGACCATGTGGTATATGTAAGTTTGGACTTGGTGAACTTTCTTCTTCATTATTACCATCATCAGTGCTTTGACTCATCATTTGATCTGGTTTAATCATTTCCATTCCAGATGGCATACCTGATGCCAACTCCATAGCTCCCATGTAACCTGTTATTATTAAACGAGATAATTTTAATAACTAAATGATATTTTCATTTAGTCAAAATTAAAATTTAAGAAGTATTTTAATATGCATTATTTTATATTATAACAAATAAATACTACTTATTGGAGAATTAATCAATAAATTATTATTATAATATTTAAGATTAAAAATAAATTTATAGTAGTTTGCAAATTTAAAGGTAAAACATCAACTTCATTTTTACCATGCATTGCTGTATGAGCTCTCAAAGCTTCCAGAGATAACGGTGTATGATGTGGTATACTTTTAATAGCATTTGGTTGAGGAGGCAAATTTCGACTTGATCCTAAATATTTGTATAAATATTAAAAATATTCAGGTTCATTTGTTAAATATAATTATTTACCATGTACAGATGAAGATGCATGTTGATGATGATGGGTATGCTGATGGTGATGTGTGTGACTACCATTCCCTGTATTACCAGCACCACCATGAGTAGACAATGATGAAGACGTAGTATGTGATAACGTTGCTGATATATGGCTTGAGCCTGACTGAGGGCTGTTTCCTCTTTTTAATTTATGTTGAACTAACTGGGAGGACGAAGTAGTTGAATGAGATAAAGTATGTTTATCTGTTGAGCTTGAGAGATGTTGAACTGAAGTTGAGCTGGAATGATGCGTTATCTCTTCATCTAAACGACTACTGGTACTAACTGAATGATGATGATGAGCCGTCATTGTTGTAGTTTCATCAGGACCTCGTTTACTTGGTGGTGGTATAGGATAAGGTGCATAAGGAAACCCATATGGTGGATAACTTGCATATGCAGGATGAGCATGAGGATGATATGGATTATGGAGTACTGCATGAGCAGCTGCAGCAACAGCAAATAATGAGTGTGGATGTAATAAAGGATGGTGTGGATGCATGGCAGCAAATGGATGATGTGGTGGCACTCCATTGGCTGGAGATATTCTACTCAATGGAGAAATTTGTTGTGAAGGATGCATTACAGGTTGAGGAATAGATGATGGAGGAGCAAATAATGGTGCTGTTGAAGTTTGAATATGTGTTTTAACTTGCAAAGGAGATTTTAGTTCTGGTTCTTTTTTAATAGTTTCAACAGACATATTCATATTAGCTAAGTCTGTATTAACTGTAATAGCAGCACTAGTTGCCTGTAATGGCTGAGAAACAGCACCTGGGCCATTGTAACCAGGTACTTTGACTTCTTTTAATGATTGTAATGGGTCTGATATTTCTTGCTTTATTTTTAAATTTTGTGGTTCCAATTGTGTTTCGTATACAGGAGCGTGCATTTTGTCTGAAATTTGATTATTGTATGGATAAAAAGGAGTAACAAAAGATTGTTGTGTTGCAGGTGCAGGAACAGAAGGTACATTCAATGTTGATTTATCTCCAACTCTTTCTTGTTCATTAAATGAGTTTTGATAAGTTTGCACATGTATTTGGGATTGATTGGGAGTGGGTGGTTTAGTCACTTCGGATCGCCTAGGTGAGTAAGAAGTTAATGCTATTGGTGAAGTCATGCATTCTTCTTGAATAGGTTGTTCAATTTGTGTTTGAGAAACTTCTTCAGAAGTAGTAGTAGTAGTAAATTCTTCTTTTATTTCAACATCAGCATCTAATGGTGTAGTATTTTCAGTGGCAAATTGTGAATTCTGCATTGGGAATGATGATATCTTCTCTAAAGATTCTTTTTCAACTTCATCAGTTGAATTAATAGACTGCTGAGATTCTTCTGGAGCATCAACATGCATAGGCTCATCATTGATTTCATTTTTAACTATAACATTTTCACTGTTAACAATTTCAGCAGAAATTACTGTCATATCTTCAGACTGAGATTCAGTATTTGGTTCTGAAGTAATAGGTTCTTCTTTAGGAATAATATCAGAATTAAATTCAGATTCTGGTTGTGTTTCTGTGTGCATTATGTCTGATGCTTCAGTTTCTTGATTTATAGATTCACTTGATGCTACAGTAGCAATTTGAGCTTCATCATCATTACCAGAATATCCGTCTGAACTAGTGCTTTCAGAAATGTTTGACTCGCGCTTTAAAGGACTTTCTTCTTCACCATCAGTATCTAAGGATCGCTTCTTTGGTGTATCACTCAAATTTCCCTGTACAAATGAGGTTAACTAAAATAATTAAAAACTGGACATTTATTTAATAAGCAGTTTATATACCTTAGATTTAGATTTATCAGTTGAAGGTGATGCTACTGACATATCTTTTTTTTCATTATCTGTAATAATTTCTGGTGTGTTAGCTCTACTACGTTTAGATCTACTCTGCGTACTTTTTGTAGGCTAAAGAGAGAGAGAAAAAAACATGGAAAAAAATAAAAAATAAAAAATTGAACACTGTTAATTACTGTTAAGTAATTACTTTTCAATTATAAAAATGTATAATAAATATATATAACAATATAAGTACCGTCTCTTTTGATTTATTTCGTGTACGCATTCTACTAGGCGATTCAGCTGCAACTGTAACATCAGAAGTAGCTGGGCTAGGACATTCAGCTGGCGATTGAGGTGTTGATTGAGGTGGTAATTCTCCATATTTTTTATTATAGCTACGACATTCAAAACATAATAAATTGCCTTGCTTAGGTCCTATAGATGCATTTTGCCAATCCCTAGTACCTATAATAATCAAAAATAAATTATAGTTAAACACATACAATACATATTACCTTTCTAAATAAGTTTTTATTCCAACAAACCTAAACACTAACAGTTTATAATATGATTGTCGTGTTTCAAATTATAAAATAAAATTGTAATACGTAAAACTATAGAAATATTGTTAAATCTATCGTTTTTCTCAGTAATCCAAAAGTGATAAAATATATTAATAAATGGTACTGTCGATTAAAAAATATACTTATCAGAAGTTATACAAATATTATCTAAACACGTTACACATACTGATATATGTTCAATTCAAATTAGAAAAATATTGTAGGATCTGGATAAATAAGAAGATTGTCATCTAAAAAATAAATAAATAAAGGATGATTGATAAATAATTAGTTTAACTAATGGATTCCCCACAAACCCTTCATAATTTTTGTTAACAATAGCTTTTGATGATGCAATAAAATAAAATTGTAACACAGAAAAGTGAAAATTATGTTATATATTAAATAACAATTATTTTTACATACTTGTTGCAAAGCAATGATGACATCGAAAAAGAGTTGTATTATCTCTAGAATCAGAGTCATCTTCAGTATTTCCACCATCATCTTCACTGACACCAGAACTTCCATCACCTATTATCATAAGAAAAGATAATTAACACAATTTAAGAAAACTAAATTTTGTAATTATTATTAACCTGGTTCTTTTGAAATTGGCGAAGGACGTGAACCTGTACCTAAAACAAATTAGTGAGTGAACACATGATACAAGCCTTTTAAATATAAATAGTACATGTATTTTTAAAACATATTAAGTGTAATGAATGAATTAATGATATTTCTCATACTTAAAATATATACAAACAAAAACCAATGCAAATTATTGATTCTTATGAAATAGAAAATATTCTTGTTCTAATTAGAAGAAAATCATTTCAAAATTATAATTATTAAATTTATATGAATAAAGGTAATATGGAAATTACTAGTTTCATCCTTTTGAGCACTTGATGGTCTTGTAGCTCTAGTAGTTCTAATACGTCTTAATGATCCTTGTCTTCTTCTTCTGTGAGGTCTATTATTATTTGCACCTGGTGTCTTTTTCCATAAATAATAATACTCAACTAATTCCGGCTAAAATAAAATAATTTAATCTATTATTTTAGATAAAACAGTTTAATTAGTATACTTACAGTATCCTTATGTGGCAGTAGATCTTTTCTGATCCTATGAAAATTCTTCCCATACTGCCTTAATCCTTTCACAAATTTTTTCTAAAATAATAAATTAATAGTCACTATCATTTAGCAAAATGTTTAATAATTTTAATTACAGTTTCCTCTTCAGACCATTTTTTATCAATTCCTTTAGGCATCGGACATTTAACTAGTGCTTGTAAAGCTTTTCCTGGATCATAGCCAGAATCGTGTAACTAAAAATTATTTAAATAAAAATATACTCAGCTATTGATAAAAATACAGAAAACATAATTATTTTTTTTAAAAATGAATATAAAACCTGAAAAAAAATTTAAATAAAAAAATATATTTGATATACTAATATAAAGCACTTGAAATGCTTATATTGTTTTTGCTTACAATGTGAAAAGCATTAATTGTCGTATCATCACGTGATGCAGCAATACAGCCTTCATCGGCTGATCCACCATCACACATACCAGCATATGCTGCCATAGAACGAGCTGCACGTAAATAAACTAATAAATCACGATCTCTCACTGTACCTGATACCCAACGAGCTTCTTCTCTGTCCTCGCCAATTACTCCATTTGAACCATTACTAGATGTTCGATAATCTGGTAATCTAGCCTATGTATTTATAAATAAATAAAATAATATTTACTTAGTCAAAACTTTATAAATTAGAAAAAAAAAAATATATGTAACCTGATGAGATGGCCCAACTCTAATTTCCCCTTGGGTTGAACCCATTGTTCATTCGGGTTCTTAATATTGCTTACTTTTTAAAACCATATTAGATTTTATGTTTACAAATTGTATTAATAAAATTAAAAAATTGCACCTGAAAAATAATAAAAAAGTAAAATATAAAATAAGTATAATATATAAAATACAATAATATATTGTAATAATTGAGGACTTTGTAGCAATTAAACATATAAAACAATAGAGTATTGTCTTTGTTGTTATATTAAAATAATATTTATAAACCAAAAATAAATAAAGATTAGTAATACTATTTAGGTATACACTCATCTAACCTATTTCATTGAAATTAATGTGATATATTTAAGTACTATGTAAATATAGACTAGGCTACTTAACACGTTTAGTATGTTTGTAGATAAAATACAAAACACAATGATAAAATATTCAACAGTAAAAATGTAAGATATACATAATGAAGTTAAATAAAGAATTAACAGTTTCTTTTAACTTTTACTACACATACAAATTATTAAATAAAATGTTATGCATTCATAATTGTAAAAAAAAACATTTTATAAGTAGGTATTTGCTTACAAAATTGAACCTATCATATTTATTAAAAGTGAAAGTAGTAAATCTTTAATAAAATATACACATTTTACTACTAAAAATGTTCTAAATATTTGAATCAACTTCCCATGTCTGTCCTTCACAAAAAACAATACTAATATTCAATAATTCAAGAGAAATATCTAATTAGTATAGGATATTTATTTGAAAATGGTAGGTAGGTAATATAAAATATTGTTTATTTATTCAAGAGTATGAAATATATACGCATTTAATGGACATAATAAAAGACTTTTAATAAATTCATTTACTTAAGGCAACATATTTTCAATATAATCCAAAACAATTATGTTATTGATATTATAATAACACATTAACTAATAATTAACCAGATTAAAATATTTTGATTTTTAAAATACATATTATTATTTTTGTTCATCTATTAGTTTTTAATGTTTTTATAATCTTATCTCAAATTGTAGTATACTCACATTAAAAGTAATTATTTATTATTAGTCTAAAATTATAATTAGTTTTTATTAATTAATTTGAAAAAACTTGATGGTTTTTTTTCACTTCACATAATCAAATGTATTACTATCATGGGTAATTAAAATGTAAATAGCATATATATGACAATGAATAATAAAAATGTTGAAACAATTGATAAATTATTATTTATTTAAACAATTATTTAAGTACATATCAATAATCATTTTCAATAAGAATTTATATTAATAAATATGAGATAGGTACATGCTTCAGTAAATAATTGGATTTTTTTGCATAGTACCTACTATTACAAAATACACATTAAAATAAATAGTATATTATTAAATCAAGGCAGAAACAAACAATAAAATTGAATGAAACTAAATAATTAATACTGTGAAAAATAAAGGATTTTAATGGTTAATTATATGGTAACTATGAAATAGGTAAAATTTGGAAGAAGTGTCTAGAATTTATAAATATTCAATAGGTAACAATAAGATATTTCTTTGACTTTAATACGTTCCAAAATTTAAGTAAATTTAGATTTTAGATATGTGTTTAAAAATCTATCAAGCACTAACTAGACTTATTTAAAAACTTTTATTGTAGTTACTAAATTAATTTGATAAAACACAATTATTATTACATTGGATAGATAATAGAATTGAAAAACAAAATGTAGTTTATCGTATGTCAAAAAAAAATAAATTTAGTAATCATTATTATCATCAAACTATTTTATTATAATATAATATCCTAGATTAAATTGGTTTGATTCAGAGCATATAACAAATTCAAATAAGTTACATTATTCCAAATATAAGGTAAATAAGGTGTTAATAAAATATATGCATTACTACCTGTAGGTATAGATAGATAAGTAATATAAATGCCAATGAAATATTATATGTATAAAAAGATACCTTTTGCTTTGTATTCAATATTAATTTTGAATGCATTATATTATATAAGTTGAATTAAACAAACAAACAAATACAAGATTGACAAACCTGGAATTTTCATCCAATAAAATTTGCAGGAAAAAAAAATAAAACTAAATTCATTAAGCATTAAATGATTAATTTAAAAATTAAATAATACGGCCAACATTTTTAAACGGATAAAGGCAAATAACATAGCAATAATAATAATTAGGTAGAATACACATAATGATAACAGAAAAAGTACACGAATATTAACTTTCAATACAAATTTGGCCAACGTTAAGTACCTATTATACCCAACAGGAAACTTATACGGTCGCAGGAAATTAAATTTGTCTATCAGTTAAAACGGACTGGTTAATGTCCTTAATAGGAATAAAACACTACTACTATGGAAATTTATTTATGGGCAACTAATACCTACAGTCAATTACATAAATTAATATGAAAATTACCCGAGCTAGCTGTTATTATTCCGAACCGGATGATGCACACTACGGACAACGCGATTTTTGATGTCATTATTAATTAATCACTACTGATTAACGTATTAAATTAAAAGATAAATAACAATAACGAGAGTGCGACTCAATTAAATTAGTTAGTTTTAAGATTTTCGACCAATCTACTAATAAAAAAAATAATAAAATAAAAATAATAATATTAATCACTTAGACGCCATTTTAAATTAAAAAACAGTCAGTGCAAATAACTGAGAATCAAATATCGTGCGTAGCAAACGACTGTGGTGTCACTGTAAGAGTTAATATCGTGACAAGGGTTAGGCCATAATCAACTATTTCACTCGTCCCACTAATCACTACCTATTTACAACGTTTCACGACTTCCACGTAGCAAATAAAATTCATTATTCATTTATTATATAATAAATCATTCAGTCATCCATACCACTTTTTAACTCTTTATTATCTAAATTTAAACAAATACTATTCATTGAAATATTTCCCTGTTCACAATCCTGAACTCAATTGCTACTATACGGTTGCATGCAAATCATTTCTCTACGAGGTACTAGTCGAACGGGTTTAGCATAATATCAACAAATTAATAATAACAGAATACAGTACACATTTTTTATTGCATTTATTTTCTCTCGTTGTTTTTAATATCATCTAAATTATTAAATTCTCAACAATGGCGAAAATTAGCGCTGGACCTGTTGTTGATATTTTGGGCGATGAGATGACTCGTATCATTTGGGATTTGATCAAGGAAAAACTCATTTTACCGTTCTTGGACATCGAGCTTCATGTATACGACTTGGGAATGGAAAACCGTGACTTGACCAATGACCAAGTGACTTTAGATTGCGCAGAAGCTGTGAAAAAATACAATGTTGGAATCAAATGCGCTACAATTACACCAGATGAAAAGCGAGTAGAAGAATTTAAGTTAAAAAAAATGTGGAAGAGCCCTAATGGCACCATTAGGAATGTACTTGGTGGTACTGTATTTAGAGAACCGATTTTATGCAAAAACATTCCGAGATTGGTGACTGGCTGGGAAAAGCCAATTATAATTGGAAGACATGCTAATGCTGATCAATACAAAGCTACAGATTTCATTGTTCCTGGAGCTGGAAAACTTTCATTAACATGGACCTCTAGTGATGGTAAGTATTTTGTAGTATATTTTACAATTAGAAANTGTCTAGGGAACTTCCAATGTATTTAAGTACTAAAAATACAATTTTAAAAAAGTATGATGGTCGTTTCAAAGATATTTTCCAAGAAATTTATGATACACAATATAAACCGTTATATGAAGCCAAAGGTATTTGGTATGAGCATAGATTAATTGATGATATGGTGGCATATGCTATGAAGTCTGAAGGTGGATTTGTGTGGGCATGCAAAAATTATGATGGTGACGTTCAATCCGATTCTGTTGCCCAAGGTTATGGGTCATTAGGCTTGATGACATCTGTGTTGGTTTGCCCAGATGGTAAAACTGTTGAATCTGAAGCTGCTCATGGTACGGTTACTAGACATTACCGAATGCATCAACAAGGTAAAGAAACATCTACAAATCCCATTGCCTCTATTTTTGCATGGACAAGAGGATTGTTGCACAGGGCAAAGTTGGATAATAATGCTCAATTAGAAGACTTTGCAAATAAATTAGAACGGGTCTGTGTAGAAACAATTGAAGATGGTTTCATGACCAAAGATTTGGCCATATGTATTAAAGGAATGAATGCTGTTCAAAGGGCTGATTATCTGAATACGTTTGAATTTTTAGATAAATTGGCAGAAAATTTGAAACTTAAGTTAAAGCTCTCTTCAAAATAGTAATCAAAAGTAATATTTAATCTTTCATTCATAGATTTTTTTTTAATTTTACATTTATTGTTTATGCTTTTTAAGTTTATGAATTCTTTTAAAATGATTGTGCAACATATTTTTAAAACTATTACCTATTTGTTTTATCTGGATGGTGGTAGTTGTTTGATATATATTAAAGCCTGAATTAAATTAGGCATGGGTTAGGTGTTTGGGAACTACTTTGATTTAACGAGACTGATGATAAATTTTATCAAAATCAAAAAAAAGTTATTGTTTTACCATTAATGTATGCCATCATTTATAATGTATAATTTAATTTTACATTTTGATTTTACTAATATAATATTTGTCTTACTATTTAAATTCGCAAAAATGTTAAGTGAGTGTCAAAATTATTATTAATTAGTAATTATACTGTATGTATACTCGTAAAAAGAATTGTGAAAAATCTTCTATTATTATAATATAATTTTGATATTAACTTACCCAATAATGAATATTTATTTTCCTGACTTAATTATTAATTAAATTGAGTGATGTCTTATTATCATTAATAATGTGTTTACATTTATGGGAATGGAAAATTGTTTAATAGAAACCAGATATTGTTTGTTGCTTGAAGTTTGATTCTGGTTTTTTAATTTTTTAAATATAATTACATTCAAGGACACCTTTGTAAATTTGCCAGTTTGCAATGTCAATGGTTAATTGTAGGAAAATGATCCAAAATAAAGGATAACACAGTATTACTGTGTCCAAAATATGATAGTAATATTATTACTCATATTATGAGTTCTTTTAGGCTAAACTTGGAGCATGTTTCAGCTTTTCAGCAAATTCTGAGCGGGGTTCAGTTAATAGTGATGCTTTGTCAACAATATATATGTCATTTAGAATAAAATAATTAAGCTTTATATATTTTCTTTAGTAATACTTGTTTAATATTGTACCTACCAATTTTCCCGGTTTTTAACATTTGCTGGAAAAACTCTTTGGTAAATTGAAAAATTGCCTCTCTAAAGTACTTTCCCAGTCAAATTTTCTTTCAGAAAAATTGCTTTAATTATAAATTGGAACAAAATTACTGGTAGAAAAGTTGTCCACAGAAAAAAAAATAAAGATCTTTGCTTTACTCAGAATCTAAAATATATTATATTTTTGTTTATGTTTATAGTAAAGTTTAACTAAATTGTGTAGCTACTGTACATCAATAAGTATTTTTTGGGTTATATTTCATTATTAGTAAATTGAGTTTTTGTGTAAGAAAATTATCGCTTAATTCTATATATATATTTAAAAAAAATTATTATTTTATTAAAAATGATTTACTATGTGTAAATATATCATTTATTTTAAGGTTTAAGTACTTATTTGTTTCAAATGCAATGTTTAAATGTTACATAATTATAAGTTTTAAATCATAATATGTATAAAAGGTAATCAATAAATTTTAAATTGAAAAAAAAAATTAAAGCAATAGTTATTAAAAACAAACAATAAAGCTACCTAAGTCTTATTACGAGTTATGACTATAAATTAGCTAAAAAATACTTTAAAATATTTGTTATATATACACATGCATTTCATTATGTAAAATATAATAACATTTGTATTTTTTGTTTTAGATAAATAAACTTAAGTTGGCAGTATAATCTGAATTAAGATGTTTAATTTTTATCATGTATTTTAACCTTTTGTACCATTATTCATTTAATTCAAAATATTTGTGTGTTGTTAACTATATACAACTAAATTCTAAAGTTTAAATTTAAAAGTTTTTTATTAAGCTATAACTTTAAATGCTGAATAATATAGATAAATAACACGTTACTTGGAATAGTTAAATGGAAGTTAATTGTTAACATTATATATAGAAATCAATTTTGTGATGTTTAATAAGAGTTATAAATTACTACAATATTAACTTCGCACAGTAATTTTAACATAGATTGCATTTCTTAATATCGAATGCATGTTATGTGAGCGAAGTTCGGTTATACCTACATGTGTTATCAAAACCGTAATGTTTTTACGATTTGTATTAAAATTTGATATTTAATTTTTATATAAAAAAGATGTATTATTTATTTACTTATTAAATGTAAAGTACTCGTTACTCTTTCCAATTTACATAGAAATGACCAATGAAAAAAAAATGAGCGCTCTCCAGAGAAATTCTCTGAATTCAATAATGATTATATGTCCTATACGTGATAGATTATAAATAATATTATTTTGTAGGGTTAAGTGATACGGAAATAATTGAGTGTTAAAATAACAAGTGATAAGTATTCTAGCTAAACAAAACCTAGGTAAAAGAATTAAATTCCCTTCCACCAATTTTTCTGACTGCGTATACTAGACTATACCATAGTCTGCCGTACTCCGTACTGTCCGTAGTACAAACCAATGACTAAAAGTCTAAAATACCTACCTAATTAAAATTATTAGAATGATACAAGAAAAAATTTAATAATTTAATTATAATTGAACAATAACTAACAAAAGATATTTATAACATACATTTATTTTTTCATCAAATGTCCCCGAAAGTAAAGACTATTGGGCATTGGCTGCTGTGTTGTGTTATAAAAATATAAATTTTCCCAACATTTGAACAATTTTAACAGCTCTCTCTAGACCAAAATAAGATCTCTAACTTAAAACTTAGAGTTGTGTTATAGTTAAATTAAAGTCATTAGAGTTGAATAAAATTTCAATATAAATTTCACCATATTGCATAGATTCCTAAAGTTATTTAATTTATACCTGTAAGCAACGATGTACCATTGCCAATGAAAAGCAATTTGGTGCGAATCTCGGTTACACAATATGATTTAAAAAGTATATATATTCACAATTTTCGTCAAAATTTGATTTTGGCTCTTGATAAAAAAATAAAATAAAAATACTACACCACACTCAAATTTTATTTTTTTTTTTACTATAAATTATAACATAATAAACCTTCTGTTAAATTTGAAACATCTCTGTTTGGTCTAATAATTTAATCCACAGAGTATCTACCAAATAAAAATTACACAAAACACTCACAAACTTGAAATGTCTATAAAAAGCTCAAAGGTAGCCCAAATGTTTTGAAAATTTTACCACGTTTGGAAAAATAAAAATGAGTTTTCTGTCAAATCGCGAGTTTTTAAGAATATTTTTAACTGAATTATATTAAAAAAACAAAATTTAAAAGAATAAAATAATAATAATAATAATAAAATAATAAATATGCTCGTACATTTTCCTGTACTTTCTACGTATTTTTCAGTTAAATATACCAATTTCAGTTAAAAAAAAATAATTGTTTTTAATAGTTTAAAATGTCTAAACATTTTTATAAAATAGTGTTAATAATTTACTTAAAATTTTGTCTGCCCCTCTGCGAAGAGGATCTAGTACCATCTATGGTAGTAGTGATAATATGTACATCAACTTTTGAAATTACTGCTATAATAGCAGTAACTGTTTACGAATGTATTAAAAGCAAAAAGGGAATCTTTATTTTTGAAATATGATTCATGAACGATTTAATTTTTGACAGGGCGTTGACAATCATACACCACTAATAATTAAAGAGATAAGTAATTGAATTTTGTTTTTTTAATTTGTAAAATGTCAACAGTAATTAATACCTTGGTAGTAATAATACACGTTTGAACTTCTATTAATGATTGTACAGTATAATTTATGTATCTGTGTACTCTAATATTATTATTAAGTAAATCACTTACCTATCAATTTATTAGCTATTAAGTACAATAAAATAAAACGTGTTAGTCTTGTAATCGGTGAATTATGATATACCTAACCACCTCTTAAATTCACTTAAATCTTAATTATACATTTATTTTAAGTATAAGTAGTACGATTCTATTCTGTGATCATAACTATATATTTTGTCATGGTCAGTTACATGTTAATCTAGCTACATCATATTTTCACTCCGTGGTTCTAAGTCACTCCAACTCAGCAGAAAATATTTAATTATTACATTAAAACAATTTTTTTAATTTTTGCTTTATTTATTTTATTTCTTTGATTTTTTAATATAATCTAAATTATTAAATTCTCAACAATGGCGAAAATTAGCGCTGGACCTGTTGTTGATATTTTGGGCGATGAGATGACTCGTATCATTTGGGATTTGATCAAGGAAAAACTCATTTTACCGTTCTTGGACATCGAGCTTCATGTTTACGACTTGGGAATGGAAAACCGTGACTTGACCAATGACCAAGTGACTTTAGATTGCGCAGAAGCTGTGAAAAAATACAATGTTGGAATCAAATGCGCTACAATTACACCAGATGAAAAGCGAGTAGAAGAATTTAAGTTAAAAAAAATGTGGAAGAGCCCTAATGGCACCATTAGGAATGTACTTGGTGGTACTGTATTTAGAGAACCGATTTTATGCAAAAACATTCCGAGATTGGTGACTGGCTGGGAAAAGCCAATTATAATTGGAAGACATGCTAATGCTGATCAATACAAAGCTACAGATTTCATTGTTCCTGGAGCTGGAAAACTTTCATTAACATGGACCTCTAGTGATGGTAAGTATTTTGTAGTATATTTTACAATTAGAAATTAAATTAAAAATTTTTTTTGTTTTAAGGCAAAGAAAGAATCGATGAAGTTATAAACGATTTCAATGGGGCAGGAATAGCCTTAGGAATGTTCAATACAGATGCGTCTATAATCGACTTTGCACATTGCTCATTCAAGTTTGCTTTGTCTAGGGAACTTCCAATGTATTTAAGTACTAAAAATACAATTTTAAAAAAGTATGATGGTCGTTTCAAAGATATTTTCCAAGAAATTTATGATACACAATATAAACCGTTATATGAAGCCAAAGGTATTTGGTATGAGCATAGATTAATTGATGATATGGTGGCATATGCTATGAAGTCTGAAGGTGGATTTGTGTGGGCATGCAAAAATTATGATGGTGACGTTCAATCCGATTCTGTTGCCCAAGGTTATGGGTCATTAGGCTTGATGACATCTGTGTTGGTTTGCCCAGATGGTAAAACTGTTGAATCTGAAGCTGCTCATGGTACGGTTACTAGACATTACCGAATGCATCAACAAGGTAAAGAAACATCTACAAATCCCATTGCCTCTATTTTTGCATGGACAAGAGGATTGTTGCACAGGGCAAAGTTGGATAATAATGCTCAATTAGAAGACTTTGCAAATAAATTAGAACGGGTCTGTGTAGAAACAATTGAAGATGGTTTCATGACCAAAGATTTGGCCATATGTATTAAAGGAATGAATGCTGTTCAAAGGGCTGATTATCTGAATACGTTTGAATTTTTAGATAAATTGGCAGAAAATTTGAAACTTAAATTAAAGCTCTCTTCAAAATAGTAACTAAAAAAAATAATTTTAAGAAAAATATTAATTGTATCGTATATATTTATAGATTATTATAGATTATATATGTATATTTATTTTTTATTATTTTTCCATTTCACTTTTGTTGATTAATACTGTCCATTAAGAATATAGTAATTAGTATGTACAGGCGTAGTATGTAATATTTTATATAGGTACTTGTTTTATCTAAAATGCGGTGGCAGTTATTTGGAATCGATTTAAGTGCAAATAATATAATGTAGTAGGTTATGCTATTATATTTATCAAATACAGTTTAAATTTAAATTTTACTTCGACCTAATATTATAGTTGTTGTAATTTATTATTTATTTAAATTTACAAAAATATTTAAACAGTGTAAAAATTACGATTAATGACGCTATGTAAACTGTGTATATAGGTACATATTATGTAAACTTATTCAAATAACTGTGAAATATAACATACCTACCTAACAATGAATATTTATTTTCTTAACTTAATTATTAATTAATTTTTGTACACCATACAAAGATATAAGGTTGAAACTGTTATAAAAGTTCGAATGTTAATATTATAGTAATATTATGCAAATATATTAACTACTGCGTTAGGTATATAGTGTATATTATGTATATTATGTACAGTAGGTTCATCGTACAAACCTACCTATACATAAATAGTTGCAGTTCTTAAAGGAAATGATGATGATAATAATAACAATTAATAGTCAAAGAATGAAGAGGGTATAATTTTAGGTTTTTCGATGTTAAAATCTTTGAATATTCAACATATAATTTGTTTATTTATTTAACTACCTATTATTGTATTAGAAAACCTCTATAAACACATACATCATAGGTACCTGCTATAAAACTACAATAACAAACTACTTATATAATATTACATTGAATAAACACAAATACGCAATTCAATTAAATTACGATTTATCGGGCAAGTTAAATTTCTATTTAAAAGTAACTTAAAAATTAACCGAAAGAAAAATTAGAGTATTTCTCTTCTATGATGGTTGAATATCCTATATAAAGGTACGGTTTCTCGGAATGAAGATTAGATAATTGGGTAAAAATACGATTCAACAGATATTTACTGAAAATAATCGAATCAGTTAGGTCAACACAGAAAAATAAATAATAGTCCACATGTACTAACACATCAGTGGCGCCGAACCAAATTTAAGGGATGGGTATACACCCTAGCATTGGTAGCTTTTAAATGTAAAACTAAACAATTTAATAACTAATATAAGGAACAGTGGACATAATATTATAAATAACGCGAACTAGTCGATCCCTAGACTGTCGTAGCTTACACGAGGCGATTTCGTTAGAAAAAGTAGATACCAACTATTGTTTTACTAAGGTACTATAAGTATTCTATAGTGCTCTTGTTTTACGATAAATAATCAAAAGTACTTAATGTATTTCTAATTCTACAACAGCAGCGTTTACGGTTTTGTACGCAGACTATACAGAGTAAAATAACATACATAAATACACAACAGTAGGTATTGTTACTATTAAACTATTTTTGGTTAAATCCAAGATTATATATTATTTTAGTACAAGAGTAATATAATTTTGTAAACATTTATCAAATAAAAGAGCTGATACTGGGGACGGGTGCGGCTACTGTTGTATCGGTTGTAGGTGGGTAGTTAGGAAGGTGGGATACATAATGTTATTTAATTTAAATCTGTAACCAACGATGAATCATTGCTAAAGAAAAACGATTCGGAGTGAATTTTGGTTATACATGTTTTAAAAGGCCGTAATATTTACGTTTAGGTTATTTTGTTAAAATTTGATTTTAAAACTTATAAAAAAAATATTACATCACACGCAATTTTCTTTTTTCTATCACTGGGCACTCGTGCGACTTATAAATTATTATAAGTTGAACTTCCTGTCAAATTGTAAAGCATATCTGTTTAGTCTAACAAATTTATCTACTGAGTACCAACCAAATAAAAATTACGTAAAAATCTCGCAAAATTAAAACGTTTATAAATAGCTCAAAAATGACAAAAATCTTTTGAAAATATATCACTTCTAGAAAAATTAACATTAGATGTTTATCAAAATTCAAGTTTTTACGAACATTTTTAACTGAATTACATTAGAAAACAAAATTAAAAACAATAAAATAATAAATTTAGTAAATTCTCCCGTCTTTCTACGGTTTTTTTTCGGTTTTGCTCAAGTATTAAAAAAATTATTTGGAAACTCAAAAGACAAATAATTTACTCATGAACTAGATCGAAAATTCAACAAAAGAAGAATCTCGTCATTTTTCGATTGGAGCAATATTTCTGGTAGGAAACAGTTTGCAAAAATTAAAAACAATAAAATCGGTTATTTTATTAAGTATTTACCGTTTTACCCACAACTTTCTTTTCGGTTTTTCCTAATTATTTGGAAAAATCGTTGAAAAATCAAAAAAAATGGCCTCTTTAATGCACGAATTAGAGAAAATTTCCTTTCAGAAAAGATGCGACACTCTATACATCGGAATAAGATTTCTTGAATAAAAGTTGTTTACAGACAAAAAATAATACACATCATAGTAAAACCAATAGATTCCTCGCTATGCTTCGAATCTAACAATTAAAATATTTAATATATTTAATACAAGAATAAAAGTACTGCATGGTATGATGTAGATACAAATTTAAATAACTAAATCAGTGTTTTTGTCAAATGTCAATATCGGTTTCTGATTTTTTTTTTTTTTTTCGTGTCAGGCATCATATAATTAAATTTAAAACAAACATGTAATTTGGTTTCTGATGATAATATAAATAATTTCTATGCTTATTAAAAATTAAAGTATCTCGTAAGTAATATAGTTTTTTGTAAATAATATTTTGTGGTTCAAGTAATTGGTAGGCGGTGTGAGGGACTTTGCACAACTTAGGTATAATATTGTATAGAGGTACCTAAGTTGATAAATTAATGCTCATTGCCACATAAGTTAGTTCGGTGCCAATGTAGCACGTAATATTATATAATATTATTAAATATTATTATTACCTATATAATATTATTAAAACTTACATGAATACACCTACATATAGAGAGGTGAAAAGCTATCAATCAAAGAATGTATGTACCTTATACATAATACACATATTGTATCAGTGTACCTACCTATTTGATTAAAATAATAGTACCCACTTACTCGAGTTAAAAAAACATAAATATCATTCAGTTTAATTTTATAGTTTATTAAACGATTGTAAATAACTTAAAAACGTGTGTGTCGTTAATTATCTGAAAAATTGTTTTCAGATTAGATAAAACAAATTTGGTTTACGTCACTGCAGTTGGGAAGTTCAGAGTTTAATTTTTTCTAAATATATTCGACGGAGGTACAGTTTTTTACGTACTTACGCCTATACCAACAATTATGCAATTGACCTGTTCACATTATACACTATATGTAATCGATAGGTATTATCAAAATAGTTACATAGTACAATATTGTACTACAATAAATTTAAATAAAATCTAAATACGAATAATATTAATACCTAGCACTTACACCACTTTGTTATAGACATGTAGATTCTACTCTGACATTACTTTATTAAATAGTTAGAAATCGTTCCATTAAACAAATACATAATTACATAAATACTATAACACTTAACAGTAAAAAGCTACTTCGGTACTAACCACTGTTATAGGTAATTTAATGTACATCTGTAAGAAACGATAAACCATTGTTAACGAAAATACGATTCTGAGCGCAGTTCAGTTGATAGTAATGTTTTGTCAACAATATATATGTTATTTTATAGTAAAATAATTAAATAGACTTTGTATATTTTCTTTAATAATATTTGTTTAATGTTGTACCGATTTTCCCAGTTTTCTTATGTTTTTCTCGGTTTTTCACATTTGCCTGGAAAACTCTTGAGAATGTACCTTAAAAGTACTTCCCTACACCGGTTTACTTTCAGAAAAGGTGCTATACTTAAAAATCTGAGCAAGTCTTTTGGTAGAAAAGTTGCGTAGATGCAAAAATAAAAAAATAGTAAACATCTTTGTAAAACCATTCGATTCTTCGCTCCTCTTTGAATTTAAAATAAAATTTTAAATTATGACAACATTGTCCAAACATTTATTTTAAAAGAATAACTATTTCATCAAAACAATTTTTTTTAAATTAAGACTTCTTTATATGACCCATAGGCACAACTAGAGGGGAGCTAGGAAGTCTTTAGCTCCCCGGAATTTAAAATTAGCATTCCCGAAAAAACCCAATAAGATTTTTCGTAGTAATGATTAAATATTTTATCCGTGTATTTTATAATTAATAGGCAGAACACATTAAATATGTTCTATTTAATTTTGTATGTGTCTTAAATGTAATGGGTTTTTGATGTGTTCATAATTTGAGCACCCCCAAAGACTAGTTGTGCCTATGTCTATGTTTATACCATTCTTGAAGATGTGAAGTTGGAAAGGAAGTGGGGTATGTAAATATAGCCATAATCTTTAAGAAGTGTTAAATTTTCAATATAATTATGCTTAACTATCTACTATTATGTAGATTTATATAATATAACTATAACTATATACATACACATACATATTTATCTTAATAATCATAAATACACCTACATATTATTTAATATGTAATCTACCTATTTATATTGTTATTATTCATAGATATTCAGGCTGTCCCACGAAGAACCTAATAAATGTCATCGCGTAACGCAGTTAGGTTATTATCCCTAGATAACATTTTCCGAAAATAATAAAATAATACGATTTTTTATTTTGATTTCAATTTTGAAAATCAGTAATACAGTGTGATTTTTTTTATCATGAACCAGCAATTTTCTATGAGGATTTTAAGTGGAATTTGATTTCTGTTTTTTCTAATCATTATGGAATCGTGTAAAATTTATTTTAAAAACTTTTAAATTTTTTCTCCTACTCCACATATCTTAAATAAGTACAAACTTTTGATACTTAAATAGCACCCCTCTTTTTTTTTTTAACACAAATTTAAATAAAGAATGTTTTCCTAGACATTTTGATATGTATAACACTTATATCAGATTTATCGTTTATGAATTATGAATTATAATACAGTTTAAAGTTTAGACCGGAGGCAATTTATTACTCTTCCGTACTCTTTCGGTCTAAACTTTAAACCGTTATAACTCACGAAGGGTAAATCTAATACTAGTGTTATGTATATAAAAATGACCAGAAAAATATTCTCTATTTAAATTTGTGTTTAAAAGCTCTTCTCTTTTGAAACCCCCGTGTTCCTATTTGAAAAGCGAAAGTATATACTTTTTGAATAATGAATAGAAAAACAGAAATCAAATTTGTTTAAAATTCTCAGAGATATTTGCTGGTTCATGATTAAAAAATCATACTATATGTTTCTGTAGGGTTTATTATTGAAGTTTATAAAACTATATCGATTGATATTTCAGCTGCTAAGGTGATTATGTTAGTTAAAGTTTGAAGTGTTTTCAATAGTTGATTGGTCGGTCGTCAGTGTGTTCAATGTTATTGATTTCATATTATATAATATCACTGAAGGGTTAAGTTAGGTCAGGTCCCACCAAACGGGACAAACCTTGACGAGATGGAGGGGGGGGGCTCACGACCAAACAGTCGTGCTAAGCGGCTCCACGAAAAATAATTATCCTAGTTATTGAATCAATCGTATTACCTTTTTATTTGCATTACCGTTCCTTATACCTTGTGATATTTTGGACTTACTGTTCGGTTACCCAGAAATAACCACATATTTGTTTTTGAAAATATTTAATGGATAGTATTACGTTTTTTTTTTTTAACAACCTTTTCAAACATTTATGTTGTCCTCGGAGCATTTGTATTCAAGGATTCAAGGATTGTTTATTATAAGTTTCACTTAGATTTTGGGATTAAAAAAAAGGAGTGGACTAAAAGGTGTAATTTGTTATTTCTCGGTATAAAATGAGGAGCCAATACAGGCCTGTACAAATCCCATGTAAGAAGTTAACCTAACTATTTATTCTGTCACTTAACCGCGGACTAACATCACCATTTAAGATATAAACCGTGACTAAGGTCTTAAATATACAGGACTGTCAGAAACTGGAAACAAATAAGTTCACGGCATTGCTGGGCTGAATGTATAACGCTTCGATGTTACGCCATATATTAACCATCTATTTTTGCCCATTTTGAACAAGTTCTATGTGCAAATATCTTGTATCCTTGTGTTATGTGTATCCTTTAAAGTTTTTTGACACTTGTTTGTTATTAATATAACACTAAAGTTTCTTGAAAACTAGAGCGGGAGCGTATCAAAATTTTGCGGTAACAGAACAAAATAAAATATCGCTCAACCTAAACAAGCGAAATAATACAGCGAAATCGCGAGGTAACCCTCTACAATATTTCATTTTTATCTTGTTTTAACATTCGATAACTAATATACATATTAGGTAATATTACAGAATGCATATTTTCTATTTTACACATGTGACTTGCCTGATATTCTGTTGTATATATATAATTGTTACCTAACTGACTACCATTTCCAGTTTGTAAATTCACTTACCGCGGCGGTAAGCGATATAATAGTGCATGCAGCGAAAAAAAATAATTTCGCTGCAGGTTTTGCGGTAGAAATTTCGCTTTGGTATGAGGTTTCTCATTTAAATAATATATGAAAACAAGTGTTCGCTGCCGCTAACACTCTGATTTCATAATACAATTTAATAAAATAGGTATACGATATTATACTTAGCATCTATATGACAAATGAACATAATTTTAGAAATGTATCTAGATGTCGTTAAATTCGAAGTTGTAATTTGTACATTTAATATAGGCACTAAAGTTGATTTAATTTTATGTATTACATAATATAATATTATACAGAAAAATTTATTAATCATGCTATGGACTCACCATTAGAGACATTTCGTGACATCTGTTGATTAATTCGTTCACAAGATTATTTATTATTGAATGTGTCAGCAGAGTTCGCGCGTGTCATACCTTATCAAAAAAAAAAAAAAAATAGCCAAGTATAAAAAAAAAATGATAAGAAACTTTTTAAAAGTTTATGCTTCTCACTTCTCTAATCATTAGTTCTCTCAGTGTCAAGATTTTAAAGAATTTCCTGTACTGTTGTTCAGTTTTCTGATGATAAAGTGAGTTTTTGTAAATATTTTATTGTCTATTATTTATCACTGTATTGTTTTGGATACATAATACATATAAATATATATATTTTTGTTTGTAGAATTAGTTCTAAATTTTTTAATATATGCCGAATGCCGGAACCATCCATTCCCAAGCCGTTTTTGAGAGTAGTTGTTAAAGGTAAAATAACCACTGATTTTTTGTTTTATGATATTAATTTTTGTTTGAATTGCATGAATTAAATAACATTATTTAATTACCAATTAAGAATGGTTACTGAAAGTTTAGTAAAAGTATTAAAGAAAACAAAAATCACACGCACAGGCATAATTGGAAAATTCTCTACAATTTTGGTTGGAATTACTTTTGTTAATAATATGTGATATGTAAACATCTGATATTTGTTACCATTTTGACTATGTATTAATTTTTTTTGTGAAGTGTGTTTACTAAATTTTTCAGTGCAAGAAATTTGTTCATAGTCTTCATTTTGAATATTGGTACAATACAAAAAGTTATTATGTTATAATAGAATTAAATTATAATAGGTATTTTGATACATTTGGAAAGTGCTTCACATTACTAGAGTTTCCGAATACTACCATTTTCAACTAAGTGTTCCGATATCTTGAGGAATATTCTGAACTTTGAAGTTTCATAAAAAGAATATGAATCATATTTTATTTTTACAAAAGTTATATTTAAGGAGGGGAAAGGTAGAATAATTTACAATATTTTGTCCTGGCACTTTTTTAAACCAATATAGTAACCTAACATAATATAATAAAAAAAGATATGGACATACTTCGCACGATAGGTGAGCCACTGTTGTGAGAAGTTGAGAATGTGGAGGGGAAATTTAATGTATATTTGTATGCAAAGATTAACTATTGCTAATGAAAAACAATCCCGAGCAGAGTTTGGCTAATTGTGTTGTTTTGTCAACAATATATATGTATAAAATAATTACATATGCATTATATATTTTCTTTAATAATATTTGTTTAATATTGTACCTTTTTTCCCGGTTTTCCTCATTTATTGGGAAAATCGTAAAATGACCATTACATTCCGAACAAATTTGTTGGTAGAAAGTTGTTCAGATAAAAAAAAAATAAACATTATTGTAAAACTAATACATTCCTCACTCTGCTCAGAATCTAAAATACAATATATAATTTAAATATTAAAAACAATTTACACTTATTTCATACATTTTACTTATGTAATGTGAGGTTAAATAAAATTTAGGTTTTTGTATACTGTAAACTGTATTCAATATTTTAACTGGTGAATTATTTATTGTTAATAAGTAATTATATTTCTTTAAATTGGTTGTTGTAGACGTTCTTGGAGTAGCACAATGGCGATGGGTGGCGAATGACGATACTTGTGGCATTTGTCGAGTGGCGTTTGAGGCCTGTTGTCCAGACTGCAAGTTTGCTGGTGACGATTGTCCTTTGGGTATACTAATAAATTATAATTACTGAACTGTGCAAATGAATATACATTTATAGTTGATACTATTTTGTTTTAGTTTGGGGTCAGTGTTCACATTGCTTCCACATTCATTGCATAATGAAATGGCTCAACGCCCAGTCCGTACACCATCAGTGCCCGATGTGTCGCCAGGAGTGGAAATTTCGAGAGTAGAATCTGATTTATCATCACCCTTATCATTGTCTTACGATTCTGAACTACCTCCTCTCCCTGAAAGCCTTAGTCATTTAAGTTTGTATGATGTACCACCTCGTTCTAAACCTGAACCTGTTCGGCGTAACTCACCTAAACCAACAGAACTTGTCGGATCTCCTAAAACACGTCAATCTCCATTACCAACGGAACATTCTGAAAAACGACCAATTGAAAAACCACCAGTTCCACCAAGAAAACCATCATCTGTTGATCTAAAACTTGCTAATCTTCGTAATGAAATGGTATGTTATAAAAGATAATAAATCACCTAGTTTTGTTATAGGTTTTGATATTTTATTATTTAAGGCAAGCTTACGTCAAATGGATCTACAATTACTGGCTCAGTTAAGGCAGCTCAATGATTCTATTAGTTCATATAGGCAAGAATTAATTATGAACATGGATTCTTATTCATCGTCAGACACTGATGGCTCTGATTCTACATCAGTGTATTCAAATTTAACTCCAAGCAGTTTTGATCTTTCTCGTTCCTCAACAAACTCAACTCCCAAACGCCCACCGACATCTACAGATTTATGAATATGTACAATGTTATTTAAATTATCAAGCTTCTTTATGTTAATTTTTTAAAATTATTATTATACAACATTTGTACTGTATTGTGTAATTTAAGTGAAATATCTATAATTGTTGTAAAATTGAAGACAATAAAATATACTAACTTTTCTCAATATTTCTGAATCAATAAGTATCTTAATCATATTGGCATATAATAATTGTACTCCTGTGGCATATTTGAGAGGAGGGCGTTAAATTAATTTGTGTAGGGACTTTTTGTCATTTTGTAAAAAAAACAAAAATCTTAGAATCTCCTTTGAAATTGAATGTTAGCGTTATTTCTGCTAGAAAAGTGTCATCAGATACAAAAACACTTCACGGTAAGATCAATAGGGTAGAATGTAAGCTGGCGTATATTAATTTTAATGTCCCACCCCTCACCATAAAACTAAGTCAAATACGTCACTGTCGTACTCTGAATGTGTATATTATTAAGTTATTTCTATCAACTCTCAAAGTAGTTAAAAATACATATTGATTATGACTACAAAGCAATTTATATGTCTTATAAAATCACTTGCACTTATAACATTTCTTTTCAATGGTCAATTACATCATCATTTTGTAAAAGTTATTCTAGAAATAGGATAAATATAATTATACAAACTTTGTATAATCTTACCCAAACTTAAAATGGGGTAATTTTTTTCAAACATTTCAACACCAACATATATTTAAACTAGCATTGTCTATTAATGGAATTTTTAATTCAAGAACTCATTAGATAAGCAAAAGTACATAGGTAGTTCCAACCCCCAAAATAATGGTAATGTAATATTTTAGAGTTATTTGTTTCTTGAATTATCAAAACAAATTTTTTTGAAAGAATACTTTGCAAAATAATGAATGTTTTACGTTAAATGAATATATATATATATATACGTTAATACTTTATATTATATAGTAGACAAATTTTAAACTAGATAATGTTCTGATAACTTAAAATGTAAAAATTGAGTTTTTTGAAAAATATTAATTGCATAAATAATACATAAACATTATGTTTTATACAGCAAACATTTGTTGATTATTATTTGACAATTAGGTCAGGAGTAAGACCAAATGAAGAGTAATCATTCTTTTGCTGTCATGATTTTGATTAATACTAATCAAATTGTTTGTAATTTGTATTATACTGGGAAACGTATTTTGCTTGATTTAACAGTTAGTTATGTATTATAATTTTACAATAAATTCTGTAGAATAAACACGTTTAGATACTATTCTCAATTATTAATATTCCATGTTTGATATTATTAAGTACATAGAAACACAATTTGAGATTTGGTTACATAACAAATAAGTAAAATTAAAATAATCAAAACAATTTTACCATCACATTCTTTTAAACAGCTTCTAGTTATTTTTCATAAAAAAATCTCATAAATCTTAGGATTTGATGGGAAATTTTAAACCCAAATATATTAATAGTGAATAGGTAGCCATCAATATAAAAACAAATTCAATATTAACCAAAACCTTAATTTTATTCAGGCTACAATTTGTATTTACATAGAATACAAACAACAACTTTATATATTTATTACTGCTTGCAAATAAAATTATAAAGTATAATATAAATATTTAAGTGTTAAAAATAATGTTATTAAATAGTTATCTTAAATATTAAATTGCATCTAATTCAAACTATATTCAGGTACCTAACTGGATAAATAACTAAGGTACGTACATTAAAACTTAATATAGAAAAATTAGATTTTAATACATAAGTATTTAATTTATATTTGGCAACATCATAGAAAATATTTTTTGTGACAGAATAAACTATTATTCAGTTGAATTAAAATTTTATTTAATATATAGAAATTTAAGGCCGTTAACAAGTATATATATATATTATATAAAATATAAGTGCACAAAACTAAAGTATTTTTAACTTAAAAATTGGTTTAATAAATAAGGGATAATGTTATATTTGTGTCCATAATTCTTAACTGTGGTTCTATACGAAAATTGTAATGTACAGATTAAGAAGATCTCAGTTCGTTGACATCATGTAAAAACTGTTTAAGCGATTTAAACATTGTTATTTTTTTAATTTGAAATTAAATTAAATTTTAGTTTTTATCAAGAATTGTGTGTTCAGTGATTCCTAAACTATTTATGTCACACATTATATAAAAGTGAACTAAGTAATTTAAATCTGGTTTTGCACATGGTTACTTTTGACATGCACGAGTACTTTTTTTTTAAATAATACTATAATTTCATAATAATAATAATAAAAAAAAAAATATATAATAATACAATTTCTTCCAGAATCACAGTAAACTTAAAAATTAAGAAGCACACTAATAATTTTAATGTAGGTAGTTAGTTTTTAATTTATAGTTAAAAATTATATACTCTTTATTTTTAAGTAATTTAAAATAAAGTAAATATTTAAAAACATAAAAAATTATTGTTTAATTTTTAAGTTTTATTTATTTGAAGTTATACATATTATTAAACATTAAAATAATAATTAAAAGATTTTATGCTTTAATTTTTAATATAATACTTGTACTTTAGACCACAATTATAAACTTATAAATGCCAATTTTTAAATATAAATATTTGGAATTTCATTGAAACATTATAAATTAATGTTAATTGTGTTTATTTTTTTTTTTTTTATAGAAGAACCGGAACCAACAATATTTAAAAATGTAAATATAAAAATCCAAGCAATATTTTTTAATTATCCCAAACATAATCTATGTCTAAGTCTAATGGAATAAGTATTTAACAAATTCCATCAACCAATCAAGTATGATAATTCAAATTGAATAATTCACTAGTTATTGACTATGTGGCATGATGGGAGCCATACGACTAATGGTAGCAATAACTGATAAAATAGCTGATCGCAAATATGACGGTACCCCTGGTTTGTTTGCAAAATGTTCAGCTGCTATACGAAGATCGGAAAACATGAGTCTTGTGTGTGGATTACGCTGGGATCCATATCGTAAGGTGAGAAAATGATAGTAGAATACAATAGTCAGTAACCCTGATTTGCCAAAGAATGAGAAAGCCACTGTGAGTGGCATAACTAAGATTTCAGAGAAGGCGATGATGCGCAAAATGGTTCGTGATTGAAACTCAACCAAAGATATCAATAGTCGAGCACCCCACCAGGTGTTTTGTCCAAGAAGCTGAAAAATGAATACAATTATAAGTAAAATATTGTAGGGCTTTTTGAGAAATATCTCATGTTATAAAAAATTAATAATTTATTCATGTAGTAATATACTTACGTCAAGTAATGTCAGTGAGTAGCTTGCAAAGTGTATTAATGAAAACAAAAATACTGGCAAAATTATAACTGAAATAAATATTAGTCAAGGAAAATATATTGTCATTTAAATCAAAATAATTAAATTAAAAAAAAGTTTGTTGAATGTATTTTAAAGGATACAGATACTAGGTGATACATATAAAAATATCACAGAGTACAATAAATAGTGACAGCTATCTTCTTTGAATAACTGTGTCAAAAACTGTACAGAAATTTGCATAGTTGGTAAACGTTGGTGAAGACGCAATGCACTTGTAGCTGCATTTGCCAATAAAATTCTATAATACGCACTTGCTGGATTCCTGGAAATAATTTATTTTAAATTACAATTTTTTTTTCATTTGTGTTCCCAAGGTAATCCATAAAATAATAAGTAGACAGTATTCTTAATCTTCATAGCCAGTAGTGGGGGATTATGAGCATGTGTGTATGCAAAGGGAAAACTGATAATTCTAATAACACTTTAATTAATACATTATTGAAACTTTTCTCAAGTGGCCCATCAATACACCAAAAACTTGTGTTGATATAAAAAAAAATAATCATGCAAATCAATTTGGTGAATCTTCAGATATAGCTATGTAAAGAAATCGCCTCACGTCTTAATAATATAATACATAGATATAGTGACAATATAAGATGCAATGACCAATTATAGCTTCTTGCAAGCTATTGAAGTATAAGGCAAACAAAAATATAATTTGTATATGCAGACAAGAGCAAACTATGTCACATAGCCCAATTTTATATATGCAAAAGGCTCAGATGGCGTGCATTCAAAAAGCAGGTGATGCTATACAATACTGGGTAATAGAAAATAAATAGCCAATATACATTATTAGACTATGTATTAATGTGTTGTTTATTTATTATTTATATACTATTTTATTCTAGTTTTGTTGTATGTTACTAAATGTTTTATTATAAATAAGCGAGAAAAAAAATTTAAAAAAAGAAATAATTTATAAATTACTGAACAATTCAATTTAAAATTATGTTAACTTGGGTTATAAATAGTCATTTAGTAAGTCAGTTAGTAAGTCATACGAGAACAATACAATAGATTGTTAAACACCTGTTTACACTATTTAAGGCAAAGAAATTAATTAAAATCTGTGTAATAAATGAATAAAATATGTTTCCATCAAATAATTTTCTAGCTTTAAGTAACTGATTTATAGTACTAAAACCAACTACTGTTAAAATTATAAAATAATTCTAAATATCTAACACACGTTTATTTAAATGTATAAATAAAATATTTTAAGCTAATGAATATTGTATGAAATTTATATTCATCTTTTTAATATTGATACAAAATTATTAGATATTACTATATAAGTATTAAAATTTTAGTTAAGTAACAAATTGGTACTTTTGAAAATTAGAGCTTTACACCTATAAATTATATTATATTGTTTGAAATTAAAAAATTATAAAGTAATTGCGAATAACGAATATTAATGTAATATTTAAGAACAATTATAATATATATATATATATATATATAGCAAAAATTTCTCAAACGGAAATATTACAATAAATCGAGTATTATTTTTATACATGGGCAAAATAATAACGATACATACTTATTTTAAGTAGAATGAGTAATTAAAACTGAGGTCAAATATGAATAATATGTATGCTTTATGGCCTTGTATAATGTTATGTTATGCTCAGTAAGACTAGAGAATATAAAATATACCTAATTAACATCAAATAATATTAATTCTTATTTTTATAGCTAAAATTTTTTTTAGAATTTTTGGTTTATTGAAATAGTTTAATTTAAACTCAATTGAATTTAATTAAGTGTATAATTAAGTAACATACATAAATCATTAAAACTTTAACGAATAAAAGATAATCATTTTTTATTCAAGAAAATTTTAACACCACAATACAAATACAAGGTTAAATCAAATTTAAAAAATATTATTTTACTAATATTCATAAAAACTATAGGTTTATGAATATTTTATTCAATATATGTAAGATAAAATAGTGCAATGAAACTTATATATTATTTAGTAACAATGGGCCAAGTATAGAAGATGGTTTATGTATATAATAAAAAAAAAGAACCGATGCTATTTATGGGTATGCCACTCTTGTAGGTGGGAAGTGGGAAGGTAGGATACATAGTAATTTAATAAATTATATCTTACAACGATAAATCATTGCTAACAAAATATTCAACAAAGTTCAGTTAAACATGTTTTTAAATGCCCCGATTATTAATATTGTGTCAAAATTTGAACTTTTTTTTAAGCATTTTTTCCTGGTCAAAACAATTTTATTCTAATAAAAACCAATTGCCTGAATATTTTAAACATTTTACTAGGTATAAAAAAGGCCGATATAAGTATTCTGTGAGTATTTCAAGTGTTTACAATTATTTTCGAGCAAGTCACAATAACAAAAAAACTATATTGAAAAAAAAAAACGACCTTCTAACACATCAATTAAATAAAATTTTTAAACAAATTCTAATACACCAATTAGATACAATTTAATTTTAGAAAAGATGCTACACTTAAAAATCTGAGCAAGATTTTTAGTAGATAAGCTGTTTACAAACAGGAAAAAAATATCATAGTAAAACTAAAATAAATACCAATTCTTTATGGTGGTCATTTATAGATAATCAATAAAATAATTTTTGTATCTATATTATAGGAAAAACGCCTTCAGAAAGGCCAAGGTTTTGGCAGAAAGACTGTGTGAGAGGACAGATAAAAATAACAGAGTTGTATTTAGTGGTATGGTTTTAATGGAAGAAACTAAAAATAAGAACATACAATACTTGATATTATATTGGTTAAATGAATGAATATTGTAAAATGATATTTCAATTGACACTTATATTAGAGCAGGAAACTTGTTTGATAACATGGAACTATTTAATAAATATTTAAGTAAGTGAACCCAAATATATTTTATATTATTTAAAAATAATAATAATAATAATAATTTGAATGAACTGTATAATAGCCAATATTTGCCAAGTACAAATTTTTTTATTTTGCTTTTTTTTCTAATTTTCAAAAAAAGTATTGATTAACTATTACTATTAAACTATTGATTAAAAATCTTTATAAATATAAATCAAGTTAAATTAATAAGACATAAAATATAAAATGAAAAACTCATTGTAAAATTCAAGACATTTTATTATACTTTTAGTTCTTAAAAACTGAAAATATTTTATATAAAGGTAAATAGTAGTATTATTGTATAATATAGTGTATATATACTATATTATATAATACGTTATAACAATTTATGTTATCAAAATCCTTTAATATTTTCTAAGAAGGTGACATATCCCTTTTTTGCCCCCCCCTCCCAATGGGTGCATGGGTGCAAATGTAATTAAATGATTGCTATTAAATACTAATATTAATACATTGTTACTGAAATACAGGCTACAAGTTTAAAGTTTAAGTTTAATATAAAAATGTGTTGAGAACATGAATCGGTTTTGTATTTTATTTACCTAATAAGCAACTTCAGTGAAACTTGAGAAGATATTGCATAGTCATTTTAAGTAACACCTAAGTGATTTTAGGTGACACATAAGAGAATTCCCGTAAATTTGCATTGCATAGCCATAATTATGAAATTATTGATAAATAGAGTATTCTGTAAAGCTGAGTGGTCAATATTCATCATCTAGACATTCCGTAGATGGTCATTTTGATGTTATCTCATATGGTAGTTATAATTTGAGTTCTTATTTTTAATCAAATTGTTGTACATGGCATTTTTTTTATTGTATATTTATAATTAGATGAAAAAATTTATGGAATTTACTGATTTTATTCAATTTGTTGAAGAACCTACACTAAGACGATATTTAAGGGATTTGGATTATCTATTATCATTATCAACTTTTATAGTACCCAACTAATATTTCATAGAGAATTAACTGTTTATTTATAATTTATTAACAAGCAGAGCAGTTACGATAAATAAATAGAAAATTGTTAACTCAATGTTTTCTGACCTACATTATATTTGTATGAATTTGAAATGATTAGACATTAATTTTAATAATTAACTATTATTTTCTCACCAGAAGAGTGGTATGATGTAAGCAAAAGTAAACACGATTGCAGCCAATCTTGTACACCAAAGAGATACTTCTACTTTATGTGTGACAACATGTTGTTTCAGTGCTTCTATTCCTTTTGGTCTTGTTTCACTATCTGTTCCGGCATCTCCTTCAGCCATATTTTATTAAATCGCTTTAGCACTAGAAATAAAAAATAAAATAAAAACTTTCCTTATAAGATTTGTATCAAAAATCAAATTCAATTGGAATAATTTTGATTTATACCTTATCAGGAAAGAAATGTCAAACAATAATAGTTATGATTTGAAATAGTTAAAAAATTAATCTGAATTTGAACACCACGGCTACAATAATTCCAACAAATAAACTAATAGGTAAATAACAAAATTATTTCTTCGTACAAGTCTATTGGAAAATATCGGAAACAAAAAAAATAAAAAAAATGTTTACTGTAAATCAGTAAAAGCTGGACGACGAGCGGAAAAATAATTAGAATAATAATAAAAAATTAATAGAAAAATACGCAAATGCAATGACAATCAGAACGGAGAAATGAAACGATGATAACCTGTTTTTTTTTAAGGACAGCAAGTTCACCGATTGTGCTAACCGCAGTATGACCATCCAAGGTACGTTAAAAATCCCAAAGACAACTTACGTGTCGCTGTCGGTCAGACGCAGTGGCACACTCACACGCGAAACGGTGGCCATGGTCATTGGCCGTCACATTCAGCCAATTCAGGGAGTTGCCGACCATTATGCATTTTTAAAACGTCGATTTTATTGATTTTTTAAAGCTCGAGCCTTTAAAATGGAGCTTACAATCTTTTCCTGATGGGCCTATAATGTATCCCCTGTTCTCACGAGACTTGTGGATAATGCATTTTGTCCGGACAGTGGCGTATTTACGTGAATGGCGAGGGGGGACGATCGCCCCTACCCCCCACTTAATTTGTTTAGGTATTTGCTAAATATATTTGGTATATGTATAAACAAAAATGTAACATTGCTAGAAAAGTGTCATCAGACACAAAAATAAAATTAAAAACGCTTCATGGTAAGATAAATAGGGTACAATATAAGCTTGTGTAAAATAATTTTAGCGACCTCTTCACATAAAACTAAGTCAAATACGCCACTGCTTATCTACTACTTTTACTTTTTTGTAATCGATTTGGATACATAAAAAACGTATGGCAGTTGTAATAGCAGGTTGGTTATAAATCTGTATGGCCCTACAATAATTAATAATCCGCAGTATTCCATAATCAATGGCAATGGCTTAGCCAGAACAAATTTCGGGATAGGTAGTGTGATTATACAATTCTTCGCACTCCATTTCTTTACAAACTAGGCTTAAAAAATCGATTTTTTGTACCAAAATTAATATGAGTAGGTTACCTACCTATAATATTGCAATAATATATTTTAAACCATTGTTGTTTGATAAATTATAATTTTTGACATACCTACCTTACCTATGTACAATAAATTACGGTGAAATCAAACAAAGTATGTGAGTAGGCAATATAGTTTAAGTGATTTAGTTTCGAGTGCATATTTTATCATATCAACACAAATTTGTCATAGGTATATCGGTAAATAACATTAAGTAATACATACCTACCTACCTATTTACTATTATCTGGTCTTTAAAAAACCGGCAACTATTTAGTATGTTTCCTTCGCATGCACATAATACGGTAATATAATAATATTTTTATGACATTAAGTCACGAAATGTTGAAGAATTAAAAATATTAATTGTGTATATATTATTTGTAATTCAAATTGTAATAGGAACCTACTCGTAATTTTTACGATGATTTTTCACGAAAATCGTAATTTTTATCAAGAGTAATAACATTGATTATAGAATATTCTAACAAGTAACAAATATCTGCCAGGTATTTATAGTTACTGTTTAAGGAAGAAACACCTTCCTTGTATAGGACGAATCATGGAATGAGTTACATTTAAAATAAAGGCACGAGGAATGGGAGATTTCCTATTTATGAGGATCGTAAACAAAAAATGTTCGTTCTTTTTTTTATTTTTCAATTTTTAATTTCCCGTACATAATACTATTATTATAATTAAGTACACAAGTGACTAACACATAATGAATTCATAAAAACGTACATAGTACAAAAAGTGATTCATTAATCTCAAAGTACCTATTGAAACAAACCGCTCTAAAATGTTATGTTATTACCGTTATTTCTGGGGCTGATACGACTAGGTAGTACCAGGTACTACCTACTTTTGATTTTTAAATGACAACTTAAATTCAAAGTTTCATAAAAAGCCGGAGTATAAGTTTAAATTAATATTGGTGTTAAAATTGTTAATTTCCGTCAACCCGTATTGGAGCCAGTGGCGCCGAATGTATGTATTAATTGTGGCGACTGTCACGCCTAATTTAAAGGGTGAGTAGCACCTATCATGGTAGTTTAGTATAAAATATTATACATTTTACAATTAATATAATGAACCGTAGACAAAATATTACAAATAACGTAACGTCGTAACGTGTACTGTGTGATTGCATTAGTTAAGCAGATCAATGTAAATGTAGCTATAACTATTTTTACGATAAATAACCAATAGTACCTAATAAATTTCTAAATCTACAACATCGCCTACAGTTAGTTCATAAGCAGGCTATACAGAGTGAAAACATATACACAATAGTGTTGTTATTATTTAACTAATTTTGGTTGTATCCGAGATTATATATTTTTGTATTAAAGGAATAATATGATTTTATATATATATTTAAAAGATAAAAATATTATGCTAATCATACGAAAAAAAATTAAAATTGAACATATATTTGTATTGAAAAAGACGAATATACTTCGCAAGATGTGTTGGCCACTGAAGTAGGTGAGAATTTGGGAGGATAGGATAAAAAGAGAAATTGAATATATATCTGTACGCAAAAATTAACCATTGCTAACATTAAACGATTCTAAGCAAAGTTTGGTTGTATATGTAATGAAAGAGCTTAGGTAATATTTACGATTTTCGTCAAAATATAATTTTAAAACATATAAAACAAGTATTTCTGTCTGGTCTAACAATTTTATCAAAAAAGTACCTATACCGATTAAAAATTACGTTAAAATCTCCCAAAATTATAACGTTTATAAATAGCTCATAATTGATTCAAATGATTTAAAAATGTTACTCCTAGATTAAGTGAGTATAAGTTCTGTGTTTAAACTTCAAGTTGCTACCAATATTTTTAACTGAATCGCAACATAAAAACAAAATTGAAAATAATAAAAGCATTATTTTCGTAAATTGTCTTGTATAAAACTACACGGAAAATCAAATAACGAAAATCAAAAAACTACCTAATTCACCAATTTAATTAAGAATTAAACAAAAAATATCTCTTGTAATTTTTAGATTGGAGCAATATTTCTGGTAGAAAATATAGTGTATACAAATTTAAAATAATGAAATTGTTAATGCCATGGCGCGCTGTCAATATTTGCCGTTTTACTAATAATTTTCTGTTGGGTTTTTCCAAATTATTTTAAAAATTCCTAAAAAAGTAAAAAATGTACGTCTTCAATTTTCTTACTGGACAAAATTAATTTTCAGACAGTGTTACACTCTATGATGATATATATTCCTGTCAAATGTCAATATCGGTTTCTAATGATCATATCAATAATTTCTATGCCAATTAAAATTAAAGTACCTATGTACTTTAATTTAAGTGTTCATGAGTTCAAATATTAAATGATTCAAAAATATAAACATTATTCAGTAAATAATATCATAATTTGTGAAAATAATATTTTACAGTTTAGGAAATCTGTAGTTTGTGTGGAGTGCTACGCCCCTCACGACTTACGTTTAATACCGTGTAAAAGTAGGTGGATATAAATTAATACAGTCAAATTCGCTTATAACGATCTTCTAGGGATCGTTATAACCGAACTTCGTTATATCCGGATCATAAAAAGTAACATGATTTGTTTGAAAAATTGATTTATTAAACATATTTTTTACTTTTTAAGTTTATTTAAGATTACATATTTCAACATTCAAGGTATTTATATAAATGTTAATAAAAGTTTTTTTTATTTATTTTTTTATTTGACATTTTTAACTTATTCGGATCGTGCCTAAACGGATAGCAATCAAAACGGCAACTAAACGACTAAGAAACGTAGGTATTTCTGTATACAATACGGTCGTACAAGACACATTATCTGTTACAGATAAGATTAAGAATTATCGATTTGGACGAAATCAAATTTACTACACAATGTACAATGTACATACATACAATGCATATTATTAATCGCTATGGGTGATTATAAAAACCAATTTTCGTTTTAAAATAACATCGCTATATCCGGATTGTCGTCATAACCGATATCGTTATATACGAATAAAAGTATTATACATAACATATAAAACCAACCAAATACATTTATTGGAATCGTTTTACCCGGAATATCGTTATATGCGGCATCGTTATACGCGAATTTGACTGTATTTATTGCTAAACATACAAAAAATTAGTTCGGCGCCACTGATCGGAGCAATATTTCTGCTAGAAAATAAATTCCGTAAACATTTCATATAATGAAATCATGGGATATAAATTTAGACAGTTTTAATTTTACGTCTTTTCCGGTTTTTCCCAATTATTATGAAAACTGTTTGGAAAATTTATAAATGATTTTCTTCCTCAGCAACTGGATCCAAAATGTGAACAAATTCACTTGGCATAATCAAGCAATATTTCTGGTATGTTTTCTACCTCGTGCATAAAAATTAAAACTAATGAAATCGGTCGGTAACGCCGCGGTGTGCCGTAAATATTTGCTGTTTTTCTGACAATTTTGTTTTCGGGTTTTCCCGATTATTTTTAAATACCCCTTGGAAAATAAAAATATGACCTTTCAACGCACCAACCAGATAAAATTTCCTTCCAGGAAAGGTGCTACATTTGATACATCGAAATAAGTTAGCTGTTCAAAAAGCTGTTTACTAGCAGAAAAAGCATACATCATAATCAAATCAATAGATCCCGCGATACGCTTCGAAACCGTCGTACGTTTAGTGTGAATGTAAATTTTCATAGAACACACAATTACTTGACTTAGTGGGTAAAGGACGCAGAGGGGATGCAACGGGCCCCAGCTAAATTTTCAGATATTCTACACGATTTTTTTTTTGTTTCTTGAAATTAGGACGCACACGATTGTAATTTGTTTAGATTTTTCTTGCAAAATTAGTTAATATTTTTTTTATAAAATAAAAATTGTTTACAAAATGTGCGCATATTGATAAGTATTTGATACAGTGATACGTAATAATCATAGGTATTGTGGTGGAGGTGTCACTCTCTAAACTCATTACGTCCATTTGTAACATTAATAATATAGGTACTTTTGGTGATAGTTATGTAATTTATGTTAACCATCTTGATAATCAAATTTACGAATATGAACCGACCGGACGAAAAATAATTTTTGTTGGCATACGTCGTACACGATCTCGCGTAACTATTGCAATTACGTTAAGTGCATGGAATATTATTAATATTGTTACTTAATGTTGAATATAATGTTGGCAAGGTGTGTATGGGTATAAATATAACTATATGTTAAGGTGATAATTGATAAGGTAGTATATAATATCATAATAATATGATAGTATAGTGTAGGCACTGTAATACAAATATTATCTAATATTATTATATTAATATTATACATAGCCATTACTTTTATTTCCGTATTAGATAATATCGAATATCCTACTGAATTGTTAACAATTAGAAGCATATTTAATAACTGAAAAAGTATTTTCCGAGAATAAAACTAAATAAAGATTAAAGTGATAATAATCTGTTTAAAACTTGAATCTGACAAAAAATTGCTAAACAAATTAATAAAAGTAGGTACGGTGGTACCTACTTTTATTTCCATCCGGTGGGATGGAAATTCCGAATTTTCAAAAGTTCCCGTGTGAACAAATCGGAAAAAGTATCAAGAATTTCGTTAGCGTTTTAACATAAGTAATGTAAGAAATAAGTTTCTTTAATTTAAAAAAAAATAATTACTGCACATTCCGTATTTACTACTGTATATAGGTACTGAGTGTACTATTTCATATAGTTTAAAGCGCTGTTATATTTTACAAATTCGATATTTGTGCTTGTATTTTTTAAATGTGTAGGGCGGAAAAAACTTGAAATGTTTAATAGAATATCTGAAATTTGTTTATAATTGTGTATATTTATAAATTATAAGTTATAAGATATTATTATATGATATTATTACGTAGTATAAATTAAAAATGATTATTATTAAAATTATATTTTGAAAATATATGAGAAGAAACAAAAACCGAAGAAACGAATATTATACATCCGCATTAATGTAATTTTTAAAGAAGTTCCATTGGTTAACCAAAAATTATTAAATGTAAATTTTTTCGAAGAATTGATAATAATATTAATACTCTATATCATGGCTTATGGTAAATAATAATGTAATGTTTGAGGATGTATGTCATAGGGGTGTTGTAATATTCAGTTTTTAATTAGGTCGGAACGCACAATTTGTATGTATCATTAGAGTACTTTTATTATTTCTTTTCCAAGTCAAGCACAGAAGACACTTACATGATAATTTTACAAAAAACAGGTGTGAAATGCTTGAATATTGTAACCCAAAAATTTAGATTACATAAAAAGTCCTTAATAATTTTGTCTAAGTTTTAAAAACCCTGTATTTATTTTTATACTAACCAAATCGGTCGGCCTAAATGCAGTTTATCTCCCGAGTGATATTTTGGAATTTTTTTCCAAAATGTGTGTTTTTACATGGGTAATTTGATGGTACTTTCAAACAAAATCGTACAAACTTCATTTGGAAGTTATGGTCAAAATGATTGACTTTTTTAAAAATCATGTTTTTGAGTTTAAAATACTAAAAATTTATAATTTTAGATTTTTTTTATTTTTAAATCGTAGTAGTTTGATGCATAACATTTTATTGAAATTAGAATTCACCTATCGAAATTACTTTTTATGTTATACTTAATAAACCACATAAAACCTAATTATATTGTTATTTCGATAATTTACATATTAAAGTTACTCAAAATTGATTTTCTAGACTTTTTTTTCATTCGGTGTGTAATAATATAAAGAAGTATTTTGTGAAATCAGAACTAGGTAAAATTTGTTCCTTATTTATTAGCTATTTGAGCGAAATCGCCGAGGGATTGTTTCTTTAACAGTAATTTTGACTTATAATGAGCCTCCTGTCAAATTTTCAAGCATTTCTGTTTAATCTAACAATTTTATTCATAGAGTATCTACTAAATAAAACTTACGTAAAAAACTTGTAAAATTAAAATGTCTGTAAATAGCTTAAAAATGGCTCAAATGTTTTAAAAGTTTTATTACGTCCAGAAAAGGTAAATATAAGTTTTCTGTCAAAATTCCAAGTCTTTACAAATATTTTTAACTGAATTATATAAAAAAAAAACAAAGTTTAAAATAATAAAAGAATTATTTCGTAAATTTTCCAATACTTTCGACATATTTTTCGGTTTTGCTTATTTTCAATAAAACTACAGAGAAAAACAAAAAGCTACTTACTTACTTATCAACTAGATTAAAAATTTAACAAAAAAGGTCTTTGGTTTTTTTTATTGGAGCAATGTTTTCGGTAGACGTATCATAAGCAGTAAAAATTTAAAATAAATAAATCATTTTCTGGCGTTTTTTAATTATTATAAAAACTTCTTTAGATATCAAAAAAAATATTTTCTTGTCTGTCTTCTCGGTCAGTAGTTATACGTTAAAAGGAACAAAATCGATCTCGTGTCATTTTTCGATTGGAGCATTTCCAATAAAAAACATAAGATGCAAAAATTAAAAACAATGAAAACGGTAACGCCACGGTATGCCATAAATATTTGAAGTATTTCCTATAATTTTCTTTCAGGTTTTTTCCAATTATTTTGAAAAACCCTAAGACTTTTAAAAAATTACTGCCTCAATGCATCAACTTGATAAAATTACGTTTTAGAAAAGGTGCTATACTACAGATCAAGTTATCTGGCAGTTGGGCTCTAAGCACAAAAAAAAATAATCTAAAAAATAAACATTGTAAAACAAATACATTTCCCGCTTCGCTCTGAATCTAAATAAGTATAGTGAAGTAAAGTGAATTCTAGGTCTAGGTTTCAAAATTATATAAGTAAACACAAAATTAAGAATCAGACGAGCAGAATTTTAAAACAAAAATTCTGATTTTCTCGTTTTTAGTGCTCTCTAAGTTTTTTTTTCAATTATCTCCTTAATGGTCGTTGATTTTTTAGTTGCTGTTGCATAAAATACGAGTTAGGAAAAAATACCCAAATGCCAATTTATGGGCACATAAAAATCAAATAATGAGTATTTAATGATAAAAAAATCACTCTGTATATGTATAATAGTGTTTCCCAATCTTTTTGATATTATAGACCACCTAGATTTGCTAATAGCCCTCTCTTTTCTTTTTGGTAATCAGCGAAAATAAATTAAACTTAAATAGGTGGATATCATTGAAATTAATTCATCAGTCAGCTGATATAACAACAATAAACTAATATGGTCAATTGTAAAAAACTATTACATAAGGTACATAAGGTCGTCATGGTATTTTTCCGGTGGAAAATATATTGACGCCCATGGATCACCAATAATAAATGACTGGCCTGCGAACCTGATTGAGAACCACTGACATATAATAATGATGTAACATTCAGTGAATTTAAATAAATTAAAAATCGCCCCTAAAATTGACAAAAATATATAGTAATATTTTCTACGGGCGGGTAGTTTGAAGAACTATACTGCGTTATTAAATAGGTGGAAATACTTGTAAACTTGATCATATTTATTTCTATATAGGGACATTTGAATATCCTCCTAATTAATATTGTATTTTCATTGTAGCATTTGCATCGCCCGTTGTGCCTTTAACCAGTGGCGTTGTCAGAATTTTTTTTAGGTGAGTGTTTTTATTTTGTGTTTAGATGTATCTTTGTAACCTTTGTATGTGTATGTGACAAAATTATAATTTTTGGCATAAATATAGTCAATGGCGGTCAATATAGCCCATATGGTCAAAAGTGTTTGAACACTGAATCCCCCCCCTCCTCGTTACGCCACTGTCTTTAACAATTTGTCAATAGCACCTACGTAATAAATTATTTAATATTAAGTAGCAGGTAATAGGTAGTCGTTTTCATAGGTACATTATAATTTATTTTGAACACTGAGATTTATGTTTAAAATTAGGTTGGATTGAGAAAAAAATCTTTAAGTGTAACTGGAATACGATTATAATTTTTTAAATTTACTGTATTAAAAACATTATGATTTCATATTACAATAGATTTAAAGTTAAAATGCAGTCCAAAGATATAAATTCGTTTCACATATAGATTATAATAATGTTTGTTATGATAATAATATTAATTATAATAAATATATTAAATTAAATTAATAATCCTAAGTCATAATCACAGTAGATAATAATAATTTTTTAAAGAAAAATTCTATAGCTAGGTTTATGTTTGAACAAATTCAAACATTCTTATACCAAGTAAAATCTTAACATATAATAATTCAAATACAAAATTTAAACTAAATTCAGCTAAAAAAAAAAAATCAATAGTTTATATAATTATATGAAAAACTTATTTAATCTATGATTTATCTAGGTACTAAATATAACATTCCTATCTACTATACTTTAAAATTAATATCGTAATAAGTATTAGTCATACATTAGTCATATATTATCTTAAATCTAGTAACAAATATATATAAATAAATAAATAAATAAATAAATAAATATATATATATATATATTATTTATATATACATATATATATTAATGGCAGTATTAAGTCTGAATTAAGGAGCCTGCCGTATTCAATTCATAAATTCAACATCACTCAAACTATATTTAAACACAAATATAGCACGATCGAATTTTGTTAGTAGGTACATTATTTGTTAGTAGTATGCAGTGGTTAAAGTGGGTAAGGTAAAATTATTAGCCCCCTTCGGTTTCAGTCTTCGAGTCTGGGGAAACGCTTTAGTTATTGTGACTGAGACATTTTGAAGGCAATTTTCAATAAGTACTCGAATCAGTTTTATTAAAAATAAATTCTTTAATACCTATTAGATTATACGTAATCAGACTCTGTTTTACTTTATTTTTATTGAGCAGGCATATTCGTTAGATAATATTTTAAGAGAGGGTGCAGTATATTTTCAAACCATATCAGTATAACATTCTTTTAAGAAAATGTGTACGAGAGAAAAACATTTTGGAAGTTTTGATGAGTTTCCTGAAAATTTGATTAGGTTTAGTTAATTCTCAGGAACGGCTCTCAATTTTTATTAAATATAGTCCCTCTTCAAATTCCCACTTTAACCACTGGTTGTGTGATATTATTATCTAACATGTTTTTTATTTTTACTAAGAACCAATACTAAAATATTTATACCTGGAAGACGAATATTAAATCTAACTGATTATAAAGTGTGTTGATTATAATTGAATGTATCGATTCAGGCCGTTTCATTTCATTGACAATAAAAAGTATTATCTTCATTCAGTCATTTGTCAAATAGTTAAAATTAATAATTTTAATTGCAACGTTTGAATCCTTACAATAATATTAAATTTTTACAATATTGATTCTTTTTATGGAAAATTAATTTCATTAACAGTATTCATAGTAGTCTTCTAAATTTAGAATAATCATTTTGAAAATATGGTGTTAATAACTTTGATTTAAATTAAATAATAATAACCATTCATAATACGTGAAAATCCACAAATTAGTTGCATTTCTCCAGTTCCACTACAAATAATATTGTTTTTATGCGAATTAATTTTTAAATAAATAAAACCGCAAAGTATAATATATTTTACAGTGGAACCATTTAGAACAAACAACACTAATACGAGTAAAAATTAATGTGGCGGGGCTGGAGGAATGGGAACCAGCAACAATTGACGATTTTATAAAATATTTAAGTATAAACAAATATACATAGTGAGTGGACTCACTAAGTACTAAATACTTACTTATATCATTTTGTTTTAATAATTTAATAGCAGACAAAATGGTGAGGAATATTCACAGTAAGATAGTATAACAATGATTAATGATTATTAGAAATTTTTTCGTTTTACCATATGTTTTTATAATTATTATATTTTTTAAATTAGAACAAATGTATTAAGAAAAATAAATAACCTTATTATTTCACGATAAATTGTGGAGATTTGATTACTTATCTATTTGATTACTTGTCTGTTGTTAATGTTAATACAAATTTGAAAATTTAATTCATACTGTAAAACATTAAAAATTTCATATTAGCAGAGAATTAAAAATTATAATATTAGGATAATTTAGTATCACTTTTGAGGCCGAGTATACGGTTTTTATTAATATTTATATTAATTGTGTTTGATGTGCTGTTATTCTAGGAATATATCCGCAGAATCGATATTTTATTGGAAATATCATTGAATAAAACAGTAAAAAATTGATCATAATAATTATTTTATGGTTTATAAAATTTGATTGATTAAGTTTAAATAATGAGCTGTATTTAATAAACACCGTAACTCCATATTACATGAAAATAAAAACTACGTTTGAAAATGATAAATATAAACTAGTAGGTACCTAATGGACAATATTACATAACTAACATTAAAATTGTTTTATTGTTTATTTCGCACTGGTCTAATGCGATAGATAAACAGGGTTTTTTTTTCTTATTAAATTGAACATGTAGTACGTACTTTTGCAATTTTAAATAGTCCACACTTGAACTTTCTCAGCGATAACGCACCAATTCGATTGGTCATAGTACGAAGATATTATATGCAAATTATCGGCATGTTTTTCAATTAATTGATCCAGTTCACCTTGCCGGAATACGTGATAGTACCTGTGGTAGGTTTTCGCCCCACCTCCGTTCTCGGATAGAGATTCTTGTGAAGTGGACAGACTGGTGTCATCACTTTTCAACATCTCCTGCGTTTCTATAGCCGCATGCTGGCGCACCAGTACCGCAGCTCGCCTCGGGTCTGTTTCTTCGGATGAAGATCGACCGTCGCAGCGTGCTTGTCTCCTGTCCGCGAACCTTGTGTCTTTGCTACAGTCACTCCAAGAAGTCAGTGAAGTCGAGCTCTGGGTGGTCGTGTGCGTGTCTACTGTGTCGTTGGACTCAAGTGAATTTCCCGGTCTGAGGAGCGAAGTATGGCTACTGGAAACTGTATCACGTTTCGAATCACATTCTAGTTCCAACGAGGCGTGGCGGTCTTCCGCAGAGTCAACGGACACGCGGTAATGCCGTGATCTGAAGCCCTCGCGACTCCGCAACACTTTGTCCACGGAATCCTGCGTTTCGATGGAGATACTGGGCCTGCGAGGTACTTCAGAACCGGCCAGTATTTCTATTCGATGGTAGTCCAACGGTTCGTCTTCTAGATGTCCGTCGGACGACGACGGTTCTGATAATAATAAATCGTCTTTGCCCACGTATTTTTGAAAACACTGCATCAGTTCAACTTTTTCTGGACTATCTACCACTTCGTCACATGCCTTTTTGTGATTACCTTCTGACTTTGTGTCTATTGCGGCTCGTAATTCTTTGTTCAATCTTAAAAAAAAAAATTAGTGTTTTACGTCATGTGAAGAACAATATGAGTATGTTGTAGAGTAATAATAAACAATTTACCTTTCAGCGAAATCAACTAAATGCTTTTGACATTCTTCGTCCCAAGTTTCAGGTAGATCTGAAAGCTCATCTTTGGAACACTTACTAGCTTTCTTGTGTTTTGGTATAGAACCAAGACTATGACTATTTCGAACCTGAGTTCCTTTGTTTGGATGTTCTTGTAAACTCCATCGATTTGTATGACTCGGCTGATCTTCTTTAGAGCTAAGATCTTCTTTAGGGATAATATCTTCTTTAGTGATAATATTTACTTTAGGGATATTAAATTCTTTAGGTATAATATCTTCTTTTGGAATGATTTCCATTTTAGGTGTAATAACTTCTTTAGGAATAATATCTACTTTGGGGATAATAACTTTTTTTGAAATAATATCTACTTTAGGGATAATATCACATTTAGGCCCAATATTTCCTTGAAGAATACTATCCGTTTTAGAAATAATACGTTCTTTAGAAATAATATCTTCTTTAGTAACACTATCTTGTTTTGATACAATTATCTCTTTAAACATTTTATCTTCTTTAGAAAAACTGTCTCCTTCAAAAATATCACTTTCTTTAGTAGGAATATTATCTCCTCTAGAAATACTATCTCCTTCAGAAATAACACTTTCTTTAGAAATATTATCTCCTTTAGCAATACTATCTCTTTTTGAAACGACGTATCCTTTAAAAATAACATCTTCTTTAGGAATACTATAGGAAGTAATATTATCTATTTTAGAGGTAATATTATGCCTTTTAAAAATAACATCTTGTTTAGGAGTATTATCTACTTTTGTAATACTACCTCCTTTAGAAATACAGTCTCTGTCAGAAATGACAGCTTCATTAGAAATATTATCTTCTTTAGCAATAATTTCTCTTTTAGAGACAATATGACCTTTAGAAATAATATATTCTTTAGAACTAACGCCTCTAAGGGCATCTAATGCGGAATCTATCGGAAAGATCTTTTCTTTTTCTGGTTCAATTGATATTTCTATGTCCGTTGGATCTTCAAACTCTGCATCTATAAAAATTCCAATGATTGAAAATTGTTTATCATAAATTTACTGACCAAAAATCAACAGATAATATTGAATACTTATTACCTGTAGTTCTGCGTTCATCATCTATAACGACACTTATGACACTACTAACAGAATCGGAGGATGATGATTCAAAATCACTATCTATATCATCTATTTCTGGATGAAATGTTTCTTCTACTGTTTTAATAAAGTATCTTCCACGTAAACCAGAAAAAGTTCGATCTGCTTTTGGTAATCTATTTCGTCCGGTAACTAAAAGTATACATGTATTGTGTTAAATATAATTAGATGATAATTTATCTTATTGACATACCTGGTTTAGTGCTTAATAAAAGGTCTTGAATTTGTTTAAGTCTTTCTGCACTAATTTTTTCTTTTGGCCGTACATTCTGATCACCTCCTTCACAAACATCTCTACGTTCTTGTTCTTGATCTCTCTCTTGTTCTCTTTTTAGTTTCATTTCTATTGCTGTTTTAACAGGTGATAATTTAATAGGTTTTAATACATCTTCAACGGCTTGCTCCGTTGATAAATTTAACTGGTATGGTTCATTTCCATTTTGTGAGTTGAACCGAGCTGGTAATTTAAAATGTGACGGTTGAATAGGAGCCGTTTTTGGTGTGTTAGGGTGCGAAGATGACCTGTATTGACTTTGTGATTTAGCTGTAGGTGTACATGGGGCAGTTCGTGCTTGCTGGTCAATTAAAGGTGGTGAACATATCTTATCAGATCCTCCTGAAGTGTTTACAAATATAACTGATGCTAAACTACTTAGACTATCCTCGGAATCCATACTAGCATCACTTTGTAAACTATCTTTTGACGAATCTTCAGAAGAACCATCTTCACGCGAACTTCTACGTCCGTCACAACACGATGTTGTCACCAATGCGGGAACTGGCATTTCTATTTTTTTTTCTTCACTAACCTTTTCTTCAGTACCTTCCTTATATCCTAACATTCTACTAATTCCACTTTTAATATTGTCAGATACCTGACTGGATGGATTTTTAAATGTTTTAGTGAATCCAGATTTGAGCAATTGTAATGTATCCTTAATTGATTCCAAAGTACGAGTTTTATAAATAAGCTCTTCATTTAATGATGCTTGTCTCTGAATATTTTTTTGCATAATTTCTTTTTCTTTCAGCCTTTCAACGGACATAAGTTCTTCATTCATCGATCTTTGTTGGATTTCATTGCTTTTATACTTATATCTTTTCGACCCACTACCGACATCAAATTGGGGTAACTTATTCACTAAGTCTTTCATATCGGTAGCTTTATCTCTATCTTCTTCCGCATCCTCATCACATAATGATGCCTTTTGTTTTACTAATTTAGGTTTAGAAACAGTTAATGGCATTGATTTTTCTAATTCAGGTATACTTGACCTAGACCGTATCATCCGTTTTTCCGAAGAAATTTTGATATCACTTAAACTTTTGGATTTGTGTGTTGCAGTTCGGTTAAATATTGGTATTAAGTCTGGTGAATCTTCCATTCGCCTAAGTTCTATAGGAACATTTTGTACATCTTCATTGCATGCCTCGCACCCTTCTGGATCTGAACGTAGTACTGGCAACTCACTACCAGATAATGTAGCCCAAGAATTTGAAAACCATGGTTTTGCTATTACTTTACCACGCTTGGTTGAACCGGCCAGCTTCTGTAACCAGGTGAATCTATGTTAATCGTAAATACTAAATAATAAATAAGTACTAAATAATGAATAATTATTAACTTGTATTGCTTTTCGCACAAAACTATAACAAGTTTCATTTGCCGGACTTGATAAACTAGAACTACTGGGAGAACTCGCAATGCCTTTTCTCCAATATGATTGTTCCTTGCGCCTAATTCTTCTTTCACAACATATTTTGGAACTCCTATTTATCAACGACGTGTAAAGTATAAATCTATAATGTAATTATTATATACCTAATAAATAGTATTAAGTTCTAACGTTATTGAATCCGAATTTGACTTTTTTCTTGTGCTAAAATATTCTTCATCTGATGTTGTTGTTGTAGTAGAAAATTCGGTCGATTCACTTCCTAAATTTCTACAAGGCTTGTGCCAGGGCATTAAAACATCTTGAGATTCAAACTACGAAAAAAAAAAAAACTATTCATTCTAATATAATAATCTTAAATGATATATTATCAACATTTTACTTTTCTATGACGTCGTTCCATTGCCCAAACTGTGATTATAATACGACCGCCAATTCGAAGTACCCTGGCTAGTTCTCTTAAGGCACATATACGTCTTTCCGTCGTTGAAAAATGATGAATAACAGCTATAGATAACACGGCATCTAAACTACAGTCTTTGAATGGTAAGGTTAGATTGTCACATACTAGTACCTATTTAAATAAAATATTATTTATTATGTATTCATTCCATTGTATATGTAATTGGTAAACTAAATTGCTTACTTCGCTTTCTTGGCTTCTTGCTATTTCAGTTACCTTCAAGCAACGATCAACGCCTACTTTGAACACAAGCGGATTGGTCGATAAATATTTTCCCCTACCACAACCTGTAATTAATAAGAAATAATGACATTTATAAGCAGTTTAATCTGTCCTTGAGGATGGATGTTTCACTCTTGTAAGTAGGAAATTGGGAAGGTAGGATATATAGAATAATTTAATTTATGTTTGTACGCAACGGTTAATAACGGATATTTGCTGACGATTCTGAGCGAAATTCAGTTAAACATGTTTTGAGATGACGTGATTTTAACGATTTTCGTTTTAATTTAAACTTCATATGTGTATATAAAAAAACGACTACAGTATACTGAAATTTTTTAAAATAGTTATTACAACTTATAGTGAATTTCGAGTTAAACTTTCAAGCGTTTTTACTGGGCTAAAATATGTTATCCATTTAAATCGAAACTTTGCAAAACGCTGACTTTTACGTTTTTTATTGAAATTTGAAGTTAAAAAAAAATATTACTACTTCGCAACCTACTTTTGAAGTTGAAAATTGAAGAAAGATTTCTAGAAAAAATTGGTTCATTATCATCAGGAAAATTGATTAACACGGAGGAATAACTTATCAGAGCATATCATATTTCACTTCACTCAGAATACAAATAAGTTTTTAATTGAAAAAATTTGCTAAGCATATTTATTAATACTTGATATTTATGGGACCTGAACGATTTTTGTAAAGGATGGGTAGTTTTTTGTAGTTTTATCAATATCTGGGTCGTTTGGTTTAGACAGAATTCTGTGAAAACCAATGACGGCCAGATAGATTTCGGGGCCGGTATAGAATTTTACGGGGCCCTATAAATATTTGTATAAATATATCTATATTTATTTATATTAATTTATTTTATTTTCTAACGGACTTAATTTATTTTCATATAATTTTATAAATTTTAAGGTCTTGTTAGAAATCTAAATTTGTACACGTATATATGAACTAAAGTCAAATTTGTATTTTTATATTAGACACAAAATAAGTAGTTATCTACTTAGGTGCAAACAATATTTTATTAATTAATATTTTTATATAACCATCTTGATGTTCGTCGATAATAACCCGTGTTCTAAGAAAACCACACGGCCACACGGCACATGGATCGAAATTTGCTTACTATTGGGACAATATAATTATGATTATTTATAAATAAAGTGGTATTAAGAAAACATAATTTGTGGGGCCCGGTGTGACCGCACCGCTTGCCCTCCTCCCTAGGACCGGCACCGGTAAAAACCATAGTAAGTTTCGAGCTTTTGTGATTGAATTATTCTTTTTCTTAGGGTTTTGTTGGTTTTTTTACTTTTATAATTGAAAATGTTTGATGATTTTTGGATTTTAGGCATTATCATATTCTTTGTTGTTAAATAAATTTAAAAGGGTTTGCGTTACAATTTGCGAGACCCTGGATAAATTTTTTTTTGTGAGACTTTTTTTTTCAGAGTACCATTACTCCCACCTAATAATTATAATAATACCCAACACTTGACCACGGCCGGAAACACTGATAAGGTAACGCGCATGTACATGTTTTTCCCAAAAACATCGTTGCATTTCTAAAATAATTATTTTTCCAGTTTTATGCCCATTATAATTATGCTACCCTTTTTTATGGGTTCATAAGCTCGAGACCTCTGAAAACTCGAGGCCCTGGAAGTGAGCTCCGCTTGTCTTACCCTAACGCCTACCCTACCCCTATTGTTGTTTATTAGTAACATGATAAATGCATATGATAATATGTTGAATGAACACATCAGCCTTTTAGCGTTACCCAAGAGACTTTAAAAACTGATATCTGATAATGAGATTATCAGTATACTTTTTCATCACTTCTCTTTTAAAAACTTCTTTTTTCGGTTTTTCTTGAATTTTCTAGTCCCATTGTTCCTGCATTTAATATTCGTTACCGACTGCACTTTTAACAGCTTTTTTATAAACTGAAAAATATTTGGGTGCTCACTATAAAAACAACTCTTGAGTTTCGAATCTCGAGAATTGAGCTCATATACTTGGTGGAAAACTTGCTTCTGGGGAAACAAAACTGTCAAATACGTAGTCCATAAACTCTACAATTCTTTTGTTTATTCTAAAAACTGCACACTTGTGATACAATTCAAGGAAAAACCGCAAACGTTTGGTAGGTTAAAATCGCACATTATTTAAAATTGTTCTATCCAAAAACCGCATATTTCATAATGATGTATAAACTATTATTTAATATTTGAATATATGTAATAAATAAAAATTTTTAGGTACAATTTAAAAATTAAAAAATTTAAGATATAAAACCAATAAAATACTAAGAACCACACATGTATTCAGTTACGTTAATACGCGTTTCGGTTGATAACTGTATTGAAAAAATACTTAATATTGGTTTGACTGTTTATCATCAATTTATTGTAAGTTTAGATGAAATGCCTAACTAACAAATAATGGTTCGAGCATATCAACCTACAATAAGATATAATTTGTTTGTAACAGATTATTAATTATAAATACAATAAATCAATACACAAGACATTAACGTGCGGTTTTTACCCACTAAAAGTGTACGGTATTTGGTTATACAATGTACCTACATAACAACCGATAATGTGTGCGGTTTTTCTTCATCGACCTTTTTGGTTGTTGAAATCATATTTGTTCAGTTTTGGGATTTTCGGTTATTGAATCAATTCTTTCGTCATTTTATGGGCTTAAAAATGGTAGGCTTATTGATATACAACAATAAGGAAATCAACTCGTGCATAACCCGTAATAGCCGTGAAATCAATTAAACGGTATCGGTACAAGTAAACAGGTATCTGGGAATCAGGGAACCAACTCATACGCAGTCCATTATATTATATGTTATTCTTTAATACATTTGGGGATTTGCTGGGGTATTTAAATCTTTAAAACACCATTTTCCACACAATATGGTGAAATTCAAGAAATAATCGATATTTCCATTTAGTAAATTATATACAAAAAGTAATTCCACCAATATTATCTTCTAAGGAAGAGGGAATCTAAACCAATTTAATAGCGATCAATACCAAAAGGTTCTCTGGATATAAGAATTATTATGTAATAATATTATAAAATAATACTTAAGCTTGATATATATATATGAGCGAATTACAAATTTGGAAAAATACAATTGGGGATGTTTCAAAACGGTTTAGAAGCACTGAAAAGTTGTAACAAAGATATTTCCCCAATGTACATTTTTTGATGGACATATTTTGCACATTGCCCGTCTCAACAGCTGAACCAAAAAGTTTTTCAAGTTTGAAAAGTATCAAAACGTATTTGAGAAATTCTACGAAAGAGGTAATTTCTTTATTTGATAGATGTTTCATAATAAATTAAATTAATATTTTGAATTTACATTTAGACGAGATTAAATGGTTTAGCAACGATGTCTATGCATCGGGACATCCAGATAAAAACTGACAAAGCCATCGATGAGCTTGCGTTGAATCCAATGAAATTAGACGTCCTTTTATGAAAATAAAGTTTTGCTAATTTAATTTACAAATGTAAATAATGATATTAAATATGTTAGGAATTAAAATAAAATATTGAATGAAATCTGAGCTGTCGGTTTAATTGACATATTGGTGGGGGAGGGGGTGGTGTAGCTCCCCACGGCTCTGAAAGCTAAAATTTTTGTCATTCACCCCCTACAAAAAAATACTAAATACACCACTGTTTAACCCTAAAAATTTAAACTAAATTATTGCAATGATAGAACCGGTCCTTTTTGATGGTTTTCGGAAATTATTTTTTGTGACGTCAAAAAGTGTTTCAAATAAAATAGGTAATGTTTATTGATGAGAAATACACCTATTATCAAAATTGTTGGGAAAATAAATTTTGTCGACAATTTAGGAACGTAGTTGGAGTTAAACAAGGTATGTTTCGATTGTTTATATTTAGTTTTAAATACTTAAAAAAAACTTTAAAGTCTAGTTCCCAATGTCAAACTTTAAATATTCGTTTGAAAAGTCGTTCTGACAATCAAATAATATTATATCTAAATATCCACAGTTTAGATCTCTGTGGAAATTGGTCAAACTATTAAACAATTATTTAAATTGGACCATTTTAAATCACTCGACTACTCTAGGTATACTGCGAATAGTTAAAAAAAATTATAAAATGTTAATATGAGGAAGATGTTAGTGCGTTTGGCGCTCACTGTCGTCGGTTCAACATTCGATTATGGGTATCATAGGTGTAAATAGCAATTTAAGGTACAAATCTTATATTAAAGTAGTAGTAAATATAATAGGTAAGGCTTGATATTGCTCAGGGATGGCTGAGACCTTCTAATCCTTCCCTTATTTACGTCTATGACGTCTAGACCGTATGTCAGTTAAGAAATCGTCTGGTAAAAAGGAACCACTATCCTTCTCTCCGGAAACGGACTGACGAGTCGTCCACGACAGCGAATTCTTTTAGAAACCATCTAGTAATGAGAGCGTTGGACCTTTAAGGACCGTTAATCTATATGCCGATGAATATTCGGAGAGAAATAGGTATACCTAACAGCTAGGAATTATTATAGACGCTGATAACGAAATTTGTTAATAAACCCAGTGATCATACAATATGTTTGATAAATCTGTCAAGTATTTCAGAACAATTTTTAAAATATTTGAAGTTCGACATGGACAATAAATTAAACAATTTGATTTGTCTGGAAAAGTATTTGTCCACGTATGTACCATTGGGCGTAAGCGAACGAGCCCTTAAGTATAAAAGAGTACTAGTAAATTATGTATGACATAAATATAATATAAAATATAACATTTGTTATTTTATTAAATAAATACGGTTTGTTTTCTTTTTATAAAAAATGTATTTGGCATCCCTATCTTGCTTGCTGTATTGCCGACCTAGTGCAACAGCAATAATAATGATAACAACACATGGCTGTTATGCGTGGTATATCGATAGTTATGTGGGTTAGTGCGGTAACCTATATATTAATAACCTACTCACCAATGTCGCACACTAGAGATCCGGGCTCCAAGTCGTGCAGAAACTGCGTCACCTTCGGCCACGGTTTTGATTTTTGTCTTGAATTATACATCTCCTGGTAAGTGTCGTGTACGTACGCCTTCTCCAATTCCACACTGCGGGCTAGGTGGTCGGCCGCCCTGTCCATGGCCCCGGCCCGGCGCGCCACCGGCGAACCACGTCTGCAACCGCGCCGAACGTATGATGATGACGATGGTAGTAATAATAATAATGATAATAATAATAATAATAATAATAATAATAATAATAATAATAATGGATGCCTATGCGTCGGCGGATGCCGCCGCTCGACTACGACAAACGCGCAAATCTCCGCGGTGTATACGCGCGACGCGCGCACCGGTACGGATTCGTAAAACGGAACAGCGGCGGCCCGCCGATCATTATTATTCATCCGAATGACCCGGTCACGGCGGCAGCGGAACACCACGATGACGTCACGAGACGCGCATCTGACGTCACCGTCGCCGCGCCGCCGCCGGATCCCGCCGGCCGACGACCACGGTATTGATCCCGCGGTCCTCAGCCTTTTATGGGCGCAGCATAGTAACCACGGCAATCGTTTCGCACGCGATTTCCATCCTCCCGCCGTTACCCGGCCCTTCGTGCCGTCGTCAGGCATCCAGGCCGCCCGGCATTCTAATACACCCGCAAAACGCTTACGTAATAACTTGTTACACGGACATAAAACGCGTAGTTTTTAATTTACAAAACGTCACGTCAAACACGTTATCCGCCGGCCAGCCCCTTGTCCGCCCCCTTCACCGCTAAAATCGCATCCCCTCGAAATTCCAACGAAAAACGCACGCGGGCAAGTCTTTCGGCACTTACGGTTACTCGCGGTACTCCGCGGTCGTTCGATTTTATACCGGGACGTAGACCGAGTATAACTCCGGGCACGTGCGCGATCGTTTCGGGGTATTTTCATACGATGACGGTACACACACGCGCGCGCGCACACACACGCACATACATGCACACACACACACACACACACATACACACACACACACACACCGTCGGGGTTTTAAACGTAACCCTTCGGGTAAAACGAAACGATAATAATTAATAAACGAAAATCAAAATCGGCACTCACTTGAAGTTATAATGGCGATTTTCGTTTCATCCCATTGCGAATTTCACCGCGAAGTCGTGCACGAACAACCGAGACGAGCCGCTGCTGCTATAACTACGTCGCTAAATCCACACGTCGGTTCACATGATTGTGTATCACTGTCGCCTTATTGTTATCACATCGTTGTACAATAATATCGCCGAACGTTTGTTTGTTTTCTGTGGTTCTCTTTGTTTTTATTATTATTGAACCACTACTAGTCTAGACAAAAAAAAAAAAAAAAAACCCGCAGGTCGGGGTTGGGGGAATAAACCTAAAAATAATAACAAAATACAATAAAACGAAAATAAGGTCCGAGGCGAATGTCGGACGCCTCGTTTCTGACGGATTACGGAACCAAACGGGCACGGGGGCACCGGCCGGAACGAGCATGCGCCGTATCCGCGGCGCGAGCCAGGCGCAATGATGATGTCGTCGTCGCCGATCGAACGCAATAAAGCCGGCGGTAGGCGGCACGCGAGTAAACAATATTATTCATTCCCCCTCCGCACGCCCATCCTTCCATACACATCCCCGCCTAACCCCCCGAACCCGAATAAATAATGCACGCTGCCGTACACCATGTCGATAAATTCGAGCGGCGGGCCGGGGGTATAGGACGCGGGGGATGATTGAAAACGCCGAAGTCGTACAATGCTCCCGCGGGCCGAGTTAAAACGTAATAATGGTATAGCTATGTACTAGTTATCGTACAGAAATGTGTTTCACGCGATTCCATAATATCGTAGTATGTACGATATATTTTATTATTATTTTTTTTTTTTTTTAGAGTAAATCGTTTTTAACAATTTCGTACATTTTCAGAATATAATATAATTATCGAGGACTCTTCGAACGTTTTTAACTCAACAATCGAAAAATGCGACATAATAACTGTTGGCCGCCAAGATTTATGCGCGTTAGCAGGTGAGCAGATGACACATTATAGTAGGTACCCGTGTTTTAGATAACATTTTTAACTGAACAACAACAAAAGACCCAAGTACCGTACACTTTGCTGTATTTCTTACGTTGTTTTCTGGCTTTTCATAATTATTAGGAAAACTAAACGGGAAATCTAATGACTAATTTTACTCACAAACTAGACACAATTCCCTATTATAAAATATTATATTCTTGAAATTCGAACGAAGTATCTGGTAGAAAAATATGGTCTTAACAATTTTAAATAATGAAATTGTTGCGTCGTTATTCGAAAAATCGTCTTTTATTGGGTTTTTGCAATTATTCTGTAAACGCCTTTTGGTATCGAAAAATATCTTGTTCAATCAGTGGCTAGATACTAGATAGAACAAAATCGATCTCATTTAGTTTTTCAATTGGAACAATATTTCTGGTAGAAAACTTAGTTTGTACAAATTAAAAACAATGATATCGGTAATGCCGTGACGCGACCTAAATATTTGCTATTTTATCTATAACTTTTTTTCCAATTTTTCCCAATTATTTTGAAAAATTAAAAAATGACTTTCCCAATGCATCAACTAGAGAAAATTTATTTTCAGAAAAAGTGTTACACTCTGTATATCGGCGCAAGATTTATAGTAAAAAAGGTTGTTCACAAGCAAAAAAACAAAAAAAAAAAAAAAAAACATATACACATCATAGTAAAACCAATTTGGATACCTCGCTTCGTTCTAAATCTAAAACGAACATTTCATTTCTGAATTTAAACCTGAACATTTCAAATGGTCATAAATAGCTGAAAAATCACTATAACGTTTTGAACATTTTATTACATCTGAAACGTTATAAAACAAGTAGTGAACATTTTAGGTCCCTATACGATTATTTCAACGGGAAACGCTACAATAAAATAAGTTGATAGTTTGCGATTAATCGCTTCTTCAGCTGGTAGGTATCGTTTCTTTTAAGTTCGTGTCTTCTTTTTTAACTGTGTGTTTTTATATGGCTTTCAAAATTAAAAAAAGAAAAAGGTTTGGCAATTACTACTTAAACAATTTGTGAGAATTATTTCCTAACTCATTAAAAAAAACTACGGAATTCCTTTTCAGATAATCTATGATTATTGATGTCATAAACAGTTCTTAAGCAAACCAGTTTTAATATAAATTAAGGCAACACTATCGGACAGTAAAATTGTTCACGAACATTACATCTTGAAGACGGCCGAATGAGCAAATTTAACCGAAATAAACGTATGCGATGGAAAAACGCAATAGTGTCCCGGTCGATTTAATCGCTAAATCGCTGAAATGCTCTATCGAAAATCGCCCCTAGTGGGGCCGTATGCTTAACATTATTTTTATTGGACTTGAATGGATATGGATATGAATGGTTTTACGTCTTGGATGTTGGTAGTTGGTGAAGTGAACAGCCCAGGGAACAATGCGGCGTTCGGAAGTCGTAAATAGAACGATCAAAGTAGAACGATTTATTATTATTATTATTATTGTACGACCACACGATCGCGTTAATCGGAAAATAGGATGTTAAGGTTTGCACGTTTTTTCGGCTTTTAATTAGCACGTGCCACGTCGAGGAGCAAGCCAGCCCAAAGTTTGGTAAGATTTGAATAAGGTTCAATTAACGGTTCAACGGTTGCCATTTATATCACTTCAAAGATCGAATTTATCTGCGGTCCATCGAGTTTTGGTCGGTAACTCGCCGGCTCGATCCAGCAAAAGGGGTTTCTGTTTTTGTCTTACAAACGTGAGATATAGGGATTCAGACGTGTTTTTATTCCAACTTACCGATAGATCTAGGGAAGCGATAAGAATTCTGGAAACAAATTTGAATTTGTCGTATAGTCTACTTGAAATCGACTTCCTGTTTTTTAAATTTGTTTTTTTAAATTCTAAAATAAGCCATACTAATAAAAGAGTAATTGAAAAAATGGAATATTTTAATTTTTTGAGAAATTAAATCAAAAATCAAAAAAGTGAGAAAGTCGATCTCAATTAGACTTCATGACAAATTCAAATTTGTTTTCAGAATTCTTATCGCTTTATTAGATTAATCGGTACGTTAGAAATAAAACACGTTTAAATTCCTATATCTCATATGTGTATGACAAAGAAAGAAAGTCGTCACTAATATTCTAATATTCTCATAAAAACTCATATTAGAAATATTTCAAGTATAATTTTTCCTGTTTCGATTGAACATTGAATTATACTATTTAGTCTATATAGTATATAATATATACATATATAGATACATATATACTATATATGTATCTTTATAATTTATTTTTCGGCACTAAATAGGTTTTGCTGGGTATAAAATACGAGTGATCCGATACATATTTACTGAATAAAATCACAGCCTTAAACAAAACATAGCCCGTTCAGCCAGCGGCATCATAACGCATCATCAGAAAAAATAAATAAATATAAATTGACGCGGAAATAAAATTACCTCTTCGCTACACCTACGTTGTCGGCCACACACATATACCTACTGATATACCTGTAGATGATAATTTTATTACAATTATATTATATTGGTATGTAAATGGGATAATATGTTTAATTCTTAAAAAAAAAAAAAAAAAAAATTATAATAATAATAAATAAATGTACCCAATATTATACTCTCATTCGAGATTTGTGGAAAAAATTCGAAAGATAAGTGGGTTTTGAATAAATATTATTCACTCTTACACGCCCTTCGTCATAAATGTTTAATATTTTTATCGATATGTTCGTATGTCCGATGATGGAATAGGTTTATACAGAGTGATTGGTTTTGTAAATTTCGAACACCAATTCTGATTATCTTGGAAAATAGTTTAAAATCTATAATTTTTATGGATATTTTAATTTTTGGGAGATTTAAAATATGAACTATGCGATTCTCAAATTTTACATCGTTATTATTATTCTTTTCACTATTATGTTTGGCTTTGAAACTGCTACTAATTATTATAATACCGTGGATTAAAAAATATCCACATGCATATAATATAAATAAAACAATGTTAAAGACTTAATTTAAACACTAGTATTATATATTATCAGATGCACACAAAATCTTTATTATTTGATGAATTTAAAAGAAAAAAAAAATGTAGAAACAAGGAAATATTTTATTTTTAAGTATGATTATCGTGTTCTACAATAATGATCGTGTATAAATACTCAAAATACAATATTATAATTTATAAAGAATAAAAATATTCGATAAAACTCATTTACACTATTCAAATGTTAAAATTTTAATCTCATTAATTTATATATTTTTTCAAATATTTTTTATCATTAGGGGGTACTAACACCCGAACTTAATACTAAAGCTTGTTGGAAATGAGGATACATAAAGTTAGAGCAATTTAATTTAAATCTGTAGGCAACGATAAACCACTACACTATTGAAAAATGATTCTAAGAGTATTATTGATTGCCAACCCAAAAGTTAACGAAAATTTCCAGTTTTCCGATTAATTAAGAATATCAACAAGAAAAATCAACAAATGAAATCCCCAATTTAATGCAATAACTAGGTAGATAAAAAATTCTGCAAGATAAAAAAAAGTTCCTATGAAGTTTTTAATTAAAACAAGACTTTTGGTCGAAAAGTTGTTTACAGACACAAAAAAATAACACATCAAGTATATAAAGTAAAACAATTTCATCCCTATAAAAAATAAAGAAATACGTCTATTTATGGGTATATTTTTCTCACTCTAATATGGTTTTCCATCTAACTTCACTCGTGTAAACATTTTGTCCACTATTACTGTAATATCCATATTATATAGTATATGCGATAAGAGGAATATAATATGATGAAAGCAATTGGACCATATGTTAATATCAAAAAAATTATCACTTTCTTAAAAAAAACTGAATTATACAATAAAATATAATTTGTTCCCATATTTCCATCCAAAATGTTATAATAATTGTAAGCTAATATAACCTTGTAGTTGATGCTGAAATAATAAATGAATAAATGAATCAATATATGACGACGACAGAGATACCACGTAGCCAAACATTGTGCATACAACGAGACACCCATCATAATTATTATGTAGTATGCGTAGTATGATCTTATCTACTCGAGTGTTTGCCCGCGTGAAACTGTTTTTATAAACATTTTTGTTAGTTTCACGATTACAAAATAAATTCTTGTGATAATGACACAAGAGTTCGAGAATACTTGTAAGAGTAATACGATTTTATTTTTTCAAAAAACACGGGAAATACACGACCATTTAAATACGGGAGGTACCATGTCCTCTTAATAGAAAAATTGAAAATCATTGAACCATTTGTTAAGAATTGATAATACTCGTAAAATTTAAATATTATCAATTTGTTGTTAACGATTCGTAAAAAAAGCA